TAGAATCAAAATTAGAAACTGAAGTTGAAGAATGAGGGTTTCTTGTAGCTTGATTTTTAGAATCAACATTATTCAATACATTTGGTTTATTGTATCCTTTAGCCCATGAAGGAGAAGAATTATGGGGAACTGTAATAGGAACTGCATCAGAAGGTAACTTTTTTATTTGAGAAATATAATTTTCCCTCCAAACAGATGAATTTACAGGTAATGGAGAAAAAGTGCTTTGTGTCTTTATATATTCTTTTGAAATTCTCAAATTATTAGGATTATTTAAAGATATTTTTGATGATTGTATTAAATTTGGTTGAGAAAATACTTTTTTTTCATTATTAAATATATTTATTGAATCCTTTTGTCCTTCCTCTTTAGAAAAACATGTTCCATGTGAAGAATTCTGATTCATATGCCTTCTTATTATATATATTTGTCAAGATGTTTATCTTGAAGTTACGCACCTGTAAATTATTACTAAAACAAAAAATTTAAACAAAATTATTAATAATTAATATATAAAAATTTTAAAACATAAGTCCTAAAAATTTAAGAATAATCTATAGTTTTTAAAAATTTTATAGAATAAATTCATTATGAAATCTATTTGATTCTTCGAAAATAACCTTTTAGAAATGATTATATTTAGATAATATAAGCATTGTTTGTTTTATTTTGTTAATTTGATAAAATACCATATAATTTACTTGAGCTTTTTAATATTGAGCATCCTTAATTTCATCAAATATATATATAAGTTTTTTTTGTATTTTTTTTAAAATATTATTTATATAATTTATCAGATTTCTGTAGCTTGATAGTTTAAAACCAACAGATATATGTTTATAAAGTTAAAATTTATTTCATCATGAAATCCAATTAATTCGAGATAACCCTTAATACATTTACCTATAAATCTTTTACTGACAATGCAAAGTTATTAATCTAACAATATCTTCAATAAGATATTAAGGCAAAATCTTTTATAAAATCATTTTGAATGAAATAAATATTTTTTTTTATATAATATATATTTTTTGACAAATTTTATCTATAATTAACCTTTTTCTTTTTTTTATGAAAAATATATAATATTATTCTTATCTTTTTTACTCAGACATAGCAATATATTACTTCTAAATTAATAAAAATAATAACTTTTGTCTCAATCTTGTTATTTTCTATTTCTCCAATAATCTTTCTATAATAATAATATCTACAAAGTAATTTATTTAAATGATATAGATTTCTCATCATATAAAGTAATTTTGAATATATAAAATATATATTGAATAATAAATATCACAATTTTAACATTATTGTGTAAAACTATCATCTTCAATATAAAATTTACAATTGCATTTGTACCAATAAAAAAAATACCATAGAAAATAGACATTCTGATTTAAAAACTTAAAGAATAAAGAAAATAAAAACGTAATTATTTGATTTTAACAAATCTAACATTTTCTTTAATATACCTAATTTCTTAACTAAAACTAAATATTCCAAATTTTTTAATATTATCAACAACTCAAATAATAAAATCTTCTAGGAAGACTTTCCTTGTATTTTAAATATTATCTTGCTCTGAAAGATCAAAATATCCTAATAAATTCATTATCTATAAATATATATATATAATAATTTCAACAATTTATTCATATCTAATATAAAAGCAATGGATTATGATCAAACTTTTATAAAGTTTCAATACTTGTATCACTAATATTATTATAAAAATATTAGAATTTATATTATATTTCTTTTAATTCTACATTAGTATAAATTCTATCAATTAGATATTCACTTTAAAAAACAAAAGAATTTATAAAATATTTCATAAAAGTTATATTTCCTTTAAAATATTTTTTATTCAATGGTTTATTTATTATAAATTATAATAATCTTATAAGTTTTATCTATTAATCATTCGATTTTTTTATATTTTAATATCATATTTTATTAATTTATAGCTTCTTGTCTTTAATTTATCTAAAAATATTAAAATAATTATAAAAATTTATTAACTTTTTAAATAGGTATTAAATCAGTTAAAAAAATCCCAAATATTTGATATATATATAACAATACTTTTAAATACAAAAGATTAATATTATTCATAAGTTTGTTTTTTTATAAAATTTAAAAGATTAAAATAGAAAATTTGTCAAGATTTTAAGTTATGGAATCTACAAATGATAATATAAATATAAATAATGATTCAGATAATTCACACACATCATTAAATATGAAGGATTTCTATAAAATCGAATTATTATATTCAGAATATACATCAATTATGAACTATATTATTCAATGTTGCAATATTTTAACAGACTCAGCAATTTTAAAAAATCTCATAGATTCTGAAAAATCTAATTCTTTACAAGTAATTCTATCTTATATTTATTTTAATTAATTATTTTTATAGGATAAAAAACTTGAAGAAGCATTAAAAAGTCTAATTGATTATATGGCTTATATTAAATTGCAAGAAAATATATTATCTCAAATTTCAAAAGAATCTAATAAAGATATCGTATGAAACTATATAAGAATTTCTAATATAATTTAATTATATTATAGAATTTAGAAGTAAAATTTCAAGAACTTTATACAAAGAAAAAAAAAGAATATGATTCTCAAAGTTCAGCTCAAAAATATTTTAAAAAAGACGAATACATTGATTTCAAGCAACGTATATTAAACGTCCATCGTAAAAATGCTCGAGATTTAACTATGGAATCCATATTTCAAGGTAATATTTATTTATTTTTATTTATCTATTTTTATTTTTAGAAACATTCATTTCAGATGACGAAGATATTGTTATATCTTATTTAGATCAAAATATAAAATGTCCTCTTACTATGACATATCTTGAAAAACCCTTAAAATCAAATATTTGTGGCCATTATTTTTCTGAACATGCAATTTTAGAGATTCTCAAGTCCAATAATGGAAAATATGCATGTCCTATAGTAGGTTAGTATTATTTAAATTTGAAACTTTCTAACAATGAAAAGGATGTAGCAAAATAATTGATAATAGTGTATTAGTTTATGACAAAATAATGGAACGAAGAGTTAATATAGCTAAAGAATTTGAAAAAGATTTTGATGAGTCTGAAAAAAATAAAGAATCTGGATATATAAATCTTGAATAAAATTGTCAATTCATCATAAAATACATGAAATAATAGGAAAAATGCTTAATTTTAATTACATTGTATTTTGAATAAATCTCATTAGCAAACTTACGATTTCACATACCAGCCATAACCCTTGCTTGAAATTTCTGAAGTTTATTAAGCAAATGATCACCTTGCTTTATTAATAACTGGTACTGTGCATTCTTACTATCTGGTCTGTTGGTTTCAATTATACCATTTACTCTATCAATAATACAATTTAATTGTTTATTAGCAATAAATCTTGATAAATCTTTATCAATAAATTCAACAGAAACACCAAATGCTGATGCCATTGAAGAAATAGACAACGCTTTATAGCTCTATGAATAACTAAGATGATTCAAGAAATTAAAGCTAAGTACAAACCTCTAACAATTGAGCATATGATTTTCTTTTCATTTCTCGAATATAATAATCAGCATGAAGAAAAATATATCTATCAACCCTAAGATAGTTTTCTTCTACTTCTGCAAGTGCTCGGAAGAAAAGCGCATAATTACAATAATATAACGAGTTGATCATATTTTTTAAAGATGTGAATGATTTATCAGTAATGATAATACCAAGCACTTCAGGTGAATCTACAATCTATTTACAATTAAATATATTTAGTAAAATATCCATTAATATAAAAACCTTTTGTTTAAAATCAACTCTTTCTAATGAAATAGAACCTGAAATCACTGTATATTTTACAAGATCCTCATATGTCATCAATTCAGTACTAGTAAATGTACTTATACTATCAAGAAAAAGACGAGTCGCTTCCTTAAAATTTCGTATACTAATATAATGAAGTCCCATATATGTTTTAAGTCTATTTTTCCGATCCCAATCTCCTCCATTATCAATAAGATTTCTTGCTTTATCCATATTACGAATAAAAAGTTGTGTATCTGAAAAAAACAGTGCAATTCTCATAATTCCAAATAATATATCAATCTGAAAGCCCGTAACCGTATTATTATACGCTTCTTGATATGATTCTAAAGCTTTTTCCTAAAAAATTACTATAAAACTCCAATTACCCAATTATTTTACTTTATCACAAATACGGGCATAAAATTCTGCTTTTTTTCTTAATATATCTGCAATTTCCTGTTCACCGTCCATCTCCTGAACTTTCTTAATTTCATTATCTAATTTCTCTAGCTCTTTATCATTCTCTGCCTTTAAATCATTATAAAGACATGCATCAAAAGGAAAAGATTGAATATGTTCATGAAGATAAAGATATAATGGTGCCAGATTTCCCTCTTTAATTGCACTTAATAATGATTCTGTAGCTTTTTTTTTTCGTTCCAAAGAATTAACATTTAAAATAACAAAAATATGATCTGCAAGACGCAAATCAGGAACAGGAGAAATAGGTATTTCCTTCATATTAAAAAGTTTAAGAAATATCTAGTTTTTTATAAACTTTTCAAAATTTTTTTTACGAACTTAAGATATAAAAATAGTTGATATTTTAGTTAGATAAATATATAGTTTTAAATATTGAATATAACCAAAAGTATTAAAGAAGTATAGATTTCCTTTATTTTAATAAAAATCAATAAGAACTAATAAAATATAAATAATATTTTAATAAAAAGAAAGAAAAAATATAAATTTATATTTCATAAATATTAGTTCTAAAAGCTTTAAGAGATCAATAGATAAGTCTAAAGATCAGGAAATCTATAAAGATAAAATACTCTAAAAATTAAAAAAAAAACATAACTTTAACCTTAATCGATATATAGAAGTACCAAATGTTATTTTAAAGAAAGATTAGTAAATTATATACTATTTATGAAAATATAATCCATAAAATATTCAGTTAAAATAATTATTATAAACCTCTTTTTTCAAATGCAAATGCAAGATAGAATCCTAATAAGAAAATTAATAAAACATAATAATAATAAAAAACTAACCAGCAGTATCCCATTCGTCATCAGAAATAAGTCTTTTTCCTTGATTATTAATTAAATTCATACGTTGAAGAAGCATTTTTATTTCATAATCCTTTTGTTCTTCAAAAAAAACATCATGAAATCGTTTACAATAAAGCATTTCTAAATCATAATCCAATGCAAGTCTAATTTTCTTAGCCAAATACAAAAAAAAGTAATATTACGCTCTAAAAGCTTCAAATGGTACAACATATTCAGGTATATCAGTAACTGCATCTTCAAGATAAAAACTATAACGATGTCCAAATGGTGGACGAAATTCACAAGTCAAAGGACTTATAAATTCAACTCTATAAATTGAATTCCTCCAGCCTTTTTCACCATTCTTTAACTTTTTAATCTTCTCAATAATAAAATCACTATTAGGTATAGTACCAATAAATTTCCCACCACGTAAAAGACTTTTTGATACATTAGAAAGCATTTGATGACATTTTTCCTCTGTCTCAAATGCATAATGCATACAAAACTGCATACTCACTATATCAAATTTTCGTTCATCTGGTGGAAGAATTGTCTCAAGAGAATACATATAACAATCTAAAACATAAAATTTCGCTACAAAATTAAGATTTTTCATTTTTCTAAATCTTTCCCGAGCTTGCATAATAGATACCTCTGCTGAATCAATACCTATATATCCTGCAATTCCTGCTTTACTCCATTTCAAAAGATCCCCTCCTTTTCCACATCCAATATCTAAAACAACTAAATATATGTCCTTAGGAAACTCTTTTGTAAATTTTCTAATTAATGCTGATTTAACCCAATTATTAAAATTCTTAAGACCAATAATTGGGGATCTTTCACGCCTTTTCTTCCCTACTTCAGGACGCTCATTATAATATTGTCTTACAACATCACTAACATTTTCATTTTGAATATCTCTCTTTACTTCATTCATACGAATTCTTTCTCTTTCATATCTACGGTCCATATCTGTTTGTTCTCTCACAATACTAGGTGTTTTATATTTCTTATAAGGCTCTTCTTGCTTATTTAAAGGTTCCTCATCTTTCTTAATATCTTTTAATATCTTTTCAGATGTTTCCTCAATTTCAATCAGCAACATATTATCTTTGTGCCATATATTCTACTTCTTTTATTATTTCTAAGCAATTGTACTCTTTATCAACATGAAATGGACGTTTTCTAGCCTTAAACATCCTTTCTTGAGGATCTAAAGAAACTTCTTTAGATAACCTTTCTATTGTTCTTTGATCTTCACTTTTTATTCCTCTTTCTAATAAACATTTTCCTGAATTATCCTTCTGTGGACGGTCTTCAGGTTTTTCAGGTTCTTCAGGGTCTTTAGGGTCTTTAGGCTCTTTAAGCTCTTTAAGCTTTTTAGGCTCTTCAATATACATTTATCTATTATTTATTATCTATTATCTACATTTATTGATATTATTAGGCTAAAAAATCTATTTAATTCATATTCTAATTAATAATAAATATATTCTTGAGGGGGTTGAAGATAGGCGAGATGGCCGAGTTGGTCTATGGCGCTGTGTTAAGGTTATTACAGTTCCGCAGTGGGAAACCGCGTGGGTTCGAATCCCACTCTCGTCAATTGTTTTTATAAGGAACAAGATCTTAAGGGTTTCTTAATAAGAGCTTTAAATTTTCTAAGACAGAAGTTTTTTATTTATAAAAACAGATATTTAATCATAAATTAATAAAATAGAACCAAAACGTTAAGATTTTATATAAAAACATTAAACAACTTTGAAATATTAGGGAAAATGAGAAATGGTTCTTAAAGTTCAAAATCCAAACAATGTTAAGGTGTATACGGTTTGTGGAGAAGGAGCATCTAGATCTTTACCGGAATGGTTTATTAGAAAAAAGAAAAAAGAGTTAAAAAAAGATCCAGAATGGACATCTAGGATTGAACTTTTACAAGATTTTGAGTTTCCAGAAGCAAGCAATAAAATCAAAGTAACACCAGATAAGAAATATACTATTGCAACAGGGACATATAAGCCTCATATGAAAGTCTATGAGTTTTCAGAAATGTCAATGAAATTTAGTAGATATACGAATGCAGAGAATGTGAATTTTGAAATTTTATCAAGTGATTGGACCAAAACGGTTCATTTGCAACAAGATCGTTCTATAGAATTCCATACACAAGGAGGGATGCATTATCGTCTTCGAATTCCTAAGTTTGGAAGGGATATGGGGTATCATTTTCCTACATGTGATTTATTGATTGCAGCATCTGGAGATGAAGTGTATAGATTGAATCTTGATCAAGGACGTTTTTTACGTCCTTTTAAGATAGATAGTTTAGCGGATGATGGAGAAGGAACAAATAAAATGGGAGTTAATACTGTAAATATTAATCCAATACATCAACTTTTTGCATTTGGAACAGATAATGGAACGGTTGAATTTTGGGATCCTAGATATAGGTCAAAAATTACTACATTAGATGTTTGTGCATCATTGAATCCTTTATTTCATAAAAAAATAGCCGAAATAACAGCTACTAGCTTTAGACATGATGGATTAACGTTTTCTGCAGGCACATCAACAGGAATTGTATTATTATATGATTTAAGAAGCCCTCAAGTTTTGTTACAAAAAGATCAAGGATATGATAGTCCAATAAAATCTATAAATTGGCTAAAATCAAATGATTCAGCCTCGCAATTAATTTTAACATCTGATAAAAAGATTATAAAAATATGGGATAAAAATTCAGGAAATCCATTTACATCAATTGAACCATCTGTTGATATTAATGATGTATGTCCTTTAGATTTTACAGGTATGATATTCGTTGCTAATGAAGGTGTTCCAATGCACATATATTATATTCCTGCTTTAGGACCTGCTCCTTCATGGTGTTCTTTCTTGGATAATTTAACAGAAGAAATGGAAGAAAATCCAATTGGAAATATTTATGAGAATTATAAATTTTTGACAAAAAATGAATTAAAATCTCTTGGTTTAGATCATCTTATTGGTTCCAACATAGTTCGTAGTTACATGCATGGGTTTTTCATTGATTTTCGTCTTTATGAAACGGTTTTCTTCTTAATCATTATTATCAAAATCATTAATAATTTATAGGCAAAAAGTATTATGAATCCTTTTGCATATGTAGAATATCGTGAAAAAGCTATCAAGGATAAAATTGAAAAAGAAAGACAATCTCGTATACGTTCTTCAACAAAACTTACTAAAATTAACCATAATTTGGCCCAACATCTATTACATAAAGAAGAAAAAGAAAGGAAGAAAAATAAAGTAAATTAAATCACTTTAAAATGATTCATTTTAATATTAAATTTAGGGCAAAGGTGGACCTAGTATTCTTGAAGATGAACGTTTTAAGGATGTTTTTAATGATCCTGAATATGAAATTGATGAGAATACTGTAGAATTTATGCAATTAAATCCTGTACAATCTGTAAGTTCTTTTACTTTTTTTAATTTATTATATAAATTCCTTAGACAAAAAAATATGAAAATTCAAAAGCCATAAGTAGTTCAGAAAGTGATAAAGCATCTATTGCATATTCATTTTCTGAAACAGATGACAATTCTGATCAAAGCGAGGATGCAGATTCTTATCAGAAACCAAAAAATATAAAATTAAAAGACGAAGACCAAGAAACAAGAATGAAAATAATTGAATATTATCAACCATCATTTAATACAACACAAAATGAATCATTTGAAACATTAATCAAAATGCATGAACAAAACAAAGAAACGGAAAAAAAAAATGGTTTAATCATTAATAATATTAAAGGAAATATAAATGGCACAGGAAATATGGAAATGACATTTTCAATACCTAAAAATAATAATAATAATAATTTAAAAAACAAACATTCTACATTAGAAACAAACGATAATAATTTAAAACAAGCAACTCGACGACGTGCAAGCAAAAATGCATTTCGAAAATTGTAAATAAAATATTATACATCATATTATAATTTTTTCACAATTATACATTTACAATATCTATTCATATTTTATATTCATATTTATTCTTTTAAGAGGATTTTTCTGGTTTTAATGTTGCAACTTTAAATTTCTCCGGTCGATCATCTACACCTTCTCCTACTTGATCCCATGCACTAGTCCCACCACTAAAATCTCTAAAAGCTTGCGTCATTTCAAGTGGCTCAACTACTATTCTTTTTTTCTCTTCATCGTATCGAATTTCCGTATATCCTGTTAAAGGAAAATCCTTTCGTAGTGGATGTCCCTCAAATCCATAATCCGTTAAAATCCTTCGAAGATCCGGATGATTAACAAAAAAAATTCCATACATATCATATGCCTCCCTTTCATACCAATTCGCTCCTTGAAATAATTCAACTATACTAGGCACATGTGTTGTTTCATCCGCATAAACTTTTACTCGAATTCGTGAATTATATCGGACACTTAACATATTATAAACAACTTCAAATCGATTTTCTCGTTCTGGATAATCCACTCCTGCAATATCCATCACACTTTTAAATTGACAACTTGTATGATCACGTAAAAAATACATAATTGGAATCAATCCTTTAACTGACGTATAAATAACTAATTCATCTTTCCATACTGAAAATTGTTGAACAAATTTAGGTAAACAACTCATAATATATCCTCCATAACTATATAATCGCTCCTTCTCTTTATCTGGTCCTAACGTTTTCTTTTTTTCACTCTCATTTTCAACTCCTTTTAATGATAATAATCCATTATGATTGGTATGAAAATAGGTTATTAATAATCTCTGTTTTAACCTTATATTAAGGCATTTTGACACTGAAAATACTGACTTAAACCCTTGAAGATACATATAGATATAAAGTATTTTTTTAATATTTTTTTGAAACGTAATATCGAGGGTTTTAACCCTTGTCGATAAAAAATCCACGTAAAAAGCAACGACCAAGATTTTTAATATACAAAGACTTAAGAAAAACATGTCTAGACAACATCAAGATTCATATATTTCAGATGATAATGAAGATATTGACTGGTAAGTATTTATAGGTTTTTTATTTCATGAAAAATAAATGAATATTTAGTCCTCTCTGTATGGAAGAGATGGATCTTTCAGATAGGAATTTTAAACCATGTCCATGTGGTTATCAAGTATGTCGTTTTTGCTGGAACCATATTAGAAAGGTGAATTTTGTGTATAATAAGGTATTTTTTCGATATTTAAAGTACGGATATAGGATTTGAATGGACGTTGTCCAGCATGTCGTCGACCGTATTCAGAAGAAACGATTGAGTTTAAGCCATTAACAGCAGAAGAGTAAAGAGGATAAGATAGATATTTTTAAGGGATATTAAGATTATTAGATGGAAAATGGATCAATATCGAAAAAATCAAAGAAAACAAAAAGACCGTGAACGTAAAGAGATTGATACGGTTAATCGGAAGCATTTAGCGAATATACGTATTGTTCAGAAGAATTTAGTTTATGTGATAGGACTTTCACCGAAAACGGCGAATGAAGAGCTTTTACAAACGTTAAGAGGGCACGATTATTTTGGACAATACGGAAAAATTCAAAAAATAGTGATTAATAAGAAAAATGCATCACATCCGAATGGATCGGGGAGTCTTGGTATATATATTACATATTATAGAAAAGAAGATGCAGCTAAAGCGATTGCTGCGGTTGATGGAAGTCTAAATGATGGAAGAATATTACGTGCATCATATGGAACAACGAAATATTGTTCTACATATCTTCGTAATCAACCATGTCCTAATCCGAATTGTATGTATTTACATGAGCCTGGAGAAGAAGCGGATAGTTTTACACGTGAGGATCTTTCGACATTGTATGTTTTTTTTTTTTTTTTTACTTTTAATGAATTTTACTAAACCAAAAACAGTCAATATACAGCAAAATCTACTCAAGTTGCATCTCCTAAAGATATGAATACATTATCAGGGTCATCGCGTCCTTTAAGAATGACAGAAACCATTTCTTCTAATGAATTATATAATTCTAATGAACACGAAGGCTCTGCTTTGCCTCCTACAGTTTCATGGGCTACTAAAAACTTATCTTCTCAGACACCCTTATTACAAAAACCATTGGCTCAATCAAATAAACCATCTACAAATGGAACATCTCAAAAAATACTATCTCCGCCACCAAAGCATACTTCTATAGCTACATCACCGATTACTTCAGTATTAAAAACAGATACAACCGTTTTTCTTGATAAAATCCTAGAGAATTTATGTACAGGTCATTTTAAGTTCATTTTTTCTTCTACAATTTTATCTTCGGAAGATTTACAAGCAGCACAAACAATACTTCCACTTTTTACATTTAATCCTGAAAATGGTGCGAAAAAATCCGAAGCAGAAGCTCGATTACAAGAAAGAAATAATGGATCTAAGAATACTAATTTTCGTTCATCCTCTTGGTCTCACAGTTCATCTCCTGTCATGACTGAAGAAAATATTTATAAAAGACAAGTACCTCGTCATGATCTATATAATGAAGAAGGAAATAATCGACTTATTCAAGAAACAAGAAGAAATAATCAAAAATATCATCAAGGACTTGTACCAACATCTCTTTCTCCAGGTATAAATTCAGCACCAATCATGTATCCTCGAAATACAATTCCTTTGACCAATGATACAAATTTTAGCCCTGTAAATACAGAAATTATTACAAAAACCTCAACTCCTCCAGGAATATATACTCAAGGCATGCATCCACATAATTATATGAAAAAGGATTCTGATACAAGATTTATGAGTCCTTCACATGAGTATCTTAACAATATGGGTAGACAATCAGTATCTTTAGGATCTTTACATCATGATCAAGGAATTCATACATTTCAAACTGGAGTTACTAATACAAAAACTATCAACTCAAGTTCATAAATTACATATGATTCTGTTTTTCAGATTCTAATATCCAATTTCAAGAATATAATCCATTATTCATGTGTATGTATATGCACCATATATAGTCTTCATTAATAATTTTTGGATTTATATTTTTTAAATTAATTAAACTACCAAATTTTATACATACATATATATCTATTTCTCCATTTAACACTTATATAAAATATCCCCAAATTTTTATAATTAAAAATTCAATAAAAGAATAAACTCATTCAATATTTTATCAATAATAAATCATTTGTATAATACTTCAATTATATAACATAAATAAAATGCTATACTTCTTTTTAAAAATATAATCAAAAAAAAACATCAAACATAAATGTACTATTTTAAAATTAAAAATATAATAAATAATTAGAAAAACTATGCCTTCTTTAATAAAAATCACTTTTAATAATTTCCATCCAGCATTTATAATTTTATTACAGAGACCTATTCGAAGAATATCAAAATCATATTATCATCTTATATACCAAATCCAAATATTTCCATATTAATTGTATATACATATTTTCATGAAAGAATATACTTTTTCTATATAAAAAAGATTATCAATCATCCTCTACTATTTGTTCAAAGTGATACCGAGATCGTTTCCAACTCTCTTTAGTCATTCCTTTACCACTTCCAATAACTCCCACTTTACCACCAAACTCTTCTGGGCTACGAAAAATACTTTTTTCTCCAATACGCTCAACTTTTCCCGTTCTTCCCCGTTTAACTCCCTTTTGTGAAAATGTTTGCCATACACGCTGCCCCGCAATTAATTCATCTTTTGCCTTAATATTTTTCTGCTTTTTAGGCGGTAATGGCGGCGCATTTGCTACTGATGGTGGCGGTGGTGGCTTTTCTTGTTCTATCTCTATAGCCCTCTTTTTTCCTTCTGATATAGGCTTAACATGATACGCCTGTAAAGTTTCAATCGTATTATACTCAAGAAACTTAACCGTATAAACTGTATTTGTTGATGATCCTGTCACCGACGTAATCTTTGCTGGATAAAATGCATTGTCTCCTGATACCCATCTAGCCATTACTGTCTCACCTGTTTTATATGTCTCTGTATATTCATATCGTACCTGACTATAATTCTTTGTATTTGTTGTTGCTTCTTTAGCTTGTTCTTCAAAATATCTCTTGGTAAGTGTAATTAAATCGGTTAATTCCACCTTTAAATCCTTAAGTTCTTGGTTATCTGGATCTTGTGAAAGTGCTAAATTAACACTATCTAATTGATATTGATATTGATTTAATTCAGCCTTATCTAAGACCATTTTTTAATAAATTATTAACTTTTGCATTAATTTTTGATAAATTTTTTAAATTTTTTAACGTAAAATTTAAATATTTTTAAAAAGTATTAAGAAAAAAATAATTTTTATTAAGATTTCTTAAGATTTTTCTTAAGATTTTTTAATGAATTTAAGGTTTTTTTAAAAAAAAGTTAAAATTATTAAGAAAATCTTAAGAAAAAATTTTCAGTGATTAATTTTTAAAGAAGATAAGATAGAATGGAGGTAAAGATAATATTTATATGAAATAAGAATATATTAAGGTATAAATAGGAAAGTTATATATTAAGATTAGAAGAAGTTCTTAAATCTACACTTTCATGTAATAGTCATGAAATATTTAATGCGACGAAAATATTGAAGAATGAATATTTTATGGAATCAAAGTCATTAATTGGATTATTGCATATTATGCAAACGTCAGAAAGTCCACAAGTAAAAAGGAATTAATTTTTTTAAAAAAGTCTAATTAATATGGAAGATTCGTCAATTGGCAGCAATTGAAGCACGTAAACTTATTAGTATATTTTGGGAAGATTTAGATAAATCATTAAAGAGTGAAATAAAGAAATCGCTTCTTCAATCGATAGTTTTGGAGCCAATATCAATTGTTCGACATTCATCGGCACGTGTTATTTCATCTATAGCAAAAATAGATTTACCGATTGAAGAATGGCAAGATCTTCCTATATTTATACATCAAGCATCAATGTCGAATAATTTTTTGGATAGGGAGACGGGTTTATATATATTATATGTTTTATTTGAAATTATAGAAGAAATGTTTATTGATAAAATGGAGGAACTTTTTTCATTACTTAAATTAACGATTAATGATAAAGAAAGTTATGATGTTAGGGTTACAACGCTTATGATTCTTGGAAAAGTGGGGGAAATTATTGATAGAGATGATAAACAAAATATTAAATCATTTCAAGAAATTTTTCCGTCTATGTTTTTAGTTCTTAAAGAAACAATTGAATCTAACAATGAAAATTCTCAAAAAAATGCATTTGAAGTTTTTAATACGTTATTGATATGTGAAGGAGCATTAATATCGAAAGCTATTAAAGATTTACTTGAATTTATGGTTCAAGTAGCATCAACAACAAAGCTAGACGACTCTGTTCGATGTATGGCATTGAACTTTCTCATTACATGTTCTAGATAGTATGTGTTAATTTTATTTTTTATATATTATAACGATTTTAACAGTCGGAAAAATAAAATTCAAGCGTTAAAGCTTGGCCCTCAACTTATCCTTAGTATGTTGTTAATAGGAACGGAAGAGGATACAGGTTCACCAGATGATGATTCACCCTCTCGTCTTGCATTTAGGTGTATCGATATTCTTTCTATTTCTTTACCTCCATCGCATGTATTTATTCCTCTTATGAATTATATACCTCAATATTTGCAATCCGAAAACCCAGCATATAGAAAATCTGCATTGACTGCACTTGGAGTAGCCATTGAAGGTTCTTCTAATTTTGTGTCGACACAATTTTCATATTTACTTACATTAATTATTATTGGATTAAAAGATAATCATCAAATTGTAAAACGTGCGGCACTATTAGCATTAGGTCAATTTGCAGATGAACTTCCTGAAGAAACGTCGGAAAAGCATGCAGAATTAATGCCTATTCTCCTTGAACTTATATTAGATTCTCATGAAGAGACTAGAAAATCTGCACTCAATACACTTGATGCATTATTAGAGTCTCTTGACGCTGACAGTATTTCTAATTATTTTTCTTGTATTATGGAAAGATTGTTAGGATTATTTCAATCAAACTCAGTACTTGAAATTAAGTCTACTGTTGTTGCTGCAATTGGAAGTGCTGTATATGTTGCAAAAGATCAATTTATTCCATACTTTGAACGAACTATTGAATGTTTTATACCAGTTTTAGAGCTAAAGGATTCAGAAGACGAATTAGAGCTTCGAGGTATGGTTACAGATACTTTAGGAACAATTGCAGAAACTGTTGGGAAAGAAAAATTTGCACCTTATATTGAATATGTTGTTCAAAGTGCATATAAAGGAATGCAAATAGATCATCCTAGATTACGTGAATGCTTGTTTTGCTTTTTTGCAATTTTAGCTCGACTATACAAGCATGAATTTGCACCGTTTCTTCATGTAGTAGTACCAGCGTTAATTCAATCATTGGATAAAGATGACTCTGATGATATATATAAAGATAGTGATGATAATGATAGTATAAAAAATTTTGATGATGACAAAGATGATACATTACTTGATATGTCAAAAGTCAATTCTGCAATTACTATGGAAAAAGAAATTGCTGCAGATGCTTTAGGAGAAATATGTTCTCATACTAAGGAATTATTTATTCCATATCTTGAAGAGAGCAAAGAAAGGCTTATTAATTTATCCGCACATTTTTATGAAGGAGTTAGGAAGGCTGCTATATCAAGTTTATGGAGATTTATAGCCACTCTATATAATATAAGTAATCCACAACAATGGCTTCCAGGATTACCATTGGTATGACTAGATAAGCATTTGTATTTATCTCATTTTATATAGAAAATTCCACTTCATGCAGATATTGATAAGTTTGCAACTTCTGTAAGAGATATAACTATGGAAATTTTAGAAGATGAAAGTGAAAGGTAATGCAATTCTGATATTTTCTTTTATAATTACTATTATTTAATGATGAATATTTTCGTTTACCCAGCTCACTCAGATACATAATTGTAATGATGTGAAAACGAAATTATGCTAAATAATATTCCTGATAATATATCTATTATATTTATTCTTTAAATCAGAATTTAGCTAACTACTTAAAGACTTGTCGTTATAGAAATTTGTCAAAACATTTCAGAAACCTTGAAAGTTTGTGGTCCTGGAATTTTAGGAAACAGTGAATGTAAGAATATTTTAAAAATATTTATTATTGTTAATATGAGATTTAGCAATACAAAAAATATCTGAACATATTCTTAAAATCTTAAAAAAACAACATATATGTCAATTAGACGAAGAAGATATAGATAATTTAATTAATAATAATGAGAATGATGATTATGTTGAAAGCGATGATAAAGATATTTCTGAATATGACGCATTGCTTATAGATTCCGCCATAGACGTTTTGATTTCTATATCGCATGTTCTTGGAGAAGAATATTCTCAAGCTTTTGGATTTTTTCTACCTCATATACTTAAATATTATGTAGGTTTATTATTATTATTATACAATTATTTTTGATGGTGCTATAGGAGAGTGAAACGGCAAATGATAGATCTATGGTGATTAGTGGTCTTGGTGAGATTATTGATGGATTAAAGGCAGGTATTACTCCATATACGGAGGTATGTATTCTTATTTATTTATTTTTACTTGTATCAACATTTCGTTAGCAAATATTTCATATTTTCATGAAGGCACTTGATGATAATAATGAAGAAATTAGAAGCAATGCAGCATGTTCTATGGGTCTTTTGTGCCAATATTCTAAATATGATTTAACAAGTCAATATATGACAATATTTTCAAAACTTCAATCTCTATTTTCTAATAATAATCACAAAAATGCTAAAGATAACGCAATTGGATGTGTATCTCGATTGATCATTTCACAACCTGCATCTGTTCCTCTTACACAAATATTACCTCTTTTGGTCTCTTTTTTACCTTTACAAAATGATTATTCGGAAAATTTTCCTGTGTATTCTGCTATTCTGAAATTGTATAAATTAAATGACATAAATATCATTTCATTAACAGAAAGGCTTATTCCAATTTTTGCTACTGTTTTAGGACCACCTGAGGAACAACTTACAGAACCTATAAGAAATGAATTAATAGAACTCGTTAGAGCATTAAATACTAATTATTCAGAAATTATCAGTCAATATCCTTGTCTATTAAATGCTATACGATAATTTTCAATATTAATACATATTTCTTAATCTTTTTAGATATTTAATATATATATTTTATATATATTTTATATATTACACAAATGGTATCATAAAATCATTTAACCTTTATAATCACATCTAAACGCTTTTCTCTTAATAATGTCATCAATAATATATACGACATATATATCATTAGATATTTTTTTAATATTTAAAGTTTTTTATAATAAATAACTTAATACAGTTAAAATAATATTTAATAAATCTAATTTTTAAATAAATTTACTACTTATTATTCATATTCTACTCATTTTATTCAAATTTCATCTAAATAATTTCATATTTCATTAGGTGATGCTTGAAGATTCTTAATTTTTTCTTGCATAATCTCTGTAACTGCTACATATAATCAATTTATACATCTTTTAACCTATAAATAATTAATTTACCTCTTAAACTACTTGATTTCGTATTAAGATGCGTTTCTAAGTCCTGGAAATTCGTTTCTAAATACTTTATTCTCTCATCATAAAACTTTATTGCTCCATCAATAGTCTATATATTTTAAAAAAATACATAAAACTACCCTCAAAAAAACCTTTTCAACATAATATCCCGTACCAATATCTACCATAACCTTTTCCGGCTCTGAAACTAAAAATCCTGAAACATATAATGACGTTGTTAATGGTATTAATATTTCTTTATCTATCCCTTTTTTAACAAAATAAAAAACTTATATATATAAATATATACTGTTATTCTCCTTTTTTAACAACGTATTAACCAGTTTCTTACATTCTTTAAACTTAAACTGGGCTTGTTTTAACTTTGAAAAACTATTTGTAAAGTAATTTAACTCTAATTCTATTTGTTTACGTATTTCATCTAATTGAGGTATTGTTAAGGATTTTAAGTCAATTTCTTAAGATTATTAGTAATTTCTTAATATTTTATTTATCATTTTTACCTTTCTGCTCCATCTTAGTTTTTTTTTAACGTTCTAACAAGTTTAAAATATTTAAATAAGAAAATGGAGGAGGATAAAGAAGAATTAAAGGAAAATAAAGATGAAATCTTAATTCTAGACGTAAGATTAACTAATAATATCTTTTTAATGGAAAAAAAAGGCTAATTTTTTGATAATAGAAGATACAATTATTATTAAAAAGAACACAAGAACTTTTCTCTTTAGAATATCAATTTTGTTCAAATATAGATGATGAAACAAGGTATTTATAAGGGATTATATAAATATATATTGAGTGGATATTGAATGATAATGTTTTTTTAGTAAAAAAGCCAAGATTAATTATAAAATAAAGACAGAATATGAAAATGTAAAGGAATTGCCGCAGAGCGTTATTGATAAACAAAAGAAATATGTATCAGAAGAGGAGAAGAATAAGGAGAGAAAGATAGAAAATGGAGGTTTTTGTATTTTTGTAGAAAAATATGTTAAATTAATTTTATAAGATGAAGATGAAAAGGGATCAAATAAAATGCTTGAAAAGATTATTTCAGAGACACATGAGTATTATTTGAATGAAAATAGTATGAAAATGATAATTTTTATGTATAGAAATGATAATAAAGATTTAATGGCATTAACACTACCAGTTAAAACAGATTTATCTAAGTCATTAAGTCATGTACAAAAAAATACACAAAATAAGCAAACATCAAGTCTTATACGAAGGGAAAATGTTAAACCTATTGTACAATGTTTTATTTAATTTTTTTTTGGCTAATATTTTTTTAAGAAACCAGAATGGCATGCTCCATGGAAATTAATGAGAGTAATTTGTGGACATTTTGGGTGGGTAAGAGCAGTAGCAGTAGAACCGGGGAATAAGTGGTTTGTTACGGGATCAGGAGATCGAGTTATAAAAGTTATTTTTATAAGACTATATTTATTATTTTTAATTAAAATTAGATTTGGGATCTTGCATCTGGTACTCTAAAATTATCATTAACAGGTCATATTTCAACTATTAGAGGTCTTGCGGTATCATCTAGACATCCTTATCTTTTTTCATGTTCAGAAGATAAAATGATTAAATGTTGGGACTTAGAAACAAATAAAGTAATTAGACATTATCATGGATCTCTTAGCGGCGTTTATTGTTTATCTTTACATCCTACGTTAGATGTTCTTTGTACAGGAGGAAGGGATTCTGTTGTAAGAGTTTGGGATATGCGTACTAGAAACAATGTTCATGTACTTTCTGGACATAATCAGACAATTGCAGATGTAAAGTGCCAAGATGTAGATCCACAAGTTATTTCTGGATCTATGGATTCTACAATCCGTTTATGGGATTTAGCAGCTGGTAAAACTATGACTGTATTGACGAATCATAAAAAAGGTGTAAGAGCTCTTGTTCTTCACCAAAAAGAATTTAGTTTTGCAAGTGGAAGTGCAGATAATATCAAACAATGGAAATTTCCTGAAGGATTATTTATGCAAAATTTTGAACAACACAATGCTATTATAAATACATTATCATTAAACGCTGATGACGTTATGTTTGCTGGTGCAGATAATGGATCTATGTCGTTTTATGATTGGAAATCGGGATATAAATATCAAACATTAAATACAATTGTTCAGCCAGGATCATTAGAAAGTGAAGCAGGAATTTTTGCAAGTACATTTGACAGAACAGGTCTTCGTTTAATTACATGCGAAGCAGATAAAACAATTAAAGTTTATAAACAAGATGAAAATGCCACAGAAGAAACCCATCCACTTGAATGGAAACCATCACTTACGAGAAAAAGGTATTAATTTTTTTAATATATTTTGTCATCATTTTTGTATAAAATGCATATAATTTTTACTATAATTTATGCATAATATTACTATTTGTATATTTTGATATATTCATCATCTCAAATGATTATTCAAAGCCATTTTTTACAAAAAGAACATATATATCCTTGGATAACTGATAAAACTTATCAATTTATAAAACCAGTTTATTCTTTAAAAGTCATTCTTTAACATTTATATATTCCATAATCCATTGTTATTCCTTATTATGCAAGGATTTAAGAAAAGGGCCAATGGAATAATGAGATTCGTCCTGCCATTAATGATAAAAGCAAGAATTACGGCCCTTATTATTATCTGGTATACGTCATACAGGAAAATTAGCAGCAGGATGTCTTAGATATTAAAAAGCAGTTGCTTGTCCATGGATCTAAGCAGAAAAAATTGATCAACATGTCAGAAAATATTCATTCTCTAGAAATATATATCCATTGCTATTAAATTATGGGAATTTTAATGATAGTTGCTGCATTGGTATTAACAACATTATTGTTCATAGCATTCCTGATAAGTAAAGCTAACTTAAATTAAATACATAAAGAAATATATTGCATTCATGAGATATTGTAAATATAGATATTTTATTTTTTGTAAAGCACTCTGATGATCCAAATAAATATTTCCATGGAGATATATCATCAACTTTTAGTATTGAAGAGATATTTAAAAACTCTAAAAGACCAATTTAGTATACAAAAATAGATTAATAGCAGGAATTAATACATACATACCCAAAAAATCATTTAGTGTTATTAGAAAAGCAATAGATGGTATTGCAAAAGAATATGAATTTAAAGTTAGAAATTGTCTAATGAGGTATGTTATAAGACGAAAATCTCATTCATTTTCGTTTATTTTTCATCATTATAAGATTTCCTCCATATATAAATATAATACCTAGGATGATATTTATGATTAAACCACGTTTTTATGAAAGAGACACATATGATCCAATTTTATATGAAAATGGATGATTAATATCATCATTTGATGGCAGTCGATGTACTCAATTTGAACGTTGTATTTTAATTACAAATGATGTTGAAATTTTAACATAAATTATTTTTTAATATATTTCCCAAAAATTTACGACATATATAAATGATTATATTCTTCTAAGAGTGAATTCTCATCAGTAAAGTTAAGTTCTTGTCGCAAAACTGTTGTCAAAACCCATTCCATATTATAAACTAAAGGAACTTCTCCTGCTTCTTTTCTTTTTTCAATAAAATGTTTTAAAATCCTTACATCTGAAATATTAGATATTAATATAGGGATGAGTTCGTATTCTATCTGATTCTTCCGAGATATAGCTAGTGTACAGACCCCTCCATTTACTTCTATAATTTCTTTTATAGTATCTATTCCATTACTATAATTCGACACAGCCGCTGGAGAAATTTGTAATAAATATCCTTTAAATAAGGAATGTTTATTATTACGCGCTCTATCTAAAGAATCCAAAAGTTTAAAATTATATTTCAGTTCAGATTCAGGATCAATTAAAAAATAATTATTTTCATCTAATAAACAATTAAAATCAATATAATCAATGATATATGAACATACCCACAATCTTTCCTTCTTTAAGGCATGTTTCAATCCAATCCACAGATAATATTTTAGGAACATAAGAAAGTGCAGATAAAAATTTCTGAGTTCGTTGAATTCTAGAAGCAACAAGATGTGTACAGTCTTTAGCGTCTTGAACAGTAGCTATTCCTATAGTAAGCAAAGCCTTTTATCGTCAATAATATATTTAAAAACATATTAATAACCTTTTCCATTTGATTATCCCAATCCTTATATCCTGTTACTAAAATTCGGATATTATAATCTCTAAAATCCTTATTTGTTGGAAAAGGTTTGGCTATAGTCTTTCTTTTAACACTAAATTAACTTTAAATACTATTTAAGGAATAAATGTTTAATCTTACGAGACTTGATTATTCTTTAGATCTTTAAATTCAATAGATATTTCCTTGAGCTTTTTTTTTGAATTTATTATGTCCTCAGAAGAATCAATAAATGTTTTTCTTTTGCATTCTTTTTGATATAATAAAACATCAGGCATTATTTCATTATGAAGCCTCTCTAAAGCAACAGTAGCTGCCCTTCTTTTATGGAAAGGCGGAGGATTTTCTTTTGTTGAATCACAATTAGATACCTGAAAAGAAGATTCATTATCACTATGAACCTGTAGACCAAAATTATCCAAAGTTGATGTCATATCTAGTGAAGACGAAAAAGAATCCAATGGCAATTCATTATTATTTAACGAGATATTGTTTGAATGTTTTAATAAATTCGATTCCTTAAGGGGGGATTTTTCTTCAACAAGGACATTACTTACATCTTTATAAATAAGCTTTATTACATCCAAATCTATAGGTGTATTTCCAACAATTTTCATGAAGCTTGTTTTAGGAGGGAAATAAATATAACGAGGTGTTGTAATATTTTGAAGTTTCCATTCTGCATATGTTTCTTCTAGCCAAAGATGATTCACTATATGAATATTCCATTCCAACGCAGCCGAATATTTTTCTCCAAATTCACTGTTCAATAAATAACCATTGATACAAAATAAAGTTAATAATACCATGGAATTATCAAATGTGTATTACTAGGTGTCATATTTTTCGTAAAAGTTGCACCTAGAGCTTTAATAAGCTTTTCAAGATATTGTCGAGATTCCCCTTGATAATTTGAAATAGTAATAACCTAATAATAAGATTATAAAAAAACAAATCAAGAAAAAAGAGGCAGAGATCTCTACCATTTTATGCATTTCTGGAAGACCAGCTTTTACAATAGGATAATGCAAAAGATTTAGTTCTGGATTGGCCCATGTTTCATATACATACATCCAATAAAGCCACGTTAAATTACCAATAATAATTCCTCGGTGAACTGCCTTAATACACTGTTAAAACAAGCATTGAACATAATAATAACAATTACTTGAATATATTCATTTCCTTCTCGATACATCCCAATAAAAACAGTAGCATTTTGTATGGACGATACAAGTATTGCACCCAAACCGAGAACTATTGTTTCAATGGTATGTAGTAAATTTTCATTGATTTCCAAATCTTTTGAAAAAAATATTTTTTTATTTTTCAAAACTTGTTTTGTAAATTTCAAAGGAGTTTCATTCAATTTTTCAACAGAATCGTTTATTTTTTCTATCATAGGAGACAAAACTGGATCTGTTTTGGTTCGATTTTCATCAAAAATATAATTTGTTAATAAATAAGGCGTTTCATCAACACGTTGTCGTTGTTTTAAACAATTATTAAACCTAATCATTTTAAACTTGGTTTCTATATATAAAAAAACCCATACCATTCCGGTGAAAGTATTTTTATTCCAAGTTCCGGTCTTTTTAAAACTTGTCTACATGTTTGCTAAAATTCTAATTGGTTTTCCGCCTTTTTTTAAAAAATACATATCAAACTTACATTATTTATATCTAATGCAATAATATGAGTAACATTTTTTGATAAAACTTCTGTACACTGTCCTCCCAGTGCCAAAACCCCTTCATGAATTGCATTTAAATCTCCATTTGAAAGCTTATATCATTTTTAATTAACATTATCACTTATTCATCCCAATTCACCTCAATACATATAATAACCACTCCTGTAAAGAAATACCGAGGATCTGCTGAGAAATATTTAATACTATATATAATACGTTATAAACTGATAATATATATATATATAAAACAACTTTTGAAGATGTTTACGTCGAATTGATGCTTCTACCCATTTCACCTAAATACCCATCAATACTAAACCTTTCCTTAACATAAAATATTAACATTGACAATCGGAATTCCCTTTTTCTCCATCAAACGGGTCGTTTTCCTATTAAAATCCGTCGTAATAATATGTGTTACCCGTGAATTGTCATCTGGAAGCGTTGCTCGTGTTCCACCATATTTTATAAGTTCCTCATCAATATCTGGTGCAAACCCATCGAGATAAAATATAACATCCTTAAATATCGTCATTTAACCAGTTATACACGTCGTATACCGCGATTTATCATAGAAAGCTTATAATAAAAATCCAAAATCCTATAAATATAAAATCCTATAAATTTAAAAATAAATTTTAAATTTATAAGCATACGACGTGTAGAATAATAAAAATTCTGCTAATATAAAATATAAATAAGTTGTAAATAGACGTAAAATAAGCTGAAAAAAAAAACAATATTTGATAAAACTTTAAAGACTAACTTAAGCAGCCTTAATATTCCCAAAACTTAATTTCGGACACAAAGTTGTCCCTTATATATGCCTCCACTGTGGATTGAACACAGGACCTTAGCATTACAAGTGCTACGCTACTACCACTGAGCTATAAAGGCATTGCTTAAGGGTTGCTGTGTATAATTTATAAGTTTATTATTTTTAAAGATGCCTCGAGTAGGAGTGCTTGTGATGGGACCAGCAGGCAGCGGAAAAGTAATAAATACATAAAATATAGAAAATAAGTGATGATCTTTTAATATAGACTACATTTAGTCATGCGCTTGTTTCTCATATACAGCAAATAGGCCGTCCAGCACATTTGATTAATCTTGATCCAGCGGCGGAAACAGATGATATGGAGGCAACTATAGGTGAATATAAAAAGAGAGAGATTATACATATATTATAGTAGAATTGGGTTAATTAGATTCTAGATATTAGGAATTTGATTAGTTTACAAGATGTAATGGAAGAACTTGAATATGGACCTAATGGTGGATTGGTTTATTGCTTTGAGTATGAAAACAAGTATTTATACAAGCAATTGATAGAAGAAATATAGTTTTTTAATGAACCATTTGGACTGGCTTGAGGAAGAATTAGCAGGATTAGATAATGACTATTTGGTATTTGATATGCCTGGTATAAAATTTGAATGAATAAATTAAGTTTTTTTTGAAGAATTGAAGGGCAAATTGAATTATATACACATATTCCAGTCTTACCAGTACTTACAAAATATTTACATCTTCAGTTAAATTTTCATCTTTGTGCTACATATCTTTTAGAGTCGCAATTCATTATTGATAAAGCGAAATTTTTTGCAGGAGTAATGAGTGCTATGAGTGCTATGGTATTACTTGAAATACCTCATATTAATATTATGAGTAAAATGGATTTAATACAATCACAAATTCGAAAAAGTGATTTAAAGCGTTATTTAAATCCTGATCCTTTTTTATTAATTGATGAAGTGAATTCAAAGACAAATCCTCGATATCATGATCTTAATAAAGCCATAATTCAACTAGTATTAAGAATTTGTTGGTAAATTATATTTATTTATATTTTATAGATTGATGATTTTCATATGGTATCATTCTTGCCTTTAGATATACATAATGAAGGCTCGATAGAAATGATTTTGGCATATATTGATGATTGTACACAATGGGATGAAGATCAAGTATGAAAACGCTTTTTTCTAGTTATTTGTTAATAAATAATAGGAACCAAAAGAGCCCAGAGATTCAATTAATACTGATGATTAGTAAAAAAAACATGAATACTATACTTCATCATTATAAGCACATCATTATATAATATCGTATTATTAAAGACTTTCGTAAAATAAATAAAACATGCTTCAGTTTAATATTAATTTCATTTTTATAAAATGCGTATAACCTTCATATGCAACGTCTTTATATATATATATATATATATATATATTACAAGCATATTTGCTATTTAGAAACTTTAATACTTTTCGTTGATTTTACAGATTTAAAAATCCTAGATATTTCTGGCTGTTCTTTTAAAACACGTTTTCTTTTTGAAAAGTATATAGTATTCGTATTTTGTTCAATAAAAAGATCATTCGTAAAAGTTTGCTTTATTGACGATGGGTCTAAAACATAAGATGGCTCTTTTGAATGAATATTTGATGTATCATTTTTTAATAAAACTAAATCTGCTACCTTCTGACAATCTCCTTTAATAACAATATCAAATTTTTTTTCAAATTCCTTGGGTTTAGGAAAATCTGATGTATTAATCCATATTGTTACACCATGTGATGCCTTTACCGCATCTATCATTTCTTTAACAATTTTTCGTGCTCCTGCAATCTTAAGACTAGTACCCGCAACAATCAATGCATCTGGTTTCTCTCTAAGATCATATTCTGTTACCTTTCCAATTGCTTCACTGTCCAAATTATATTCATTATATAAAACAATTCGTGGTCTTAATTTTCCCACCCCAATATTCCGTTTTCCTGCAATTGTACGTATATTCTCCATTTCTATACATTGATGACACACTGAAAGTGCATCTTCCTTAAAAATTTCCGGATCAAAAGGTCCTGTCCAATAACATTTTGAACAAATCATATTTTGAAGTCCACCATGTAACTGAATCGTCCTCGGCCATGGTGGATACATAGGTAACGGTACTTCTGACTCTAGATACGGCATCCGCGTCTCTAAAAAGTCAATATTTTGTGTATAAAGTCGTATTAATTGCGATGAACGTGCTAATGCCGCAAGATATTCATGAAATAATGTGGGTTTTGCTGATGCTGAGATTTTATACAAGTCTGTTATCATTTTATGGAACCGTTTAATATCTTCTTCATTCTAGACTCATTAAATTCGTCTTTTTTTGTATAATTATTCAACTTTGTAAACAGATATATCAAACAAATCCTGTCCGCTGCTTTTTAACTTAAAATTTGAACGTAAACTAGCAAAAAGTCCTTTTTCTGATCTAAAATCCGGTATTCCTGCGTCTGTAGATATTCCTGCTCCAACAAAAACAACTATTTTTTTTGACTTTGTCATAACATGTTTAACTAACTCAATATATAGCTCGTTATTTTTATTTTCAAATAAATTAATCATAAGAGGTTCTTTAAAGGATATTTTAACTGCCTTCTTTCCATCTTCTTTATATTTGAAGACATGGTTCATCTTAAGAAGAATTTATATTTTTATAATTTTTAAGATAAATATTTAAGATATAAATATTTAAGATATAATAAAAAAAGAAGTTTTAAAATATAATAAACTTATATATAAAAAGAATTGTTTTGAATAGTTTAGAAAATAAAAATATAAGTAGTGTTATATAAAAAGGATTTTAGTATTAGTTGATAAATTTAGTATAATGAAATAGATTATTGTTTATCAGTTAATATTGAAACACCAGGAAGGGATTTTCCTTCTAAAAGTTCCAAACTTGCACCGCCACCAGTGCTAACATGAGATATGTTATGAACTTGATTGTATTTTGCAGCAACAGTCTATATATATTAGTATAAATAAGTATTTTTTTAGAAGAACAAACAGCAGTATCACCGCCACCTAATATAAAATTAGTATAAGTAATGGAATGATAATTATAAGAACCTATAATGACCATATTTCCAGAAATTGAGGAGGAAACTACAGCATCAAGTATTTTTTTAGTTCCATAAGCAAAAGAATCAAATTCAAATACTCCAGCAGGACTAATATGTTATTTTAGTGTGAAAAAAAGGATAAAAAAAATTACCCGTTCCATAAAATGGTTTTGGCTTGTTTTATTACATCTTGAAATAATTCAATTGATTTATGACCACAATCTAGCCCCATTAAATGAGGGGAAATTCCTTCTTTATCAGTAGTATATCCTGTTTTTGCATCATTATCAAATTTGTCTGCTGTGATGAAATCTACAGGGAAAACAACTTTTACATTGTTGTTTTTTGCTTTTTCTACCAAAAATTTAACATTTTCTGCACCTACTTTATCAAACAAAGATAATCCAATCTATAATAAATCAGTAATGTCTATAAAATGCTTAGAATATCTAAAAAACCTCCATATTTTCTAAAATTTTTTTAAATGTATATGCCATTCCACCTGAAATCTCAATAAAAAATTGATCTTGTTATATTTTTACTTTACCACATATAATCAAAAGGTCAATTTTATCAAGAAGATTGTCAATAAGCTGTATTTTGTCTGAAACTTTAGCTCCACCTAAAATTGCTAAAAAAGGCCTCTGAGGACTTTCAAGAGCTTTTGCAAAAAAGTCAAGTTCTTTTTTCATAAGAAACCCTGCTGCCTTCTGAGGCAAATCAACCCCAACTATAGAGCTATGTGCACGATGTGCAGTGCCAAATGCATCATCTAAACAATATAAATTATATAAAAATAATTTTTTTCTCTATTAACTGATATATATCTCTCCTAATGACGTTAATGACCTACGAAAACTCTCAATATCCTTAGGATCCGCTTTGATCTTGTTTCCCTCTTCATCTTTAGCACTTCCCTCCTCTTCAATATGGAATCTCAGGTTTTCAAGTAAGATAATTTGTCCATTTGTTGCTTCTTTACATATTTTCTCCACTTCTTCGCCAACGCAGTCATTCAAAAAAGTAACCTTCCTTCCAAGAAGCTTCTCCAGTTCTTCTGATACTGGTTTTAATGAATATTTCTCATTTCTTTTGCCATTAGGCCGGCCTAAATGAGATGCAAGAATTATTGCTTTTGCTCCTAATTTTTACTTAAATAATAAGAAAATTAACACCGCCATATAAACCCTCCTCTATAACATATTCAATTGTAGGAATTGTAGACGTAATCCTCTGGTTATTCGTGATTTCTCTGTTCAAATTTAAGGGAACATTGAAATCTACTCTTAAACAAATATTAACTTATTTTTTACCGGAAAAAAAGCAATATACCTGATAAAAACCCTTTTATCTTTCAATACAATTTCTCTGAGTGATAATTTATTGAAAAGAGACATTCTGAATCCACCTTTATCTATATTTCTTACCCGTCGGATGGCTTATATATGAATCAGAGAGTAAAGTTAATATTTGAAGTAGATACAAATTACAGGAGAATTAAATTATGTATTTGTTTGTTAAAACATGTAAAAAACAAAATTTTTTTTAATAAGCTTAAACAGAAGGTGTCTGAAACTTTTGAAGCTCAGCTCTGAAAATTAATATATTATAAAGAAATATTTACTAAAAAATATACCTTAAACTTAAGGAAAAAGAATCTTCAAGGTCATCGTCATCCCAGTTATCATCCCATAATTTATCTTTACTTATTCCAAGGTCTGTATCAGCCTCAGTCCAATCTATAAAATTAGTTAAAATATTCAAAAATATATAAAAATATGATAAATTATATAATATTTAATAATATCTTATAATATTTTATAATATTTAATATAAATCCTTTTAAACAAAAAATAATACCTTCTGCTTGAAAATCTTCAAATTCATCATCATCGTCTAATGTATTAATATCTATTTTTTTTTCTTCAGTTGAATTTTCTGTTGAAACACTATTATATTGATCCTTTTCTTCTATTTTTCTCTTAGACTCGCCTAATTCTCCTTTATCCATTTCTAATTCTAATAATAATAGTTTAATATCTATTTAATCTCTATTTTTAGTTATAATTTATACCAATTTTTATTAATTTCTATTTATTTTATAGTAATTTTATAGTAATTTTTATTAATTTTTATTTAATTTCTATATTTTTCTTAATATTTTTATTATTTTTTAATATTTTTCTAATATTTTTTAATATTTTTTTAAATCTTCTTATTTACCTTTATTTATCAGTTAATTCTAAATAAACAAGTTAAAATTAGTTTTCCAGACATATTATTATGTCGGATGAAGCTAAATCATGGTCTACATTAAGGCTACAACTAATATCGTTGGAGTCTCAAACAGAAACTCTCTTATTAGAATTGGTAACATCACCAGAAACACATGAAGAACAGGCTCAGGAACTCTTTAATAAGGTTTATTTTTATTATGGATGAAGATGTTTCTTATAAAGAAACAGAGAAATGTAATTATCAATTCTTTATCAGGGTTATTAGACCCAGATTATGGGGGAGATACAGTTAAGCAATACCATGTTGAAAGACATATAGAAATATTGGAGAAACATAAGAAAGAATATGAGAAAATGAATGTTAGTTAATTATTAAATTGATTGGATATTTTTTATAGTTTTAGAAAAAGAGAAAAGTGGGATATAAAGGAACTAATGAAGGTTATCATAAGTATGTTTAAGAAAAGATGATATGGAAGGTTAAAGAATGATAAATAGAAAACATGAGAATGGAATAGAAAATAATGAAACGAATTATTTTATTGAGGAGTCAAATAGAATTGATAATTCACATAATATGGCGGATCAAATTCTTTTGTAAAATTTAGTATATTGGATAGTTTCAACATCTGATCTTTATATTAGACAAGCGTATACTACTCGAGATGATTTTTATCAGCAAAAAGATATGCTTCATGATATGAATCAAAAAATGTCAAGAGCAACAAGTAAAGTGAAGAGAAATTTAAAAATCAGATTAATCTTTAATAGATCTTATTTCTGGAATTAAATATCTTATTTCTAGGGTAAATACAAAGAGGAAAAGGAATAATTTAATTTTATCGTTTATTATTTCTGCATGCATTATTATGACATATTTTATGATGTGAAATGGCATTCTTAAAAAGGCTCATACAATAAGTTATTTTAAAATATATCATCACTTGGTATTCTACACTTTTTCATATTCTTTTATAAGTTTTTGCGAACATATTACCAAATTTTCTTTTTCTTCTGTTGTGGCATTTCCACATCCTGCCCATCGAATTCGACATTGGTTATCTACAAGATATATATATCCAACATATATATTTGTAATCAACATATTTTCTTTAATATCTTTTGGTAATTTATTAATAAAAAAGTATGTATTCTATATAAATATTAATATTAAACCATACCTTTAGATTAAATCATTACATGATATTCTTTTGATATACTGTTTTTTATATTTTTTGAAAAAAGCCGAACAAGCATAGCTTTTAAGAAGTTTTCTTGCAGATTAATATAAATAAATTTTAAATTTGACGCTTCCAAATATAACTTAGGAGTTAAAAATGATTTTATATGTTCTTCTCCTGATTTAGATGAAAAAATACTTACAAGAGATGCTGCTGATGATTCAATAAAAGGTGTTGTATTTGCTGTAACATTTAAAAGCGTTCTACCATAAAAATTTGCAATATATAAAGCTTGCTATATAAATGTTAACATATTTATATAACAAAAATAATAAAATATCTTATATTACATCCTTATTAAACAGATAATTAGGTGCTATCCATTTCTAAACCCCCCTATTAAAAATCGTTTATATTAACCTATTAAATTTACTTTTCCTTGATGATATTTCATCTCCTGAAAATCATCTAAATATGACTTAGAGGCCTCTTTTAAACTAAAATCACTCAGATATTTCTTTAAATATCTTTTTTTAGATTAAAATCTACAGTTTTTCTCTTCTTTCTTTGTTTTTTTCTAAATTTAACAAATTACTAAGGTTTTCTCTCCAATTTTTTTTATTTTTTCGACTATTCTTTTCAACTAATGGTGCTTCATTCATTCCAATAGGTTTTTTAAGATTATTTAAAACCAATCCCTTTGTATTTTCACTTAATTCACTAAAATATTTTTTATTAAAAATCCTTAAATCCCTTATTTTTATGTTGTATTTTACTATTAAAAGGCTGTTTTTATTATTATATTTAATCATATTAAAATTTTATTATTTTATCTAATCTACCTTAAGATTTATTAATTTTTTACGTAAAAAATTAAGATTTCTTAACGTCAAAAAAATCAATGTTAAGAAATTTTTAAAGATTTCTTAAGAAATTAATAAATTTATTAGAAAATAAAGCAAATCTTTTAAATTGTTATAAGAAATTGTTATGAAATATCAAATTTTATTAAACTAAACGGCGTTAATATTAAGAATAATGGCGGAAAAAGAGGGAAAAAAAGAGGCAAAACGTATGTCTTTTTTTAATCTGCAAAAAAACGCTACAACCATTCCTCAGAACAATCTATTGAAGGTTCAAAGTGGGAATATTAAAAGAACTATATCAGTTTTTGAGCAATTATCATGCCCGAAACAATTACCAGATAAACATGATATTGCTAGGAATGCACGGAGTTTATCAAGGGTTCAGAATGTATTATTAATGAATGAAAATGGACATTCATGTATTTCTTTGGAAAAGAAAGAAAATATTAAGATGAAGGCTATAAGTCCGTTAAATAGGGTTGAACTGGGATCAGATTCAAAAATAATGAAAGAAGGAGTTATTTCAGAGCGAAGGCCATCTTCATGGGCTTTTTTGTCGTCAAATTCGAAAGAATTTGATATAAATAAGGAAAAAACACCAGTTAGAAAATCATTGCTAGATCCAGTTGAAAAGAAGGAAAATAGGGAAGAATTACGACATTTGAAGTCGAATAGTAATGAAGGAGATATTTTTTCATTAGAAGAAGCGAAAAATATGTCTAAAGATTCATCTAATAAGTCATTGGATGAAAAATTTTTTGAACTTGAAAGTTATGAAAATACGTTTCATATAAATGATTTATCGGGTATTTTATGTAATTCATTGGAATCAGGATCATTATTTGAGGAGGATGATTTAAAAAATGAATCTAGTTCTGCTAAAGAAAGATCAGAAGTGGAAAAAGTATTTAATGAAAAATATTCCAAATTAATACAACAAAATAATGAATTGAGGGATAAAAATAAGCATTATGAAGAAGTTATAGGTACACTAAATAAGGAAATTGAGGAGAAGAGTTCATTAATGTCTAAAACTGAGGATAATAAATACATAGAACAAATTAATTCTCTAGGTTATAAGGTAGAAAAACTGACTTCCGAACTGAATAATTCAAGTACATACAATGAAAAATTATTAGAACAAATAAATTTTTGCAAGTTAGAAAGTCAATTATCTACAGATATTTTAAAAAGTGAAATTGAAAAGTCAAAAGATATTATAAAAAGTTTGGAAGAACAATTAAAGGTTTTTTTCTTTAATTTAATGCTTAGTTCTTTTTTTTTATTTTTTTTTAGAATTATGATGTGAACCAATCAAATTTCCATGAACATTTAGAATCTGTGAAATTATACTATATAGAAAGAGAAAAAGCACTTGAAAATAAACTTATATCTGCAGAGGTATGTTTTATATAATATTTAAAATAAATAATAAATTCTAAAAATCAAAAAGCAAGCTATAGATGATGAAAAGATCAGATCTACTAAAAATATGAAAGAAATACAAAAAAAATTAGAAGAATCAGATTTGTTAAAAAAGAATGTCGAGGAAAGGCTTTCTTTCACATTAACAGAAAATAACAAATTATTAAAAGAAATAAGTTATCTAAGGAATAATTACGATATTAAAGACAATTATGAAAGCGTTTTAGAAGACTCAGAAGTTTGTATATCTTTGAAAAAGAATCATGTTAAAACAATTAAGAAAAAAAACAATGCCTCTTTGGAAAACTCTACAGATATTAAGGAAATCAATAATCAACTTAAAATAACTCAAGATGAATTACAAGAAGAAAGAAAGAAACTAGAAGACAAAACAAAACAATGTGATAAGCTTTTTCTTGATTTTTCTGAATTGGAAATGGTAGTTTTATTTTATTTTATTTTTAATTAATTTTTATTAGAAATATTTTAATCTTCAGAAGAAAGTATTAATAAAAAATGAACAGATTACAAAGCATATTTTTAAGATTAAGGAGCATGAACTAACATTAGAATCTTTACTTAAAGAGCATAATTCAGTTATTGAAAAATTAAATATACAACAAAATATATTAGTGAGTAGCTTTTTCTGACTAAAACATTATTTCTTACAAGCACAAGTGTAAATATACCGATATGATAAAGGAAAAAGATAATCTTATAAAACATTATAAAGAGGATTTCGAAAAATTACATTTTATTTATTTAGAAGAAATTAATCATATTCACAATAACTTTGAAAATAGGGAAATATTAACACATTAAAAGAAAAAAAAGTGCAACATACATATATATCCATTGAGCAAATATATATTACTTCAAACAATATATTTTATAATACCTGGCTTTTTCAGTTTATATAATATTTAAAAAAATAATATATGCTAAACTTGAAATATCTTATTATTTTATACGGTTAATTGGAGATTATATGCTTTTATTTAATTATTTAAATTATTTAAGGAACCAAAATGGACGTCATATAAAATTGATAAATTTGCATTTATAATATTTATTTATGGTATTTTATAAATAATTTAGTCTATAGAATATTCATTTATTTATTATTATTATTATTTTAAAATTATAGTTGAACTATTCAAATTTGATTTTTGTCCCTTCAAATTTTATATTGCTTGATTCCTTCTTTTTTAAGCGACGAGCTGCCTCCCATGATGGATGTAGTGGCTTAACCTCTTTATTCTCTCTATTTATCAAAGCTGATTTATTATTATTATATGATAATTTAATGTTTTCATTAGAATTCATTTTTTTTCTTTTAACCTGTAAATGTCTTGCATTTTTTCCATATTTCATCTCCCATATTTTTCGCCTAGCTCTCTGTCCTCTTCTATTTTTCTTAGGTTTATCAATATCTTTATATTCAGTATCAATATCATTATTATCATCACTTCCTGAAATATAACCGGCAGAAAGACTTGGTAAAAAGGTTGATCCAGATAAATTCTTTAATTTTTCTTCAATATTTTGTTTCTTTTTGGATTTTAATTGAATATCATTTTTAATTTTTAATTCTGCCTTTTTTTCTAAAATATCTTGATTTTTTTCCTTATTTTTTTCATTTAAAGACTCTGTATTTCCTTCTTCATTATCTTTTGACTTATTATTCAATATTAAAGGATCTTTAAGGGAATTTCCCTTGTTTTTTTGAGGATTTTTTGGCCTTATTGTATCATCTTGAATCTTAGCTATTTTTTTTAAAGAAAATATAACTCTTTTTATGCACTTCTTAACACTATTTGAATTAAAAATCCTGTTAATAACATTTTTGACTGGTTCTGATACATTTTTTAGTGGTGAGTTTACTGGCTCTATATGTATAATCTGAAATAATAATGGTTCTTTTAAACAGTTAATATACAACAAAAAGTCTTTAATAGCTTCTAAATCAAGATCCTATTTATTTAAATCTATTTTTATTGTAAAAAAAAATAAGTATACCTTAACTACTAACAATTCTTCCTTTAATCTATCTAAAATTGTAATATTATCGGCCGATCTTTAATATTTAAGTTGATTTCTTTATAAAAATGAATGGGAAACCTTTCATTTCTAATTCTCTTTGATATCTTTTGAAATTCAAATCTTTTTGCCTTTTTTAAAGCTCTTAAAATCTCTTTTTTAAAAAAAAACAACTTTGGATGGATCTTTTTTCTTAAAATATCCAAATTTTCTATGCTAGAGTCCTTATTGATATCATATTGCAAATTCATTGTATTAAAGACAATATTCTTGCTTTTATATAGGTTTATAGTTTTATTTCTTTCATATAATAAGACTTTTAAAACAAAATATGCAAATTTACAAAGTTCTATAAATATAGAAAAATATATCAATAAGTTCTTTAATTATTCATAATATAAAAGAATTAATTTATTTAAAAATATATAATTGATTTTTTTAAAGATAAATTGATTTTTAATTTAAATGGAAAAATCATATCAATTTTTAATATTAGTTTTAAATGTTAATAAATCTAATACAATTGCTTTTAAAATTCTTATTCATCATTTTATTCATTTATTTATTTATTTATTTATAATATAAAATTTAAAAATTAAAATTCATATACAAAAATTATCAAAATATGTTAAAAATTATATCTTTCTTATCTCTTATTCTTTTAAATTTAGATATATATTTGAATTTTATAAATTAAATAAGGACTTGTTAAATATTTTTAAAAATTTATTTTTAGTATTGATTATTGATATATTTAGATCAATAATCATAAATATATGTATTAAGAATTTATTTTTAAATAATATTTTTAAATTTTAAAAAAATTAAATCATTCATTTTATTAAACAAGTTTCAGGTTTTATAAAACCATTATAATAGTAATTTTTTTAAACAATTTATTCATAATTTATAAAGAAAATTTTAAAATGTAGAATATTTTTAAAGATATATTCATTTATAAATGAAATATTATCTTTCTGTTATTTGTATTTAACAAAAATTAAATAACATTTCTAAATATTTTTAATTTTAATAACTACTAATTTATTAAAAAATTAGTTATATAAAATATTATATCAATAAGAAAAAGTAAATCATTAATATTATATAGAAAAACAATAAAAACAATAAAAATAATTATTCATCTTCTAAATATATTTTTTTAAAAAGCTAATATTAATTATACTGGAATTTTTAGATACATAAAATATAGTAACCTTCAATTCCTAAATATATAAAAGTTTATCTTTAGAATATTAATAAATCTTTATCTTAAGATAAAATTTTACTGCAAATTAGTCTATTTTTGCATAATTTAATTTCCAATATAATACAGAGATAATAATCATTTAAATTTATAAAAAAAAAATGTACAGAAAATTTAAATAAAAATAACACAAAACTATCTAATTTATTTGAAAATATATGTTAAACTTTAAATATCATCTAATAAATTCATTTTTCAAAATATTAAGATTAAAAAACAAATAACAAATATATCTACGAAGAATATTTCAATTTCATATTTTATAATCATATTTCTAATATGAGCTTTAACACTATAAAAATAAGTCATAATAAAACATATAAGCTGATAAATTATTTATATATTTAAGATTTTTAATATTTATATTTTAAAGCATCTAAACATGTAATATTCAAGCTAAAACTTTGGAAAAAACTTAGTTATATATCTAAAACAAAGAGACAGAAGAAAACATATTATATTATATCTTTTTTTTGGGTTTTTGAAGGGTAAAAATAGCTTAAATATGGTACAATCAGGAATTTAAGTTTTATACTATTTAAAAAAGGAATTAAATGAGGAATACCAAGAATTTCTATGTTATATATGTCTATAAATGTTTTTTGAAGAATACAGGAAGAAGTTATTCAAGTTTTAAAAGAAACATAGACAAAAAGATCTTGGAACTTGACTTTAAATCTTTAGATGATAAATGGGGTAAAAAATGGCAGAAAATAAAGAATCAGAATAAGAAATATAAGGAAAATACATATAGAAAGTTTTATATATTAAGCATGTTTCCTTATCCTAGTGGATCATTACATATGGGGCATTTTCGAGTTTATACAATAAGTGATGTTATATCTAGATTCAAAAGAATGCAAGGCTATGATGTTTTAAGAAGCAGGAATATTTATTATTTAAACTTATTTTTTTAGGTTATACATCCTATAGGATGGGATGCTTTTGGATTACCAGCAGAAAATGCGGCTATTGAAAGAAATATTTCAGCAGCAGAGTGGACTTCACAAAATATTATGAAAATGAAGCAACAATTTTCAAAGATGAATATTGATTTTGATTGGGATAGAGTATTATCAAAATTTACAAGTCTTAATACTTTTTTAATTTATCTTTAATTAGGAAATTACTACATGTTTGCCATCTTATTATAAATGGACGCAGTTGCTATTTTTAAAATTCTACAATGAAGGATATGCTTATCAAAAAGAAGAATATGTTAATTGGGATCCTGTAGAATCTACGGTTCTTGCTAATGAGCAGATTGATTCATTGGGTAGATCATGGCGTTCTGGAGCTATTGTTGAAAAAAAAAAGTTAAAACAATGGTTTCTTAGAATTACTGATTTTTCTGAGGTAGAAAATAGCTTTTATATATCAATTGTTCTTATATACTAGTCACTTCTTAAAGATATTTCTACGCTTAAGGATTGGCCAGAAAGAGTGAAGATTATGCAAAAAAATTGGATTGGAAAGTCAACAGGTGTTGAAATTCTCTTTACCTTAAAATACAAAAATATCAAAAATCTTCCTAATCTTTTCAAAGATATATATGTATTTACACCATATCCCAATGCACTATTTCACCTTCAATATATTGTTCTTTCTCCATTTCATCCTATTGTTTCTGAATTGGCTCTTAAGGATTCAAATCTTCAAATGTTTTTGAAAAATATTTCAAGTATAGGTATATATTCTAAGAAGGGATTTTTGCTGGAAAACATTCAAGCTTATAATCAATTTATACCTGACTTTTCTTTTCCAGTTTATGTTTCTTCATACATTTTAGACAGTTATGGTTGTGATGCTATTATGGGTATTCCTGCTTACAATTCTCATGACTTTCAGTTTTGTAAGGAAAATTCTTTAGAAATTGGTACTAGTAAAGCCATTGATGAAGATACAAATGGCATGGTTTTCAATGGAAATTCAGAACATTCTTCTAAAATATTTTCTGAAAAGGCTACTCAGTTAATTCTTAAAATGGAATCATTGAATTTATGTAGAACGGTCACTCATTGGAAATTAAAAGATTGGCTTATAAGTCGCCAGAGATTCTGGGGGACGCCCATTCCTATTGTTTATTGTTCAAATTGCGGGGTATATTTTTCTTTTATTTGGGAATTTATTAATACTTATAGACTATTCCTGTTCCTGAATCCAAATTGCCTGTATTACTGCCCAAAAAACCAGTAATAAAAGGTTCTAGTGGATCACCATTGACAAGTGATGAAGAATTCTTACATACAAATTGTCCAAAATGCAATGGCCCAGCTAAACGAGATACAGATACTATGGATACTTTTGTAGATTCATCATGGTACTTCATAAGATTTACTGATCCACAGAATTCCGAAGAACCTTTTAATATTGAAAGAGCATCACAACTTCTACCAGTTGATTTATATATTGGCGGCATTGAACATGCAATATTACATCTTTTATATTCCAGATTTTTTATGAAATTTGCAATTAAAACAAAATTATTGAAAGATATAAACAATGGTGAGCCTTTTAGTAAGTTAATTACTCAGGGTATGGTTCATGGAAAAACATATGTTGATCCTATAACTGGACGTTTTCTAAAACCTGATGAATTGGATTTAAACAATCCTATGTTTCCAAAAATATTAAATTCAAATATAACACCAAAAATTAAATATGAAAAAATGAGCAAATCAAAACACAATGGGGTAAATCCTATAAAATATATCGATATTTATGGTGCTGATTGTGTTCGTGCTCACATTCTTTTTTCTGCACCTATTACTGAAGTTCTTAAATGGGATGAAACAAAAATAATTGGTATGCAAAGATGGCTTAATAAATTATTTCGAATAGTTCATGAAATAGATCTCACAAAAACTACAAATATGAAATCATATCAAGTTAAATGGGACAATTTAAATTCTTCTGAAAAAGAATTATGGATAACTGTTCAAAAAACAATCACTGATATTACACATTTTTTTTCTAAAAATTATCAATTGAATACCGCCGTTTCGTCTTTAATAAAATTAACAATTAAACTCGATTCTTCTAGGAATAATATTTCTAACAATTTATATTTTCATGTTACAGAAATACTATTGAAACTTATCGCTCCAATTACACCTGCTGTTGCTGAAGAATTGTATTCATATCTTTACTCAGAAAATCATTCTATATTCAATTCTTCATGGCCTTTAGCTGATACTTCTGTTCAAAATGAAACTATTCAAGCTGGAATTCAAATTAATGGAAAATTAAGATTTCGTCTTACTTTACCATACAATTGTACTGATAAAAATATTATTTTACAATTTATATTAAAAAGCGATCAAGGAAAACAATGGATTAAAGACAAATATATCACAAATAATATAAAAAACGTCATTATTGCTCCTGGAAATAAAGTCATTAATTTAATTCTATCTTGATATTTAACAAAATACATAAACATCATAATACATAATTACAAATTTAATTATTTAGATTCAACTAAGCTACGCCTACAAATAACAACAGGTTATCATGTATAAATATTATCTTTTCAATTCACCTCTAAAGCGTATATTCTTTGAGGAAAATATTTACATTTCTTCTGCTGTTTTAAGGTTTTTAACCGTTTTTCATGGCGGGTCAAAGAAAGTCTAGATGCTTTTGTTTTTCTGGAGCGTAGATCTAAGGGAATATATTTTTTTCCCTTATAAAACAGTCGAAGCTGCTGACGCTGGGTTAAATTAATGACTGTATAGATTCTAGCGATAGATCGACGGACGCTCGAGCTAGACAGATAAACCAGATATTTTTCATAACAATAAATAACATACATTTTTGCTAATTTTGAAGCAGCACCGCCAGATATTTTCTGTACACGCAAAGTCAAAAGTTCTTGTTTTAATTCGTCTAATTCCTTCTCTAATTCAGCTTTAGACTTCTTACGAAGAAGATAAGCACTGGTTTTTGCCTATAAAAGGTTATTTTTCAGACAAAAAAAGCATAAAAAATACCATTTTTTATGATAATTTAAAAAAACGAACAAATGAATAAACTAACTTAACCTAACCCTACAGACATAGCTATGCTTTAATGAAGGATATATAATATTTAATTTAAATAATATTACAGGATTTACAGAGAATTTTTAAATATGAACATCTTTTATTTGAAAAAAAATGGTTAAAAATGATCAATTGAGTTTTTAGGAAAAAAAAACATTTATTAGTATTGAATATGGACAAAATAAGAGTAATATAATGAGATTTAAAGGGCAGCATTATTTGGAGTTTATAAAATAATGATATATATTATTGGAATAAATCTAAGAATGAAAATAAAAAGAATTATTTAATTGAAAAAAAAAATATTAAGTCAATTTTGAACAGGATCGAATGGGAATATTATATTTCCAAAAGGAAAATGTTGAACTACGGGGAATTTTCCAAGTACTTCTGCACAATACATTCTTAACATACCCTATTTTTAATCAATACAATTAAAAAGGAAATTTGATATAAAATTATACTTTATTAACTTTTTCCCAATGTTCTATTCCAGATATATCATACAAATAAGGAGAATGTTCATAAAAAGGACCATGTTTAACCTATTAATTATTAATAAATTGATATAATAATATATATATATATGTATATGTATATGTATATACATCATTAATAAAATTAATTGCACCAAAATATAAGTTTTCATTTTTCTGCTCTTTAACTATATTTTTGTCTAGAATATCTTTAGGAAAAACATTGGCATTTGTATATGATAATTGAGAAGATCCAAAGACATATGGTAAAAAGAAATGATCATCTAATCCCCAAACTCCATGAGAACCAGCTGGTTCAAGATTATATGTTAAAACCAGTGTCCTTATGATTTCAAAATATCTAATTAAAAAATTATTTCCTCAAAAATCACTTTTATATATAAAAAAACTAATACTTATTAAATATTCTTAAGACTATTCCTACTTCGTCCCTATCTAACTTAAAAAATCGTAATAACAAAAGACCACATAGAAATGCCGTAAATGAAAGCTCATGTCCTGTACCATAGTCCAATCTTTTTCCATGTCCAAACCCTCCTATAAAATATGGACAGAGTTCATTTAACGCTGGATAAATCCACTCTGGAAGATATTTTTTCAGCAGAATATGACTTTCCTAATAATAATCTTAATAATTCTGCTAATTATCCCTTCTTAATAATACATTTTCAAGGCGATCAATCCACTTAACAAATGCCTTATTTCCAAACCGTTTAGCACCTTTTTCTGGCCTAATTTCACCGATCCAAGAGCAAACAACTTCTAATACAGATAATATCCTTTGTATTTCATCTGATTCATTAATATTATCTGTTAATTTAGTCCCAGGAAGAGCAATATTTAAGACTGTAATAAATTCTGTAATTCTTGAATAAGCAATGGATTTTTCAAATAAAAAAACGTCATTTCTTGATTCAATACGTTTCATACATCCAGAAGAAAAGGAATTTGAGGGAGAAATGGAGTCAAAAGGTGGAAATTGGGAGCTCATTAAAAATATCATAAAAATGGAGGTTCAAGAGGAGGAATTTTTGAACGTCAAAAAAAATATAAAAAAAACGGAGAAAGAAATAAGCAATATTTTGTTATTTAAAAATCATAATTCGTTACAGAGATGCAAATATAGGTGGGGTACCTTTTTTTTTAGTGAAAATAGGTGAAATTTTTGAGGAATAAAGGTGATTTAGAGAATTTTATGAAAAATAGAGATTTAAAAAGAATTAGAGGGTATTTTTAAATATTAATAGTATATTTGATGGGAAAATCTAGTAAAGATAAGGTATTATGGTTTTTTTGGTTATAAATAGGGATTTTAATCAAACATTAGAGAGATATATATTATCGTATGATACTATAAAGAAATTATATATTGTATTTATAAAAAAACAGGACTTGCAAAAGAAGAAGGATGGAGAGCAAGATCAGCTTTTAAATTGATTCAATTGGATGAAGAATTTGGGTTTTTGAAGGGTTTTTTTTTTTGAAAAAAAAAATATATAAATAATAATTTTAAGGTGTTAAAAGAGTTATAGATTTATGTGCAGCACCTGGATCATGGTCACAAGTTCTTTCCAAGAAATTAATGTATTTTTAAGAAAGTGTTTTTTTTTTTTGGATTAATTTTTCTAGAGAAAATATTGATTCATGTGAAAAACCAACCATTGTTGCAGTGGATCTACAACCAATCATGCCTATTGAAGGTGTAAAAACTCTTCAAGCAGATATTACACATCCTAATACACTTTATAAAATCCTAGAAATCTTTGGCAACAAGTCAGCAGATTTAGTTATTTGTGATGGTGCACCAGGTATGATATATATTTAAATTAATGTGTGTGTTTGTGTGTGTGTTTTTTAATTTTTAGATGTAACAGGTTTACATGATCTTGATGAATATATCCAGGGACAACTTCTTTTATCTGCTTTAAATTTAACTATATCTGTACTTCGACCTGGTGGAAATTTTATTGCAAAAATATTTCGTGGTAAAGATATTAGTTTTTTATTTGCTCAGCTAGGATGTTTTTTCGAAAAGATAACATGCGCAAAGCCTCGCAGTAGTAGAGGAAGTTCCATTGGTATATTCTTTTATCTCATTATTTATCTAATTTGTTAGAAGCATTTATAGTATGCGAAAACTTTTCCTTACCTGATAATTACAAACCAGATATTTCAATTCCTATTTCGTTAAGAGATGATTTGGGAATAAACAGTATTGTTCCCTTTGTAGCATGTGGAGATTTAAGTGCATATGACTCAGAAGCAACGTATTTCTCTGATAATGATAAAAACTATGAAAGCCTAGATCCTGTGCAATCTCCTATTGGTAACACATATTAACCTAAACGATACTAGTATTGTTAATATAGAGTTTAGCGCCTCCTTATAAGAAGGCAATTGAAATGAAAAGAAAAGGAGAATTACAATATATATAATCTCTTTCCTATGTAAAATTTTTGTAGAAAAAAAAAAAAAGGATAAAACATGATTAAAATGGTGTTCATTGTATAAAGCTGTCTTTACTAATTCATGGAAACGTCAATATTTATATGTGACCATCATCTACTTTGCCTGTGCCATAAAACCCTCGACATACCCCAATATGTGCAATACGAGAACCTTTAGGGTTAAGAAAGTAATTTAAAACCGAATTTTTATAGGGTTGTACCTGAACTAGCAACAGGATCTATCTCTTTTCCAACTATAATGCAATCTTCTGGTGCGGTATAAGTCTCGATTAACTGTCCAAAAATAGAATGAATTGTTGCGATTACGTCCCCCTTTCTAACCCATGTATTTACTTCCGGAATTACTGAAGCTATTAACTATACAAAAATTACCATCGAAATTTTCATATATTACCACTCAAAATCCCGCCCTTAGTGGTAAATATCCAATACTTAAATTTTAAGATTAAAAAATATAATAGGAAAAAAAAGCAATATTTACACTTTTATCACAAATAACTGGTTTAAATTCAGCCTGTTGATGTTCATCCGGAATCATAGCTAAATGACTTATAATATTGGAAACACCCAATAAAGCATTTTTGACAAATCTCTTTTGAAATATACTTGGATTCCCTATCTATTTTTAAAAGTTAATATATACAGTATTTTTTTTTTTTTTTTTGATTGTTTAAATCTTGCCTCAACCGTAATAGAAGGAATACTAACAGCCATGGCAGCACTTCTTAAAGATCCATCTGGACCCGTATTATGTACGATTATCTTTTAATTAATATTTTTTTCCCTAAATTTTTAAATAATCAAATACCTGAGGATTTTGTAAAACTGCCATTTTTCTCGTACGATCATCTAACATATTGGCTCTTACGTATAAAGAATTAACTCTTCCCTTAGACGCAGTATGAAGATCTATTAAATAATCAAACTTTTTTACGATTCTTTCTATCAAATTATATGCATATTGTTGAGAAGTAGATCCATTTTTTTTCCTAATTTCTCCGTTTAATCATTCTCAATAAAGATAATAAATATAATATTCATGAATTACCCTGGCATTAATCTATTTAAATCTTGTGATTCAAAACCTCTAGATGATGATAAAAACCCTTGAATATTTGCAACGATCACTGCAACAATAGTACCATGAAGTGATTCCGGATTAAGCTCAGATTGATATAAACGATGAACGACTCGAATACCATTCACCTCATTACCGTGTAAGGCGCACGTAAGTCCTACGACTGGACCATGTTTTACACCTATTTCCTAATCAATTGACAAGTATTTTTTTTCAATCATATAAATACCTCTCGCGACTAATACAGGAACAGATAAAGGTTTAAGAGCATCTTCAATAAGAGAAATCCATAACTTGCTAATTCTTCCTCTAGGCAATGATTCTAGATCTAAAGATGTTGTTGTAGGGATTTCAGAATCATCCAAAGTTAATAACTTAATATTTGGACATCCTTCAGGAACTTCTGGAGGAGGCGTACGCTTTCTCCATAACTAAATCATATGGTTAAACCATTTATCCCTTTTTAAACATAATATAAACCTCTCGAGCTTTATTAAGTAAACATTCATTGATATCCATCATTGCAAATTTAAATTTAGATGTAAGGCTTAGTAATTCCTTATCATCAAATCCAATATCTTGCTTATAAGTTCCAAAATGCAAATTAGGTGTAATATATTTATCCATCTTCGATGTCATTGGAGAATAGTTAATATTCATTTCATTAGAACCTTCTTCCGTTTTCAACAAATTCAATAATGCTTTTGCCGGCAAATTATTCGATAAAAACCTATCATTATTAAAAAAAAACTTTTGATTTAAATCCCTCTTTTTCTTCAATTTACTTAAACTAAAAATATTAGAAAAATAAAATAACTCCCTTCTTCTTCTTCTTCTTCTTCTTCTTTACATTTTTATCATATTTTTTTTTGATTTTAACAATCGCTACCATATTAATTTGAACATATTCTTATATCCCATCAATAAACCTATCAATCCCTTTTTTTATCACACCTTGCAATTCTTCTAACGTCGTAATAACTTGTAATAAAGATTTCCTCCTATTCCCTCTTAAGAAATATTCATCATCTCATCTCTCAAACCATTCATTCAATTCTACATCCGGCATTTCATCGTTCCACTAACAAATATTATATATTTTATCGATTTCGATACTTCATCCTTACTAATTCATCCAGTTTTTCTAATAATTCCGTCGCACTCTTCTCAATAAAACAATATCTATCATCAATCTTCTCAAGTTCATGCATTAAATGCTTAAAAAATTCGTTATCAATATTTTTTAAGATTTCATGACTATAGTTCTTTTCTATACCGCATATAATAAGCATATATCAATAAAAACTCATAATATAAAACCCTTTAGCTCATTATACGAAATCCTTATAAACTACTATAGATTTAGACTTCTTCTTAGACTCTGTCCTTATACTTTCTTTAACATCTTATAATCCATATAATATTGTGACCATTTTGGATCCGCTGCTCTTAAAATCAACTGTTTTCCGAACTATATGCGTCCTTTTAGTCCTTTCCATATGTTATTTTTAACATACCTTCATCTGTTCCTTGATATATTAGTTAACCCCTCTAATCACAAAAAAAACACGCATATATCTCCGCCAAACACAATAAACCAACATAAAAAGCAATTAAATCCTCTTTTTTCCTCTTAATTCCTCTAAAAACTCCCTAAATTTAATGTTATCCCTTTTTTTCCTACAATTTTCGATTTGTATTGATCTTCGACAATCCATCCCCATCGACGTCTTTTATACCTTTTAAACGTGTATTAAGAAGAAACAGCATAAATAGTGAATGAAATAAGAGGAATCAATGGAAACTTCTGGAAACAAGATATTTTAATATATATAGGGGGGTTGAGAAGGGTTGAAAGTATTTGTAAAGGAGTTTAAAGGATGACAGAACGAAACTTAAGAAGTCGTGTAAAAAGAAGAGGAGAAGAGATGCAGGGAACGGGAAAGCAGCAGAAAAACGAGTTTAATGAGGGTATGAAGGGAAAAGGGGGAAAGGTTGCTAAAGAACAGTGTACTTATGGAGTAAATACAAAGAATGATAATGATATGAGTATTTTGAAAGAAAGACGAATGATGCGTACAAGATCTATGGAAGCTATATCAGCGTATAAACAGAGTGTTTTGAATAGAAAAAGAAGATCGCGTGAAGAGAGGAAGAATCGGAGGAATCAGGAGAAGTTACGGGAGAAAGAGGTATTAGAAGAGGAAAATGGAGTAAAAATGGCTAAAAAAACGAATAAAATGAATGTTTCGGTATCTAAGAAAGAATTACCGCGAAAAGTGAATGCCCAGACTGTTTCTATGATTAATGAGCAATTGGAACGTATATTAAAAAGGTTAGATGCCAATGAAACACGATTTAAGGAGCAGTTAGATCATTTGAATGAATCGTAAGATGAATAGAAGTTTTTGAAGGAATTAGAGAATAATAATTATGTAGAATGGAAATGTTGAAGGGAAAGGTTATGCAAGAGACTTCAGATATGTCGCAAAATTCACATTATGAACCTTTAACCCAAAAAGGTTATATTTCAATATTTTAATATATATATATATGTATATATTTCTAATTGATATTAGATGCTTCTCTTAGAACACCATTGTTTTCTAGAGATAAAGAGGGCACTAGTCCATCGAGAACTCGATGTAGCGATTATTCCAGGAATTCTACTAGAAATTCCAGTTTTAGTCAAACAGAATCCTATCCTCCAAGCTCCGCAATAGCATTGTATAAAGTTTCTCAAGACATGAGATCATCTCCGCAAATTCATACAGTTAAAAAACGTCAAAAATGGACAGAAGACGAAGTTGTTGCTTTAATCGATCTCGTTAGTATTTATGGACCTTCATGGGCTAAAATTAAAAAAATGGATGTTCATGGATGGCTTCAAAGAAGAACTCAAGTAACAAAAATCTAAAAGTTATATTTAGAATTAATATATTAACCCTTTATAGGTTGATTTAAAAGATAAAGCGCGTATTATAAAGGTAAAATATAATCTATATTTTTAAATATGATAGAATTGATAATTTAGCAACATTTATTAGAGACTCCTGACATTTGGAATCAATTTGTTAGTCAATGTGCAAATTGGGAAGCTGTTTCTGTTGGAAATTCTCATGGACATCGTGGAGTTCATTCATCATAAATTTAATAAAAAAATCGGTTAAATATTTTCCTTAAAAATCAATAATTATATCTAATAATATTATTTAGGTTGTTTAATAATCCTTTTATTGCAAAATGCTTTTTTTTCGTTTGGGACTTTTTGAAATATTGAAATATTTTTAATTTTATAATTTATACCAGACGTTGTAATTATACCTTTTTCCTAATAAATTAGAATGTTTTTTTTTTTGGAAATAAGACATATATGAAGGATTCGTTATCTTAACCCAATCCTTTTAAACCTGTTTTATAATACTTGTATATATTTAAGCGATAAAAAAGCGTAACTTAAAATATTTTCTATGAATAAAAAGAAATAATATGTTAATATTTATTATATTTTAAGAAATTGATTCCATATTTAATTGTTAATTAAAAGGTAAATTAAGGATTTCTTAAGTATTTTTACATTTATATTTTAGGACTAAACATAGTAGCTAAATAAATAGTTAACTTAAAAATACATAAAAATCCTTTTTATGTATATTTTCAGCTCGAGTTTATATGTTTTTTTAATATTAATATATATATTGTCAGTTATATGGGAGTTTTGATAGGCTCTATATATATTAAAAAGAAGATAAATAATGAAAAGAAAAGAATCAGACAGTATTATTATAAGTAATATACATGAATTAAATGATTTGAAATGGAAAAAAGTGGATATTTCCAGTGGACTTGAAAATTTTGAGGGGTTTATAGATTTTGAGGAAATAGAAGGTGTAAACTTGGAAATAAAAGGGAAAAGATACAGAAAAGATGAAGAGAAGGTATTGAACTACATATATTCTTTTTTTTTTCTGAAAAAAATCTATATTCAGGAGGAAATAATTAAAAAAAACAAGGGAAATAGAAAAAAGAGATTAAAATCAAGTATAAAAGCTGAAATTTTGAATAAAAAACAAGATACTTTTAAAAAAGATAAAGATATTGAGGAAAAGAAAGATACAGTTTTATTTAAATCTGAATCTATTAATAAATTTGAGGAAATTGATAAAACTTTAGATCTTCCAAATTGGAAAGATTTTAATTTATCAAAAATTATATTAAAAGGCCTTGATGATTCTTCTTTTTTTTCACCAACTGAAATACAAAGAAGGGCTATTGAAAGTATAATGAAGGGAAACAATGTTATAGCCAAAGCTGAAACAGGATCAGGAAAAACTTTAGCATTTGGAATTCCAGTGATTGATTATATTATTAAAAACAATATATCAGTAGTTTCATCTCTTATTTTTTCTCCTACAAGAGAATTGGCATGTCAAATTGCAAAACATCTTGAATCTATTTCTAAATTTTCTTCAATATCTATTATTACTATTGTAGGAGGTTTATCAATTCAAAAACAAGAACGACTGCTTAAAAGAATTCCTAACATTATTGTTGCAACTCCTGGTAGATTATGGGAAATAATGAATCAAAATGATGAATTTATTAAAATGCTGTCTAAAGCTAAATTTTTAATACTTGATGAAGCAGATAGACTTTTACAAGAAGGGCATTTTAAAGAACTAGATGATATCCTTAATACTTTAAAAAGATATAAAATTCAAATGCAAATATTGGTTTTTTCTGCTACTTTTAAGAAAAGTTTACATAAAAAAATTAACAATATTATTCATGAAACAACTACTTCAACACAAAACAAAATAGGTTTGGTATAGAGTAAAATAAACCTATTTCTGATTTCATTAGAATTATTTCAGGATGAATTAAAATCTAATAATAAATTTGATTTTATTGATGCTAATCCTGAAGAAAGTATTCCTAAAAAAATAAAAGAAGGAATGATACAATGTGAAAACATGGAAAAGGTTTATAAAGAATTGTTTTACATTTTTTCATATTTTTATTCTTTATAGGATTTATATTTGTATTACTTTTTATTAAAATATCCAGGACGCACTATTGTTTTTATGAATAGTATAGATCATGTTCACCGAATTGTGATTATGCTGAATGAACTTAACATAAAACCTCTTTCTTTACATTCTAAGCTCCCTCAAAAACGAAGGTTACAAGTAATTGAAAAGTAAATACTATATATCTTTAAAATAATAATTAAATTTATTAGATTTAATAAAAATGAGACAAGTATTTTAATAGCATCTGATATAGCAGCTAGAGGATTGGATATTTTTAAAATACAACATGTAATTCATTATCATTTACCAAGATCAATGGATCTTTATATACATAGATCAGGAAGAACAGCTCGTGCAGAGAATTCTGGAGTATCTATTTTATTATACACACCTGATGAAACAATTAAGCTTAAAAAAATGTTATTTCTCATAGGGAAAAGTATTGATGAAATGCTATCTTTTCCTGTAGATCATTTCTTATTAAAAAAGCTAAAACCACGTATTGATCTTGGACAAAGAATTACAAATGCTATACGCCATATAAATAAGCAACGTCATAATTGTATTTGGCTGAAAGAAGCAGCTGATGATTTAGGTGTTAATATGAATGAATTCAATTCTGAAAAGTAATATTCTGTTTTTTGTTCTTCTTTTTTATTAATTCCATTTTAAGTGATAAGGAAAAGAATATATCAAAAAAGGACATTCAAATACTTAGACTTCAGTTAAAACAACTTCTTTCACAAACCCTTTATTCTCAATTTTCACAAAAATATCTTACATATGGTTTGAATAATATTGCACAAAATATTATTCAAGGAAAAACACATCCTACCTTCTTAGGAACAACAAACCTGGATGCTTTAGATATTTTTAAGAACAAATAAGTAATTCCACTCTATAAAACACTGATAAAAATATTTAAATATAAAATATAAATATACAACTTACTTTTTTACAATGATTAATGAATATCATACATAGACTAAATAGGATTCTGTTATGTGATTAATTTTAGACAAATTATCGGTTTTTGATAGATGTTTTGACAAAGATTTACAATGCTGGTTTTCAAATAAATACACAAAACTCTGGTAAATTAATCAAAAACGTCATCAAATCATTCTATTCATACTACTAAATCTCTTTTTACTCATTTTCATTCTGTTTTTCTCGACTCATCAAGCTTGACAACCACTTGACCAACATTTTTAATTGTTTTTATCTCTTTTATTGCATCATTTATCAACTTTGCTGCTCCATCTATCAACTCCCATTCTTTGCGAGTCATTTCTACACTAATCATTCCATTATATACTGGTATTTCTGGTGCTGTTAATTGTTCTAGTCGTTTTCTACTATTATTAGGCATATTCCTATGGATTTTATAGTTCTACAAATCATCTATCTTTAATCCTGATGGTTCTGGAGGTGATGGCTTTTCTGATGTTAAGGCATACATATTAATTAATCTTCTAAATCATTTTTAACACTTGTTTATTGTTTTTAATCAATAAAACGGACTCTGATGTATTTAAAACAATCTTAGAAAGGGCCTCCTGTTCTTCTAAGGCTGGATCCGTGCTAGAAAGTGTTTGTTCTGACTGATATTGGCTATATATAAATAAATAAATAGGATTTAACATATATTTATTAACCAAGAGGAGGAGACATGCTTTGAATGTAACAAAGATGTACGTTCATGTAGATTCTATATTTATAAGTTATTATATTTATTAAAAATAGGGATCAAACACTTTGATGACGTCTACTTCTTTGGCATAAGCTCCAACAGCTACCCATCTCTTATAAGTCCTCGGAGGGTAGAAAAAGTATGTTAAAAAAATATAGGAAATAGACAATAAATGGTAAAAATGGAGGTTAATATTTTGATAGAAGCTTTGTTTTTATTATTTAATGAAAGATGAATTTTAATATGAAAATATAGGTATTTATGTTTTGAAGAAAAATGAATAAAAGTTAAAGGAAAGTAGTAATTTTTAAAGGTTATTATTATCATGATTTATATATCTAAACAAAAGTTTTAAATGTTTATAAATTTTGGAGAAAAAAAGAAAAGATGTATATTTTTATATAATGATAGAAAAATAAGCAGAAAAAAAGGGAATTTTTGTATATAAAAAGAAGGGAATTAATGTATTTTACTATAACTATCTAGGAAAATGTCTTTTAAAGCTTAATTATATATATATTTTTTTTTGAAGAACAAATAATTTGTTAAGAATAAGTAAAATTAACAAATAAATCAGAATTTAAATAAATCAAAATCTAAATAAATAGGAATTTAAAACAAAATAATGATTATATTTTACAATTATCTTATAAATTATTTATAACAAGATATAAATGTTATTTTTTGATATAAAAAATGATTTTATATATTTTAATATCTATTTATTATATTTATTTAAATAAAAAAATAAAAATATTGATAATATGAATAAAATTATTTATATAATGGATCTCCTTTCCCTTTTTACTATCATTAAAAACATTATTTTACTCGTTAAATTAACTTCATTTTTTTAAATATAAACAAACAATTCTAAAAAGATTTACTTGTTTATTAATAAATAATTCATTATAATGATTTATTTAGTTCTTTAAATACATTTTTCAAAGTTTAATACTTTTTACATACATTTTTATTCATTATCCTTACTTTTCATTCTCGGAGTTCCTCTCTCATTATATATCTAAAATGTCTGCACCTGCTGAAGAAGATAAAAAACCCAGTGAACATATAAATATTAGAGTATTTTTATTAAATAAAAAATCTATAATTTAATTAAATTTTTATGAGGTTGTTGGTTATGACAGTAATGAAGTTTTTTTCAAAATTAAGCGTCATACACCACTTAAAAAACTAATGGAAGCTTATTGTGAGAGGCAAGGCAAGTCAATGAATATGCTTCGTTTTCTTGTAGATGGTGAACGTGCAAGACCAGAGCAAACTCCTGCTCAGGTATTTTTTATACTGGAAAAATATATTTATTAAATATATAATAGCTGGATATGGAGGATGGTGATCAAATTGAAGTTATGATTGAACAGGTAAGAAATATATGTAAAAAAAGAAAATTGATATATTAACTCGTAAAGCTGGGAGGTATGTCATGATAGATATTAGGGTTAGGGTTAGGGTTAGGACTCAAGGTTATATGTAAATATCATTTTTACATGTCATTATGAATAAAATAATGTTTTAATTATCATTTCCTCTTAAAATATCCTTTTAAGAGGAAGTTTATAATTCATTTTAATGAATAGAATTTTTCAATTTATATTGAATAATATTTAAATGTGTTAGAAATTTTTTTCCCATATTTCTTTTTTACGAAGTTCAAATGCCTCATTTTCTTTAACAGTATCAAGGAATTGACGAATCATCATTTGGTCATATGCTTTTTCTTTTGGTGTATGTGAAAAACGTGTACCAAGAACTCCTGTGATTAAACGTTTTACAACGGTAGTAGTTTTAATAGGTCTTTCATCAAAAATATATTTAGAAGGTTCCAATGTTGTAAGAAATGTATTTTTATGAAAAGTTGTAAGTGGTGTTTTTGTACGAGAAGTAAAAGCAGATGATGTAGATGAATGAATTGAACGATAATCGGGAGGTAAAGGTGATACTGTTCCAATAGAAGATGAAGAAGAAAGATATTTGAAATATGTTTTAATAGCTAATAAAAAATGATATTTTATTTTTTTTTCATAAAAAAAACTTACCAATTTCTTCTGTTGGAAAATAAAGTCGAGCTTTTGTACCATTAATCCATTTAATCGTCATCTCATCTTTACTAATATCAAAAGCTTTATAAATATCATCTGAACATGTATTTGCTGGCATATTTGATATTTCAAGAATATTTGCTATAACTGTTGGTTGATTTTCCGAGTTTAAAGAATGTAAAGTTTCTGATCCTTTCTTTTGTAAATTTCCTTCTGATAACGATTTTCCTTCTAATGATGGCTCAGATTCATCGTTCTGTTTGTCTAACAATTCCTCCCAACTTTCAAGTACTTCTGATTCACTTGAATCCCGGATTTTTCGGGAAAAAGTTCCCTCTTTTTTCTCCGAATTAATAACAAGAGAATTATTAATAAGATACGGAAGATTAGACGTCTGATTCTCTAATAAATTCACTCCTCTTAGGCACATTTTTCTCAATATATTTTATCACTTTATTTTTTGCTCTATTTCCGCCAAAAATACTCGTTTTTCTTCCTGGAAAAAAAGATACCCCCAAAAACTCCCTCCAAAATTTTCGTATTTATATTTATTTTCTTAAATAATCCTTTATTTACCCCTCTTTTTCTTTTTTTTACTTTTTTTTAAATTTTGGTCGTCCCTCTATCGATACCTCCTCCCTGCATAAAGAAATATTAATGGATAAAAATATACATATAGCATGCCTAAATGGCAATCAGGAGCTTATAAATACATTAATATTTGAGGAACCATCATGTATAAATAGCCGTGATCAAGATCAACGAACACCGTTACATTGGGCGTGTGTTGGATCACATATAGATATTGTTTTTTGGCTACTTGAAAGACCAGATATTGAGGTTAATGCAAAAGATGAAGGGGGTTTGAATAATTAAATTGAAAGGAATATGTCCCTTATATTTTTTTTGCAGGTTGGACAGCTCTTCATATTTCAGGTAATTTTTGATATATATATAAATATATGAAGGTTGAAATGTCAAAAAAAAATACAGCATCACTTGGAAATGAAGCAATAGTAACAAAGCTTTTATCGTTAGAAAGGTGTGATGTGTCAGCAAAGAACCGTGGAGGACAAACAGCATTGTAAATATCCTTAAATAGATTATTAATGACTAATTAAATTGAATAAGACATTATGCAGTGAGTAAAAACCATATAAAGGTTTTTATTATGTTTTAAATAATTTATCTGAATGTTTTGGTTGAAGATAGCGGAAAAAATCCTTAAGAAAGCACCATTTTTAGTAAATGAGAAAGATAATCAACATCAAATAGCGCTACATCGTGCATCAGCTATTGGATCTATAGCATTAATTTATCTTCTTCTTTCTAGGGGATCATCAATAAATGCATTAGATATTGGAGGAAATACACCACTTCATCATGCATTTGAAGAATGCCACCCAGAAGCTGTTATTGAATTATTAAAACAAGGTGCAGATCCATTACAGAAAAATAATGATAATAAAACCCCAATAGAAGTCTGTGGTGATATAGATGTCAAGAAGAAAATATTGTTAAGGTGTAAAGATGAAGGAATAAAATTATTAGTTTAGAAAAACTATTATTTGTTCTAATAAATTAGAATATTTTAGCTATTTAATATTATATTTTATTGAAACAATAAAGATTCATTTTAGTTCTTGAGAATGTTTGAATTTTGCAATAAGTTCTTCTATTTGTTGAGTATATAATTTTTTCATATCAGCAATATCATGTTTTAATTCTTCTTCTTTCTCAGTTTTTTCTCCAAGGAGTTCTAAACATTTTTCATGGCGTTCATTTAATTCTTTCAATTTATCCTCTAAAATGTGTATTTTATTATTTAATTCTTTATTTTTTTCAACTTGAATCATCAATTGAACACATTCATTTCTTGCATCATCTCTTTGCTGGATTATTTGATTAATTTCATCACGTTTCATAGATAACTGGCTTTTAAGTTTTTGAATTGATAAACTAAGTTGTAATATTATGTTAATATTTGGTCCGACTTTAGACATAAAAGTATCATTATCAGAAAAATTTAATAAATGAGGATTAGGTAATGCAGGAACAGATTGAACGGATTCATTATCAAAATAAGCATCAGAATTGTTATCATTTTTGTTATCATTTTTATAATTTTCAGAACTGGTCGGTAAATGAGGCGATATATTTTGTATAATTAAGTCGCTAGAATGTCTCCTTTGATAGGAAATATCATTCATGGAATTTGAAAGAATAGATGAATTCAGTTCATTGTGCTCTGAAATATTATGACCTTTATATTGTAAATCAAAATTATTATTGACTAATGGTATTTCTATAAGTTTGAGACATGTGAACTAACATTTTTAATATATCTTTACCGTCGTCAATTAATTTAGGTTTTTCCTCTGCTTTATATTGAGTTTCAAATGATAATTTTAACTCCTTCAATTCATTTTTATAGGTAGAATTTATTTTAACAATAGTTTCTTCAAGATTAAAAACTTTTTTTGCAAGGCTTTCATTTAATAATTTTGTATCTTTAAGAATATTTTCATTATCAAATAGTGTCATTTCTAATTTTTCCATTTTCTCATTCTTTTATTTAATCAATAATAGAAAAAGTTTAAAAAATATTTCTTACCATATTCTTTAACTTTAATGTTTCTTCGTTTATAATTTTAAGATACTTTTCATTTTCTTCCTGCAAAAGTGCATTTTTAGTTAACATATCGCTTTTTTCCTCATTCCAATTTTGAAAAGCAGTAAAATACTGAGTCTGTAATGATTCGTTTTGTTGTAACAAATTAGCATGAAGACTAGAATTCGCATTATGAGATACTTCTTCTAGTTCGTATCTTAAAGTTTCAATTTTTCCTTCTAAAACCTATAGAATGATCAATTGATTTATTCGGGGTTAAATTTTAAAATTACAGATATTTCTTCAATATAAGCTTTCTCTTTAGAAAAAAAATCTTTTCTTTCATTTTCTAAAAGAGAATATAAAGAATTAATTTCTGATTTGCTTTTTTCTTCTAGTAAAGATAAATTAATATTTGCTTCATTTAATTTATCAAGTAAAGAACATGATTTCGACTTTTCAATTTCTAGCTCTTCTAAATGTTGACGACTCATTGTTTTTTTTATAGCTATTGTTGTATCTTCCAGGTTTTTTAATTCATTATTTTTCTCATTCTATAAAGATGAATGATAAATTATTTAGATAAATATTATAAACCTCAAGCCGGATTTGTTCTATTTTCAGAAGATCTAATTCTTTTTCAATCCCAGACATCCCTTTTAACCGATTCGAAAGTAATTTATTATTTTCTGATACATTTTTTAGCTTTTTCTTTAAATCTATTAGTTCTGATTCCATTTTTTTAGTCTTATTTTTCATTTCATTGGCGTCCTTTTCACTCTTTTCTATTTTAGAACGAAGACTTCTAATAATTGAAAGATGTTTTAACTCTTTTTTGGACAGTTCTTCCCCTTCTTCTAATAAAATTTGTATTTTTTTATCTTTTTCATCTATTGCATGTTTTAGAGATATAATATCTAAACCAACAAATTCATTAGATGATACAGAACTTTCTCCTGTATTTATATAACTTTTTTTTCCTGTTTTTTTTAAATCTACATTATTAATCTCTTCCTTTTTAATAGTATTTGGCATAGATGCCGGAAATACAAGAGAACACCGATTTTCTGTAATTTCATCTGTTTCATAAACTGGACACCATTCAGTTTTCTTTTCTTTTTTTTTCTGGCTCAATCCAATAGAATGTAAGTAAGTACTCATAACATCTAACTTTTCTTGTATAAGAGATTGACTTTCTAAAAAACGTCCAGAATTTTGAACACTTGAGACGATTTCCACAAGTCTATCCTGCATTAGCTTCCTTGGGCTGTTATGATGTGATTTTGTCGGTGATTTTTCCAAAGCAGATGATAAACTATTTGATAAACCTAGAAAAACAAATTAGCTCAATTTAAATCATTCAAAACCTTTCAAAAGCAATATAATTATATAAAAATAATACATTATTTCAATATTAAATTATACCTTTTGCATCATATTTGAATTGTTCTACATTATTAATAGTCTTTTTTAAGAAATCACTCCACATGATAAAATTTTTTTTAAAATATTATTTTTTCCTTAAATACATTTAGAAAATCTAAAATATTATATATTTATCTTACCTTAATAATTTTCATATTATTTACCTAAGATATGATCTTTTTTAAAGCTTACGCTAGACAACCGCTAAGTCAAGATAGATAAAATAAAATGATTAAGAGTATATAAGAAGTCCTTTTTATCGAAAAAAGATATTCTAAAATCCTTGAAAAGATTGTTGTATTTAATAAGGATCGTTTTTTTTTTTTTTGAAGGATAATGAATATATATGAATAAGTCAGGTCTAAAAGTAATAAATATATAAATGTAAAATATTAAAGAATATAACCTTTGTAATCCAAGATTTATTGATGTTTTTTCCTTAAATCGTTAAAAAATGTATTTAGAATAGAATGCAGAAAAGTTGGGTATAAATAGAAATGCGTATAGAATTTTATAATTGTAAATTAGAAAAAGTTAGGTGAAAAAAGAACTAGTAAAAATCTCGTATTGTTTGTATAAGTAAACGTAAGCACTTTAATAAAATATCTAGAATAAGAATGATTAAAATAGGATTTTTAATTCCTATATATGTAAATATATAAAAAAAAATGTAATAAAATACCAAGACTGTGACATAAATAACCGAACAGTAGTTAAGGCTTCAAATTTTACATCGGAATCAGTGTGTGTCATTAATTCCATAACTTTTTGTTTAGCTCCAAGTTTTTGCACATGCCTAAATATATCAGAAAATGAAATAATAATAAAAAAAGTCTTTACGATTTCCCAGTTGGATAATATTGAATAAATTTACCTATATCATGAATAGCTACTGCTAGAACAAGAGGATCTTTTGAAGAAATAAGTAAACGAACTAATTTTTTAAGTAATAGGCTATCATTATTCATTAATTTAAACGAATTTTCTTTCCAAAATTTCTCTGATGAATGTGAAGGTGTCCAGCTTAAATGTCCAGACTCTATTTCTAAAATATATTCATCAAATGTACTAATAAATTGAAATTGTTATTTATTAATAAGGATATACATACGCTAATCCCTCGAGATCTGCCTTTAAACTCGTTTTTACATAATCTATATCTTCAATTGCTTCTTTGTCAAGCCATTTTTTATCTGAAATAGTTTCTGTAAGTGGAAGAAGTTTAATAGCCAACATAGTTGAGAAATTTTCAGAATGAGCCAAGTTAATTAAGTTCTAGAAAAAAAATAAGTTACAATAAAAATACTCTGTTTCCAAACTCTAAATATAGCAAAAATAACACGAATTATCTTTTCCTTTATAACGTTTTTTAATAAATTAACCAAAATAAGGATAATACTATGTCGTCTACAAATAAAAAACATGTATAACAATAATAATAATAATAATAATACCTGTTAATTTCTCTTGATATTTTTGGTTCAAATGTAATAAGCCATATAACAAGTAATGTATGGTATTGCAATTGTAAATTATCATGATTGTTTTTTAAAATACATATTAAATTTTGCATATATGATGATTCTTTCCAAAACTGAAGACGATTAAATGATGTTTTAAGCACTTCAATTAATGCTTGAGCTGCTAAATCTTGAATATTAAGATCAGACGATTGACATAGAGAAGAAATCCATTCAAAAAAACGTGAAAGAATATTTATAGGAATCAATGGTACTGAACTACTAGAATTAATCTAATAACATACCATCATTCGATCTACCTAATTAACGTTGCAATCATTTTGCCTGATAATAAAGATATAACTTGATCATCATGTTTTAACAATCTGATTTCAAATAAAATACATTAACCTCATATTTTTACAAGAAAAAATCTACCTTAACAACGGAGAGAATGGAAGGTTCTCCTTATTCTTGTATAAAAGAAGAATATTAGAAAACTCCGGAACATCTAGTAATATTATCAATACATATATATATATATATATAGCAATTAATCCACCATCAAGAAGATCTACACACAGATTCAACAGATATTGAAGAAGATCAATCTTTTGTACATTCTGAAACAATCTCAGAAAAAGTTCTGCATATTCTTTCCCCTCCTATATATCCATTTAAAATCCCTCTAAATAACCCGGAAAAAAACGAAAAATTCACCTTCAAAAGAAGTGCCGAGCGCTCCCTCTTCGGCTGCCAATCTAACGCCTTAATCCTCCTGATATCTGTACCTGTTATTAATCCTGCCCGTTCATGTCCTTCCCATGGCATAGGCCGTGAGCGAATGCTGGATAAAAGGTTCTCTAAGAACACATTGGTTTGTAAATTCCAGGAAGAAAGCTAAGACAGTTAAGTATTTTATTAGGAAAATATAAATATTCTACTTCTCTGTAGGAATTCTGCATAATCCTAAAGGTTTTCAGTGCAGCAGAGGTTAGGTGTAGGCCGTAAAAAAACAAAACGATCGAGAGAAAGAGGTCTAGATAAGGGTTTAAAGGCGCATATAGCCCGAGAATAGCAGCTTATTTGGGGTATATTAGCATATGGCAGCATAATATGCGCGGATTTATTTTATTGAATTGGTTTAATTGGTATTCTAGTTTTTTGCGTGAATTTTAGAGGGGCCAAGATTTTGAAAGTAAAATTAAAGCGCATACAGCCCGGTAAACACGTCTTATTTGCCATATTTTATGGATTGGAGGTGTATATTTTGATATTGGGGGGCCTAAAAGAAGAATATAAGGTGTATTAATATATAAGGAAGATCTGGATGAAGATAAAAGATTGAAGAAGAAAAGAGTTTTTTATACAGGAAAAAGGAGATAAAGAAGGTTAAAAAGATGTATTATGTATGGATATATGCGCTAAACAAGCTAGAATTGGAGTCCGTATCAGACTATATCTAATGAGATGCAAAGAGGAAATAAGCTTAATGTGGATAAAAAGAGGGAGAAGAAGCGTTATCTATACAAGAAAAACAGTGTTAATATTTCTGGAAATCATGGTAGAACAAGAAAATCTGGGAAACCCCCAAAGATAGAGAAAAAAATAAGTAAAAAGGTAAAAAAAATGAATTAATAAGTTATTTTTTAAACGGGAAGAAAAAGATGAATATAGAGAACGATTTTAGTGAAAAAGAGGATGTTAATGTTCCAGAAAATAGTCAAAAAAATCATATAATAGAAGAAAATTTGAATACTTCCTTATCGGTTGCTATGGAAACCGATAAGGAAGTACCTTATTATCAAAAGAAATTGGTATTTATGAAGGGTTATGATAGTTTATTTATATTTAAGAGGGTTTAGGAGGTTGAACCTAATGTTGAATGGTATTTAGAAGAGGTTTCTATTATTTCAAGTAAAAAGACGAGTGAAAAAATTAGTGATAAATTTGCAGAAGAGTTATATATACAAGCAAAAAAGTATCTTGAGATTGAAGAGGAAGAATATATTAGATTTCAGTATAAGTCATCATCGGATAGGCGTTTTTTTGATAATATTATGAAATCAGGAACATTGAGTGATAGAATAAGTGCATTGGCATTATCAATACAAGAATCACCATTACATTCATGGAAAAATATGAGAATGTTGTTAAATATGACGAAAAAAAAAAGCAGAACAGAATGTTTACAAAGTGTTGAAGCGTTAAAAGATCTTTTTATATCGACGGTATTGCCAAACCGAAAATTAAAATATTTTAAACAACAAGAATTTCTTGGATTTAAGGATGTGACTAAAAAACATTTAATTTTATGGGCATTTGAAGATTTTTTAAAGCATTATTATTTCGAATATTTGCAGGTTATTGAAAATCTTTTGAAAAATTCTTTATCTTTTTTACGAGCACGTATGGTGGGTTGTGTATTTGAGTTAATAAGAGATAAACCGGAGCAAGAACAAAATTTGCTGAAACTTTTGGTAAATAAATTGGGTGATCCAGAAAAGAAAGTTGCGTCAAAAGCATCGTATTGTATTTTTCAATTGACTACAGTACATCCTGCTATGAAAGAAGTTATTATATCTGAAATTGAACAATTCCTTTTTTCTCCTTCAACATCACAACATGCACAATATTACGCGATAATTACTCTTAATCAAATGGTTTTATCAAATAAAACAAATATTGCAACATATTTGATTAATATTTATCTATTATTTTTTACTAAACTTACAAAATTATCACAAAATGAAAATGCAACAGCAAAATCATATAAAATTCCTTGGAAAGCGAAGAATAACTTAAAGAAAATGAAGAAAGGTGATCATGATATATATGAAAAAGAAATAAATTCTAAACTAGTTTTGGCTATTATATCAGGAATAAATAGAGCCTTTCCTTTTTCAAAGATTGATGACGGAGTGTAAATTGTTTTAATCATTAAAAATATTATTAATTTTAATAGATTTGAAAATCATGTAAATGCATTATTTGTGGTTATGCATGGTATTAATTTTAATACTTCAATTCAGGCATTAATTTTGATTTTTCAAATATCAAAATATAAACAAGTAAATTTATAGATGCGTTTCTAAATTATTTTAATATTTTTCAAGGCTATTGTCGATAGATTTTATAAAGCTTTATATGAATCAGTTCAAGATTTTAGATTATTTAATTCATCTAAACAGATTATGTATCTTAATCTTCTTTTTAAAGCTATCAAAGCAGATACAGATAAGACGAGAGTAAAATCCTTTGTAAAAAGGTTAATTCAGTATGCAAACATGTATCAAATAACATTTGTTTGTGGGATAATGGTTTTACTTAATGAGGTTTTTATTTAAATTTTTATAATTTTTTTTAAAATGTGAAGCTTGAGACAATTCATCCAGAAATAAAATCTTTATATAACAGATATGAAGAAACTTATAATAAAAAAAAAAATGGACCTGTCAATATCTTGAATGGAAGCAAAATTGAATCATCTATAAAAAACAATAATATATCTATTTTACAGGACACTTCAAACAAGTATGATGCTTATAAACGAGATCCTCGTTATAGTAATGCAGATAATTCTTATTTATGGGAATTGGTAAAAGAAAATTATATTTCATTTCAAATATTCATTTTTTTAGATCCCTTTTCTTAATCATTTTCATCCAATTATATCTTCATTTTCAAAGTCATTATTACATGGTTATCAAATATCATCAAAACCTAATCTTTCATTATTTACACTTTCACATTTTTTGGATAAGTTCACATATAAAAATCCTAAAACTAAAATTATATCTCGAAGGAGTTCTATTATACAGCCAATATCTAAACAAAATAGAAGAAAGTTTTTATCTATATCAGAAGAATTTTCAGATAAGCCTTTAAATAATGAATCTTTTATCAATCAGAAGATTGATCAAGTTTCTCCTGATGAGATTTTTTATTTCAGATATTTTTCTCAAAAACAGGCTATAAATGATAAGAAAAAGTCAGCTAAAATGAAAGCTACTTCTCTTGACAATGGTAATAAAAAATTATATTAAGGATATTTACTAATATAAATAATAATTAGAAAGTATTGTTGAAGATATTTTAGATGAAAACTTAAGTGAAGATATTGATGATCAAAGTGGTATGAGTGATGAAGGATATGATGAAAGCGATATTGACTTTAATGAATCTGAAGATGATTTAATTGATGACGAGCTTATAGATGAAGAATTATCAACTATTTCAATTGGATCAAAGCGTAAATTAAGTGAAAAATCAAATCATGTTAAAGGAAAAAAACTAAAACAATTGCCTATTTTTGCATCTGCTAATGAATATTCTGCCATATTAGAAAGTTAATATATTTTTTTAATAATAAATTTTGATCTAATAAATTGAGACAATTATTATTAAATAAAAGATTAAGATGTTGAATTATTTATTTCTGAAGATCGTGCATTAATTAAAAGAATGGGGTTTCTAGATTTTATAATACTAGATTTATAATTGATCATAAAGTTAGTTTTCAATTTTAAATAATTATTATTATATACTATATTTTTAATGAATTGATTTCTTTGACTCTTTTCATGTTTAGATATAATACTTAGAGTTTTATTCATAAGATAATAAAATTATTGCACTTGTACTAAGAAAAATTATAAATTATTATATGATATTTTTAATATTTTCAGGTTTCACATATATTTTTTCTCCTGTTTTCCTTATCTGAACCTCAAGTTCTCCTGTTTCTTTCCAATGTTTTCCTATAATTATAGTATATGGAAATCCTATTAAATCAGAATCTTTCATTTTCCATATAAAACCTTTATTTTTTCTATTATCTATAATAATAGAATCCTTTTCAAAATAACAAAAAATCATGTCATATACTTTATATAACATATGATCTAAATCAGATGTTGATATAATTACAGCCTTCCAGGGTGCAATGGTTATTGGCCAAATTAACCCTTTGTCATCTTTATTTATTTCTGCTATAGAAGATAATATTCTTGAAATCCCTATTCCATAACAGCCCATTTCAATTGGCAAAATATTATTATCTTTTTCAGATGTAAATGTTGCTGATAAAGCTGTTGAATATTTTGTGCCAAGATAAAATGTATGTGCTAATTCTATACTTTTTTCAAATATCAAAGGGTTAGAACATCTGCAGCACAAATCATTTTCTTTTGATTTAGTAATAGAAGCTGTTATCAATCTATTTTGAAAACATTTTAAATGATTTGAATATGTAAAAGAGCTAGGATTAAAATTCTCATCAAGAATATGAATAATTTCATTTCTGTAATGATTTTTAGCTTCATTTCCTGTATCACTTTCTGGTATTATAGTAAATGTTTCTGAATTTATATTCTTCATAATTTTATTCAGAAGTAATAGATTAATTTCCCTATCAATTGGCACATATGCAATCCCCATAATAATGTTGTTCATATCCTTGATATAGAAACAATTACAATCCCCTAATCTAAATGGAATTCTAGATTTTGATTTAACATGTGCATATTCTTCATTTGAAACATATCCACATGATTTACACATAATAAGAGTATCTTCACCGCCTAACATATACAATTAATTCTAAAAAGAGTTAAAATATCTTTATATTACATGAAAATATAACATGAAATTCATGAGAAAGATCTCCTCCAATATTACCATTATTTGCCTCTGCCTATATCATTTAAAAATACATAAAATCTAAATCCCATAACTACCATAACTATTGGCAATTCAAGCTTAGAAAAAATCTCCTTATATGTATCACATATTAATTTATAAGTCTGTAAAGCATCTTCTTTAGACTTATCAAATGTATATAAATCATTCATAATAAATTCACAACCCCTCAACAACCCTCTCCTGGGTCTCATTTCATCTCTAAACTTCTTCCCTTCATATTATTAGATTATACTCAATAAAAACCTTATTTTATTGCCTGTTTGATATAATTTTAAAGGCAATTGTCTCCAACTTGATATTTCTGCTGAAATTAAACTCGTTATTTCTTCTTCATGTGTAGGGGAAAGGCAGTACTCTATTCCCCTTCTATTTTTCAGTTTAAAAAGCTATATATAATGAATATTTTAAAGTATTATAGTTAATAATAAACTTCATTCCCTAATAAATCCCATCTTCTTGATTTTTTCCACAAATAAGACGTCAAAAGATTTGGTAGGCATATCTTAGATGCATCTAGAATATTACTTTTGAAATAAATCTCATTTATAGTTTACTGATTTTATATAATGATGTATCAATAATATTTTCTATCTTTTCTTGAACTCTTAATGCCAGTGGCAAAACTGTATATATTCCTGATGATGACTATCATCATTGAGCATAATATTAACCTGTTATTTCATACTTGACGCAGAAATCCCGCCTTAATTAAGAGATCATGTCCACTTTTATCTTATAATCTTAAATTATGCCATAATTATCAGTAAAAAGTACCTATTTTTTGAGGATTCTGATAAGAAACAGTATTTGGAATAAATATATTGCTTAAACATGGTCTTGAATGGCTCTATATAACCTATTAATAAGTAAAATAAGAAGAAAAGATCTTACAGAGGTAAAATTAAAGCGTTTATGAGAAAAGAATAGAGTATATGAATTGAAAAACAAGTTCAATGAGAAAACAAGATATTCTGAGGGTTTTTTTATATAATTTTTATTATAAAAATTAATTATCATAATTTTTGAATAAGTAGCCGGTTAAAAAATAAATAAATTAGTAATAAAGAGCATTAAATGATATATACAGGATGTTTTTGTGATGAATGATGCAGAAGGGTCATAAAATATGTTTTTTGAAAAGTTATATATCGAATAAGTCAAGACAGAATTCAAAGAAGATATAGTCTGTATATTCGTCATTAATATGAAGATTTTTCATGAATGTAGAAATGTTTTTATCAATGTTTTCGTCTTGAGAAGTATTTTCGAATGATTTTCTTGTATAATTTTTATCAGAAAAAGAAGAATAAATTGTACTTAAAGCTTTCTTGGCTTTATTTTTGTATTTTAAATTAGGCTTTAGAAAGTTAGTAAAATAATATATAATATAATAGAAAATGACCTTTATGATGACAGGAATAAAATTAGGAGGGTTTCCATATCTTAAAATACTTTCAACAAAAACCCTTATAGCTTTTAAATGTATCCATGCTTGAAATATATCATTAAAAGACGTCTGTGCTAAATGTAAAACTTCAGACTAATAAAAAATGAATTATATGAAAGATTATTATTATAAAACTAACCCAAAGTTTGTTTTCCTTTTTTCGTGCATTTTCAAGAGCAACTGCTTCTTTTGTGGAAAGGTTATCTTCATATTGAAAATCTCTAGGTATAAATCTAATGATAATTAATTTTAAGAAAAAAAAGATGACCCTACTAACGCAATTTCTCGACATTTTTGTTTAAATTCTTGTGTATATTTTTTGAAAACCACAACAGTATAAAGAATATATTTATCATCTTTCGTAATTTCACTGCTTTATATCAATATATTGATAAAAAATAATGACAAATTTACAAAGAAGAGCGACATACAACCATTGGTGTAAGAGTTTCATAAGATGTAAGCCAGAGTTTTTCGTTAAAACTAAATAAAATAAGACAATGCTAAAAAAATATTATAATATAAACATAGGCACAGAAATAAATAATGTTTCAAGATATTGTGATCCCAAGACCACATGTTCCCTTTTTATAATGTTTGTTAGAGTACGTTGTGACAAATCTCCACTATACATTATATTAGACCTCCAATATATCAAATAATATAATTATACATATATTTCTTCTCCAACGCACAAAGATTCTTCTTTGCTTGGGTATACAATTGATATTTTATTTTTAAATCTTCTATTGAAAAAAGTTCCTACCAATTCTTTAGCCTATATATATATATATGATGTCTCTAAAACTTTATCAATTATGCTTATTAAAACACCAATAGAAAGATCCGTCCTATATCTCATAGAATCCCATTGAAATGTTTGAATATATTGCTCAACCGATTCTAATATTTGCTTAAAAATACATGTATATATAACTAAAAAAAACAAACTATTGTCTACTGTTAAGTGTTGCATACACTTTTCAAGTTCATTATCTAAAACTATTCGAAGGATTTCATGTATTTTTAAAATACAATCTTTTGCTTGATCATCTAGCCGTGAAAGATCCTCACTTTGACAAATCAAAGAATCCAAGTCTCCAATCTAAATATCGTCAAAAATACAATTATAACATATAGAAGCATCTGTTTATCAACTTTTAGCTGCGGTATTATAAATTTAAAGACATTTGCATAGTTATTTCCTGCACAAGATAAATGATTCGTAAAATCCTCTAAAACCGCTCGTTTTTGATCGGATTTTTCGGGAATAGAGACTAACCAGTACCAGCACTTCATGTTTTTCTCAAGAAATCCGTGTTTTAACGGCTTATTCACTCTAAAACAGAGATTTTTTTTTTTTAGAAAAAGTTGTCGTTATCGTTTATACCACCGACAAATATTTATAAGGTTAACTAGAAGGAGAGATATTTTTGCCCAAAAAGAGTGTATTAAATCGCTTTTTTTTGATATTCTGACTTGAATTCTTATTTCAATCATATAGATATATATAAGGTCTTTTTTCCGCAGTGAAAAACGCTTTTTTTGGCCTAAAAAATAAATTTATAAATTTTAACATAATCTAGATGGAAAAGAACAGTATAAACGGGGAAAAAATAGGTAAATATAAAGGGAATGATCGAATTTATCAAGTGGAATAATATTTTGAAAGAACCAGCCATTGTTCTTGGAAAAGAATTTGAAGAATATGCAGCTATTTTTGATAAATATAAAGATATAGAAATATTCGGGGAAACAGGTTTACTTTCTAAGTATTATATGTATGGACAAGAAAGGTTTATTTATTTTTATAATTTGTGTATTTTTTTTGTAAGAAGAAAAGGCTGGATACATTGATGGAGTCAGAAGTAGAGGAAGATTGTCCAGAGATTGAGCAATGGGATTTAGAATGTAAGACATGGGATCTTATTCAGAGATTATATTCGTAATTATTGTTGTATATATTACAATTTTTAATGAAGGTAGTCATCGTATACAAAAATCATATGAATTACCTAATGTTCATGAATATTCATCAAATGTTGTTTTGGAAGAGGCATTTTATATTCAAAATCCAAATGCAATGGAAAATACGGTTTTTTGTGTATATGTTATGTATGTATTTTTTGTTAATGATAATTAGATTATATTGAATTGGTTAAAAGATATTTTTTTGGAGCCACCATTATTAGAAATAACAGAGAAAAAATGGCTATATACAAGGGAGAATATAAGAATGAAAAGGTTACAAGGAAAGTCATATAAAGAAGATGAATTAATTGATGAATTGGACCCTGATGCACCTACAAGACAACGAAAATTTTTGGATAATAGAGATTCCGTAAGATTTTGTTTTGTATTTTTTGATAGTTTACTCTTTTATAGGAATATGAACGTAAATTTCTTCGTAATTTATTTTTACTTATAAGATGTGGAGATTTCGATAAAGCATGTGAGCTTTGTAAAGATACAGGGAATTTTTTGAGATCAGCTATTCTTCAAGGATGTATTGAATACAGAGATCCATTGATTGGTATATTCTTTTATTATTATTATATTTCATTAAAAATATAAAAGATGAAAATAATGTTGAATTGGGCGTTATGGGAACTAAAAGAAAACAACTTTGGAAAAAGATGTGCTATCAATTGTCTAAACATACAGATTTAGATCCTTATGAAAGAGCTCTATATGGAGTTTTGTGTGGAGATCTTCAATCAGTATCTTTCATTTCGATAGTAATATTAATTTTTTTAATATCTCATTAGGTGCTTCAAGTTTGCGAAACATGGGAAGATTATTTATGGGCTCATTATAATTCTATTTGTGAACATCAAATAACTATGGTTAAGACTAGAAATAATAAAACGTAATATTCATGTTATAATAGAATCTTAAACAGCTTGGAAAAATTAAGCAATCTCATGATCTAGTTATTCCAAATATTGATTCGATTTCGATATCTTCTGTTTTAGAAAGTTTAGCTCATAGTGATAATGAATTAATAAGGTATATAATTCTTTTGATAATTAATTCATATGTTATTAGAGATTCTGCAAATGAACCGATGAGAATTATTCAATCAAAAATTATAACATCAAAAATTAATGAATTAATTTTGAATCTTAATATTCAATTGCAGGATATCCGAAATGGAATAAGTCCTGTTGATGTAACGTCAATTCCGTCTTTTTTGAGATTTGTTGTTCATTTTATTTTAATGTTAAAACAAACAAATATAGCAATTGATCATAATAATTGCAATAATTTAATACAAGCCTATATAGAATTATTGGCTGCTGGCGGTAAAGTAAGTTATATTTATTTTAAAATATTGATCTTACAATTCATTAGCAAGATATTATTCCATTGTATGTTGCTCAACTTCCTCCTGATATGTCTTTGGAAATTTATGCAAAATTTTTAAGTAGTATGTTAAATATAAACCAAAATCATATTTCTAATATACAAAGATATTGATGACGATCAAGAACGTGTCAATCAACTACGTTTATCTTCTAAATATAAACTTGATATATTAAATTCATTGAGAAGGACTGTCGATATTGTGTATTCTGAAGCATTAATCAAAGATGATATTTTTACTTCATTTACTGGCGAATTAACTCCTATTACAGATACTCCATCTGAATGGGATTTACATCAAATTAGAGCTTTAGAATGGATGAAATCTTCTGAAGATCTCAAATATGATATTATTTTTAAAGGAAATATTCTTTATAGACGTTTTCTTCGTATGATTCTACTTAAATAAATTTCAAATTAATGTTTTTAGTAAAAGGAAAATTAAATGCTGCTCAAGCATTGAATTTAAGATTATCTTCATCAATACTAATAACCAAGGACATGGTTAAAAATGATGATAGTCCTGGAAACGATAAAAAATTCAGACATGCTGTTGAATATTTAGGCTATTCCTCTTTATGTACTGGATATATGAGATATGAAAATTGGAAAAATATCATGTCAAATAGTCAAAATGAATCGTAATTGCTATTTTAATGATAAATTCTTTGCTTATTTTTTAATATAGTAAAAATAGAAGCGATTTTTCTGGAAAAAGACAATGGAAATTAGATCTTCAAGTTAGTTAATCTCTTTTTTTTTAAAAAATCTAAAACTTTTTTTTTAGAAAGCTGTAGAAGAATGCGTATCAACATTTCATGAATTCATTCAAGGAAATTGGTTACATCCTGATACTCTTTTTACATCAGAAACGGAAGGTATTTAACATATTCATTCACATCTTATTTTTATCAACTACTACTTCTTAGATCCAATCATCTACAACGAACTCGTAAAAATAAGAAATATCTACATCCCTGATATCGTTTGTCTTTTACATAATGTTTATTACGAAACTCATACTTTTTTTCCAAGGTATATACTAATTTTTATTCTATTCTTTTATACATATATTTATCATTATTTCTTATAGAAATCTTCTTTCATGTTTGGAACTATGCTCTATTGTTGCTGATCATGATAAAAAAATTTATCTTTCATTTTTATCTTGTCAACGAATGCCTCAATATTTAAAATTGGTACGAAGCGCTTCTATTGCTATACTCGCTTCTCATAATAATTCTAAACCATTCTTTTCAAATATATAATCTTTGATTTCATACATTCTTCTTACACCACTTTCTTCTAACACTACACACTAGGGTCCTACTATCCCCCCATTTTATACTCATTTCACACCTTCGATTTATTCTCCATATCACCTCTCTCAATCTCTACACTAATTCTAATCTATACAAAAAACTCTCAATCTATGTATATTGATTTAATATTTCTCTCTCTCTTTTTGGGGTTGACTATTTAACTTATCGGCTTAGTATTTATTTAATATCGCAATATAAAAGTATCGGGTTTTACCATATTTAGTTATTTTCTCCGTTTACTTAATCTATCGATAAATTAGGCTCTCATCATGAATATCTTGAGGTTATTAGAAAAAATGCAGTAAAATAAGAAGGTTTTAGGAGTATATTGAAGGCAATACGCCGTTATAAAAAGGTATAAAATGAATATTTATAGTTTTATTTAACAGTTATAGAGATTTTCTAGGAATGGATAAAGATAGGAAAAAAGTGCCGATTATAAAAATTGAAGGACCGGTAAGTAAGAGCGCATATAGCTGGTAGAAAGAAGTTTTTTGTGGATATATGCGGTGAAAATAGTAATTTTATGTAAATATTTATGCTGGAATTATGATTAATGATTGAGGAGAGAGGGTTTTTAGATTTATCAATTAACGTATCTCGATAGAATGACGATGCAGAACAAGCGTTATCGGAGAAACAGAATCCGAGTGGACAAGTGTCCGGAGAGTCTGATCGAGAATCATATTTAGATTCGTTGGGTCAATATGAATGTCTTACGCAATGCGATACATCAACGCAATATTTGAGTAGGAATTCATGGGATATATCGGGGGCGACGTCATGTATAGCACATAAAACATTAGAATCGTACCCGTTTCGTGAGATGGCATTACGTACGTTAGCTATGAGAGGGTCAGGTCGAAAAAAAGGGCCATTTGCGTTTACGGCGGAGCAACTTGAGGTTTTAGTGGATCCTAGGAATGTAGAAATTCTTCGTATTATTGGTGGAATCGAGGGGTTATGTCTTGGGTTACATACGGATCCTCATTCCGGATTGAATCTTGATGAAAAATATGTTGCTAAAGAAGTGACGTTGAGGGATTTAATGAGTACGGAAGATTATATAATGTTGACCAGGATTGTATGTATGATTTTTAATTTTTAATGGATTTGATAGATATGAAAAAATGTGTCAAGATTATAAGGCGGAATGTCGAAATCTAGAAGCAACGGATAACGCTAAAAGGAAGTATATGTTGTTTTGGAAGAAAAAGAGAAGAAGGCAAACCTTTTCCTCAACATCAACCTCCTCCTCCTCCTCCTCCTCCTCACCCTATTCGAATCCATTATATATGGAACCAAAATTTTCCCGAAAATCGAATCCTATAAAATCATGTTTTAAAAGGGTTTTTCATTGTATTAATCTAACGTATAATCTTGTTTTACGGATGTTCTATTTCATTCCAAAATTAATGCTTAAGATTAAGCTTATACGAATTTTAAAAGAAGTATTTATCGGAAAATCGGAATCTTATAAGGAATTTTTAAGTCATTATGGTGAATCGTTTAAAACACGTATTTCAGTATTTGGCATTAATCGTACGCCTAAACGTCATATAAAGGGTATAATCCCTTTGATATTAAATGTTTTTAAGGATTCCATACTTATATTATTACTTTGTTCTACGATCATCTCTTTTGGTATCGATATATACTTTGGTTTGGTTCATCCTACGAATGATGAATCCCATGATTCCAAGTATATAAGGTTAGTTTTTCATATTATGAAGAAGAAGAAGAAGAAGAAGAAGAAAAAAAAAAAAAAGAGAAAAAAATCACTAATTTTCATTAGTGTGGATGGAATTGCTATGTTAGTAGCGATCGCTGTCATTTCAGTGGTTAGTGCGATTAATGATTATCAAAAAGAAGTAAAATTTGAACAATTAAATGCCAAGGTATTATTTAAACCGCTTCCTTTTCCCTTACCTCTTTCTTTTCTTTCTTTCTTTTGTAATTCTTTTTTTTTATACTTTTTTTTTAGAAAGAAAATCATGATGTTAGAGTGATTCGATCTGGAAGGCCAGTTTTCATTTCTGTTCATGATCTTCAAGTGGGCGATATATTACTTTTTGAATTGGGTGATCTCGTTCCAGCCGATGGAATTTTAATCGATAGTTATAATTTATGCTGTGATGAATCAAGTACTACCGGTGAATCCGATATGATTGAAAAAGTCACATGTTCCGTTTGTTTAACGAATACATCGCCTGACATGATATTCGATGACAAGTACGATCCTTTCATGATAAGTGGGAGTAAAATAATCGAAGGAACGGGGAAGTATATTGTCACATCTGTAGGTTCACATTCGTATTACGAAAAAATCATGGCATCTCTTCAAACAGAATTGGATAGTACTCCATTACAAATAAAATTATCCAAGTTTGCTCTTGGAATCGCAAAATTTGGAATATGGTAAATATCATATTATACAATATATGGGTTATTTGATCATGTGTAATAATTTTTTTTTTTTTTAGTGCAAGTATTTCCTTGTTTATCATTCTTTTTTGTCGCTTTTTGGTGTATTTATTGGATCATAAAAGCACGATTTACGAGAAGATGACCAATTTTATGAAAATCTTAATCGTTTCCATAACCATTCTTGTGGTAGCCCTTCCGGAAGGTCTCCCTCTTGCTATTACACTGGCTTTGGCATTTGCTACTAAGAAAATGTCTAAGGAAAACAATTTGGTTCGTCATTTAAGATCCTGTGAAACGATGGGCAATGTTACAACGATTTGTTCGGATAAAACGGGTACTTTGACGCAAAACAAAATGACATTGGTCGTTGGAACGATAGGTCTTTCTACGGAATTTCGAATCGACTCCGACTTGGAAATCGAAGAATCCACTGACATGACCACTTTGAAATCTTCTTCCCTTTTTGAATCATTAAACCCTTCGGTAACGCTGCTCATTCTTCAAAGTATCGTAGTTAGTTCAACCGCATTTCTAGCCACGGATAAACAGGGCAAAGCTTCTTTCCTAGGATCTAAAACGGATTGTGCTTTGTTAGAATTTGCTCAAAAGTATCTTAACATGGATAATCCCGATATCGAAAGGGCAAAGGTAGACGTGTTGCAATTTATACCATTTAGTTCATCGAGAAAATATATGGCATCTATCATTTCTTTACCTAATGGCGGCGCTAGATTGTATGTTAAAGGTGCTAGTGAAACATTGTTAGAGTATTCTTCATACGTACTTCATGATCCTTTATCCAAGGAATCAGATACTCCTTCTGTCTTACCATTAACACAAGAAGGAAAAGATTTGATATATAAAACGATTGTTAAATACTCAACGCATGCTTTAAGAACGATCGCACTTGTTTATAAAGATTTTGACGTTTGGCCTGATCATAATTTACAAGATTTAATAGTCGGTTCTGAGATTAATTTTAACAGTATATTTTCTCAAATGATTTTTGTCTCAGTACTGGGTATTATGGATTTATTACGAGATGGCGTTAAAGATGCCATTGAAACTTGCAAAAAAGCAGGAATCACTGTTAGAATGGTAACAGGTGATAATAAATTTACCGCTAGCGCTATTGCTAGACTTTGTGGTATTTATACGCCTGGAGGTATTCTTATGGAAGGTGTCGATTTTAGAATTTTAAGCTCTGAAGATATGGATTTGATTGTTCCTAGGCTTCAGGTTTTAGCTAGATCTAGCCCTGAAGATAAAAAAATCCTCGTTACTAAACTTAAAGAGCTAGGTGAAGTGGTAGCCGTAACCGGTGATGGTACAAATGATGGACCTGCTTTAAAAAAAGCGGATGTCGGGTTTTCCATGGGGATTTCTGGCACTGATGTGGCCAAAGAAGCTTCTGATATTATTTTGATGGATGATAATTTTTCTTCTATTGTTAAAGCATGTGCATGGGGTCGAACCATAAATCTTGCTATTAAAAGGTTTTTACAGGTATATATTATTATCATTTTCCCTTTAGTTTTTATCGCTTAAAAAGTCTTAAAATTTACTAGTTTCAAATAACGGTTAACATTACTGCGATATTTATTGTTTTCGTAACAGCCATAACCGATTCTAAAATGAAATCTATTTTTGCCCCAGTACAACTTCTATGGGTTAATTTAATCATGGATACATTCGCTGCATTAGCTTTAGCAACAGATCCTCCGAGTTCCACTGTTTTAAATCGTAAGCCTGAGCCTAAATCATCTCTTATCACTTTTGGAATGTGGAAAATGATTATTTCGCAATCTATTTATCAATTTGTTGTTATATTATCATTATATTTTTGGGGAGATACCATATTTAGATATAATAATGAACGTGCTTATATGTTTGATACTTTGCCTACTTTGATATTTAATGTTTTTGTTTTTATGCAGATTTTTAATGAATTAAAGTATAGGGAAAATCGTTTTAATTCGATTTAACTAACGTTTTACAGTTGTTGGAGATTAGGTAATGATGCAAATATTCTTGAAGGGCTTAAATCCAATCCTTGGTATATTTTTATTAATTTTATTATGATATCAGGGCAAATCATTATTGTTTCTTATGGTGGTAAAGCATTTCAAGTTAGTCCTCTTAATTTAGAGCAATGGGGAATTTCAATATTTTTGGGTGCATTATCGGTACTCGTTTTTATCCTAGTCAAGTATATTCCTGATGAGTTTTTGATGAAAATAATTCCTATTTCCTTTAAACAATCACTCTTAGATTCAGATAATCCATTTTCTAACAGACAAACACAATGGAATCTTACATCTTTACATGTTAAAGATGAATTGGTATTTCTTAAAGCTCTTAAAAATAGGTATGCCGTTGATTATTCCTGGAGGACTGAAAAAATGAATAAATTTTACGAAAAATTAACTCAAGCTGTTCATGTTGAAGGAAAGGATATAGAAAAAGCCAAGGATCTTTTATCCAAGAAAAAACATCAATTTTTTGTGGCACCTACTCTTAGAGCTGCTACTTTAGCGCCTGCAATAATGGCAGGTTCCATTGGAGGCTGCGTATCTAGTAATTTGTCACAGCAAAGTACTGTCTTTGATGATTCTTTACGTGATCGTGGTATTGAATTATATTCATTTACAAATTCTGATAAAACAACTAAACCTTCCGATTAAAATTTTAAAAAATATTTTGTTTTTAAATATTTTGAAATATAAAAAGAAAATATATCGTTATATTGTTTTTATATCATTATAGTAATGATCATCAATAAATTTATTCATCATAGGGTTTATTCGTTTTGTAAATTAAAAATTTCTTCGCCTTTCTTAAATTATAAAAGTTATTTAACAAATATTTCAGCATTTTTAAGACAAGATAAAAAATACATAAAAATGTTAGGGATTCTTTCGATTTCTTCATTTTCAATATTATTTGGTTATAAACTAAATGATTTATTGCGCAAAAATTTTTATAAGAATTATGATAAAATTACAGAGACAGATATAGATCATGGTATATTTTTTATAAGTGGGAAAAAAATCTAAGAAATTTTAAGTTAAAAAAGAGATTGAAAATTATATTGAATCCCATCCTTTAACAAAATCATTACGATCAAAATCATATATTTCTGAAACAAGACCTTATTTAGAAATTCCTTTAAAATTCAAGTCATTTAATTTTATATCAGGTCTACTTTTTGGTAAAGGGAGAATATCAATTGCTCCATATTGTTTTTATGATGAAAAAGAAAAGATAATTACATTTATTTTTCATTTAGGAAATCAAATATGTGGTTATGGTTATTTAAATTATATGATATTTTAAAAAAGTTAATATTTTTAGAAAATATTGTTCATGGAGGCCTTCTTGCAACGTAAATTTATATATTTTGCTTTATTTTATTTTATTTATATATTTATATATTTATAGGTTAATAGATGAAGGATTTGCAAAATGTGTAAGTTATTTTTTTTTAAGAAAAAGATCATATTTTTAATATATATAGTCATATTCAGTAGTTCCTAATAAGCTAAGATTTACTGCTAATCTTAATATTAATTATAAGACACCTGTTTGTTTTATATATATATATATATTCTTTAATTAATATAATAAATATAGGCAAAAGCAAATAATTATTATGTTCTTAAAGCAAAAGTTACAAAAATAGAGGGAAGAAAGACTTGGGTTGAAGGGAATATTGAAACATTAAGTTCATATTCATTATTTTTAAATAAAGAAACCAAACCTGTAATTATTGCAGAAGCAACTGCATTATTTGTATGTATTTATTTATTTATTTATTACTTTTAATTTATCTTTAGATTGAGCCTAAAAATCCTTTATTAATTAAGGTAAGTATTTATTAATAAAATTTTTGATTTTTATAATTTATATTATAGAAAAATATATCTGTTTAATAAATTTAGATTATATTTTTATTTAATATCTTAACTTATTTTTCTATCTAAATAAATGATATCTTTTAAATATATTTTTTTATATATAGTTGATTGATTTATTATTATAAAATGACAATTTTAATACAATTATGTCTAAGTTTTTCTAATATTAATAGCTTTAAAATTGTATATAATAATACCTTATAATACATTTTTAGTAAAATGATTATAAATTACTTTTAAAGCTTTAATATCCAAGTATATTTTATCAATTAAATAAATCCAAATATATTATTAAAATACTGAATATTATTTCCTAGAAAAAATAAACATTAGATCCTTTTATATATATTTTTATTGCTTTAAAATATGAAAAGGCAATAAAACTGTATATAATTGATTTTTTTTAAAAAAATAAAGATAGAAGAATCCATTTATATAAAAATTAAAATGTTTCTATTTAATGATTTGTATTTATTTAGTTTTTTCATCATTGTAAATTAATTTAGATATTTTACAAGTTCCAAATTTAAATATTCCTTATATATATTTATCAATTGCTATAAAAATGAAACTTTTAAAGTATAATTGTCATCTTTTGAACTACTTATGATCAATTGTTAAATTAGACTTTGTTATTTCAAAAGATTTTAAAACCAATAACTTGTATGTTTCATGTTATAAGAATTTAGTCAAATAATATATGTGATATCAAAATAAATAATAATTATAATGTTAATGCCGTTTTTCAGTCTGAATTCCAGATAATGGCTATAATTAAATCAATTTTTTATAAAGTCTAGCTACCTTAAATCAATAAATCAAATATATCAATAGTTCAAAGTAAATATATATATTATAAAAATTAATACAGACAAATATAATGAAAAATATGAAAGAATAACTAATAATTGCTTTGTTTTATATATTTATTTTTTTTATTTTGGATTTATTGTATTTTTTACAAAATAATTACTTAAAAGTTAAAAATATCCTATAAATTCAATCTAAATCCCTTAAAATACTACTTATTTAAAACCTTGATATAAACATAAGACTTATCTACCTATACCTTTCTTCCTACCTCTTTTTTTTTTAATTTCTTCTCTTGATATATTCATTCATTTTACTCAAAATAATAAATCATATCTCATCACATATTAATATTTAAACTTAAAATTACACTAAAATCATTCTTTCATATCTTTTTTTTGTTTTTTATTAAAATTTTTATCTCTTCATACACATATCTTTATTTTTTATTATCTATATCATTCTTTCCTTCCCCATAAACCCGTTTTTTCGCTTCTTCTAAAGCTTGTGTCCTTATACTATCATCCTAAACTTAATTTCTCTTTTTTTTATGTATATTTTTACCCTGTCTTTGGTTTATATATATATAATATAGTCGCTACAAGCATAAATCCTCCCATTCCATACTTCCAAATAGGAAGCCAATCCTGAGGCTCCTTATCCTTTGTTTATACCGTCATTTTCCAATTATTACTATCATCTAATAACCATTTTACCTCTCCAAATAAAACTGACTTAGGTTCATGATATTGGGGTGTATTTGTCCCATAACGGGCCCCTAAAACCCCACCAAATTCCTTTCTAAAAAAACCATATATAGATTTATTTAAATAATAACCGTAAATATAGTTATTTCTTGTATTTTTCCCTGAAATTTGGCTGATTTTGTGTAAAAACATTGATCAATCTCCCTCAAAACCCTAACCCTATCTATTTTTTCAGGTACAAAAATCTCCAATTTTTTCGAAGTCAAAAAATAATTTATTAAAATCTTTAAATTATACAATAAACTGTCATATAATTCCGTTTATATTGACAAATTTCTCCTTCTAAAAAGATTATTTTATTTTTTTTCTGCTTAAATTATGAAGGATATTTGCAAACAACAGGAATTAGTTATTCCAGACAACGTCAAGGTTGATATTAAGGCGCGGGTTGTCATAGTAACCGGTCCACGTGGATTATTGAAGCAAAATTTTAGGCATATCAATATTGATATTAGGAAAACACATATAAACAGAATAAAACTTACTGTATGGCACGGAGGAAGAAAACATGTTGCATGTCTTCGTACAGTAAAAAGTCTTATTAATAATATGATTACTGGGGTTACCCGAGGGTATCGATATAAAGTAGGGTTTAACCCTTATATATATATAAATATATATATATGAGAATAAGAGTAGGTAATTAATGAATATTTAGATGAGATTTGTATACGCACATTTTCCAATTAATGTAAGTATTGGAGAGGAAGGAAAATTGGTAGAAATTCGAAACTTTCTTGGTGAAAAAGTAGTACGCCGAGTAGCTATGTTAGAAGGAGTTAAAGTAGAATTATCTAAGAGTCAAAAGGATGAAATTATTCTTGAAGGTATTTCTCTTGAAAATGTTTCGCAATCAGCAGCATCGATTCAACAAATATGTAATGTTCGAAATAAAGAGTAAATTTTTGAAAATAAAATGCCATATCTAATTTTAATGTAGTATTCGAAAATTTTTGGATGGAATTTATGTTTCTGTAAGATTATAATTAATATTTTTTTTTTTAATATATATTTTTTTAGGCCCGTGAAACCATTGAAGAAGATTAAAAATCTGAAGTAATTTTTTATAAAAAAGTGTGTATAAATATGTAAGATTTATTTTAATATGAAATACTTTTTTGAAAAATATTTAATGAATTTCCCCTTCTTCACTTGATTCAATAGTATTTCTATCATTGTCATTATAATCGTTGGAATAATAATCTTTATCGCTTTTAATACGCTTTTTTTTTTAATAAATAAAATAATATAAAAGAAATAAGTTTACCTTTCTATATCTTGAATCATTTTCATTTTCGCTATCATGATTTCTATAACCATTATTTCTATAACCATGATAATCTTTTGTATAATGTAAATTATCATTAAATTCTCTAGAATCAGTATCTCTATTTTTTGAACTATATCTGAAATGTTTAGAACTTCGATTGCTTTTATGATAACTTTTTAAAGAAACATCTTTTTCTTTTAATCTGCGTAATTGTTTTTTAAATGCTAATTCACGGTCTTCTTCAGATTCAATTGCAAGAAATTCTTCTGTATGTTCAATTCTTTTTTTTACATCGGACCATGTACTATCTAATTGTATAGAAGGTCTAAGATGCTTTATAACATATCTTAAAGCACTAATTCTGCGTTTTCGTCGTCTTTCATCACTTCGTTTTTCATCTTCAAGTCTTTTAAATACTCTTTCACGCAACTATATTTTTTTTTAATAAAATTATTATTATAACAAAATTTTTACCATATTATAAATGAATGAAAGTGTACTCTCTGATAATTCTGCCCCTCTTTTATCTCTGTTTATGATTTCTGAAAATTGAGATAAAGATATTTTTTCATCAAAATCAATTTTTTGTTCCTTAAAAAAGCTAAATAAAATGATACACATATATATATATTGATACTAACTTCCATAATATCAAGTGCTAAATTCTTTTTATGTCTCATATCCCGTTCTGCATCTTCTACAATATCCCAAAAAAGATCTAAAGGTGTAGAGCCTGATTGTCCTAACATATTTTTATATCTTGCATCGTTTTTAATTATTGGATAAATAGTCATCCATTTTGTACCAGGACCTATTTTTTTTTCATGACGCAAGTCTTGTAATAATTTCTAATGAAAAAATGTAAATGTATTTTCATCCAAAAAAAAAAAATAAAAAAAGTATTTACCATAAATGCTTCACGATTCTTTCTTTCTGTCCGTTGTTTTTTAGCCTTATTTTCTTGTCGTTTATTGATAAATTCCCGTTCAAGTTCTTTAATATGGCTTTCATAAATAACTAAAATATCTAAATTACTTAATATTTTAAATTTTGGATTTGTTTTAAATTCTGGATGCTCTAAGAATTTTGCTTGTGCATTTGACCAACGAGAATATGGTTTTAATTTTAATGATTCAAGTAATACTAAAAATGAATCCATTGCTTCTCGTTTTACTTTTTGTTCATTCTCGTTTTCAATTCTTTTTAATTCCGCTACATATTCTTCAAAAAGCTGCCTTTTTTCCTCCTCATTTTCCGTAGCTTTAAATGCCGGTTCTCCTTCTAAAATCTCTCGTGCTACCCTAATTTTCAATAAGCTTTTTATATTTTTTTTTTTCCTTCTCTTTATCCCACTTACTTCCATCTTGTATAATACTTAATCTCCGAATGCATCCTTAATAAACGATTAAAATCCGTCTTCAATTTTGCTAATCGATCCTGCTCTTTTTCCGATTCTTGCTTTCTCATTTCACTTATATATTTTTCAAATGTTAATTTTCTTTGAATAGGATCTTTAATTGCACGATATTGAGGTTGTTTAATCACTGCTCGCATTGTCTGCTCCCATGTCCAATCCGATGCTACTCCGTTCCTCTTTAACATCTTTATAAATACCATTTCTGCCTCTTCAAAACTCCCACATTGAACTTTTTCTTCCATCCATGCATTTTCTAATGCAATTGACTGGGATTTTCCTTCTCCCCCAATTACTAACATATCCTCCCTTAATTCTAATTGCTTTTCTTCTCCTTTTTTCCTCTCTTCTTCCTCTATTTTCATTCTAATCATTATTATTCTTTTTTTTCCTTAAAATTTCTCTTTTTTTTACGCTTTTTTTGCATTCAATGATTCTACAACTTTCTTACATTCTTCTGGCATATTCCACACCGATTCTCCTGTAAAAATAACCTCTATTATCCCCTGATTTCTCTCTTTTTTCCCCTCTTTTACCTGATTTTTTATTATACCAGTATTTTCTACCCCCTGGTGCCGTATATTCTCTCCAATTCAATCGTGCAATAGCTATCTAACCCTCTATTAGATCTTTTCATCTAATTTAATCCTCTTAAAATAGACTTCTTCCTCTGTTTTAAGCTCATCTGGCTTTTCCCATACTGATGTACTTCCATCGCTCCAATATATACGTCCATCCGGTGCTTTATACGCCTCCCATTTAGAACCTCCTGATCCTGATGCTTCTATAGCCTTTGCTTGCCATGGAGGTGCTGACATAGTTTATAATCCTTAATTTTTATTATTTTATTAGTATTTTTTTGGTAAAAAAAAAATATTCGAAAAACTAGAGCTTCTTGGTTTCTTTAAAAATTCTAAGTCTCTTTTTCCTCTGTATTTATCCTTAAATATGTAATGAGTTGATTCTATGTATAAGAAAGAAGTTTTATGTAAGATGATTTGTGAATAAGTTTTTTTTGACAAAAAAAAAAGAGAAATATTTGTAAAATAAGATTATAAATAAGACTGAATGAAAGAATTTTGAATAAAAATGTATTTTGTGTGTTATTTTTTAATTTTTTTTGAAATAAGCCGTATAGTAAGATATATGGTAGTATCGAGTAGAAGGTTAAGAAGTATTAAGTTGATTAGATGAAGTAGATAAATTTTGAGAAGAAGAAGAAGTATTTGAGTTATGTGAATGTGATTGTTTTTTTTGAGTAGTATTTTGATTTAATTTATTAATAATTGTTAAAGCTTGTGCAACCATTCCATTGATGTCACTAATGATATATAAATTAAAGAGAAAAAGAAGAAAATAAATGTAATAATACTTTAAATTTGCAGGGACTACGATACTTGTACTTTCTTTAGCAAGATTTCCAAAAGCGCCTAAATATTTTTCAGCGATTCTTAAATTAATTGCATCAGTTCCCATTGGATTTTCAGAAAGAACAGAAGCAATAGCAGAAATACCTTTTGCTGTTGCTTCAGCTTTTAGAAGGATTGCTTCAGCTTCACCTAGAAAGATAATATTAAATAGATATAAAAAAAAAGAAATAGATTACCAGTTGCTTTATTAATACTTTCTTGTTTAATAGCTTCGCTATTAAGTATTTGACTTTGTTTTTGTCCTTCAGCAATATTGATACAAGATTGTCTTTGACCTTCAGATTCTAGTATTTCAGCTCTTTTAGAACGTTCAGCTGAGACTATAGACTTTTTGAATATTTTATATAATGATCAGAAAAATACAACCTTGTCTATGCATTGCTAATAATACATTTTGTGGAGGATGAATGTCTCTAATTTCATATCTTAAACATTTAATACCCCAATCAGCAGCAGCCTCATTAATTGCTTCAGTAATATTGATATTTAGCATCTGACGTTCCTTTAAAACATGATCAAGAGCCAATTGACCTATTTCTGATCTCATTGTTGTCTGTGCTAATTGTGCAACTGCATATTCAGCATCTTCTACCCCATAACTTTATAAATAATTAATGTGGAAAAAAAAACATGATATTTTATACCATGCTTTGTATGGATCTAGAATTTTAACATATAAAACTCCATCTAATTCCAATGTTACATTATCTAATGTGATAGCTGACTGTGATGGAATTTCCATAGCAATTTCTACCAAAATTAAACGTTTTTTTGACTAAAAAAAGAAGAGAAAACCTTTCAGAGACTTGACATACTTGATTTTATCTAGAAAAGGTACTAAAATAGCCAATCCTGGATCAAGAATACGGTAAAATTTGCCCATTCTTTCTACAACCCAAGCTTCTTGTTGAGGTACAAATCTAATGATAAAAAATTAAATAAAAAGCATTGTATATCATCATATCAATACTTTATAATAGTATTTTTTGGTAATTTCTGCTTTTTAAAAAGATTTAAAGATGTATGATTAAATTTTCTCTTGGGAATATCTGAATAACTCCTGATATTCATAAAACCATATTTAAATGATTGCATATGTATTTTTTGAGCATTTCTTAAATAAAACCCTTTATTTCCATATATATATTCAACAAAAATTTTCCTGACTCCAAGATTATGTATCATTTATATTTTCAAAGATTTATCCTCTAAAACTTATATAATCCGGTTAATTATTAACAAATGGTCTAAGATCTATTAATATCTTGTTCTTTTATACAAAATTTTTTCTACTAAAAATTTCAAAGGTTATGTACGTATCAAATCTCACTACGAAAAATATATGAATATATGGGAAAAAGAGAGTCAATTTTTTGTAGAATATATGATTAGATATGTGTAAATAGGACTTCTTTGTAAATATTATTTTTTTAATAAAAAGATGGATTAATGGTTAAGATTTTTATATCTTTTTGGGTTTTTTAGAAAATGTTTTAAATATATAAATTTTTGTTTGTATTTGTTTTTAACTTAGAATTTAATGTATATTCAAAGTCTAGATAAACTTTTATAAGTATTTTTATTTTCTATTTGTATATGGGACAATATTTTCAGGAATTGGATAGATCTGTGTTTTGCTATAATTTAGTTTAATTACATGTAAATATTTAAAAATATTTAAAAATATTTAAAAATATTTAAAAATATTTAAATATCTTGTTAATCATGAAATTAAATAAAAAAAGTGTGTTTTTTTTTAAATTGTATGTATAACAATTACAATTGACATGTTTTTTACCAATTTTTTAAAACTATTTGTCTTTGTCAAGAAATCTTACCAAAAAATGAGGTTTCCTTCTAAATAATAAATAATTTAGAAAACAATCTCATTTTTTGGAAAAACTTCTTAACATATTATTAATTACAAAGAAAAATCATTTTTTATTTATTCATCATTTATAAGTCCAATAAAAAAATTAACTATTTTCAAAAAAAACAATAATAAAACTAATATTTTCTCATTCTTTTAACATATAAACTTCAGAAATACATTCAATTCCATAATATATATATAAACATCTTTTCTTCAGCTTATTGATAAAAGATAGAAATTTTATAATTTATTAAAACAGATATTACAAATCATTAAAACTAACAAGTAAATACATATATTTTCTCTATTTTTCTATTTTTATTGATTTTTTGTTTTTAATATTTTTGACTCTCCATAATTTATGATACTTGATAGACAGAGATAAACGAAGCTGGGCTGAAAAATGCCTAAAAAACACTAAAAAAAAGGATATTCTTATATTTTTATTGCTACAATATGTTTGTGTAGATTATTCTGAAGATTCAGCTTTTTTTTTTGGAAAAAACTGTTAATTTTGGCTTATTTGATGTTAAAGCCTATTTATATTAAATATCACAAAATGGAGGCCTTGATCAGCCCTTTTTTTAAATCTTCTATTAGTTTTAGAGTCAAAAAAATATTATCTTGTGAAAGATTCGTCTTTTTATCTACTTTTATTAAGAAAAAGCATATGATTTATCCACAAATCAATTCATTTAAAAATGATCAATATATTTCAAATAGATCAGATTTATTAATGAAATATCGTCCTATTCTTAGTTTCAGAGGTTTCAGTTCAAAAAGGATTACTCCAAGGGAAAAAAAAGCTTTTATACAAGCTATATATCATGAACTTATTCAGTTACATCCAACATTTCTTCTTATACAGCAGAATAATGTTAGCTCAGAAGCATGGAAATATATGAGAAGAAAATTGCATGGTTTAGGTGCTAATATTAAGGTTTTAAAGATTCGGTTATTTGGACGCGCTTTACAAGCTGTATCTGAAGACTTGGAAGGCAAATCGTCAAACAAAGACGATTCATTACAGTCTAAAATACAAGATTTACGGGCTTTAAGGAAAATGATTGCTGGTCCTATAGCAATTATTACATTTTCTGCTCGTGTAGAGCCATCTTTTTTAAAACGCGTTATATATTTAATTGATACAAGTAATGGACAGTTTTTTCTTTTAGGAGGCTTCTTTGAGGGAAAATTAGTGAATACTAAGGAGCTTCTTCATATCAAAGAAATACCAGATCTCTCAGTATTACATATGCAATTGATTTATTCATTAATGCATCATTCAAACCAACTCATTCAAACACTCGAATATTCTTCCGAAGCATTAACTCTAATACTTCTCAAAAACAATTATAAACATATTGAATGATACATTCTTAACATTCATATAATTTTTAACTCAAACTTTACAAAATTTAATGATGATCCATCTTCATCAATACAAAATAATATTCAAAAAATGGCTTTCACCTAAATAACTTTCTTTTTAAAGGTATTAATTGGATTTTTATTAACATCATTAGATATATACATGATATTTTCTTAAAAAAAAAATACAGCAATCACTACCTTGCTTCAAACTGAATCATTCTTTTTGTTCTATATTTCACTTAAACAGATCACATTGGGCTTAACTATTTATCAAACCTTTGCTTATACATCACACGGTGACCACATTCACGACACCGAATGATTTCTCTTGCTTGGATATGATTGATTGCTCCACAATCTTGAAATAAATTAGTTCAAAATGCTCTAACAATAATGTCAAAGGCATTTGTTCTTTTTCTTGACATTTGGATCATTAATTATATTACCTGCACATAGATATGACATTTGAACAGAACGTGCAGCAAACTGTGCAGTTCCAATAGGCTGATCTGCTAATATAGAAGGTTTATATGTATCTCTCTGCATTTCTGAAGAGGATTATAGCTTTTTTAATGGTAAAAGATGTTTTTTATGAAAAAATACAACTATTCATATATATCTAGGGCTGGGTATTTATATTTTAACTTCATATTTGTAAATAAGTATAAATTAAGGGAATCTAAAGCATGACAGATGTCTGGAAATCAGTAGGAAAGTAGGTTATGTTCTTATTAGACAGTAAACCATTTTTTTTCTGGCTAAAATTGCCTAGTTATTGGTGTAAATATTGTAAAACGGTATTTTCAAAGAAATAGCAGGAAATAATGAGAAAGAACTTATGGAATAGTAGTTCGTACGTAATGATACATTTACGAAGAAGAAACATGAAGCTTCAGACCGTCATAAGGGCTCTTTAAAGCGTTTTATACGAGATTTAGATAGAAAAAAAGAAAAAGAAGAAAAAGAAAAAAAGGCAATACAGAGGGAGCTAGATAGGATATCAGGAGTTACAGGACTTTCTACACGTTCTATTGATGAAGTTTCTCCGAAAAAAATAGCTAAAATTCCGGTTAAAAAAGCAAAATCTATATCACATAAGCCAACAACAATATTACCGGTAGATATTAAAGAAACTATAGGGATAATAGGTTCATGGGAGATTGTTCAACCTTCAGAAAAAAAGGAAGATCAAAATGAGACAAATGATACATTTCCTTTAGAATCTATATCAACTATATCAACATCAACAGTTCGATTAAAAGAAGATTATGAAGATTTAAGATCATTTAAGATTAAAGAGAAAAGCCTTCCATTGGAAATAAATGAAGAAATAAATGAGGAAGATACATCTGATTTATTTAAAAAGAGAAAATTTGGGACAAGTAAAAATCTGAGAAAAAAATAAATAAAAATTATATTTTTAAGATCTTTATGATACATAATTTATATATTTGAGTGTACAGAAGGTGCTGGATTTTTTAAAACTATCTATAGAATAGATAGGATTTAATTTGAAAAATGCAAATGATTTTTGATACAAGTTTTCGAACATGATATTTGTTATAATGCAGAAAAGCTAATTTATGTATGTTTTAAATGTGTAATGAGATCCAAGTTATATATCATAGTATATCTCTTGTTTTCATTCTAGAGAGAAATCAATAAATAAAAATAATAAGAATAATTTACCGAATGAAATCAATGATTTTCCATCCTTTAGTTTCATTGTTTGAAAGTTCCTCTGGAAGCCTAGTAAAAGCAGTAGTATAAGTGACTTCCTGAATAAAATCTTCACTTCCAGCAACTAGTTCTTTAGTTTTTGCATTTTTATAAAGATGAATTTCTTGTGCTCGAAAAGAAATGACAAGACATGGTATGTCATTAGGTGAAAGAACACGATATGAAACAACATCAACCCCACGTATATCTAATACTTTTCCATCAGAAACTAATCCTTGTGAAATATATTCTTTCGCTGTAATAAACCATATTTGATAAGACTATATATATTTAAAAATAAAAAAAAATCAAATATCAATATATTCATACTGCTTCGCTTAGCCATAACTTTAGTGTTTGAAAATCGCCTTTAACATATGCTTCTAGAATTTCAGGAAGTATATATTCTCTTAATTCTTTTAAAAAAGATTCTATCTGAAAACTTGGGTCTATATTTTTAAGAAGTCTAGACACTTTTGCCGCATCATTCTCCGAAAAAAGTTTATACCAAACGTTTTTCATACTTGCTAATACATTTTTTGTTGTTTCAATCACTGGATTTTCTGAATGATGAAATACTCGTTGCCAATTATCAAAATAATTAAATATCCTTGTATTATTCCTAAATCTTCTCCATAATTCTTTCAAAGCAGAGTCCTTGTATATAATTATTCTAAGATCCGTACTATACCTCTGTCAGTATCAAAAGATCAAAGGAAAAAAAATACTTTGAATTTTTTTTAAACATTGTTTTTTGATCCAATCCTATATTTTCTTTATTTTTTGATTTTCTTGCTTGTCTTCGTGTATTTTTATCTACATATCCTGCATAATGAGAACTATCTCCATCATGAATCGCTTGTTTAACAGACTCTGTAACCGATTTATAAATCTTATTTTTTCTAATAGGATCTGTTGCTGCTGATATCACATTTGCTGTAATAACAGTTCCCTTTCTTGCTAATTTAACAGGTGCACTTTCCCATGTTGCAACTACACTATCTCCAATTATTTGACCTGCTTTTCTTAATGTTTGATTAGAAATATTTCCTGCTACATCTGCACTTTTCTTAGCAATATTATAGGCTTCAACTGCCTTCTTATATGTCTCTGATTCTCCTAATTTCCCTGATTTATCTTGAAGTGCTTTAACTGATTCTTGAAATTCTTTTGATTTTTCAAGTTCTGATTTAAATGTATCTATAAATACATGAAAAGGATTCTTATAGCCTCTTTTATCATCCTGAAAACGTAGTACTGATCTATGGAAAGAATTCCTTTGTATAAATGATATTTTTGGATTTTTATATATAAAAAAAGACCATATATTCATAGGATTAAGATATAAAATTGCTTCAAAAGAATTATATCCTTTAAAACGTCTATAGAAGACATATTTATGTCTTTTCATTATGTTTCAAGGCTCCCAAGTCCAAGAATCCTGATAAGATATTTTTGATCTTTTTTTTGACGTTAAAAAATCTAGATCAAACGAAATTTCATAAGTCAAAAAATAGTAAAGATAAATTTCATATTTGCATGTCGTTTAAGTATTATCTGACAGACAACCTTGTTGACGTTAAATATAAGAATTTATATTTTCACTTTTTTTTTTGAAAAAAAAAGAAATCAAACAAGTTTTTTCAGTTTATTTTTGAAAATAATATTTCGTTATTAATACAATTCTTCCATGTATTAGTATTCCTATATGATTTTTAAATTGAATCATTTTATTACTTTCTTTTTTTTTGAATTGTCGTTTTATGAAAAAAAACATTAGCCCTATTTATTTCTAAACATTAATCCTTATATTCTTTTGTGTTGTCTTGATGTCAAAATTATTACTAACAATACCTTACTAATCTTTTAAAAGTAAACACTTTAATAAAATATATCTCTACCATGTCGATATAATTAATAAATTATTTAGAAAGATTCTTCCTTTTTATATTAAAAAAATATTGATTTGATATATTTCCTTCGACTTTCCTCTCATATAAGATTGAAATTTATATGATATATTGTATTTTTTTCAAAATTTCAAAACTTATATGTTAAAAAAAAATAAATCCAAATATTATATAAAATATTCCAAATATTCATTTTTCTCTTTTTAAACATACTATTCTTCTCTTTCATCACTTTCACTTGTATAAACAATCAGTTTTTGATCTGTCGTTTCATCTGAAAAACTCGTTGCAATTCTTTCCAAAATTTCACTCGTTTTTTCATTCTTTTTATCTAACTCTTTCGATAATATATCATTACTTTTATACTTCTTTTCTTCACTTTTTACATCATTTTCACTTTTTGACTCTGAATATCCTTCTTTTGAAAAATTATCCCTATTTTTCTTAAGAATAACCCCTTTTAACCCCATTCCTTTCATTTTCTTCACTGGTCTCTCACTAATTTCCTGCGATTTACAATTTTCTGTACTTAACCATGGTCGATATATAGATTGTTGAATCGATTGATCAAATTGCTCTCTTTCTCTATTCCATATTATTATCATATATAAAACCCCCCCATTAAAAACATTCCTCCTAAACACTTTTAACCCCTCTTCGACATGTTTCTTCGCCTCTTCTTCCACTTTCTTTTTCTCCCTTCTTAATTTATCTAAAAAATCGATTTCCTCCTCATCCAGAGTCCGGATCAAATTTGCTAAAAAACGTCAACCTTCCTATTCATATTCTCCTTCTAGTATTCACATAATTTCCATGATTCCTGGTATTCTTCCTCCTTAATAAGCCGATTTGCTTGTAATTTTTCATAAAGCGACCGATGGTCCAGTTTTGCGTCTTTTTCAACCGGATTTTTTCCTGCATGAATCCTACGATCTGCTTCTTCCCATTCCTTACTTCGTTCACATCTAAATCTTGACAAATCCCCCTCCAATTTCTTCATTTCTTTATACTCTTAAAAAATGAGGTTCCTATACCAGTGCTCGGTTCCATAGCAACCAACCAGTCGGTATTGAACAACCTAAAAATCATGAGCCGCCATGAATGACCAAAAACACCAAGAAAAAGTGCCAGATTTATGGGATGAATGGGAAAATGAAAGTAGTTTTAAGGTATGCCTTTTTTTCCGGGAAAATTTTGACGAATTTTAAGGAAATTTCGAATGAAAAAGAAAAATTACCATGTAACAAGGAAACAACCCATCAGGATAACGTACGCCTCTGGAAAGAAGCGTAGATATACCATAATTATATATATAAATAGTTTTTTTCTGAAAAAAATTAGTAACCAGCGAGTTCCAGATGTAGAATTTTTAAATTCGCCAAGAACAGTATATAAACAGTCTCTTAAGATCCTTAGACGTTCAGTTGATCAATTAAATAATTCAGAAACATCATCGGAATTGCCCGAGAAGCCGGTATCTATAGAGTCGATACAAGGTCATCGAGAAAAAGAACAGAGATATAGAAAGGCTCGACAGAAAATCTTCGGTGAACCATATACAGAAAAAGATTAGTATATACCAGTCCGGTCAGCCATTGGGCCCTTCTCGGGAGGAGGGATTATTAAGGGTAATGATCAAAGATGAAGTTGAATTTTGTTTGTGTATTTATAAAGTGAATCTGTTTATGGCGGAGGTTTACATAGTAATTAAGGTTTATGAACCTGTGTGAATGTTCCACCTTTGAACCAATCATTTGATTCCACTGTTTTTGGAGCAGAGAGTAATTCGGGATTGATTAGCTGCATACCGACATTACTGCCAAAAACAACACTACTTGCTAAACCGCTTGTTGCAGTTCCACTATTATGACTAAAAGAAGCGAAATGTTTTATAGCCTTGCCGACTTTTGCTTTAGAACGACTATCTATAATGGGTGCTCTGATTCGATATTGTCCTTCTTGCCCAATCATACCCATACCCTCCATTTCATCATTAATACTGACTTCTAATTCTTGTTTGCCGAATGCTAATCTATTTTGTTGTTTTCTGAGTTCTGTCATTTGATACTTCTCTTTCATTGCTCGCATACGTCGTCCACCACGACGTTTTTTTATTGCATCATTTGGAGCAGGTAATGCCTTTACTGTTTTAGATGGATTTGGCTGTGATAACTTATCCAATCGTTTTTCAATATACTCTCTTAAAGAAGCACCAATAGATCCATCTGGACTTTGGTGTAACCGATCTACTCTAGATGCCAAAGCAATTTTTGAACTAATAATACGTAATGCTTGTTTTCTTAAATCAGGTGGAACTTTTTGTAAAATCTCTGAATGAAAGAGAAAACCTTGATGTCGAATACCAATACTACTTGAAAATCCTGTTTGACTTTGACGTTTTGCACCCAATGCCGAAATATTACATCCCGGCATTCTAACTAAACCCGCTAAACCACCTGCTACACTTATAAGCTTTGCTGCTGTAGTCGATCCTACAATTGCCAATAAATTGGGTGCAATTAAATTCATCCTAGATTGAACATAATCAAGAATCTTTTTTTTATAAGAAACACCTTTTATTACACTTTCTTTTCACCTTTTTTTTCGCATTCTCCAATTCCATTGTTAAATCACATGCTTCAAACACCATTTCAAGCTTATCTTGTTCTAATGGTACTCCTTCTGATGTTGAATTCGTTACAGTAATCACCATCACCGTTGCTGACGGAAGATGCGATAGATTCACCTTAGTAACATCCTGTTTCTCATCAATTCCTTTTTATTTCCTAGATTTATTATTAACCATCTCATTACCAATAATCCGCACTGTTTTTGCATAATCTAACGGATTAACAACCAGAGATTCAAGTTCCGGGAATCTTTCCGCATAATTATCCCGTATAAACTAAAACCATTCATTATCTATTCCTACTCTTCATTATTACTATTATACTTTATTAATCCCGATAATCTCATTATCAATCTCAACCGCAAGATTATTAGAATCTACTATCAATTGATATTCTGGATGATCCTCTATATTCCCTTGAAATGATACTGTATGGTTCTTGCTGTATCCATCAATTTTCTACCTCTTTATAAGCCTCTTTCTTGGCTCAAAAAAAAAACCCCACGTTTAAAATATTAACCATAATTTCTGATTTTAAAAAAGCATGAACATCAAATAGCTTCTTTTTACTATTTAATTGAGTCTTTTCAGTGCCATTCTTGTCTGTTTTTCTGGAATTCTTGGTGATACCTGATAAGTTCTTATCTTCATGAGTTTTTAGAGTCATTTCACCGTTCGAAAAGGAAAAAAGCCCTTCAGAAGGTCTCTGAACCTTTTCCTCAATGTCATCAGTATCGCTGTGGTCAAAAACCTCGTGTAACAGCTCATCAGCAAGATCCATTTTGTAGGAGGTTTTTTAGTAGGTTTGATGAGGTTCGGGAGACGTTAAAAAAAGATAAAAATTTCGATGAGAAAAAGAGGGGTTAAAAAAGGGATTTAAAGAGAAAAGAAGATTAGATTATTTACGGGCGAGTATTTTTTGACTGGAAAAGTTTTTTTCAGCTTTTTTTTTGGGCAAAAATAGGGTATTTAGAATGAATATAAGTGAAGAAGAAGATAGAGGGGGAAAAAAGAAGTTTTATGGTAAGATAAATATGATTTTGAATAATTATTTTATGTTTTAAAGTGGGTAAACCTTTTTTTTTGAGAAAAAAGGCTTAAATATTGAAGGAGAAAGCGAAAAAAGTGGATATACAAAAAAAAGAAAGAAGTGAATGGATGTTATTGCCAAAAGATAAACAAAATGAAGATGAATTTGGGTTTTTAATAGGAAAATCTAAAAGAGAGGTTAAAAATTCCCCCAAAACGGTAAAAATATGGGTATATAAGGGAAAATAGCTTATAAATGATAGTCTAAGTGGGAATTTAATGAACCAAAAGAACAGAATATAGTACAGGAGAGTTTTAAAAAATGTAAGCAGTTTAACTATGATTTTTTTGTTTTTTTTTTTTGATTGGAAGAAGCAACACCATCATATACTATAGGCGATGCAGGATCTTCATGGAGAATGATGAAACTTCAAAAAATATATGAAATTGCATCAGAAACAGGTAAAAGTGTAGATGAAGTAGCACTTGAAAGATATGGAAGTCTTGAAGCGTTTGATGAGGCACGTGAGGAAAGAGAAGAATTAGATCGCCGAAAAAAATATGGACCATCTAAGGAAAAGGTGGTAGGATCGCTTTATAAACAACGTCTGAGCTTGAATGCATTGGATCATAAACAGGATTCTAAGTCTAATTTGTCTTTATCTGATTCTGGTATTATTACACATTCTAGTCTTAATAAAATGCAAGCAGAGATTATAAAAATGCGAATGCGTAATGATCCCAATGTTTCTGAGCTTCAAAGACAATATGAAATTGCAGTTTCTATGTTTGAATCACAAAATGTAGAAAAAGATAGCATTCCAAGCAATATGAATAAGAAACTATCTTCAACAATTGATCCAAACAATATGACGATAGAAGATATGGTAAAAGAAGAGAAAATGACAAGAAATCAAAGCTACAAACGGCAATATAGAGAAATGGCAGATCAGATTATTAAAAATCGGGATTTTAAGGTTATAAAAGTCTTTAATAGAATTGTTATTAAACATAGTAGGATGATTTAGATTATTATGATGAAAATGCTGAAAAACTTTCAAAAAGGATTCAAAGAAGGGAAATTGATTTTAGAAATATGTCTGTTTCAGGTATCAAATTCAATTGAAGGATATTAATTTTTATATCTATAGATATTCAAAGAACTCAAAAAATTATTGATACATGTCCATTATGTCATCAAGATTCTTCTCCACCTATTGCACCTGTAATATCTATGGGGACATGTGTTTATCTATCTCTTCCTTCTCCTCCAGAACTTGCAAAATATCATGCATTGATTGTTCCTCTACATCATAGAATCAATACACTTGAATGTGATGATAATGAATGGGATGAAATTAGAGTAAGATTGTGTTTAATTTAATAAGGACAATTCTTATGTTTTATGTAGAATTTTATGAAATGTTTGATTAGAATGGCTGATGAGAGAGATCAAGATGTCATTTTTTATGAAAATGCTTCTGCACCTCACCGGCGTATGCATACTGCCATTGAAGCAGTTCCAGTGCCACGAGAGGTTTCTTCTCAAGCTCCTGCATTTTTTAGAGAAGCAATTCTTTCTTCTGATGAAGAATGGAGTCAACATCAAAAAATTATTGATACATTAGCTAAAGCTAAGAAAGGACTCGGAAAAATGGCTTTTAGACGTAGTATGAGCAAAGAAGCTCCTTATTTTCATGTTTGGTTTGAATTGGATGGTGGGATAGGACATATTGTTGAAGATCTAGATAAATGGGGCAAAGGTGATCAATTTTCACGACAAGTATTTGCAACAATGCTTGATCTAGATCCAACTATATGGAGAAGACGTGGAAGATGGACAGGCAAACAAGATCCAAGAGAAAAGGCATTTATTCATGCCTGGAAAAAATATGATTGGACTCAATCAATTTATAATTAAGATTCTTAAAAAATACAATATAAATATATAATAGTATTCATTAATACACTATATACTTGGATAATTCAATAAAAAAAAGCATCAATTGACTTTTTATTTTTTAAAAAATACACTTATAAAATTAATTTAATAGGAAAACTATGAAAACTATGAAAACTATTGATCTAATAACAACATATATTCATTCATATTACATATTGTTTCTTATTTATACTCTTATTTACTCTTATTCATCTCTACTTATATATTTATAAGCTTTTCTAATCCTTCACTCTCAGTTACGGCCATACCTCAGAGAATATACCGTATCCCGTCCGATCTGCGAAGTCAAGCTCTGAAGGGCGTCGTCAGTACTATAGTGGGTGACCATATGGGAATACGACGTGCTGTAGCTTTCCTCAACACTATTTTTTTTAATTAAATTAGATAAATACAAATATAGACTAGTAATTAACCCTCTAAAACAAACTCTAAAACAAAAATAAACATTTCTTAATATATATCTTTTAAAAATACTATATTTTTAGACTTTTTGTAGATATCCTTGACGAATTAACCCTTCTACATCTGATTGTCTTAGAAAAAATTGACTATTTTTATTCAATGTAATTGCACTATTATATTATTCATATATAATAAATAATATTGATCTATATTTACCCATATTCTGTTTGAATTTCTCCAACATCTTGAAGTACACGTATATTAATATAAAGATCTTTAGGTGGTTCTAAATCACCATTGAAATCAATTCCCATCCATTGACTTTTAAAATAGGTTAATAAACCATTATATTTCCTTAAATATATATATTCATCTGGACTTAATGATGTACTTGTCCATGATATATTAAAAGGGTTTATTTCAAACCAAGATATATGATTTAAACGATCAAGTCTTGTATGATGATAAGCCATTAAACAACGTTTATTACGATGTTGACAAAGATGCTGAATCAATAAATGAGCTGCAATTCCTGGATTTTTAGCATGAGAAAATTCTGATCCACCATGATTTATTAATAATTCTTTAGATGCTTCATTTAGAGCATCTGTTTCTTTAAAAATAGATTGAATCAAGTCTGTTTGATAATGAGGTAAATGATTAAGATGTTGAGTACGTTTAGCATCAAGAATGAGTTTAGTTGCTAGATCGCCAAACATTTTAGATGTTTTAAGGGATTAAAAGAAGTTGGAGGAGGAGGAGGAGGAGTTGAAGGAGTTAATAAGAAGTTAGTAAGAAGTTAGTAAGAAGTTGGTAAAAAATAAAAAGTTGATAATAAGAAAATGTTAATAAAAAAAAGTTAATAAAAAGTTAACAATAAAAATATTAAATAATAAATTAATAATAAATAATAAGAAGAAGTTAATAGTAATAAATAGTAATAATAAATTAATAATAAGAAGTTAATAATAAGTAAAAATAATAAGTTGATAATAAGTAATAATAAATATTAATAAATAAGAAGTTAATAATAATAAATATTAATAAAGAAATAATAAAAAGTTATTAAAGAGTTAATAAGAAGTTAATAAGAAGTTAATAAATTAATAAAGAGTTAATAATAAAAGTTAATATTAAATAATAAAAGGTTAATAAATAATAATAAAAGTTAATAAAAAGTTAATAAGAAATAACAAGTTGATAATAAGAAGTTAATAATAATAGTAATAAATAATAAGAAATAATAAGAAGTTAATAATAAATAGTAATAAATAATATTAAATAATATTAAATAATAATAATAAATTGATAAATTAAAAAGCTGATAAAAGGGAGTTAATAAAAAGTTAATAAAAAGTTAATAATAAAAATTATTAAGAAAATAATAAAAATTGTTAAGAAAATAATAAAAATTAATAAAAATTGTTAAGAAATATTAAGAAATAATTAAAATAAATAGAAAAACAATTAAAACTCAGGACTGGGATTAATATTATCTAAAAAAAAACTAAAAATGCCTTTAAAAAAATCAATGGTAGATACTTATAAGAATGGATTTAAATGGATTGGAGAGGGTATTAAATCAAATGAAGGAATTATTATCTATAAAGGAGTTTATTGTGAAAATGATACATTTTATAAGGGGGATTGTATCTTAGTACGTAGCAATAGTGGAAAAGGATCATGGGCAGCAATGATTACAAGTTTTTATGAAACGAAATCAGGCGAAAAAATGGCAGATTTATTGTGGTTTGAACGAAGTACTCATATACGGCGTGAAAAACAACGACATCCAATATGTCATGTATGAAATTATAATATTTTTATTGTTAAGGGCATTATTTAATAAGATTTTACATATAGAATGAATTATTCATTTGTGGAACCAAAGATTCTAATGAACTTTCTGTATTTCAAAGAAAAATCCAAGTTATTTCATATGATACTTTTATTAAAAGATATCCCAAGGGTTTAACAAGGAATATGAATGATTACGATAAGGTATTTTATTGTAGAAGTGGTTTTCATTCAAGAAAAGAGATATATTTGGACTTTATTGAATGGGATCAATTTTATCGTCATGAAGAGACTGATTTTGATGCTTTAATTGCATGGGTAAATACAACCTATATACAGACGTATTCTGCACAAAAACATTCAAAACAAATACAAGTGAATAGATCTAAAACAGTATATCTTTTTAGTATGGTAATTATTTTTTTTGATTATAGCTTTAGGATGAATTAGCAAAAGAAACAAGCAGTGAAAAGGATGTCGAAAATAGTGACATTGAGGACATTTATATGCCATCAATATCAGAGGAGAGTTCGGACATTATAATTACAGAAGATGATGAATTCATTAATAAGACTTATTTAAGCAAAACACCACGTAAACGTGGTAAAAGTACACCAAAACTAATAACACCAGTATCAGGACGTCGTATGACAGCATCAGGCAAACGACGATGCTATAAAAAACATTTAGAAATGACTCCTTTGCCATTAAGATATCTTTTTTGTGATGAATCTAAGCTTTCTCCCTATCAAAGTGCAAGATCAAGACTTCATGTGTCAACTGTTCCTATGACATTACCATGTAGAGAACGAGAATTTTCTTTAATCTATTCTCAAGTATTAAATGCACTCGAATCAGGACATGGTGAGTGTATTTATATAAGTGGTCCTCCAGGAACAGGTAAAACAGTAACAATAAAAGAAGTAGTACGAAGTTTATTTCAAAAAGTTAATGAAGGCGTAAGCTTTATTTCAGAATTATCAGTAATAGACAATATTAACTTAAAATTAGGAAATAGATGATTTTAAATATGTTGAAATTAATGGTATGAGAATAATTGATCCAAATCAAGCATATACATTATTGTGGGAAGCTTTGACTGAAGAAAGAGTTACTTCAAAACATGCATTGATGCTTTTAGAAAGACGATTTTCTCAGCCAAATCCTAATAGAGTCCCATGGTATACTTAAATCCTGATAAATCTTTGTTTAATCCTTTTAGTGTTGTAATGATTGATGAATTAGATCAATTGATGACAAAAGATCAAAAACTAATGTATAATTTTTTCAATTGGCCTGCTTTACAATATTCTCGCTTAATTGTTATTTCAATTGCAAATACAATGGATTTACCTGAACGTATGTTAACTAATAAAATATCTAGTAGGCTTGGTAAATTCTTTAATATTTTTTTGTTCATTTTTATAAACCATTTCTAGGATTAACACGTATTGGATTCTCAGGATATACATTTGATCAATTACAAGTCATCATAAGGACAAGATTACAAGGAATTCCTGGTCATTTAATGGATCAGGATGCCATTGAATTAGCTAGTCGAAAAGTAAGTGCAATAAGTGGTGATGCTAGAAGAGCTTTGGATATTTGTCGGTATTTCTTTCCTTTTATTTGTTATTTTATTAAATATTCAAGTCGTGCTGTTGAAATTGCTGAATTATCTATTACTACAAATAAAAAATCTCCCTCAAAAACTAATGATCATATATATCAAGGAAAAATAACAATGAAGACTATTCAAAAAGCAATTTCTGAACTTTCTGCATCTCCCGTTTTAACTTATTTACGATCAATTCCTCTATCATATAAAGTATTTTTAATTTCTTTAATGTTAAAAACAAAACGATCCGGTCTTTCTACTCATAAACTTGGTGAAATTATAGATATCTCTCTTAGAATGTGTAAAACAACTGAAAAACTTTGTCTTCAAGAATTTTATCGCTTATCAATTGATATAAACCTCGACCTTATAAATTCTGCTTTCGCTTTATTCGAAGCTGGAATTATTTTTTTTAATATAAAAGGAGGAAAAAGAAATGCTCTTGTTCAACTTAAAATACCTCCTCAAGATGTTCAATTGGCTTTGCAAGATGATATAGACTTTAGAGGTATTCTTACTTAACCCTATCTTTTATTAGGGTTATACCATAGCACATAGGGTTAGGTCTAGTACTTAGGGCTTAGGTATAGGTACCTAGGGCTTAGGTCTTGTAACTAAGGGTTAGGTCTAAGGGTTAGGGTTAGGTCTCTTCTCTATATCTCTTTTCTCGACTCTGCAAATTCTTTCTTAACTTTTCATTATTTTTTTTAATTGGTTAAGATGAAAGATGAGGAGACTTTGGAAGAATTGATGTAGGTTTTTACTATTTTAAAGAATATATTTAACATATTTCTAGTCGTTTTAAAGAGGCACTTGAACGATCAGAAAATGGTATTTTTTTGAAAAAAAAGAAGTTAAAAATATTGGGTTTTTAAGCGGTTTTTAGGATCAGATTCAAGCTCATCAGTTAATATTTATATGGGAAATAGAGGGTGTAAGTTAAAACGCAAGGCTCGATATGCTTATCGTGGAAAACTTGGTGTTCCATCTAGTATTATTACAGATCGTAAGGTATTAAAGAGAAAAAAGACAATATGATAAAGGAATAGACGAGATTTAATATGTATAGAAGGTATATTATGGATTAAAGGGACGTACAGTGATTCAGAGGAAAAAACATCATCGAGATAGATCAATTGATACGGATACAGAAATGTCTACACATTCGGATGATCCGTATCATGATATAGATATTGATGGTATAATGAGAAGAAAGGAGTTATAATTTATGTATAAATATTAAAATGATATTAGAATTATTGGCACCGATTTCTCATCCAGCGGAATTTTTACGACATCGATCATGTAGAAAATCGTTACAATCATGTTTAGAAAGTTTAGCAAGACAATTATTAGATACGATTTCTGAGGAACGTACATATAATATATTATTATCTAAATTTCTTTTTATTCTTCTTGGAGATGATACATCTATTAATATGGCATCACATTTAAATTTTCAAGAAACTAAAGAAATAGCCGAATTTTCCAAGGATCAGACCATGAATAAAACATTATCTTTAGAAACGGATATTTCTCAACCAATTCCATGTCAATTGCCTTCATTTATAGAATTTCCCTCTAATATGAATGATACTTATTTATGGTGTCATCAAATGGGTTTATCTGAGAATGATATAAATGATTTACGTAAATTACTTCAATCTGCATTAGATCGAAGCATGGAATATCTAAGATGTTTAATGCAAGTACGAAATGGAATTATTCGTGCTCAACGACTTATGAAAAAAGTTTATGAATGGTGTGTTGAAGCTTCTAAAAGAGAATCATAATAAATATTATAAAATAATTTTTATTTTACTGGACTTTTATTTCACTGGATTTCAATATTATCTATCTATATATCTTTATTGGTTAGACGAAATATTTAAAATAATTGCATAAGTATTTTTATTCTTATAAAAATGATCTCAATAATATATCCATCAATCAAGAAATAATATTTTAATAAACTAATATCTTGATTTTAGTATTTAATCATATTATTTTAAAGGTTTTAATAATCTATTTTTGTTTATATAATTAGCATTAATTATAATTGATATAATATTTATAATCTTTATATACATAATCCATATATATTTTTTAGTTATCTCTATTATATATGAATTAATAAGTATTCGATATCTCTTCTATTCTAATAGTAAGATGTTATTTATATTATATATAATTCTACATAATATAATTCTACATAATATAATCTATATATACCTTATACATTATTCATTTCAAATTTATAACCTTTTTATTGATTCAACTAAGCATTCTTTATAAACTCATCCCAACCCTAACCCCGTAGTTCCAACCCTAACCGTAGTTCCAACCCTAACCCAACCCATCACCTAACTCTCCACTTCACCCTAACCTGCATACCCTAACCCTACTCATACCCTACCCTGATGTACAACAAATCACGTGATTCGCTGAAAAAGCTAGACGTGTCAACAATTCGAATCATTCAAAGACAAACTTTTTTCAAAATATACGTTTTGTCTAAAATATGAGAGAAATTGTATGTTTTTACCCCCAATTTTTTAGTTTTAAGCAATTTCTAACCCCTTTTTCTTTTAAATAGGTCCATCTTCAAACAGGTGCGTTTTTTTCCCGTCTTTTTTAGACCTATTTTCATCATTTTTTTATTTCTTACAGGACAATGTGGAAACCAGATTGTAAGTTATTTTACATGATTATTTAGGATATATATGCGCGCATTGATGCGCATATATATTCTTTTTTATTGAAAATTTTCCTTTATTCATGAGTTTCAGGGCGCGTCTTTTTGGTCTACAATTAGCGGAGAACATGGTTTAGATAGCACAGGAGTGTAAGTTTCTATACGCGGATGATATATTTCATCGCGTTTTCCGGTTTTTTTTCTAAGATTTTTGGTTAAGTTATCAGGGTACATCTGACCTACAACTTGAACGTATGAATGTCTATTTTAATGAGGTAACGATATATATACGGATTATATATCTTATGAGAAATAGGCATCTGGCGGAAAATATGTTCCTCGATCGATATTAATTGATCTTGAACCGGGTACTATGGATGCGGTAAGATCGGGACCATTTGGCAATCTTTTTCGGCCAGATAATTTTGTTTTTGGTCAATCTGGAGCAGGGAATAATTGGGCAAAAGGGCATTATACAGAAGGAGCGGAATTGGTAGATTCCGTATTAGATGTAGTTCGTCGAGAAGCAGAAGCTTGTGATTGTTTACAAGGGTTTCAAATTACGCATTCTCTTGGTGGTGGAACGGGTGCGGGTATGGGGACATTATTAATTTCAAAAATTCGAGAAGAATATCCGGATCGAATGATGGCAACGTTTTCGGTAGTTCCATCGCCAAAAGTTTCGGATACAGTGGTAGAACCATACAATGCGACGCTTTCTGTACACGTATGTTTTTATTTTTGTTTTTTTTTTTTGGGGGGCATAAAGACAAGGGTATTGATGTTAAATAGCAATTAGTGGAAAATTCGGATGAAACGTTTTGTATTGATAATGAAGCTTTATATGATATTTGTATGCGAACGTTAAAACTCCCGGATCCAGGATATGGTGATTTAAATCATTTGGTATCAGCAGTAATGAGTGGTATTACGACATGTCTTCGATTTCCCGGACAGCTTAATTCAGATTTACGTAAATTGGCTGTAAACATGGTACCATTTCCTCGATTGCACTTTTTCATTGTTGGATTTGCGCCATTAACAAGCAGTATGTTTTGTTTTGTTTTGTTTATTTTAACAATTGGTTAATATAAATGTGTAATAAAGAGGGGTCACATTCTTTCCGCTCTTTAACAGTTCCGGAATTAACACAGCAAATGTTTGATGCAAAAAATATGATGGCTGCTTCAGATCCAAGGCATGGACGATATTTAACGGTTGCAGCAATTTTCCGTGGTCGAGTATCGATGAAAGAAGTGGAAGATCAAATGCATAGTGTTCAACAAAAGAATTCCTCATATTTTGTCGAATGGATTCCCAATAATGTGCAAACTGCATTGTGTTCAATTCCACCAAGGGGACTTAAAATGTCATCTACTTTTATTGGTAATTCTACATCGATTCAGGAGCTCTTCAAACGAGTGGGCGATCAATTTTCAGCAATGTTTCGACGTAAAGCATTTTTGCATTGGTATACGGGCGAAGGAATGGATGAAATGGAATTCACAGAAGCTGAATCAAACATGAATGATCTGGTACGTCTTTTAAAATATTTTATTATTCATTTTGTTTGGTTTTCTAATTTTTTTTTTAAAAATATAGGTTAGTGAATATCAACAATACGAAATAGCTGGCGTCGATGAAGAAGTAGAACTTGATGATGAGATTGAAACATAAATGGTCATTTATTAATAAATATTGCTGATCATTCTTGATCTTCGATTATTATTAGCTCATCTCGCTATTTTATCTCCTTCGTATATTTATTTTTTGACCGTTTATATATAAAATATGTAATGTGTATGAACTTGCGTTAAACATGCTTGCTTTATTTTTTCTATAATCTTAAGACCTTTACCCAAGCATCCTTATATCCTTTTTTTCTTAAATCCTATCCTTTCTATACCATAAAATAATAAGTTAGGATCTTAAAAGAAGTCCTATTGTATCAGATCTCTTGTGTTGTATTTTTTTATTTTTATATAAATGTTTGTTGAGATCGAAATTGTTTTAGTATATTAGATATTAGTTAGATATTTTTAATGGGTTTTTCTAATATTTTAAAATTTGTATTTGATTCATTCCAAGAAGTTTTTCTTCATGTAAAACGATCTTTTGAATATCTTCAAGAGATTAGTTTGTATCCGTTCCGATCATTATTTGAGACATATCCTAACTTGACGTCAATATCATTATCACTTTTGACACTTTATGTTTCTTTATATGTTTTAGGACGAGCATTTAGAGGTTTTAAAGTGTTTCTTCGTATTTTTTTTCTTGTAGCAATCATATCATGTATTATTTATATATGGAAAAATGGAATTGAAGTTGCACGAGCCAGAGTTGAGGACACAAAAAAACGTACTAGAGAGTTAGTATTTTTGTTAATCAACCGGAAATACCAAGGTAGACGTTAAAGTTAACCAGTTAATTATGTATTTATTGCGTTTTTTTATGTAAAAATGTTATTGCTGTTTATTCATTATTGATCTCCATTGGTGTTTCTTTTGTGTCCAAATCAAATTCTTTTGCCCATTCTGTAACAAGAATTGGATCATCTTCTATTATGGAAGAAGAACCATTATTTGTTGTTATATTGTTTTTTTTCTTTGTAGGAGCATTAGTCCACCATTGTATTTTTCCAGAGCACCAATCATTAATGACAGCTTTAGCTGCTGATTCAAGATCAGGAATTCCACCTTTCTTCAAACGACCTCTTTTTTTAGCAACATGAACAAGAAAATCAGTCGTAATATCATTATTTATAGAAACAATAGGCGGCAATTGGTAGAATTTTTCAAGTTTCTCATATAAATTAGAATTAGAATGAAGTTTGCAAAGAATTTGTGAAACACAATAAATAGGATCAGTAATATTTGATGGAGGAATAGCGTTGATAAGAATAAGTCTTGCCTGATCTTTTGCCTTTGTATTGTATGTTTTCTTCTGTTCATCACTTTTTAAAGGATATACAATACCCGGAGAATCAATAAGTTTAATCTTATCATCTAGTTTAACCTGTTTAATAGATGTAGTGATACCTGCTTCTGACCCTGTAATACATGGTTTTTTCGTATTTCCACTATTCAAACATGACACAAGGAAATTAACAATTGATGATTTCCCAACATTGGGATAACCAACTACTCCTACAAACAATGATCTTTTTAAATTTTGCTTATGTGCATATGATTTTAAAAATTTAATAAGATCAAAAGCCAATGATTGTGGTTTTAACACTGTATTGTTGAAAGAATGAGAAGAAAATGATGAAACTGCTCGAAAAGGCAGACATGTAAAGGATGTTCGCAGATAAGCTAACCATTCCATAAGATTATCATATGGTATAAGATCTAATATAAAATTAATATAAAATTAATACAAAAATATACCATCTTTATGATTAATAATTACCTATCTTATTAAGAATAAATATAAGCTTTTTTTCATGATTTTGTAAGACTAGATCTTCAACCTGTTGTGACCGAGTTCCTTGAGGATCACGTGCATCCAAAATGTATAAAACAACATCAGATGCCTCTATTACCTCTTTAAATGTTTTACTAAAAGCCTTAAGAGATTTCTCTCTTTTAATACACCCCATTCTTTGATTATCACTTTCATCTTCTGAAAATCCATACCATGACCCAATTTCTTCATCAATTTCACAAGTATCATCTTCTTCTACTCCAGAAAACTCGTTTTCACCTGTTACTGAATCTTCTACCATGGTATTTACATGGGGAAACATTATTTCCTCCATAGATTCTTTTTTTTGAGAATTTTTTCCTTTAAACTTGCTTTTTTCCTCAATTTCCGCAAGAATCTTGCCCTTATATGGAAAACTATTAGGAATCATAGGATATTCCTCTGTTTTTCTCTTCTTTTTAGGCCTTTTTTTAGCCTCTTTTTTCTGTTTTTTACGAAAAGCTGAAACTTTCTTTTCAATACCATATCTAAGCCGTGCTGGCTGTCGCCGGCTCTTCTTCTCTATCATATACGTTAGTTCATATCCTTTCTGTACTTATTTATTATATATTCTCATTTATACTTACTTATAGAAACCATCAATATTCTTGGTTGTCTTGATACCTAAGATCAGCTATCCAGACTTACCAGAAGTACATTTAAATATGTTTTTAAAAATCCCATAATTATACACAGATTTTCCTAAGAATGAGTGTATGTTGTTGGTTTGTTGAAACAAGTGAATATTATATAATGGTTATCTACAATATGTTGAGAAGATAGTTAATGAGTGAAGTGTTTTTTAAAAAATTAACGCTTGTAAAAATGCTTATGAAAACAATGCTCCCTTTCTTTTCTTTGAATAGTTATTTGTTTGTTGAATTCTACAGCAGATTTTGCATGTTGAGCAATATTGAAGATCGGTGAAGGAGTAGTATTTGCGTTATAGAAGGAATTGAGTAAGACAGTTGACTTATATGGCTGTATTTCTGCTTGTTGATCATCGTTTTTAACTGTAGGTATTGATGGTTGTAGTAAAACCGGGTATTTATGTCGATCACTATCTTCTATATACTTTTCAACAGGTATACCTGCATCTTTTGCCATTTGTTCAAAATAATCATCTTTTCCACGCTTTCCTGAAACAATTACACGACTACCAAAACGTCTAAATACGCTTCGTGCACTTACAATTGCAATTTGTCTTGATCTATAGGAATATGGAATGATTTCTTTTGAAATTAGATCATATTTTTCTTCTTGTGATATCATAATTTTTCGAAGCGTTTTGTTCTTCAAAAAAAGAAGATATGAATCCCTATAATTCATAATTCTTGCCACCTCTGTTCCAAGCATAAATAATCGTTTTCCATGCCCTACTACCTCAAATGTTTTACCATTATATTTACGTCCTCCTTTTAAATATCCATTCCGATCCACCTTTTCTTCGCCCAGCGAATCTACCTCTATATCCAGATACTCATCCCCACTACTAGTTAACCGTCCTACTAACAATTCTGCACGAGATAACGTGCTACGAAGCTCTATATCTTTTTCCTCTAATATATCGTCTTTACACTTAATATATGGACTTTTTTCCCCATCAAACCACTCCTTACTCTCCTCTACTATATTCTCCTCTTCTATCGACCTGTTTCTCACTATATCAAGCTCTTCTAATAGAAATATCTCGTCATCATCTAAAAGACGCCTTGGTGGCCCATAATTGGCCTTTCCAATCGGTTCAATTGACATTACATCGCACTAAACCCCTCATAAAACACCTCTACGGTCCTATAAACCTTATTTCCACTCCTATTTCGCCTATTTTCTCCGCTCTTTTTTGTATATCAAATTAACCTCTATGTTGATCAATATTTTTCCCTTAAAAGACCCAATAAAACCTCCAAATAACCTCTCAGAATATCAGAAAGGGCTCCGTAGAATATGTTTTGTCTGTTAAAGACCTCTTTATAGTGTTTCTTAGCCCTTTATATAAGCTGATGGGCCAAACACTTTTTTTTGACGTCGTAGGAGGGGATTTTCGTATACGTCGACGACGACCAAGAAAAACGGGGAGAGGTTTTTTGAGAAAAAAGGTAAGAAATACGCGTTTTTTTATGCATATATAAATAAAAACAGTGTTTTTTTGGGGGTATAATGGGTATAATTGTTTTTTAATGGGGTTTCTAGACGCATTTTTCGGGAATGTTTAGTCAAGATGTGTTTATCCAATGTCGTGGAAAAAAGGTCCTAAAAACAGTGAGAGAACGGTATTTAAGAAGAGATATACCATGTGGATCACAGATATGTATCCCGTGTAGCATTTTTCCGCCTTTTTCTGAGCGTCCAGGTCGTTTTTTTGGGGGAGATAGAAAGTCAAAAATTAATGTATAGTTTAGCAGAGATATCTACGCTTTCATCGGCTCCAAAAGCGTTGAATGGACTTGGAAATGGATGTTATGTTGTACCGGACGCGAAAGTCCTTTATTATTGTGTTAGTTTTTAAGAAAGTTGGTTGAGGAGGAAAAAATGATAATATTAGATGAGTCTTATTGAAAAAGAGGGCGTTTTTAATGATATGATAATCCTCCAGACTGTATTAGAGGATCTGAAAAAGCAGAGTCTTTCTGCATATAGTTTTCTTCGTCAATATGTAGCATCTATGGATAAACGTTTTTATGTTTTTCATAATGAGTTTCATTTAGAGACATATGTGGAGCGTAAGGAAGAAGAGAGTATGAATGATAGAAATGATCGAGGAAAGGTGTATATTTTTATTATTTTTTTTCTTATAGGATATTAGCTATTCGAACAGCATGTAAATGGTATGTATCGCATTTGAAGGAGGTGACACGTGGTACAAAGACGGTGGTTCCGGGGGTTTTACTTTTGACGGATGATAAAGAGAATAGATCTAAGGCGAAGGATGAAGGAATAAATGCATATTCTATAGAAGAATATCTTTCAGAGTTTTCTAATTCTGATGAACTTTTTGATATGATAACATCAGTTTCAGAGGTAGATCCACATTCGAAGAAGGGAATTTTTTTATATCCTGAAGTATTTTATAATTTTAACTTTTTAATATCTTATAAATATAGTATTATTCATGTTCATCTATATCAAATGGTATAAAAACGGGTAAATTATATCAAGGGGAATTTAATGTCAATCCATATAATTTTTTAGAGGTAATTGCTTTGTAGTTGTTAAATTTTTTTAATTAAAACAGGCAAATGTTTCGGTATCTAATTTTGAAAAACCTGTTATTATTCTTGGGAAGGAAAACATTAATAGAGCTATTCAAGGAGATATAGTAGCTATAGAAATTTTTAAGAAAGAACAATGGAGAACTTTAACATCTAAAATAATTGAACAAGAAACTTTATCAGTAAATGAAAATGCTGAAGTAGAAGAATCAGAAGAAGTTATAACGCAAAAAGATCAACAAGAGATTATAAGCGAGTATTGTGTTTTAAAACGTGGGCAAAAAAAAGCAGATAATATTTTTCCTACAGGAAAAGTTGTTGGTATTATTAAAAGAAATTGGAAAAAGTAATTTCCTATTATTTTGTTAGTTTATACTTATAATTAATAGTTATGTCGGTCAAATAGATCCTAAATCTGTCGTTGTGTCAAATAATACTAGGATTCAACAAACCATATTTTTTATTCCTACAGATAAACGTATTCCAAAAATACGTATTAAAACAAGACAAGGGCCAGTTTTATTAGATCAGAAGATTTTGGTTAATATCGATGCATGGGACAGGGATTCTAGATATCCTAGAGGTCATTTTGTTCGCTCGTTAGGAAAATCAGAGGTTAATGAAACTGAAATGGAAGCTTTATTGATTGAATATGATATACAACATTCTCCATTTCCGAAAAGTGTTTTAGATTGTCTACCATCTGAAGGGGATAAATGGGAGGTATCATCTGTTATGACACCTAGCGATTGGGAGAAAAGAAGGGATTTTCGTCATCTTCCTATATGTAGCATTGATCCTCCTGGTTTGTAAATGTTTATTTTTTTGCAATACTGATTTATAGGCTGCGTGGATATTGATGATGCTCTTCATGCAAGGCCTTTAGAAAATGGAAATTTTGAAGTGGGAGTTCATATTGCTGATGTTTCATATTTCGTAAAGCCAGGTACTGCTATAGATGTAGAAGCATCAGAAAGAGGAACAACTGTATATCTTGTGGACAAGCGAATAGATATGTTGCCATTATTACTAGGGACGAATTTATGTTCTTTAAAACCTGGTGTTGAAAGATTTGCTTTTTCTGTCATATGGGTATTTATGATATTTAAATAATAATTCGCTAATATTTTTAGGAAATAACATTTGAAGCGGAAATTGTTAAAACTGAATTTGTAAAATCTGTAATAAAATCACGTTCGGCTTTTACTTATGAAAAGGCTCAGTTTGAGATAGATAATAAGTATAAAAATTATTAATATTTATATTTTCTTATGATTTTAGTATACAAAATAATGAATTGTCTATTTCTATGAAGACACTTCTTATGCTTTCTAGAAAACTTCGTCAAAAAAGATATGATAATGGTGCTTTGAATCTTACTAGTCCCGAATTAAAACTTGAAATTGGGACAGAGACTTCTGATAGAATTACTTTTGAATCTAAAAAACTTTATGAAACAAATTTTCTGGTTGAGGAATTTATGTTATTAGCTAATATTTCAGTAGCACATAAAATATATGAAGCATATCCGGAATTTGCAATATTACGGTAATAATAAAATAATAAATTAGAATAATATTGACATTTTCTTAGGCGTCATGTTGCTCCACCTAAGGAAAATTTTGAAACACTTCGAGATATTCTTAAAGTAAGACGGAATATGATATTAAATACTGAGTCATCTAAAACTTTGGCTGTCTCTCTTGATAAATGTGTGGATCCTGATGAACCATATTTTAATACGTTATTAAGAATAATGGTTACAAGATGTATGTCATCAGCAGAATATTTTTATGCTGGAAATTATCATTATTCCGAATTTAGACATTATGGTCTTGCAGTTAATATATATACACATTGGACTAGCCCGATTCGTCGTTATGCAGATATAATAACACATCGCCAGTTAGCTGTTGCTATTGGTTGTGAATCTTTACAATCAATTTTGCAGGATAAACCTAAATTGGAGAAAATCTGTAAAAATATTAACCATAAACACCGTATGGGACAAATGGTAGGAAGATCTAGTATAGAATATTATGTTTCTCGAACATTAGAAAAAGAAATTTATGAAGACGCGTTTGTTATAAAAGTATTTAAAAATGGATTTGTTGTTTTCGTTTCAAGGTAATCATATAAAGTCCTTTTAATATTCGAAATGCTAAGGTTTTAGTCTTGGAATAGAAGGATTAGTATATACGCGGGATATTTGTAGGTCAGAATCAGCTGTTTTATTTGATCCAGAATCTTACAGTCTTGTAATAAGTCAATTGAAATCAGATATTTTCAATATAGATAATGAGTTTTCTGAGGGTATATTAAATATTGGTGTTTTTGATAAATGTAGGGTCAAAATATTTCTGGTTAAAGAATCCATTGGAAGAAAAAAAATTAATATACAATTCATAAAAAAACTATAATATGGATAATGAAATATAATAGTTTATAATTGAAGTAATTATAATGTATAGACCTTTAAATTTTTATTAGGAATATGATATTTAATTCAATATTTTAAAACTTGGTTTTATATTGATTTATTTATACATATATTATAGTTTTAAAAAATAAAAATTTTAAAACTTAACATATTGTTTTTATATAGTATTGTTTATTATTAAATAATAATATATCAATTCCCAAAAAAATATTGAATAGTTAATTATATGTTATAATTTTTTAAAAGATTATAACCTTTTAAAAGTTTATAGCATAACCCTTAAATCTAGTAAGTACTATAATGTCTGATGGTACAAATCTAAAAAACCTGTTTTATAAACTAAAAAAATTCTTTGAGCTTTTTTGTTCTTGATGCTATAGAAAAAATATTAAATTAATTTAAATAAAAATCAAAAGATATACCATTTGACTATCTTGTTTATTGATTCTTGGGCGAAAAGTGTTAGGATCCCGGCGTAATCTATTATTCATTAAGAAAAAAAAGAATAGAAACATAAAAAATATTATACGTAACATCTAAGTTTGATAGAAAAGAGTTCATTCCATCTATTAAAGATTGAGGAGGATTAGTATATACCTTTACTGAAGGTTGACCCTCATATACAATCACTCTATCAGCTAAATATGTTGCCATGATACTATTTTCTTATTAATAAAATTATAATATATAATCAATGACTATACAAATCATGTTCAACAACAAATGCTGCTTTTTTAGAATGTAAAATAAACCTAAAGTATTAGTATAAAATAACATAATACTGATAGTTACCTTTTAATAACTTTAGAAACAATTATACGTTGCTCAGAATCTAAATATGCAGATGGTTCATCAATTAAATAAACATCAGCAGAAAGACCTAAACACAAAACAATGGCAACACGTTGTAACTCTCCACCAGATAAATCTTGGACTTCATGATCCACAATATTTTCAATGTTCAAAGGCTTACATACATCTGATTGGAAACTAGAATTTAACCATGATGCTTTTATTTTTTTTAGAAACTTGATTAGTCAAAATCAATTCAATTTGAGAATTGTAAATGTTACCAATGTACGAACTGTTCCTTGAAATTTCGGTGTAATTTTTTGGGGTTTTAAAGATACGCTTAAACCTAGAACTTGTTCATTTCCATCAGGTTTTAAAATCCCTGCTAGTAGCTATATCTTATATTTAATAAATAATCAATGAAGAAATAATTGTTAACTTTAATAAATGTAGTTTTTCCTGTGCCATTTTCTCCTAGCATAACAATGATTTCAGAATTAGTAAATTCTCCTGCGCCAATTTCAAGTGTAAAATCCCCAAGTTTTTTTGTCATTGAAGGATATACATATGCTTTATTCCTCTCCAGTGAAAAAATATCAGACGAATCTGATATTTTGAACTGCAATGATTCACTTCTAAAGCGTAAATTTTCTGTAGGAATATTTCCATCTAAAAATATGTTTATCCCTTCCCTAACAGAGAATGGCAAAGTAACTACGCCATAAACTGATGGCATTCCGTACAAAACACATATATAATCTGAAAGATAATCAAGAATAGATAAATCATGTTCAACAACAATAATATAATTGTCAGGACTAAGAGACCATCTAATTGTTTTTGCTGCGTTTAAACGTTGTTTTACATCTAAATATGATGATGGCTCATCAAACATATATCTAAAAAATATAAAACAGTAAAAATTTATAAAACAACCTACATGTCTGCTTTTTGAATACAAACAATTGCAATTGCAAAACGCTGTAATTCTCCACCAGAAAGCTGATTTACTTCACGTTTAAGTATATCTCTTAAACCTTTAAAACGTTTAAAAATAATAACTATATATATAACGTTGTTATTACTTAGAATATCAATGATTTCTTCTTTATTATTTTTTTCTAATTTAAAGTCAAGAAGTTCATCAACAGTTTTAACCGTGCCCTGAATAGTTTTCGGAATATGATCAACATATTGAGGCTTAACCACCGCCTTTTTCAAATGTTAAACAACTAAAATACTCTTATTTATATATTACTTTTAAACTATCCTCCAAAACTTTAGTAAAATAATTTTGAAGTTCACTCCCCCTAAAATATCTAAGAATTTCTTCCCAATCAGGCGGATTGCTGTATCGACCAAGATTAGGCTTCAATTTTCCCGCTAAAATCTTAAGTGCTGTAGATTTTCCAATACCATTTGCTCCTACTAAACCAAGAATTTGTCCCGGTCTAGGTGTAGGTAATCTATGCAGCTTAAACGAATTTCCCGAGAATCTATGTGTAACTTTGGATTCTAAATTTGTAGGCAAATTAATAATATGAATAGCTCCAAAAGGACATCGTTTAACACATATTCCACATCCAATACTGCTTTTTTCTAGCCGAAAAAACAATATATATATATATATACCACAGAGATTCTGAAATCCATGAGATCTTGGACTCTGGTGTCACTTCTATACATAATTTTCCACCACGAACAACCGGGCCTATATATCTATCAATCCTCCTAATTTTTCGAAAAAAATACACAAAAATACACGATTTTTTGCATTCCTGATGACATTTCTCCATAATCTCAGCATTTCACTCTCATATTCTCTCAAACTTACTCGGGGCTTGCATTTATCACTATTCACCTATAATCCATCATATTTCAGCATTTTTACACGTTTTTTTTCCGGAAAAAAAACACAAAAACATACAATCGCAACTCTAGTAAGTCTTTCTGAGCTTCCTGTCTGTGTTTTCCTCGACATTTTCCGTTTTATTTAACAATATTTAATATCTTCAATATCTCAGCCTTTTTTCACCCGTTTTTCTTCAAAAAAAAACCTATCCATATAATATCAGGCTCAAACATTCATTATAAACACTTATTTTTCACTAATTCCTACTCCTTTACCCTTTTTTTCAAAAAATCCTCCTCACTCGTTTTTTTGTCGTTGCCTCTCCTCGATGCTTATTAATGACGACTCTCGACGTCTCACTTTAAATCTAAGGATATTCGGACTTCCGACCAAGCTTAAGAAAAAATAATAAGAAATATCAGGGAATTAGGAGCAAGACTCACTAAGAACCTGTTATATGGTTATATTTTAGCTTATATATAAGTAAGTACGCATTAAAAAGGGGTTATAAAGGGAGGAAATGGGCGTAATATGAAGGGTTATATGTGGCAATGAATCCGCTAAAAAGGCTAAAAAAGAGGGATTTTGGGGTATTTTTTGTATTAAATGAAAGCGGGGAGCCAGAATTATATAGGAGGATGCGAAAAAAGCAGGAAAAAAGGCCAATTTTTCGTGGAAAAATGGCAAAATAAGGATTTATAAAGATGTTAGAATTGAGGAGTATTCCTGAGAGGCATCGGCTATTAAATTACACCATTTTATAGGGAAAATAATGGATATTAATGGTTTTTAGTTACAGGTTCTAGAAATAATGGTAGATGAAGATCTATCAGAAAGAATGGATAAGGGACCGGAGAGGAATATGGGGGGATTAGAGGGTTTTTATAGATAAAAAAAGGGTTTTTTATATGTATTTAATAGGGGATTAGAGAGTGGTGGTATGAGTAATTTGAGCGAGGAATTTATATCGGAAACAGAGGATAATATGAATGACAAAGATTATAATTTGTCAGATAATGAGAGTGAGAGGGAGGAAATGGAAGAGATTCCTCGATCGAAGAGGAAGAATCAGGAAAAGGCGAAAAAGCGGCTGGAAACGCAGAATTTTTCGATATATGGGTTGAGAAGGTCAGAGAGAACACGAAATGAACAAGTTCGTAATATGAATATGGAATCATCGGATGAGCGTATTTCAGATGAATATGGAATGGTATCTAAGAAAAGAAGGAAGAAAAACCATACGAGTAATATATTTTATGTAAAATATGAAATTTTTCTTATATTGATGAAAGGGACGCAATCAATACAATCGTCAGTTGAATCGTATGAGAGTGATTTTAGTGACAAATCAAGAAAAAAGAATCGAGTGTTTTTAAAGGATGAATTGAGATTTTCTAATAGGAATTCGAAAACATGTAATTATAATGAGAATTCTATGGATGATGAGCTTGATTTTACGAATGATGATGATAATAATTATTTTTATGAGAAAAAGTCATCAAAATCATTAGAAAGTATTATTTTTTATTTTTTTTTAATATTTTTTGATGATAATATAGCTCAAGATAGTATTGACGCAGTATTGGATCATCGTCAAATTAATAAAGATAGTATGTTTTATTCGTAGCTATTATTGGGTTAATATTATTTAGATTCTAATGAATTTAATAATTGGCATGCTTCGGAATATCTTGTAATTTTTTACTAATTATATCTTTATCATATTTATTGATATAATTAGGTTAAATGGAAGAATCATTCCCATCTTCATGATTCATGGGAAACATATGATAATTTGAAAAAATTTCGAGGATGGAAAAAAGTAGATAATTATATAAAACAGTATATTGATTTAGATAAGCAAATAAGAGAAAACCCTACAACGAGTTCTGAATATATTGAAGCCATGGATATTGAGAGTGAAAGGCGTAGAAATCTTTTAGTTGAATATCAAACTGTTGATAGAATTGTTTCTTCAAGAATTGTTAAAAGTTGCAAATTTGATGAACATCCTCATACTGAATATTTTTGTAAATGGAAACAGCTTTATTATGACTCGTGTACATGGGAATGCGCTTCTTTTATTTTTAATGCGCAAGAACAAATTGATAAATATTTGAATCGATCTCTAAGTCATATTCTTCCTCATGAAAGCGTTTCATATGGTTCTTCTCGACCAAAGTTTAAAAAGCTTGATGTTCAACCCGAATATATCAAGAATGGTGAATTAAGGGATTTCCAATTAACAGGTGTGAATTGGATGGCATATTTATGGTCAAAAAATGAGAATGGGATTTTGGCTGATGAGGTATTTTCTATCTATACGTATGTATATGTTTCTAATTTTAGTAGATGGGACTGGGTAAAACGGCTCAGACCGTCTCTTTTTTGTCATATCTTGTGCATTCTTTGCATATTCATGGTCCATTTTTAATAGTAGTACCATTATCAACTATTCCTGCATGGCAAGAAAACTTAGAAACATGGGCAACTGATTTAAATAGTATTATATATATAGGAAATTCAGAAGCTAGAAGAACTATTCAGGAATATGAATTTTATATTGATAAAAATCCCAAAAAAATAAAATTTAATATTCTAATTACAACTTATGAATATATTCTCAAGGACAAATCTGAATTAAATCAAATCAAATGGCAATACATGGCTGTAGATGAAGCACATAGACTTAAAAATAGTGAATCGCAACTTTATGAATCTCTAAGGGACTTTAGGACTGTAAATCGTCTTTTAATTACCGGAACACCTCTGCAAAATAATATTAAGGAATTAGCAGCGTTGATAGATTTTTTGATGCCCAAGAAATTTGAAATTGATAGGGAATTAAATTTTGAAGCACCTAATGCTGAACAAGAAGCTTACATTAGGGATCTTCATAAAAGATTACAGCCTTATATTCTACGTAGATTGAAAAAAGATGTAGAGAAATCTCTTCCATCTAAATCTGAAAGAATTTTAAGGGTTGAACTATCTGAACTACAGACATATTGGTATAAAAATATTTTAACACGTAATTATAGGGCATTAAGTATGTCTACGGGAAATAGTCAATTGAATTTATTAAATATTGTTATTGAGTTAAAAAAAGCTAGCAATCATCCATATCTTTTTCCTAATGCTGAAGAAAATTGGTTAAACAGTATTGGATCAAAAAGAAATCGTGAGGATATTTTAAGAGGAATAATAATAAATAGTGGAAAAATGATTTTACTTGATAAACTTCTTACTAGACTAAAAAGGGATGGCCATAGAGTTTTGATATTTAGTCAAATGGTTTGTCTTTTTTTTTTCCTTAGAAATATTTCAAATTAATTTGTAGGTTCGTATGTTAGATATTATAGGTGATTATTTAGTTTTTCGCGGTCTTTCTTTTCAGCGCTTAGATGGAACTGTGTCTGCATCTATTAGAAAAGCGTCTATTGATCATTTTAATGCTAGCGGTAGTCCTGATTTTGTATTTTTATTGAGTACTAGAGCAGGAGGTCTTGGAATAAATCTTATGACTGCAGATACAGTGATTATTTTTGATTCAGATTGGTATATAAATAAATATTTGATTTATTTTTAACTATTTTAGGAATCCTCAGGCGGATTTACAAGTATTTTTATTTTATCTTGTATTTTTTTTGCTAAAAAATATAGGCAATGGCTAGGGCACATAGAATTGGGCAAAAGGTTTATAAGATTTATTCATATATATCTCTGTTTATCTTATATTGATTTAAACTAGTCGCATGTTATGGTTTATAGATTTGTCTCTAAAGATACGGTAGAAGAAGATATATTAGAACGAGCTAGAAGAAAAATGATTTTGGAAGTATTTATTTTGCTTTTTTTTTTTTTTAGTTTATAAAATTATAGTATGCAATTATTTCTTTAGGCGTTACAGATAAATCAAACTCAGGGAAAGCAGATAAATTCACAGCGCAAGAATTGAGTGCTATTCTCAAGGTAAATAATCACTATTGTTTAAAGTGATGTAGTTTTGAATATTTAATTAGTTTGGTGCATTAAATATGTTTAAAGATAATGATAATCAGAAACGTTTAGAAGATATGAACTTAGATGATGTCTTAGAACATGCTGAAAATCATGATATTGGACAGGATGTTGGAGGAGCAAGCATGGGAGGAGAAGAATTTTTAAAACAAGTTTATTTATATTATTTAAATTTTTATGTTATAACCTATGAAATAGTTTGAAGTTACCGATTACAAGACCGATATTACATGGGAGGATATAATTCCTGAAGAAGAGCGTAATAGAATTGAAGCCGAAGAAAAGTTGAAACAAGATGAAGAGTTTTTGCAGGAACAAATATCTATGAATACTAAAAGAACTGTCAAGCATCCTGAAATTCTATCAATTAAGGATAATAATTCGAATAAGAAATTAAAGAAAGTTGACCCGAAATTAAGACAATTAAATGAAAAAGAAATTCGCAATCTTTATAGGGCTATTTTAAAATTTGGGTCACCATTGGATCGTTGGGAAGAAGTTATTAGAGAAGCAGATTTGCCCAGTCAAATGCCTCCTGAAAAAATACGCTTAATTGTTCAAGAACTTTTTAAAGTTTGTAAGCAGGCGATAATTAATCAAGAAGCAGAAAATAGAGATGTTGAGAATTCTACATCGAATCAAAACTCGAAACCAAAAAAAGCTCTTCTTATAGAGTATAAGGGAGTAAAAAATATTAATGCAGAAACAGTCATACAAAGAGCAAAAGATTTGCGTTTTGTTCATCAATTAGTTAAAGACGTTGATTCAAAAGTCTTTCGTATACCTGGGCAAGTAAAAGCAGTTCATGGATGGTCATGTCAATGGGGAGAACGAGAAGATGCTATGCTATTAATTGGAATCGATAGGTATGGATTCGGTTCCTGGTCTTCTATAAAAGATGATCCCGATTTGAACATGCAAGATAAAATATTTTTAGACGATGATAGAACAGAAAAAGATGATCATAAAGAAACCAAAGAATTAAAGGATTCTAAATTGATTCCTGGTCCTACTCATCTTGTAAGACGTGGTGAATATTTATTGAATCTTGCACGAGAGATTCTTGAAGTAAAAACGACAAGTTCCTCAAACAATATATTAGTAATAGATAGAAAGGTACATAATCTTACGTTTTTGAATCATTCTTATATTAAAAAGGCAAAAAACAATCATAATATCCATTCATCAGGATCATCGCAACAGTCGAAATCTAGAAATACAAATCATGATCTTCATTCATTTAAACAATCTTCAAAAATAAAGAATGATAAAAGGACAAAAACTCAAGATAATGTGAATACAGAGAAAAACTACGATTTTGATGATGAAAGCGAACATTCTAGTATGGACGAAGACGATTGTAAGGTATAGTAATTCATTATTTTGGTAAAATAAATACTTAAAATACAAAATTAGAGAATATTACATCCTGTTCGAAAACAATTGAAGACCTTAAAAAAGGATAAGGATACAGATAGAACAAAACTCGCAATGATTTTAAAAGAATGTTTAACAACAGTTGGTGATTTTATTGAAACAACTGTAGCATCACGATCCGAGTCTGATAAAGATCGCTTAAAAAAACATTTATGGTAACTCTTAAAAATATCTATTTTTAAGTAATTTATTTTCCTCAGGGTATTTACAAGCTACTTTTGGCCAAAAAAAATTCCTTATATTCATTTATTAAATATGTATAATAAACTTATAGCAGGAAGGAAGGATTTTAACACTTAATTTTAAAAATATTTGGCCTTTTTTAGGCATATTGATTTTTAATTTTTTTAAAAAATAGTTATGATAAGTATTTTTTTATATACGTTTTTTTCTAAAACTTATTTAGGATATATCTTTTTTTTACAAAAAAGTATTTATTCAAATATACAAGAGAATTATCTGGATTTATGGGTATGTTTGAGATTGTGTTGATTATCTTTTTTTATGTTTATTTTAATCATTTTTATCCGCAGGTTTTGATTTTACCCGGAAAAAAACGTAAATTTTCAGAAAAAAAACCGTTAAGGATTATTTAGAAAGTCATGTCCAGGTTTTTATTTACTTCTGGTACATCAGATCTTTAAAATAATATTTTTAATATATCTTTAGAATCTGTTGGTGAAGGTCATCCTGACAAGGTTTTATTTTTTCTTATTAAAAATAATAAAAATTAAGGATTTCTTAAAAGATCTGTGATCAAGTATCTGATGCTATTTTGGATGCATGTTTAAAAGAAGATCCAAATTCTAGAGTTGCTTGTGAGACAGCTATAAAAACTGAAATGCAAGTAAAACTATGATTTATATGGATTTATTTGATTGAAATCCTTAAAATAGAGTTATTATTTTTGGGGAAATCACTACTAAAGCTTCTCTTGATTATAAAAAAATAGTTCGTGAAACGATCAAAAATATTGGTTATGATAGCTTGGATAAGGGTTTTGACTATAAAACATGTAATATTTTTCTTGCTATTGAAGAACAATCGTAAATAGGATTATTGATTTTTTTTTTTTTTCTGATGGTTTTATTAGTCCTGATATTGCACAAGGACTTCATTTAGAAAAATCATTAGAATGTATTGGTGCGGGAGATCAGGTAGATTTGCTTTTTTTAATATTTTTTTGTTGAAGGGTATATAAGGGTATTATGTTTGGATATGCCACGAATGAGACAGAAGAGTTACTACCATTGAGTATTTTACTTGCTCATCAGTTAAATAAGGCGCTTGCAGAAGCCCGACGTAGTGGCGAGATAAAGTGGCTACGTCCGGATTCGAAAACACAGGTTACAGTTGAATATGAGCAGGGAAATGGGATGGTAGTTCCTGTTCGTGTGGATACTATTGTTATTTCTACGCAACATGCTGATACAGTTTCTACTGAAAAGATTCGTGAAGAGATTTTAGAAAAAATTATCAAAAAGGTTATTCCTTCAAAATATTTAGATGAAAAAACTATATATCATATTCAGCCATCTGGTAGATTTGTTATTGGAGGGCCCCAGGGTATATTTAATTCTATTATTATTATTATTATTTAAAAAGGAAGGTGATGCGGGCTTGACTGGAAGAAAAATTATTGTTGATACTTATGGAGGATGGGGTGCACATGGTGGTGGTGCTTTTTCGGGCAAAGATTTTTCTAAAGTTGATCGCAGTGCAACTTATGCAGCAAGATGGGTAGCAAAATCTCTTGTTGCATCTGGTTTGTGCAAAAGGTGTCTTGTTCAGCTTTCATATGCAATTGGTATTTCTTATCCTTTAAGTATTTTTGTTGAACATTATGGAACAAGTAAAAAAACTTCATCTGAACTCGTTGAAATTGTAAAGAAAAATTTTGATTTAAGACCAGGTGTTATTGTTAAAGAACTTGGGTTGCAGCTTCCAATTTATTTTAAAACTGCGTATGTATTTTTTTTAAGATTTCCTCGTTTCTAAATTATGAAATAGATGTTATGGGCATTTTACTGACCAGTCTTTTCCATGGGAAAAACCTAAAAAGTTAGTGTTTTGATTTAATTCTCAGAATGTTCATATTGGGGATTTTTTGTGGGTTATTTTATATGAAATTCTTATGTATTATGACATAATATATATATTGGCTTATCTTAAGTTACTAGAATATTTTTATGGTTATAGAATATAAGGGTTTTATAATTTCTTTAGATATGATATTTAATTTCTATATTTTTTGTTATATTTTAAAATCTTGTAATATAGGATTGATTTGAGCTTATGAAATTCTAGTGCAAGACTAATGACTTTATTATGAATCTTGTAATATTTCTACTAGATTGATGAAGCGGGTATACAATGGGTAAATAGTCTATAAAATATTCAAATTTATCTTATTACTTTTCTCAAAAAGATCAAGTGGGTTATGATAGTTGGGTATAAGAATATGGATTTTTATTTAATAGTTTTGCCAAGTTTCATTGATAAATATTTAAAAATTATATTCAATGGTTCAATAACATACAAATTCTGAGTATAAACCATTATTTCTAATATAAACTATTATTTTATATCTTTAAAAAAATATTAAGCGGTTAAAATATAAATTAGAATACTAAATACTAATAATATAATCTACTATTCATTGATTGAATAGATAGACATCTGTATCTTATAATTTATAATAGATTTCCATCTCCCTTTGATAGCGTTCTTTATCATTTGCTGAGCAATTCACAAATTCCTAGTAATATTAACACTAAATTATATTAAGAAAATATACCTGTCTCTCAGAATCCCCCATAGTTGCCCATTTCTCCGCTAATATCTTGGTTTGTTCTGTAATCTTTGTTCTTCCTTGTGCATATTTCTCTATAAAATCTGGGCATGATCTTGCATAAGCACAAAAAAATAAAAATGATGATAAAGGACGTTTAGGCTTTCGAGGATCCTTAATAAATGTTACGCCTTTCTTTCCTTGTCTGCGTAATTGGCTTCTAATATTGTTTTCTTTTATAATTTCTTGTGGTGATAACGAATTCACCCAATTGCTATATGTACGCAATGCCTGTAACTTTTTCTCCTCTGAAATATCTTTGTACGTCTATATACTCTCCGTAAGTGTCTTTTTCCTTATAAAAAAAGACTGTAAAGCCTGACAAACCTGTCGTTCTTCTTGTGACATATTTTTCCATATAGAAGAGCTTTGTTTCAGAATTTCCTTCGGAGTACCTATTGTTTGTTTAAATTTCTCCTTAATAAATACGATCCAAGGAGATTCTCCTCTTTTTGGAGGCGCTGGCAGCGCATCTAGCTTTTTATTTATTTTTGCATCCTTTGATGCAGATTTTGACGAGAAAAAACGGCAAGAACTCGCAATAAAAAGGTATGAACATATTGATATGGTATTTCTGTTTAATATAATACCAGTAACGGCCCTTTTTCTCTCAATATTCATCCATTGAGTAGCATCTCCTTTGTTGATCGGGTTTGTGGTCCCCAGATATCGTTTAAAAACCGTTCCAAATCCTCCATACCCCAAAGTCCTTGTCCTGAATCCAATGGAAGCAAGAAAATTGCAGTTTATCATAGTATTTTGTGTGTTTTTTGGATTTTTATTAAATTTAATTTTTTCTGACGTTGATCGTGGACATCTCAATCAACCTGTCAACGTCAGGATTTCAAAAAATTCGCTGTATTTGGGTTAAAAAAGAGGTAAATTGTCATTTAAATTGCTATTTACTGATTGTAATTATGTTTTTTTTCAGGGTTCCCTTTTTTCTGCGTTTTTTTTGCTCATTTTTAGGCGAATTAGATATATTTTTGTGGTTCATTAATTGTATCCAAAAAACGGAGGGATACGCTGCTATTTTTTCTTAAAACACTGTATATATTATTCTACGGGGTCTGTTTTACTAGGGAGAGGCTTTTTTCCCGTTTTTTTTGCCTTATTATCTGCTGAAAAGCTGCTAAAAAAACGTCAAATAAGGCCTCAAAAAACTACCAAAAATTGCTTGATATCTGAGCCAAATAATGAGTCGTCAGAGATATCATTCATCAGAGAGCTTATCTAAGCGCCACAGGTCTCATCATAGTAGCTATGATCATGATAGAGACTCGAGATATATGAAAGATAGAGAGAGCAGAAATAAGGAACAGGACAGGGAAAAGGAGCAGAGATCTTATACAAAAGGAACATCAGAAGGGTCTTCTCAGGCTAAAGATGATGAGAAGGAGCGTATGCGTATTAAGCAGGAAAAAATCCAGCAATTTTTGCGCCAACGTGCAGCACGTATGGCAGAAAAAGAAAAGGAAAATACAGGGTCAACAGAGAAAGAAATAAAGGAAAATGAACAGAAAAGTTCTGTTCCAAGTATTGGAGCATGTGGTTCAGTTTCTGGATTTGAATTTGGTCGAACAGTTACAAAAAAGTCTAGTCAAGCTATAACGCTTGATGATGATGAGAAAAAACGCAAGATTCCTATGGCATCTCATGGAGATGAAGACAATTCTGAAGAATCATTACAGAAAGAACAAAAGAATGCAGAAAATGAGGAAGAAGAGGTGGATCCATTGGATTTATTTATGCAAGGAATGGATGAAGTAATTAAACGAGATGCAGAAGAGAAAGTAGAGAATCATTTGAGTCGAGATGAGCTTTTAGATAATAAGGAAGATAGCGAGGAAGAGGAGGAAGAGAATACTATTAATGATCCAAGAGATATATTGGCATTTGCACAGAAAAAAATGAAAAAAAGAGAATTACCTAATATTGATCATTCAAAGATTCATTATGAACCGATTCGAAAAAATTTCTATGTTGAACCACATGAGCTTTCTGAAATGACTGAGCAAGAAGTTAATGATTATCGTTTAGAATTGGATGGAATTAAAATAAGAGTATTTATTTTTATATAATTTGAATTTTCTGATGTTTCAGGGTCTTAATTGTCCTAAACCGATTCAGAATTGGAGTCAATGTGGTCTTCCTGCCCATGTGTATGTTTTATTTAGAAGAAAAAAAAGAAAGATACTTATTGTTTTAAAGATTAGATATTATTTATCAACTTAAATATGAAAAGCCGACAGCTATTCAAGCTCAAGCAATTCCTGCTATTATGACTGGAAGAGATATAATTGGTGTTGCAAAAACAGGGAGTGGAAAGACTATTTCATTTCTTCTTCCAATGTTTCGACATATTAAAGATCAGCGTCCTATTGATTCTTTAGAGGGGCCTATTGCACTTATTATGACTCCAACTAGAGAATTAGCTGTACAAATTCATAAGGAATGTAAGCATTTTTTAAAGGTTTTAGGACTTAGAGTATATTTTTATTTATTTTTGAATTAAAAGTTATTTATATTTTTAGGCAGTATGTGCATATGGAGGTTCTCCAATTAAAGATCAAATTGCAGAACTTAAGAGGGGTGCAGAAATTGTAGTATGTACACCTGGTCGTATTATAGATTTGCTTGGAGCAAACCAAGGTCGGGTTACTAATTTAAAAAGAACATCATATATTGTTCTTGATGAGGCAGATCGTATGTTTGATTTAGGTTTTGAGCCTCAAGTTATGAAGGTTATTAATAATGTAAGACCGGATCGTCAAACGGTTTTATTCTCTGCTACATTTCCAAAACAAGTATATATTTTTTTTTGATTATCTTATTTAATATTTATATAGATGGATATTCTTTCTAGGAAAATTTTACAGAAACCAATTGAAATTACAGTGGGTGCTCGTAGTGTTGTTGCTTCTGAAATACAACAACTTGTAGAAGTGTGCACTGAGGATAATAAATTTGTTCGACTTCTTGAACTTCTTGGTAATTTGTATGTTAATGACGATGATGTGCGTACATTAGTTTTTGTGGATCGCCAGGAAGCAGCAGATAGTTTACTAAGGGATCTAATGCGTCGAGGATATCCATGTATGTCAATTCATGGTGGAAAAGATCAATTTGATCGTGATTCAACAATTGCGGATTTTAGAGCCGGTGTTTTTCCTATTCTTATTGCTACATCAGTTGCTGCTCGTGGTTTAGATATTAAACAATTAAAATTAGTTGTTAATTATGACTGTCCAAATCATTTAGAAGATTATGTTCATCGTGTTGGAAGAACTGGACGAGCAGGAGAAACTGGAACAGCTGTTACATTTATAACACCTGAACAAGATCGCTATGCTGCTGATATTGTTAGAGCTTTACGAATTAGCAAAGCTAATATTCCAGAAGATGTTCAAAATTTAGCAAATGGTTGTTTTCATATTTTAACTAAATTATTTTTAACAAGTATGATTAGAATTCATAAAAAAGGTTAAATCAGGCCAAGAAAAAGCAAGTGGATCAGGATTCGGTGGCAAAGGTCTTGATAGACTTGATAAAGATAGAGATTTAGCTAGAAAATTACAAAGAAGGGCCTATGGAGAGGAAAGTGATGAAGAAATAGATGTTTTCGATGATGATTATGAATATTCAAAAATGGATCTTTATGATATGGCAGAGCCAGATGTACCTTTTAAAACTGACTCTAATGCCGATTCAAATTCATCGTCTGCTGCTTCACAGACAAATAAAAAAGGGAATATAACAGATGATATATTGGAACGTGTACGTAAGGCAGCTGGTTCAGTGACATCTCGGTTACAAGGTCAATCACGCTCCGGAATTACAATAGAATCTGGTGGTCCTGATTCAAGAGAATTTACTGCTACAATTGAAATTAATGACTTTCCGCAAAAAGCAAGATGGGCTGTCACTAATCGCACAAATATTGCTCGAATTATTGACTTGACAGGAACATCTATTACGAATAAAGGTAACTGGTATCCACCTGGAAAACCTGTACCACCTGGAGAAACAAAATTATATATTCTTATTGAAGGAGAGACCCAAATATCTGTCGACCGGGCATTATATGAGCTTAAACGTTTACTAACTGAAGGAACTGTTTCGGTAATATATAAAGTTTAATCGATAAATTTAACTTTTCTAGGCATTGGAGAGTGAAATACGTTCCGGAATAAGTGGAAGATATTCTGTTTTATGAATGATATCATGATTTTAATTTTTTTTGTATGAAATCTAATATTTATTATGACAAGTTAATCCCACTAAAAATAATTAATGATTAAATATAATAAATGAAAAATAATACTCTTAGATCATTCATTTGTTTTTGATCTCTTTCTATCTGTTTCTCCCGTGAAATATCTTCTAATAGTTCTATACGGGTTTTTTTTTTTTCTGCTGCTAACTGAGAAGAAAGTTTACCCGGACTAGATATTCCTTTATTTTTGTTTTTTTCAAATCTTGCTTGTGCTGCATTTGCTGCTGCTTCCCTTAAAATACTAATATCATGTTCCGCTTTTTCTGTATTTTTCTCTTTTGAAAGTGTATACCCTTTTTTTGATGATTTTGATTTATTTTTTTTAGAAGAAATACAAGTATTCATTTTTTCATCTTTTTCTTGTTCACAGGATTCTAAATGTGTTTCTGTGTATTTTTTTGTCTTACAACAAATCACACCCATTTTACAACGTTAATCCAAATGTTCAAAAAATTTTGTCAATAAAAACATTTTAAAGATAATGAATTAGTTGTAAATGTTCTTGTTTTTTTTTAAAAAACCTTTTTATATAAATATCAAAGTCTTAACATTGTAAAATTATGTGTCGAAAATGATAAAATCCTTCTTCATAAATATATCATTGAGAATATAAGTGATGTTTGTTATGTTTTGTGTAAATAACTGTGAATTAATGGTTGTTTTTGTATATAGTTTGTTTGATAAAAGAGAGTTTATCAAAAAAAAATAAAAATAAAAATAAATTATACAAGAATAATGGTAATTTTGAAAAATGCCGATCTGGATTGGTATATTCATTATCTTTAATCAATCCTATACAGCGTAATTTCAGATTGTTTAAAATACCTGCGTCCGTCTATTAAAATATTAAAATATATTATATAAATATTTGTTTAAAAATGTAACCTTCATCAATTAAAACCAATGAAAGGTAATAACGTGTAGAAAACTTTTTATTAACATCACGAAAAGTTGGTGTTAAATCAAATCCTCCAAGAAAAAGTCGTATTGGAATCGTTTCCCCACGAACTGGTTGACCATCCATAATTTCAAATCTAGATATCTTTTTCAATTCATTAAACATTGTTTTTATACATTTTTTTCATTGGAAATTTACCGTTTCACTTTCATTATATTGATTCGGTGATGATCCTGTTGTTTCCCTTCTAATAATAGATAATTCCATATGTTTAATCTTTAGCCTTACTAAAAGAAAATATATCTTGCCAACAATAACATCTTTTAAATGATATCTTTTCTTTTTTAGAAAAAAATACCCCATTTTATATAAAAAAATACCTAGATTTTGAATATTCAAATTCAATATGTAAACAATCCTCAATCCCCACATCCATCTTAATAGAACTATTGTTTTCTGGTGGCATCTTGTACGAATAAACCCATATATCTTTTTCTCCTACAATATCTGGCATCCTTCTAGATATAATAACCCTGATAAAGTATCTAAAAAATATGTATCAAATAAAACATAAAATATACTCCCGTATACCTTAGTTTTACGTTGATACCATGATAACTTTCATATTGCTTTTCTACATTTTTAAATTCAAAATCAAACGTCTGCGGATGCCTCATTTCACCAGGCGCTGCCAATTCTTGAACTAATGAAAGAAATTCATAATGCGTTCCTCTATCAAAGAACATTTCAATACTCCCAATAAATTGAACCTTAATTCCTGAGTGTTCCATACGTTTTCCATCCTTGGGCCTTAGTGTAACCTTGTATATAGTAAACATTTATTATATAAGCATATACCGCGCATATATACCGATCCTTTGACCGATTCTCCGTCATAATAAAGAGGGGCCTTTTGTTTACGGTCTTTTCCTACCTTGATATCAACCATCTTCCTGATGTCTTCTCCCTCTAACCGGATGTCCACATCAACTGGTGTCTTAAAAAATAGACTGGCCATGAATATGGATCTAAATAACCCTTTTTACCGGCTATATGCTCTAGTATTCTGTATTTATAACCTAATCAATGTATTGTATGCACTTTTGCACCGGATTATATGCGTTAAGAATAAAATCCAACAATATATAAGATATATTTCCTTTAATAGAGATAATTTATAAGTTATTTATGTTTATATGGGCTATTTATAGAGGACTATTAGAATATATGCGTCAATCTTATTAAGTTTTGTTTAAGTCAGAAATCTTGGTTAAGATAGGGTGCCGCTGAGTCACGTGACTACAAGGTATAATATATATAAAGATAAGTATATATAGAAAGGTAAAGAGATAGAAAGATATAAAAAAGAAGAAAATAAGAATAATAATTTTATATCTTTAAAGTATTTTCATAATCCTGTGAAAATAAATGTTGTACATTGCAATGTAATAATAAAATAAATCCATCAAGAAGAATAGAAAGAAAGATGGATAAAAATATGAATTTTTAATAAGACCTGCCCTTATCATCCAGGTTAGAAGTGTTTAAAGGACCAACTAGACCGGAATGAAGGGGTTCAAAAGACAGGCAACCTAAAACTCTATGATTATCAAGAGGAAGAGAAGAAAAAGAGGAAAGATCTACAGGATCATCCCATATACCGGTAAAATTATCATATCCGTATGCAGAGTCATCTTGAAATATAGTTGAATCAAAAGTAGGAACCAAAGAAACATTAGGAGTTTCTTTTTTTTCCGAAAAAATATCTAGATTTTTTATATCGTCATAAATACTAATACTTTGAGGAGAATCAGTACAACTTTTGTTAAAAGATGTTCCTAGTCTAGAATCGTTAACTGAAGGAGTACTATGATTATTTATAAGTGAACGAAATTCATAATCACTAAGATTATCAAATGTATGAAGATAACCATCTAATGAATTATGTGTATCGACTTTTTCGACTTTATTCTTGACAGGAAAAATAGGTAAAGGCACGGAATTGGGGGCGGTATAGATACCTGGTATAAACGATATCTCCGATGGCTGATTTGAATGTGGTAAACCTGTTTGAGAAGAATTCGTATTTGCTTGACATATAATGTCAAATGCTCCTTTTTGTGAATCATAATTACCTTCTTCACTTAATAACCATGAATATTGATCTAATTTAAATTTTTCTGCGTCGGATTGAGACTTTTTATGCGAAATTTGATTCAACATCATTCGCAAAATTTTTGATTCATCCTGTTCAAGACTCGGGTCAAATGTTTTTCGTCTACGCGGTGATTTTCCGCTTGTACTCCTATCCTTTTTCTTCCTTGGTAAGAATTTATAGTCAGGATACTCTTTTGCATGTCTTTCTCGTTCTCTTTGCGCCATTTCTGCATACCTTTCTTTCTCCTCAATCGTTTCTCGTTTCCACATTTCACCAATAATCCTAGATATGGATTGATGATTATTCGTGGGAATACTACTTTGCTTATCTCTCCGATAAAGCATAAAAGAATTCAAAGGACGCTTGATACCAGAGCTAGAACTTCCTGATCTTGACGGTGACTTTTTCTTTGCTGCGGTATCCGATGAAACCGGACTTAACGACAATGCTCTTGTCTTAAGTGTTCCACACGTATTCGAATTTCCTCCAGGAGAATGACAATCAGTTGGCGGCGATCCAGACAGAGAACCTACCATGTTTACCGGATTTTGTGAAACATAACTCTTTGTTTTCGAATGAAGCTGTTCGATGGTTGGGTTTGGCATTGACGTTGACAAATTCATTTGGATAGGCGATGATAATCGCACAGGTAACTCATTAGAAACCGGAAACGTTGGCATTGATAAATCTATGTTCAATCCCGGCATCAACCTGCCATAATATGACGATTGGACATCTTCAACACTATTTAATCGATCATTCAACAAATCTTGCCCCATAATTTCAGGTATCTCTATACTATGTTCTGGTAACTCTTCTACAAGGCCATCATACGGCACAAAAAAATCCTTTTGATCTAAAACACCTTCTTTTTCAATAGACATTTTTGAAAACGTATTTAATGCCAAAGAATGATCTCTTCCCCAATAATTACCAATCCAATCACTCTCGATATCCCTTCCTAGCATAAAAATATAACAAAAAAATAATGCTTCAAAAGTGTAATAAACTATATATAAATATGTCTACCAGAGACCTTAAAAATATCAAAATTTCCTTAGGTAAACCCTCTATGAATTCTCTGCTGGCACTAGCACTGCTATTGCCAACTCTCTTGTCTTATTTTCCCTAATAATTCAAACGTCCTCTGCGTTTTTTTTCTTAAAAAAAAGTGCTTTATTCTTTTATATATAAACATACGAGTAAGCCATATACAAATCAAAATCCGCTAAAAAAATATTGCCGTTTGCTTTTTTAGACTTATTTAGATAAATACCTTATTAATTTCTTGACAATAAAAGAAGCCACTTTTGATCCACGTGTTTTATTTTTTTAGTAAAAAACCGCTCTCTCTAAAATAGAGAGCTAACCTTTTCATTTTAAGTATAGTCTTGCTTACCTTAAAATTATTTTGTCTAATATTTTTCTAACCTTTTTTGATTTATTCTTTTAACTCATTATATACTATCATTAAGAACAAAAATATCCCTCTTATAAAAGACATTTAGTCTTATATCATTAGTATTTTTTAGTGATTATTTTTTTTTGCACTAGTTGAAAAATGTAGTCATGAGCTACAAGCTATCGACATGAGCAGGATTCGAACCTGCGCGCGAAAATCGCATATGATCACTTAAAAGATTCAAGTCATACTCCTTAACCACTCGGACATCATGCCTTGGTTTACTTATCCAGAGAGTATATATCTATAAATTAATACAAAAAAATAAAATAAATAATATTCCTTAAAAGAAAAATAGAAATACTCGATCAATCAAAGATTTATGTACATCGAATTCTCATAGTGTTTAATTATAATTTCATCTCGGCTATAATCCGACTTGCTAGTGAACGATATTGCCAAGCATTTCCTCCTACACGTTTAAATTGTAAACCATGTAATGCAAATAATGGCACTTTAACGATATATATTTCGAATTGTATTGTAAAATTGGCATTTTTGTTTTTCCCATTATCAAGGGAGTCATCTGATTCACTTCCAATTGTATTTGGATGAATATCGATTCCATTCTTTTTTCTTTTATAATTCATTTTATGCAAAGATATAGATCTTTTTAATTGTGTCTTCGGATTTATAGCATGATGATTTGGTTCTATTGTGTTGTTTATAAAATCCTTTAGATTAATACTTGGTTGATAAATACAAAAAACACCTCCTTTGATATCACGAAACGAAATATTCAAACAATTTAGGATACAAATCAAATCACTTTTAATAATATGTGGAGGCTTTGAGGTTGTAGTGGAAACGCTAAATATTCCTTTTAAAAATCCTGATTTTACTGTTACTTCTTGTGAAGGCTGAGTAGAATTTAAAGATTGGCATGCATGGTTAAAAACGTATTTGTTTGAGTTTGCTATAGTGGTGGGTGAATTATGTCTAATCAAAACAGAAGATTGTCTTTGGCATTTTTTTTCTTTTCGTAAAACTTCACTTTTTGCATGTCCTAGAGATTTTGTACGATTCCCTTTAAAGCTAAAAGTAGATACGACATTAAATGGTTTTGGAAAAGAAGGCTGGGTTCCATTTTCCGTGATAGAATTCTTCTTCATATCCTTTAAATGATCTTTCGAGCTAGATGGGTTATGTATATGTAGTGGAGGAGATATGCGTCTGGATAAATACGCATTATCATTAATTGAGACGGATCGTTTTAGATTAGTCACGTTTGCAAAAGGATTGCTCAACCGTACTTTTGCATCTGTTTCTCGTAAAGATTCCACGTCATGTGAATATTTATTTGATAAAGACTTGGGAGGCGGTGTTAATAATTCTACCGGTATTAAAGAAGGCAGGATCGATGTAGGATTCGAAAAATGTTTTTTGATTCTTTTAGAGCTAAATCGTCGAAAAATCTTGAAATTCTTCTCTTTCGATTCTTTAATTAATTTATGATTATCAACCGTATTCGGTGATATGGATGAAATATCTTTAATCGCTGTTGCTACTTCTTTTTCGTCATATGTTCTTGCTCGTGCTCGTGATGGAAATGTTTGTTTTTTTATTGATGGTATTGTGTTATGATAATCCTTATGATCTAATGGACTTAAATTCGCACTAATTGGTGTAGAAGAATTTAAAGCTTCATAATGATCATTTCCATGAATATAAGAATCTTGATAATTGCATTTCTTTTCCCGTTCTATCTTTTCCTTGACAAGATAATAAATAGAAATTAATGGATGATAAGCGTCGATATAAATGGGTTTGGATTTAAGAGGATGCTGATTTACATCGGATGATAAGGGCGGATTAGAGGGTGAACTCGAGATTTTACGTTTGTAAAAGTCAAAAAAGTTTTTCTTTTTGTCCATTAATAAGGATAAAACATGTGTATCATGCGATTGATTATAATATGCTTTGACAAGTTTTCGATATCCTTCCGATTCAAGAATATTCGTTAATTTCGCAAGAATAGTTTGTTCATTACCAAAATCGAATCCTGTCATTCGACGAATAATCTCCATGTCCAAAGGAAACGTAATTGGATATCGTGGAGGAAGGTAATTATTTGGCGGGCAATCATAGCCTCGCATCATCCATGGATGATTCAAAATCTCCGAAAGAGTAGCACGTTGACTCGGACTCGTTACAAGCATTCTTGAAAGAAGCTGTTTACACTCTATATAACGTAAAAATAAAATTAGCTTTTCATTCCAAGAAGGTTATATAGAAAGAATATAATACCAATAGTAAGCCATGATGGGTATTCAACATGCCCCCGCTTAATTTTTGCATGAAGAGCTGGCATATTTTGATCATCAAACGGAACCTTGCCACAAACGAGAACATAAAGAACTACACCAAAACTCCATATATCAATTTCCGGTCCGATATACGCCTTGGCATTTAAAAGTTCCGGTGCCGCGAAATAAAGTGATCCACAAAACGTCGATAGCTGAGAATGCGGTGAATACAAATTCGATAATCCAAAATCGATCATCTTAATATCGCCCTCTTTCGATATAAGAATATTTTCGATCTTGAGATCTAAATAATAATAATAATTGTCAATTCCAATAGAATTTTAATAAAAAATAAATTAAAACCTCGATGAACAATAGAATTCCGATGACAATAATCTAAAGCGGATCCAATTTGTCGCGCAAATTTTCGCGCTTGTTTTTCTTTTAATTTTCCATGTGAAATAATATAATCTAACATTTGTCCTCCATTAATATACTCAAAAAATACATAATAATGATTCGGCTGTATTTTTACATCTCGTAACGTACATATATACGGATGCTGAAGTAAACTTGATATCGCAATTTCACGAATCGTACGGACCTCTTTTCCATAATCCACATTTTGTGATGCAATTGATATTCCCTGTGAAAATGGCCGCGGAATAATTTTTACCGCTGCCTGTAAAAATACCATATTAACCCTTATATATGCGCATCATTTTACATAGAAAAGACATACAATTTCATTTGTACTCATATGCGTTACAACTTTAACCTTCCCCATACTTCCTGACCCTAATGTCTTCCCTAACTGCCAATCCCCAATAGTTTTCCGTATATATGCGCGTTCTTTGCTTAATATATGCTCTTCTTTGGACCCGGAACGGCTTAATCCTACCTTTGGAGACCTTTTCTGTGCTATTCCTGCCTCTGTTTCCTGTGCTTTTTCGTTTGATATGGGTACGTTAGACGGTGATGATACCGTAGATATGCCTATCTTCTCGGGCTCTTTCATACTTTCTGGTACTCGTTCAGTTGAAATCATACATGGATCTTGCTTAAATAGCCTCAGAATAACGCATTTACTGCCTATAAATCCTACTAATTTCTTGGTTTTTTAGAATCCTTAGTTACTCGAAAATCTAATGTGTTGGTTTTTTGGGGGGATCACGTGACACTATAAAAAAAAATATATAAGGTTAATATGAAAAGAGAGAGATGATGAATAAGTAGATGGGTTTTGTGTGTATTTTGTATTTTTATTTAAAAATGTCTTGAAAATATGTATGAAATGTGTATATTTTTATTAAGGTTATAGCGAGAATTTTGGGGGGTTTATAAGGGAGATTTTGAAAATTGAATGGAGTGGGGAGCGGGTAGGGTTAGGGTTAGGTATGAGAGTTGTGTATAAGGGTTAGGTATGAGGGTTAGGGTTAGGGATTAGGGTTGCGTTCTAGTTGTTAGGGTTAGGCAAATAAGAGCTATGCAAATGTGTTGAGGGTTAGGGTTAGGTTATTAAGAATAAATCTATAATGAATATTCTAAAGATAGGTTGAGTAGTAAATTTATAATTTAGATAGTAATTTTATGAAAGAATATGAAATGTAGAATATGAAATATAGAATAAAATGTTAAAATCCTATTTATGTATATAGAGGTTTCTTAAACAAGTTTAAAATTAAGATGTTTTTGAATCACTAATAGTTAAATAAATGGTCCTTTAAAAAATTAATCCTTATTTAAAAAGAAAAGTTTTATATACCAAAATATAGATATACTATTAAGAAATGGTATTTGATATTTTAAAGGTATATATTTGAAATTAATTAATTGAACAGCAGGCCAGATACAATAATTAGCCTATATTTATTAAAAAGAAAAAAAAGCAGTATAAAGTTAAAATATACTTTTAATATAGAAAAAAAGCCCTAATATAAAATAAATATGAATTAAACAATGAAAAAAATACTTGGCTAAATTTATTTTTTAATTTTTTCTTGCTTAGTTCCTCTGTTAAAGACATAAAAATAAGATAAATAACTAAACTTATAGGAGTAAAGAGTAATTGATCCATTAAAATCCTTTTAATTAATTCTGCTGTATTAGAATTTCTAGAAATTGTAGATAAATGATCAAGAAAAGAATACCACCAAAGCTATAATATTAAAAACAAATATATAGATGTATATTGAGATTTACTTGAAGAGGTGTTGTAAGAAAATCTAGAAAAAGGTAAAACAAACCAATATTTTAAATAATAAAACTACTATAACTCATAAATCGTATTAGCTGTGAAAAACGAAATGTAGCCGGTATATAAAAAAATGTGTACTATAAGACTAAATAATAGTATAATGAATATCATAAAATATTAACCGATTTATTATTTTTGTCCAAAGAATCAATATTTTCCATTTCAATCTTTTTTGATTTCAGATCAAATGAATCAATTCTTCTCAGACGACGATGTATAGCAGAGATTGTTTGCGCAGACATATTAGAAATCCCTCCAAGTAATGAATTCGTAACAGAAAGTGTTAATACTGGATATTCCTGATAAAACTCATTATATCTTGAAAATATTGTTACTAATACAAAAAAAATTAATACAATAACAAATATACTGTTTATTTATTAGTTTATATACTTTTTATATTATTTCTTACTTTAATATTGGAAATTTTAAGATATTTTTGTATAATATTTCAGACATTTATGAAGTCGGTAAGGGCAGAGCAAGAGAGTCTGAAAATTAATAAATATGACATGAATAGAAAGTTGATTAAAATGTCTTATTTTATGTATAAATGAGTATGATGTATGTAAATATGTTGTTATTTGTAAGATTTGTGTATAAATGTTGAGAAATTAATAAACAAAAATATTTGGAAGAGAGCAACAATCAATGTAAGAACCTGTCTTTATATCATGGATCCGTATTCCATTGAATGAGAAAAGGCCTTCATGAATTGCAATGAATGAAATTGAGCAAAAATAGCAGCCATAAGAATCAAGAGATCTTTAAAGTTAAATAAAAACATGATAAAATGAAGATATTACCCGACACGTATACTATTTATAAGAGGAAGAACATGTACAGGATTGACAGAAATGTGTTTGTGTAAAGCGTAGATAGCTGTTTTTAAATATTAGAAAAAATATTTGAAAAAATATTTGAAAAAATAACCATTTTCTTCTAATAAAAAACAAGAACCTTTTTCTGAAATAAAGGGAAGACTGTTGCAATCGAAATTGTGAGCTTTTGAAAGCAATGATATGAATATATCCTTTGGAATAGCAGATCGATTGACTAAAGCAATCTTTACTTCAAAAACTTTCCAAATTCTAACATATTTGGGTGCTGTAAATGTAAAAAAGATATTCAAAAATTGAGATTTTGCGTTAGAAAGTGAAGAACTTCTTGATTTTGATAGATCGCTATTTGTATTGATTAGAGATTTTTGTAAAAATAAACTAGAATTCAAAGTTTTAGCTTCAGTGTGAATAACTGATCTGTAAAGAGAAACTTGTGTTTGATCTTTTGATATATGAATTGTTGTATGCCATTGTGACATTAAAAGAAGTGTATAATTAGTATCTAATAACCGAGGTCTCATCTTTACAAAAATTGTTACTGGAAGTGTTAAAAGATCTGTAATTCCTTGATCAATAGAGGGATCAAATGGTATATAATAAAGTATAAGAAATTGTTCCTGAAATGAAAGTGTAATTGGAAACTTGGTTTCATTTTCAATTCTTTGTGCAACTTGTCCTTTTACTTTGATTTCTATATTCTCAATTAAGACAGAAAGTTGTTTTAAAAAGCATGATTCTATATCTACACTTAATAATATTCTTTGAAAATTCGGTATCATTGTCATAGATGATCTTGTTCTCAAACTAATAGCAGATCTACAAGAAAAAACTTTTCTAATAACCTTACGAAGAACTTGTATAGCTGGTGATCTATCTGAACTTGATGTAATTGATATATTTGAAACCCTTGACATAGATAAGAAAGGTGTAACACCATATACCATTGTTTCTTGTATTTTTATTTAAAAAAACTATTAAAAAAGTTTATTTTTCATACCACTTGAAAGACTTTCTAAAACATTTATTGACATATAGTCTCTTTTGATCTTCTCTTCCTCATTAAACATAACAAGTGTATCTGGTTTCACTGTAATTGATACATTTAGCTGTACCTTGGGTATTGATGTACGTATACGAGGAAATGCTAAACTTAGTAAGAAAAAATACATATATGTATCCTAGATATTCACGAATTTGTATTTCTGTTCCCCATATAATAACTGCATGCCCATCATTCCATTCAAATATCATTTTTTGACTATTAAGAACTTTGAAAAAAAAATTAACCCCCTCATTTGGGCGTTCCTTCCCACTGAACTCCTCTTCTACCTCCTCCCCTTCATCCTCATCGCTTGATACACGAGATCCATACTTTTGAACATCTCCAATCCATCCATTTACTGTGCATGATAAAAATGATGCCAATTTCATATGTTGCACTTCCAAGTTCTTGTTTTTACATGTTAAAACAATAAAAACCTTTGTTATCTCGTCTAGAGACTTGTAAGAGCTTGGTTTGGGGATTTTTAAAGCGCTTATTCTATCCATTTGATTCATACCATGAAATAGTAGGCGTCTTCTAGGCGCTGATAAAATAGCTTCAACCCCATCATCAAGTGATAGATCCTGAGCAATAATAATAATATCAAGCATAGTTTTTGTAAAAAAATATCCAATTTCCTCAATCATTTGTGCAAATACAAATCTTAAAATAGGAAAAATAATGACAAAAAGAAAGCATAAAGAGAATATTCTGCTTATCAAGACTATATTCTGTATGAAATATGTTAAAAATCTGGGAAATATGTATATATATATACATTGTCTGTATTATTTTATAGTGGACTGACTAATTTGTTTAGTAAAAGTACAAAATAACAGATAAATAAGGGAAATACCTTTAAAACTCTTATATATGCTTATTATATGCTTGTTGTATGCGCAATGTATGCGCAATGTATGCGTTATATATGCGTTATGTATGCACGTTGTATGTAGTCCCCGGGGGATTCTGGACGTCATCCAATATTATAAAATCTATATCTGCTAATAATGAGTGTAAATCCTATAAAAATGACATATAAAGAGCGCTCTAAGCTCTATTCTAATAAGACGGCACAGAGGCTTCTGGAATTAATGGACCGTAAGCAAACAAATCTGTCAGTTGCAGCAGATTTTACAAAGAAACAAGAAGTTCTGGAATTTGCGGATAAAACAGGGCCATATATATGTATATTGAAGACGCATGTTGATATTATGGAGGATTTTGATGAATCCTTTGTTTTTGAATTGAAAAAACTAGCGAAAAAGCATGATTTTTTGATTTTTGAGGATAGGAAATTTGCAGATATTGGAAAAACGGTTCAATTGCAGTATTCTTGTGGAATTTATAAGATCTGCGAGTGGGCGGATATTGTTAATGCACATCCTATTCCTGGAGAAGGAATAATTGATGGATTGAGAGAAATTGGAGAGCCTCGAGGTAGAGGCTTATTTTTATTGGCAGAAATGAGTTCAAAAGGGTGTTTATCAACAGAGGAATATGTAAATGCATCAATTGATATGGCAAAGAAAAATAAGGACTTCGTTATAGGGTTTATTTCTATACGTCGATGGCCAATATTAACAGAAGATTTTATTTTAATGACTCCTGGTGTAGGTTATGTTGCAAATAATGATTCATTAAGCAATATCTATCAATCTTCAAATGGTGATGCTTATGGACAACAATATCGTACACCTGAAAGTGTAATTCTGGGTTTAGGTTCAGATATTATTATTGTAGGTAGAAATATATACGCATCTGGAGGAGATATTATAGAGGAAACATTAAAATACAGGGTATATATGGGACATGTTTAAAATAGACTGATTAAACAAGCTAGGATGCCGGATGGAAAGCTTATATAACTCGAATTTCTTAAGAAAAAAAATAAATTGAATTTTGGTAATATTTAATACGAAATAATCTGTATACTTAATGGTATCTGGATTGAAATTCAATTATATTCAAAAAAAAAAAACTATTATATATTATATATATATAATTGAAATATTAAGACTGACACTATATAATAATCAAGATAATCTTATTTTGATGGAACTTCTGGAGTCATTTTTTTTTTTCAAAAAAAATAATCATAAAATATATCAAATATAGAAAATTCATTCAGAAAAATTCAATAGTAATCTATACGACCTCTTTTAACATCTTCAAATCATATTTCTTGATTTATTTTTAATAATTATCTATAAGGATCACGTGACTTTATAAAGGTAACAATACTTCTCTACGCGACTTATCGAAAACCTTATAAAAGTAATTGAGATGGAGAGAATGAGTATTTCTATTAATATCTATGATTTACTGCCAGAAGGAACTATTTCTAATATTGCATGGATGCTGGGTATTGGGATTTATCATAGTGGATTAGTTATTGGAGATAAAGGTATATAAGTATGTTGTTTAAAAAGAATAAATTTTGACGCGTATAGAGTATGCTTATGGGGGACATTCATTGGAAAATGTATCGGGTATATATACAACGGTACCTAAAACAATACCGCCAGGGGGGCGATTTCGAACGTCGATTAAATATGGATCTATAATAATTATGCCGAATGAAGTTGAGGAAATTATATGTGATATAGGAAAAGAGTTTCAGGGACTTTCATATAATCTTCTTACAAGGTTTTTTGATTTAGTTACGATGAGTATTTATGTATAAAAATGACAGAAATTGTAATCATTTTACATCCCATCTTTTATATCGTTTAACATCGTTATCGACGCCAAAATGGTTGAATCGTGCAGCTTCAATTGGAGTAGCATTTCCTTACATGGTTCCTAGTGGATGGATTGAGTCCCCAACGATAGAAAACGAATCTGAGGCGGAACTTTTTGAATCAACAATAATACCTATAAAAAATACACCAAAGCGTTTATAAACTACAGGGTTTCTAAACTACAACGTTTCTTATTTTTATATAAACAAACATTTAACAGTCTAGGGTTTGGGCAATCATTTGAATAGCTTTATTAAAAACTACATTTCAACCGCAATATACAAGATTCATACTGTTTATGCATGATTTTTTATCACCTTAGTTTTAAGTGCTTTTTTTTTTCTTAGATTTCGAAAAACACATTTTCAAACTCAATACTTAAAGTTTTGTTTTTTTTTTGAGGGGGATATGGTGATGCGTTTATATATACATTTATTAAAGTTTTTCTCTAGATATTTTTTATTTGAGGTTAAAAACATAATTGAATGAATGAATCATTCAATACAATACTTAAAAAGGATGGCCGAAACTCGTTGGAGGACCTGGGGATCGAACCCAGTACCTTGCGCAGATCATCATGCTAAGCGCACGCTCTACCATTTGAGCTAGACCCCCGGTAGTCGTTATATGGGAAAAAAATATATAAAAATATAAATATAATATTAAGATAAACATAGATTAGGCATTAAATCTCTAGGGTTAAGCTTTGTATCCAGATCTATCCTAATACAAGGGGTAATTGTAACTTATCATTAATGTCAGGGTTAGGGTTTCCATATGATGTATAATTACCAGTTACGAAGACAACATACTAAGAATGTAACTTTTTTATTTTAAAAATTGCACTAATAATGAGGATTATTGGATATATTGAAGGTCATTTCTTTCTTTAAAAAGATTAATAAGAAATATTAAAAAAAAAAAAACAAAAATTTTTATATAATCAGAAACACTTATTATAAGACAAAATCTTTTTTACAGTGGAATTACATATATATAAAGTATTAATAGTAATATGTATTGGCCAGTTGGTATTCCGTCAGTATTTCAATTAAAAAATGATTTTTTAACGGGATTGGAATATACATCTGTTACACGAGGAGAAACGGTTTTAGCATTGAAGAAATTTCATAATGGAACCCATTTTATTGTGTTAACGTCTAGACGGATTTATGTCTGGCAGATCCGGGTTTGGATAGATCTATTTTTAATGAACAAGGTTGCTTATGAAGAATAATAGCCTACAGTACTTGTTTCATCTATTACATGTTCAGCTATTTCACTAACGTTGTATGGGGAGAATAGGGATTTGTTTATAATGAAAGATTCTGAGTTTGCTATTATAAAAACATCACTTGGATTTTTGCTTATATATTCAATTCATAAGAATCTGGATCAAAAACTTTATAAATTCCATTATTCTCATAATAAAACGACTGTTTTTGACTTTTTGGATTTACATGGATTGACAGAATACGAATTGTTGTATTTAAAATTTAAATCAATGATTAAGGTGGATTCGGGTTTATCATGGTATGCTTAATGAATATGTTATAATAATATTGATGCAATAGTGTATTGGTATTGGATGATTGTCTCTTGTTTTCTACTTTTAATCCACCATCTGTTCAATTTGTTTCCCAAAAAGAATTTAACCATACGATTACAACATCAGATAATCTGGCACAAATGGAATGGATCGAAGATAAAAATGGTATAATTAATGCTATTCCTCTTTTTTCAGTAAAATATATTATTAACATCATAAATTAGTTACGATTAATGATATGATTTATGAAAAAACAATGAATATATATATATGGATTACGTCAAATAGTAAAGCATATCTTGTTCGAAAGAATCCTTCTGTATTTTCTATTAGATTTTATTATTAACAACTAAAATATCCTTAAGGTAAAATCAAAGAATCAAGAAAACATTAGAAATTGGACAGGAATTTGCTTCTATGTTCCCGAAACAGAAGAAAATCATATTGTTAAAACAGATATAAATACTCGTTTGTCCTTGATTGCATTTGGATGCAAAAAGTAATGCTAATAAATGTCTTTGTTTTTTTTTTGATTTTAATTATTAACATTAGTGGTGAAATTAAGATGTTTTATATTGAAAAATCCAAAAATCTAATAAGTTATTTGTATACAATTATATTAGATGATTTTAATGTGACTGGGAATATTGAATCTTTGTTATGGTCAGAGGATGGTTTTGTAATCTTCGTAGGATTTCAAAACACTTGGTCTTTATGGAGCGCTTATGGAAATTTATTATCCTCTAAACCAAATGTAGAAGACGTTTCTGAAAATTCTAATGAAGAAATATTTATGGGAGGAGTTAGCCATGCATTATGGTTTAACGAAGGAGCCGAATTAATTGTAGTAAGTAATAAAGAAAAATCGAGTGGGAAACTATGGAAAATAAATATGGCAAGAAGTATTCGATGTTTTTTCCTTAATCCTGTAAATTCATATGAATATTAATATCAACGTCATAATATTGTATAGGAAAATTCTTTTAATTTTATTTTGCAAGTTTCAGACATATTTCTTATCTATAAAGGTTATGAAGAATCTGATATTGATATAATAAATCCAAAACAAACTCATTGGAAACATGTTCAAATACCATTGAATTATTTTTATGATAATTGGACGATAATGTATACTGCTATAAGCTCATGTTCTCAGCATTTAGTGATAGCTGGATACTATGGAATGGCATATTATAATTTTAAGACTGAACGATGGAAAATAATTGTCAAAGATACGAATTATAGTTTTCGAGTTTCAGGTGGAATGTGTTGGTATCAAGACGTATTAATTGCATCTGTATCAATCAATAATACATCATATGGATTGAAATTATTTTCTAGAAAAGAAACCATAGATAATATTCAGGCTTTATCATTTATAGATATAGGCATGCCTATATATTTACTTACTCTAATATCAGAAAATCTTTTATTGTATACAGGAAATAATTTAATTATGCAGTATCTCATTATTATGAATGACTTCAAAGTTAAACTTGTCTTGGTAGGAAGTATTGATTTAAAGGATATAGTTTACTCTCCTAAATCTTTAAGAGCATTTACATGGTGTTTTTTAAGTGATCAAATGCGTGAGTTGATATTAACTTTATCAAAGAGTATTAATAGCTAATGTTTAAAGAGAATGGCCATTTTATAAATAATATACATATGGCTAGTATTATTCTTCTTGTAGATGACAAACTTATGTTTTTAAAACCTAAAAAAAATGATTCTGCATTGAAATATGATATATACTTGTTATCAGAGAAGGTCGAGTATTTTTTGTTTATTGATCATTTATCGCAATATTTAAGGCCTTCAATATGTGCATTTTGTGGAACTGAAATTAAGGTAAATTTTTGATTATTTATGATTTATATTTTAATACAATTAGATATGGATGGACTTTTCTAATATTATAGACGATAATGATAATCAAAGCAGTGATGAATGTGTTTTAAATTTAAAGAATGATCGAAATTTAATTACTATTCCTTTGGATTTTTATCCTGTTTTTTTCCTATTGAATAAGGGCGTCATCTTAGGAATAAAAAATACTGTAATTCAACATAAAAATATGGATTTTTTTAGTTTCAGGATTGATACAATGGCAAGTTTTCTGTTTCGTATCATCATCTTTTTTTAACTTTAAGAAGACTACACTTTTTCTACCATATATTTTGGAAAAATATTTAGATAGAACTACAATTAACGAATCTATTATTTTGGCCTCTAAATATCAGAAATTGGTTTATTTCAATCATATACTTGAGCTTCTTTTGTACAATGTACTAGAAAAAGGAATAAATTGTTCAGAAGATTATGGTGATATTTTTTATATTTTGAAATTCATAAATTTACATGATTTAGATCCTTTACTTCCTAAAGTAGCATTTTTTCTAAAGCATTTCCCAAAAATGCTGGATATAGTTGCTTCATGTGCACGTAAAATAGAGGTTTCTTTCTGGAAGAATCTTTTTAGTGCTGTAGGCACTCCAAAAGAATTGTTTGAAGTATTTCTTCTCTTTGCTTAAATAATTTCTTACATGCTAGAAATGTATGGAATTAGATAAACTCGAAACAGCAACGGAATATCTCATTATATTACATACTATAGAGTCAACTGAAAATATGGATAAGGTAATATATATTTATATCTATCTATCTATCTATCTATACAAGTAAATTTATTTCTAATATATTAAGAATATTATAAGGGTTTTGGAAAAGTCTGTGCTATTAAAAAAATGGAAACTTTGTTCTGAATTGGTCAGGTTTTCTGTTTCATATGGTAATAAATAATAATTATTGAAATTTTTGCTAATTAATAATAGACAATGAAATGATCTTGAAAAAATTTATATTATCCTTTCCTCAAATATTGGGTATTCAAAATTAGAATAGAACGATATACGTTATTAATTCGCATCTATGGTATTTATTTTTATTATGAAAGCTGTCTTTTTATTGGATTTTTCATATTGCTACATCCAAGGATCTAGTATATAGCAATAATTAAGTAAATTGCAAAAAAAAAAAAAAACGATACTTTTAAAAGTAACTATTTATCATTGTTTTTTGAATTCTCGTTTTCTCTAATGGTATCTAGTTTTATATCTTGTTCTTTCTTGTATACATCTTGATGTTGATGAATAATAGAATACTCTCGAACTTTAAAACCAAAAATTCGAGGTACATACCGTTCTTGACTTTTATGTGGAATTAGATAAGGATAAACCTGAAGCATAATGTGTGGAAATGTAGTTCCAAAATATGCACCGTCAATTGTTACATGTCGTGATGATTTAGGTGTATAAATATCTTCACATTTGGGACAATAAAGTTTTACAGAACTGGAATAAGGAATATCTGATAATCCTACAGGAAGAACTGCTTGCGAATTACAAAGGACTCGAGGACATCGACCAAAATCATATTTTTTATATTTTTCAAGCTGAGTGATTTAGTTTGACCAAAAAAAATAAAAAAATAAGAAAAAACCATCTTCTGAAGTCCTCGTGTTGTCAAGATAAATCTTGCATGGATTAAACCATAAAGATGTTGTGCTGATTTTTCAATTTGATTTCGCAGATCACTATTTACATCATGATCTTTGTAAAAATTAATACAACAAATTACTCAAATGCCTATTCATCGACGCACCAAATACATCTGTTACCATCTCTATTGCATAATTATAATGCTGGACTTCTGTATTAATTCCGGTCAAATTAAATTTATCTTGGATATATTCTTCATCAATTTCACAAAAAAATTCATTTCCTTTAATTCCAAGGAACCAATCGATCCAATATTTGGAATAATCTGAATAGCTACTGCTACATAAGTATTTGATAGATTTTTTTCAAAAATTTCTAAGGGACCTTTTTGACAATAAATCTTCCATATCTTTATTTTTAATGGTTTTTAAAAATTAAAAAATATATACTGGTGGATCTAATAAAAAATATTTTTCTAAGGGAAATATTTTGAGGTTCTTTATAAAAAAATCAAACTTTGATATAAAATCAGTATATTTTTTTATTTTTTAAGTCGGCTTTCAGAGTAACCTTTGTGACTAAAAATTAGCGAGGTGGACTAAAATAAATATAGTATGACTTAAATATAAAAAAATATATTTCTAATAAATACAGTCAATAATTTATTTTAGAAGGTCTATAGGTGAAGGTTTTTTCAGCTAAATTTGTTGGTATAATTTGGTAAATTACTTTTTCATATAACATACATTTTATTGGAATCCTTTGAAAAAACAAAAGAAGTTTTAAAATGTTGTAATTTTTCTATTTCATTATGTTTAAAAGGTATTTTTTATTTTTTTTTTTTATCTTAGAAATTTGTTAATTTTGAGTATAATTAGATTTAAAGGAAAAGAACATATTAAGGGAATAACCCAGTTAAAATCATCTGCACAGAAAGCTTTAAAAAATAGAATTATAGAAATATATCCAGATCTTGATCCGTTTATGAATGAGATTTTTCCTAAAAAATCGCAGTTAACTCTTATTAAATGGTATATAAATATATTTTCTAGATTTGATTTATACTTATAAATATAGTGAGGAAAGGATTTCATTATATAGTCTTAATAATGAAGTTCTTTTTTTCCAATACTTTGACAATATTTATCCTCATTTAAAATTAATTCACAAATGTATTTATTTAATTAATTTTTTTTAATTTTACAATGAAATTTTAGATCCAGATGGATTCTTAAAAGTTCAAGCTGATCAAGGTGTAATTAAATCGATCCTTTCTGGCGGTATATATTTATATTTATTGTTTTTTTTTTTCTAAAAAATAATAGCTAATCTTATGTGTCCTGGTTTAACATCAAAAGGTTCCTATTGTCCTGATGATATTGATGCTCAAAAGACAGTTTCAATTATGGTATGTGGGAAAGAACATGCGGTTGCTGTAGGTATAACAAAGTTATCTTCTAATGATATGTAAATACTTTTGTTTTTTTTTTTTTTGAAGAAAATATTAATTAATATTAAGAAAAATAATCAACAAGGGAATTGGCATTGAAAATATACATTATATTGGGGATAGTCTGGTAATTGTTTATTAAGAGATTTTATTTTATATTTATACATAATAGTGGAATTTGGTATTAGATTAATAATATTATTAGAAATATATTCGTAAATAAATATAATTTATTATATTTTTCCCGCCAAGAGACCAAGATAAAATGTTTTATATAAATCACGAAGTAGATATGTCCGTAGATTTATCAAGTTCTTGAAGGGCTTCAATGTATTTAGTGGTTATTCTTTGGACTTCACGTTGTTTGCCTGTAATTCTTTAGATATTAAATGTTAAATAAATTAATGTTTCAAAACCTATTGTTATCAAAATTTCTTTTAATAATTCTCTTTTGTCTAGTCCTGCAACTTTAGGTTTCCAAGTAATATAAGAGTCATCTAATATAGGTCCTAGTAAATACATACAAAGTTCCTCTAACTTGTCTTTCATATTTTCCTCTGCAATTTTTCGAGTATATACATTTAAAATGGCTTTATATTCATCTGGTGAATGAAGTATTGCTGCTGATGAAAGACGATTCTAAAATATTAGTTATTTTGGCTATTTTTTTTTTGTAACTCACTTCTAAATGACTAATACTCACACTTGTCTCAAAGCCTTCATAACCTTCTAAAAGCATTGCACTTTTAACAATTTTTTGCAAAAATCTCCCACGTCCTAATTTCATTATTTCATCATCTGTTCTTCTTTCAAGCATGGCAATGATTCCTGACTTTCCAGTTGCTCCTTTAAAGCCACTTGAATCCCAATATTGACTGCCTACTGCCCACCATGATTCACTTATTCTTAACCACGAATACATAGCTGCATTGTATGTAAACCCATCACCATCTGAAAGTGTAATAATCACTTGTCCTAGCGAATTTATTGAAGCAGAAACAATGGATGGTGCACTCTTTAATTCGGAAGACTGGAGAACAGACGCATCGAGGATAGGAGCTAAAGAAACTGGAGGATGAGGCGATGATTCATGTACAATGTTCCTTTTATTTCCTAAGTTAAGCAAAATAAAACATGAAATCAATATACCAGACATGCAGCAATCCTATAGATGTAATACACATGAGAAATGGACCTTGACATTCAAGAAAACAGGGAGATGATTCCAATACAATAGATGGAAATAATCTATTTTGTTAATTATATCAATTGTATAAGAAAAAGAGGTAAAATTACCTTCTACCATAAGGCGACCATACAATAATAGTACCATCTTCACATCCTACTGCCCAAAAAAGTGTATTTCCTGCTAACAAAAGAACAGCCTTAGGTAAAAACTCTGTCCACAAAATATTTCCTTTTTTTGAGACAGTTATTCTTGTTGGTTTACGCTCTCCAGTACCATTTCGAACATCTAAAGTGTTATTGGTAATATTAACAGCCATTGAGAGGAATGAAATGACTTTAGGTACTCCAAGACGAATTTGTGAAACACTGGTAGATGGACAAATAACAGCAGGCCTGATAAATTCAGGCACATCTATCTATCGTTTTAAATAAACATGGTTATAAAAATAACAAAAATACTTTTGTCTGATCATTTGTTTGTTTCATTTTTCCTTTCTTTTGAGATGTATGTTGTTCTTCACTTTCTTCTGGGTGATTTTTTCTTTTGTTTCCTATTATTAATGAACGAATACCACCCTTTGGAAGAGCATAAGAAGGACTAGATAAATCTAATGTTTGGCTAGGCTTTTCTTTTTCAGGAGATGTTTGTAAAAGTGACTCAGATAAAGGATTTGCAATAGGAGCGTCAGACAAACTATAATTAATGTTAATTGTTATGATAAGACTATTTCCTACCTAGAAAGAAGCTGTGGTGTTACACGCTTTTTCCCATCTTTTGTAATTGAAACTTTTTGCTGTATAGGTTTATCTATATTGTTTAAAGATGTAGATGATAATGTAGTATTAATTTGAGATTCTTTAGAAGTCGGTGTTGTTTGATGTTTTTCTGTGTATGTTATAGATTCTATCTCTTTATTTGAAATTTCAGATTTTGATTCATTAGAAGTACAAACCACTTTTACAGGTTCAATTCCACCCATTAAGTCTTCCATCCTTTTAACATGAGCATTTGCTTCTGCTTCGTTTGTTTTTATTTCAAGTTCTAATTGAGCAGTTGATTCTGGAAGAACTGCTCCATGACGTCCATGGCCATATTTAGATAACAATTTTTCCTAAAAGTATTAAGTTAAAAAAATATAAATATAGCAGAATTACTGTTTCTGTTGCCGTCAATGGCTCTCCAAATTCGTCTTTATCAAATAAACAAGCTACAATGCTTCCATCATATGAACAAAGAAATAAACATAATCCATCAGGTGACCTGATAGAAATAAGTATATATTATACAATGAAATATTATAAAAATGAATACCAACAAAGATCACCAATACTTTTTTCTGCAATTTCTTGGGTAACAAGAATAGGACGAGGATTCATCGTATTCCAAATACTTAATGTCCTATCCTGTCCAGCGCATGCAATAATTGTCATGATTTTATTATCCTCCTTATTTGTATTGGGAATTCGGAAAATAATAGGATTGAAGGATGTTACTTCTACTGCACCTTCATGGCCAATAAGATTAATAAGGCTTGTCCAAGTCCCACGTTCAATAACAGCAACACTACTTACTGGTCCATTCATTGCATTTGCTCCAGCAATATGTAACCCATCTGGTGACCACGATGGTCTTCTAAAATAAGTTGTAGATGGTGAATTTTTAAAAGGTTTAGATACAGTTTTTTCAAGACAATAATCTGAAGTACGCCATATTTTTATAGTTCTATCATCGCTTTCTGTTGCAAAATATTTTCCAACTGGATCAAATGTAATTCCTTTAACATGACTTTGATGAGCATCTATTTTTTTCAATTTTTCAAATGTAGATCCATGCCAAACAATAATAGCGCTATCCAAACCAACACTTACCAAAATAGAATTGTCGTGAATCCATGCTAAATCTTGAATATCATTATCATGCCCTATTAAACGCCTAAAACTTCTCCAATTCTCTACATTAGTCTCATTACTTCCAAACATTTTTCCAACACTGTGTCCCTGCGAATCAATCTGCCATATAATAATAATTCTATCATCGCTTCCGGATGCCAAATATTTTCCATTTGGCGAAAATCTTACTGTTGTAACAACACCTTTTTTTGTTATTTTTATACATTTAAAAGTCAATTAAAAACCAGTATGAATACTCATTGAACACTACAATATCTTCAATACCGTTTATAGACTATATAGTGTAATATTATTACCAATTGCTTCGGTTCATTGCTATCTTCCTCAAGAATTGCTTTAGTTGACCATATCTTCACTTTTGAGTCTAGAAAATTAGGATTTTCGCACAATTCTTTTACAGAACCCCCACCAAATCCTCCTGATGCAAGTCTAGAGCCGTCAGGCGAAATATGAACCGAAAAAATAGCTTTTGCTTCATTTCGCTCATCTAATCCTTAATATTACATTTTTAAACGAAAAAAAACGCTGTTTTGCCAGCTAAAACGTACCAAAATGACCGAGCCTATAAATATTCTATAAAATGTCGGTTTTTATCTGCTTTTTCTTACCAGGAAGGCTTAATATATAGCATCAATTTTTAATCAAAAAAAATCCCTATAAATGGGCTATTTTCACCCGATTTTTTCGCTGAAAAAAGGGTATTCAAGTATTTTAAGTAATAAAGAAGTGTATTCACTCTGTTTCCGTGCGTTTCTTATGCTTTTTCCCCGGATATACGCTTATAAAGAAGCTCATTCAAAATTGAGAGGTTACAAATCGTTGTAAGAAACGAAGTCGAAAAAAAGGTATTATATAAGGATGAATAAAAATAGTGTGCAATGCCTATATAAAGAGGTAATACGTACGCAGGCAATTCTATAGAAATGATATATGAAACAAAAAATGTTAAATATTCATTTTTAATTTTTATACAAAAACTTTAGAAACAAAACAAAATTCATGTTTATCTGTAGAATATGTATGAATATGTTGCGCCCTGTATGGGTTTAGAGCAGAGTATTAAGGATATAGTAAAGTCATGATAATTATTTGTTTTAGGATCTAAATGTATGAGTATCGATAATATATTATTGTAAATTATGTACTTATAAAATTCCTTTCTGCGTCATCATGTCAAATCGTTTATACGTATAACCCACAAAAGCTAAATTTTGATCGACGTCACTTGGTATTTTATTTTGTAATACAGGTGGAGAATTCATAGTGATATTGGGAATAGTATCGATTTCTTCGAAGTAACTTGTATCGGTGATACTTTTAAGTTGAGGGATGAAAGGAGCGTTTATTTCTCGTATGGTATCCCAATTTACTCCGCGGAAAAAAGGATGTAACTTTATATCATTAGCACCATATCGACCCAGACGTTGATCGGCTGAAGTTAATAATCTATTTGATTAAATTATTTGGAAATAATCATTATAGGACAAATATTACTTTCTAATTAAATCTTCTGCTTCTGCACTAAGATGTAGATCTTCGGGAAAGTAAAGATTTTCCCTCCAATTGATAATTTTTCGATATGTTTCATGTGCATTTTCGCTACAAAAGGGAGGCCATCCAATAAGACATTCAAACATGATTGCACCAAGACTCCACCAATCACATTCTTGTCCATATCCATGCTGTGTAAAAATTTCTGGGGCAATATAATCAGGTGTACCAACAGTGCTATATGCCATAATTCTTCGATTTTTCTTCCATGTAGCAATTTTATCTTTAGAAGACATTGTTAAAGAAATCGTATCAACCATCAATGAATTTTGTGTAGAAGAAGTAGATGTATTTATTTTGCTTTCAAAAAGTCGTTGATAATAAGCATTATCATGAGTTTTATGGAATCCCATAGAAAGACCAAAATCGGATAGCTTAATATGTCCGGTTTTATCAATCAAAATATTATCAGGTTTTATATCACTAAAAATAAAAAGCTTTTGTTTTGAAATAAAAATACTAACCGATGAATAAAACCAAGCTTATGAACTGCTTCAATAGCTAATATGCATTCTGCAATATAAAATCGTGTTACATCTTCTGAAAACGTATCATATTTGATTAACATAGTCATTAAATCACCCCCCGGCAAAAATTCCATAATTAAATATAGATATTGCGAATCTTGAAATGAATAATAAAGTGATACAACCCATGGAGAATCTGACTCTGCCAATACATCCCTTTCTGCTTTAACGTGCGCTAATTGATCTTTTTTAAACATTTCCGATTTAAGCAACGTTTTCATTGCATAAATTTTTCCTGTATCAATTTTTTGTACTAAACGCACCTAAAATACGCTTAAAAATAATTCTTTATCAATATATATCCATTTTTTTTCTAACCTCTCCAAATGCTCCCTTTCCAATCACTTTAACCGTATGAAAATCATTTAATGATAACTTAGTACGCCTTAATCGAAGAAATTGTGATTCTTTTTGACCCAATGAATTAAGTTGACGCTTCTTCCTCTCTTCTGAACCACGATCTTGTGCTAATTTTGCCTCAAAATCCATTCTTCTGGTTTATAATTAGAATAATGTATTCAATATTATTGTTTCGAAAAAAAACCGCTGATTCCTTTCAACCGTCTGTTCAACCGTGACTTTATATAAATGTTCTAGCTTCAATTTAACCGATGCTGCTCGTTCATGTGTTGTCTTTGTAAAACTAGATGCATCTCTAACAAAATAAACCGGATCATATGAAATTGATGACGTTCCTTTATTCATCTCGTTATTGTTATATACTGAGTCCTATTATATTTTAATCATTATTTACGCCTATTTTCATATATTATTACTGATTTTCTCTGCTGAAATGCCGTTGTCTTTTTGCCTGAACCTGATACTTTTTGCATAATAAATTATCCTCTAACTTTTCTTCAAATCCACCTATTTTTCTCCTTCAAAAGCCTATTTAGGGGTTATTTTATACGCTCTTTTCAATTATTTAATAGTTTATGCCTTTTTCCCCGGTATTTATCCTCCTAAACCCTCTTCAAAAGATACTCGAAATCTTGTCGTCGTTGAGTCGGTAAAAAAAGCATAGGTTTAAGTATAAAGAATAAAGTGTTGATTTTAAGATTTGTATTCAGGATTTAGTACCTTTTGATTCTTTCTTGATTGTATTTCCTTTTTTTCCTGTATAAATCTTGTTTTTTTTTCAAAACCTTATTTCAAAAAGAAATATTTATAAAACGAAAAACAGTTCTTCAGAAATAATAGAAACATCTGAAGTCTTTGAATATTATTAGTTTGTCTTTTTATGACTTTTTTTTTGTAACTGATTTTTCTTCCCTTCCTCTTAAGACCGACAAAAATACGAGAAAAATAAAAATCCTAAAATAACAGGAAAAATGAGTCCAACAGTCGATGGAACTGTTCCTACTCCTACTTCCGTAGCGTACTAAATGAATTACGTTTTTTTCCGGTGAAAAAAGACTGATTTTTGAGCTAGATTTGATGTTGAAGGTGTATGTCCATTAAAGGCTGTACAAGTGGATTCTTTAGTCATTTTAAAGATCATAAAACATAGCAGAGAATCACCATCCTTTCAGCCAGCAACAGGTGAATTAGATTTCCTCGAGTTAAGCTCTTTTTTACGGTTTAAAAGGACAACTTTTAGGACTTGATATGAATGGTGTTCTGCAGATCACCAATTCGTTCCCTTTATCGCACGCAAATGAAGGAGAAAATGTGTCATCTTTAGCGCAGAACAGAGTTATCTATATGAAACAGATGATGCGATGTTTAAAAGAAATTGGAGTCGATAATAATGTAGTTGGATGGTACCAAAGTGTCCATTCTGGAGGATTTATTAATACAACACTTATTGAGAACCAGTTTTCATATCATCAAGCACTTAATGATAGAACGGTTGTATTGATTCATGGTGAATTAGCTGTATAATTTTGAAGAAGTTTAATATTATAGATGCGTCTCAGTCTACATATGAAACATTATCATTGAAGGCATTTCGTTTAACACCGTCTTTTGTTGCAGCTAGAAAAGAAGGAAAATTTAATATTGAAAGGTAAAGGTGTATTTTAATAAGATAGTTGTATTTGATATATCAAGTGTTGTTAAATATGGATTGTCGTATGCCAATATTCTTGAGGAACTTCCATTACAAATTCATAATTCTCATCTTGCTATTTCGCTTCTTCATTATTTAGACAACAAGCATAGATTAGATCCGACAGAACCTGCATTGTCACTTAATCTACTTACACCTAATTTTGATAATCTTGAGCCTATAGTTGATTCTTATTATGAAAAGATTTTAGAGAATCTTTTAGAAACAATTGATGATTATCAATATGAGCAAAGTAATTTTCAATATTATCAAAGAACTTTAGCAAGAGAGCAATTAAAGATTCAACAATGGCTTCAAAAAAGACGTTCTGAAAATATTTCAAGAAGTATTAGTGATCAACCATTACTACCTGAAGATGAATGGCAACGTCTTTTTAAATTACCTAGTGAACCATCTCGATTAGAAAGTCTTTTATTGGCCTCACAAATTGGTATGAAAAAAAATGAAACAAAATATTCATTTTTTCATAATTTTAATGAGTATAATCTAATGGTTTAATTTAGATTATTACTGCAAAAAAATTGATACTAATAGTCCATCTGTTCTGACGAAACTTTATGCTTCAATTTCCGGACAGTAAGTTTATAATAAATTCCTTAATAAAAAAAATGTATTCAAGTCATTTGTGAATACAGACATATTATAGTAGAGATTAACCTGTTTTTTTTATCTATTTTTATCAATAAAAATATTATTTTTTCTGAATTGTCGTATTTCACTGTTTTTTAATAAACTTACAAATACTTGATGAATAATTTATCAAGAGTTATATTTGGTTTTCCACGGATATCTCATATTAAGACGTTTAAACGTCCATCTAAACCATGGATTGTCTTTTTTTTGTCTTTTTTCACATTTTCTGGACTTGTAATCTATGATAAAAAAGAAAAAGATAAAGTAATTGAAAAGTATTGTAATAAAGTGAAGTTCCTTTCTGAAAAACCTATGGATCCATTAGAACTTCCAAGGAAAGTGAAGATCTATATGAGTTTGCCGCCAGGAAATGACATTTGGATGATTCAAAATTATTTTCAAGAATATATTAGGCCTATTCTTCAAGCAGGAGCCGTAGATTATGAAATTATTCAAGGAAATAAAGAAGGATATTTACAGCGTCAAGTGTCTGAAGAAATCCTTCAATACCGACGTGGTGAATCTGGTTTAAGTCCAGAAATGCATAAAGTTATGACAAATGTTCGTCCTAGTACTGAAGAAAGCAGTGCTATTATTATAGGAAGGCATTCTTTGAAAGAATATTTGGCAGGAATCCATGATGGTTGGCTTGAAATGCTAGAAAGCCCATCTGTATTGTCTGATTCTTCAAAAACATCAGTTAATATTTTAAAAGAAAGCGTTTCATCAGTTTTGTCTAAAAAAAAATCTGATTCAAACTTTACAGACGATATAACAATTCCTACACTTCAATTTATCCCCTATCCTTATGTTCTTGGGTTTTTCAATATGCATATTCGAATATATCGGTTCTTGAATAGACGTTTCCTTGCTCAATCTATTGCATCAAAAACTGTAGACATCCTTTTATCAAATAATACTCGTTTGTGGTCCGATAATGATAAATATCTTGGAGAAGACGAGTGTCATGGCTGGCCTAAACAATATAAAACTCGTACTACTTCTGGTGTATGGACTGACGATTTTCCTTTAGATAAACGAATCATGAGTCATGTACATCTTTATTGCTGATAATTCAAAAGTATTAATAATCAATAAACCTATTATATTCTCTTTTTCCTAATAAATTTCCTCATTTTCATGTTTCCATAGTAATACCACTCCTCATATATCTTTCTTATTTAAATCTGGATTTTATAAATTCTTTGACTTCCTTATAACAAAATATGCATAGTGTATGTGCTAATTTCTTCTTTCCACAAGAAGAACAATAACTAAAATGCTGAATATCTTTTAATCCTTTACCTGCCTGTCTCATTCGTTTTTTCGAGTATGATGTCTTTTTTTTCGGCGCCGCCCATAATATAGGTTCAAAATACATCTCGTAATCATATTTTATTGGAATTATCCCCGTATATCTCCCCATTCCCGCAAAAATTCCTGTCCATGACATTTTCTCTGGGTACACATATTTTTCAATAATACGTCCAAAAAAACCCAATAACATAATTCAATTCTTATAAATATATATATTCCCGTATATTTCTTTATCTTTTAGCCTTTAATTCTACTAATCTTTCTCCCCAATATATTGATCTTTTATAAACTAATAACTTGGCCAATTTTCGTCAAAAAAAAACGCTGAAAAAAGGTACACATTCACTAAATTCTAAACATTCTCCTCAATACATTTATTTCTCTTTTCATTGCCTTCTTCTACCTATAAATCCTCTTTTCCTTCCTCTCTTTCTTCCTCTCTTCTTATTACTGCTCATTTATCGGTCGTCGTTACTATGACAACTCCAACGTGGTGGTTGTCATAGAAACCTCTCATAGAATCTCCACACACTAAGATTCAATCAGATGTTTAATTTAAACACAAACAACGCCTAAATTTGCTTTATTTATGACAAAAGTAAATTATAATTTGTTATTTTGTTTAATTATTAACATTTTTTCTGGTATTCAAATTGCCTATTGTAATATCAGGACCGTCGGGTAAGAGAGGATTTGTTGAGTAAGAAGGGGTTAATATGAAGAAGGATCAGGCAAATCGACGTTAATTCGTAGATTATTTGCAAATCATCCAGGTCGCTTTGGTTTTTCAGTTTCCCGTATTATATATATATATATTGAAATAAGGATTTTGATAATGAATAATAGATACAACACGACAACCACGTATAACAGAGAAGGATGGGGTACATTATCATTTTACGACGGATGAGAATTTCCTTAAGCTTATTTCTGAGAATGCGTTTATAGAATATGCAAATTTTTCAGGAAATATGTATGGTACAACAGTAAAAGCAGTAGAAGAAGTTATGGCAAAAGGATATACATGTATTATGGATATTGATATGCAAGTATGATAAGGGAATTGATAGGGAAAATGATAATAATATTTCTATAAGGGAGTTTTATCGATTAAAAAGGCCCCGATAAGTGCAAAATATGTATTTATAGCGCCGCCGGACCTAGAGGTACTTGAAGAAAGATTAAGAAAAAGAGGAACAGATACAGAGGATAGTATAAGGGAACGATTGAAAAGAGCCGCTTTTGAAATGGAGTATGCAAAATGTCCAGGATCGCATGATTTAGTTTTGGTGAATGATGATTTAGATGAGACATATAAAAAGCTAGAAAGATTTTGCTTAGAAAATGAATTATAAGTTTTGAGAAATGAAATTGAAGATGAATAGAATGTGTATATTTGAAAATTGGTGTATAATGTGTTTTTTTTTTTATATATATAGATTAGAAGATATGTTTATGCCAAATTGTCGCCCATAGAGCCTCTAGTAATAGGACGGGAGCCAGATCCCATAGCAGATGATTCTTTTAAAGCAAGTAATTGGCGACTACGAAAGTTTTCATAATGAATATGTGCTGTTGTTTCAATTAAGTCCTGCAAATGTGTACGTGCCAAGAAATTCCTTAAATATACGAATTCGCAGTGATTTTCATTTTCAACTAATAAAAAATGAGTTGAAAAATGAGAGAAAAAAAGAAAAGGTTATTACTGTTGATAACGCCCCAACGATTTTGACGACCACGAATAATTTTTCCATCTACAGCAATTGTTTTTTCAGAACCAACAATGCAAAATGGAATAATGTTTTTAATTTGTGAATTTAACGCTCTTTCTTCGTCACTGCATTCTTCGCTATCATAAGGATATGTTCTGATACCATGAAAACCAAGTTCCTCTCGAATCTAATAAAAATAAGTATTATTCAAAGTATAATTAATGTTTACTCTTTTTTTGAATGCTATACGCTCTTCTAATGTCAAGGAATCGGATTTAGCAATGACAGGTACTACATTTACCACGTTTGCAAGCTTCTTAAGAACTATTATATCAATTGGCTTAAGACTTAAAGATTTCATATTAGTAAGATGATTTAATGACCTTTTATAGACACTTACGAGTGACCTGATGGCTGAATAAAAAATAAACAGCAATGAATACGTGTATCTTGGATATATCTGTCTCTTTGTGCTGTAAGTTCTTTTTTCAAGTAGAACGAGTGCTGGTCTTTAATATATTTGATAATAGGATCCCAACTATCATCTTTCTAAATCTTTTAAACTAAATTATTAATAATATTACCATCGTTCATTATTAACAAGATCACCATATCCCGGTGTATCTATAATGTTTAACTTCAAGTTAACCCCATTTTCCTCCAAGACTATTGGGTTTCTCCATTAGTTTATTATATAAAAATATGGATTTATACCATGAGAAACACTATGAATCTCTGTTGTTTGGCGAATTGGTTCCTCTGAACTTAAACGTCCTTTACTGTCCATCAAGTGCGCTGCAAACAATGTATTAATCAATGTAGACTTTCCAAGACCTGTTTGGCCTAAAAAATATTCAATTTGGCCTTCTTTTTCCTTTTATTTTCAATAAAAATATTACCAACACACATAATGTTAAATTGAAACCCTCGTCTTATCAGTTTTCGCTCAATTTGCTTTGTAATAGAATCAAAGCCTATTTTCCTCTTGTTTTAGACACAGAAATGTCTCAATTTATTTCTTTTAAAATAAAACCTACCGACATATCCACTTGATTGAATTGGTCCCTGTTTGGGCTTTAATTAAGCTTAAAATACATAAAATTTCCATTTCTTCACCTTAACGTACGGCGTCATGTTCATATTCCTAGGAGAAATTACTCCTGACATTCTTAAGCCTTGAATTATTCTTTTTTACTTGTCGATATTTGTTATGTTAATAGTTGAGAGGTTAATCGGCTGCCACGGGTTAAGTCAAAAGATAAAAAGCCATAATAAAAAAGATACATAAAAGTGACAGAATAAGGTGTTAGTATGTGAGATAGTTGAGATGAAGAGGGTATTTGAAGTATTTATAGGTAAGTTTTGAGATCGAATGAAATGGAAGTTGAAAGGAAAAAATCAAGTTTTATATCTCTTTGAAGCAATTGAATTGATTGTATCTGAGTTGTGTATGTCGTTTTTATCATTTTCTTTTTGAAAAGATTCTTGTTGATTTAATACAGGATCAGGCATTTCATTTAAAACGAATGAAGAATCATTTCTAGAGATAAATTAAAAAATAAATAAATAAATGAAGAGGATTACCTGGAGGTATTATTATTTGCAAAACGTTTAGTACTTGTTGATTGAAAAGGATCTTGATGATAATTTCGAGTATGTGTTGGAGGAGCACCAACAAGGCGAGAAGTAGGTGGTTGTTTAGTGCGATTAGATATTAATGGAGCCATGTTTATTGGTGTATTTTGACGTCTTATGGGAGTTGATTTTGTATGATCTAATCCTGGTGTTTTTCTTAAAGAAGGACTATCGATATGTGGATTAAAGGCTACGCCAGAAGAAGCATCAATGACCCCTTTGGAATTGGTAATTGCAGATCGTGTATTAACAAACATTGGAATATAATCTGGTGGATGATCTGTTTAATAAGTGAATAAGAGGATTTAATGAAATATTTGTGATGAATAATTACATACCAGTGTTTTGTTTTATAGAGGTAGGATTCTGAGGAAGTTTAGGAGGTTCATTTAAAGAATATGGTTTAGATTCTTTTTCTGTCTCCTTTTTTTGTAAAGAATCTGTAAAATTATGTGAAGTGTTTGTTGTAGACTTTTGTTCAAAGCGTCCGTTTTTAGATAAATTTGCAGATGTAGTATGATATTCTTCTGCTACATGAACGTTATCATCAATTAGATCTGAATGGGAAAAATTAGAAAATGTACTATTCCCCATTAATATTATTTTAATACAAAATTAAGGAACTACTCTTCAATATCGTATTCGAATTGATGACAAAATTCTGGATCTATAGGTTTATCTATTTCCTGAAAATCTATATCATCAAATTCATCACCTAATTCATTTAAAAAAAAAGAATTGAATATCTTGTAACAGACCATCTTCATAAAGTTCTGATTCCCTAGTTAATGTAGGGACTTCTTTCGATGCTATAATGAAATAAATAATTTTCTTTCTATAACGTAAAAATTTACGAATATTTTTCTCTGGTTGTGCTACAATTAATGTTTCCTTCGATTCAATTGGTTTTGCAACATTATTTGGAATTTTGTTAAAAGCACTCGGATGACGATGAAGTTCAGAAACATCAAATTTGTTCTAAATAATTAAAACACATTTCTCAATAAAAATATCATTATACCTTTGTTACATTGATTTTTCCAATTTCTCTTAAATAAGTTTTATCATAAAGACAATTTCCAAGAACATTACCAAATGTTCTCAATGCTCTTTTCAAGGCATCCGTTGTTCCCTCCTTTTTAGCCTATTGCATATTATTACTTATTTCTTGTATAATTATTCCTTTTTTTAAATAATTTACTTTTTCAAACGCTGCTCCTTTTCCTCTAAAATTTTCCACGCAACCATAACCAATATCCTCATGATAAATACCATTCTTCAATGTTACACGAACAATCACTGATACCCCTAGATTTAATCGTCCTGATTCCTTGAATTCATCTATCTGAAATAACATAAATCTCTTATTTAAAAAAAAAAAACCATTAATACATAATCAACCTGTATATTCTGAATACTAGACGACCATCCATTAAATCCAAATACTTCGTTCGCCAGATTAATTACTTTCCACGCCTCAAGATAATGAACCTTGGAACCATTCACTCCTGGACGATATGATATATATTCCGGTCCCAGCTGCCGATCCAACAATGATTGAAGCACTGATGCCTCTTTTTCTGTATATTCCTGTGCAATTTTATGTTCTTTTCCCTGATTTGATTCCAATGCCTTAGATACTTGTGCCTGAACGGCTTGATCCTCTAATTTCTTCATTTTTAACCCGGAAAAAAACGATTCCTATAAAAACAAATAAGCAGAATCTCTTTTTCATGTTAATTCTTACTTAAAACCTTGTTTTATCCGCTTTTTTTCGCTTTTTTTTTCTCTGCCTAAATATGTAGGTTGTAAGGAGTGCTATACGTGGACGTCCAGAAGGTGATATCGGCCATAGTGAAGCAACGTCAAAAAAAATGTATGAGAAAAAAGGCGGTAAAAAGGGATAATTTAAGGGAGAAAAGCATATTTACAGATGAATTTCAGGAATGATTGTGTATATTATGTTATTTTTGTAATTTGAATGAGGAAAAACGGTGGTCTGGTTAAAGAGATATGGAAAAAATAGAAGATCCTTTTTTTGAAGCAAAAGAGTATGTTAAATGAGAGGAAAAAGCGATATCTGAAGGTTTTTATTAAGGCAAATAACATTTCAGTTTTCAGAAGCACGTTATTTGTATGATTTATACGTTAAAACGGCGAGAGAAGGGAATATTGGGACATCGAGTACATTATTGGATATTTCGAATGAATTATGGAAGATCATTAATGAAATTGATGATTGTTTAATAGATCTGGAGGAGGTTGTGTTTGCAGTTGAAAGACAGCCTGAAAAATATAAGATTTCGGATGAGGAGGCATCTGAGCGACGTTTATTTGTCAATCGAGCTAGAAATGATTTGGAACAGATGCAAAAGGATATGAGTGAGCCAGTAGAAGATGTTTGTTGTAGAAGAGAAGAAAAAGTTTAGTATTTTATGTATTTTTTTTTACTTATTTTTTTAAAGCTTTTAAAACAAACAGTACATGATGAAGAATCATTAGATAATTCTTTAGCTATGAGTCCTAAGTTGGCATTAAAATATCAAAAGTTGCTTGAAGATGAACAAGATACTCAATTAGATTATGTATTTGGAACCGTACAGAATTTAAGAGAACAAGCATCAATTATGGGTAGAGAATTGGAGGAACAATTTGAGTATGTTTTAATTTATATTATTATTTTTCTTGATAAATCTTAGATTGATCGAAGAAGTTGATACGCGAATAGAAAGAACAGGTGAAAAATTAAAACGAGGATTTAGAAATATGAAATGGGTAATTAAGAAAAATGAAGGTAAATTTCTTTCAAAAGTATTAGAAAATAATCTTTCTAAGACAAAATATCTTCCTATTTTATAGTTTTCCTTATTATAATATTGATTGTTTTATTAATACTTATATTTTTATTTTGAATATTAAATTCAGATGTTTTCAACTTTAAAATATATAATTATTTACAACTTTGTTCTTTTTTTAGATGGTTCTTCTTCTGATATATTGTCTCCGTTTTCTAAAATATATTTATATCGAAATAATTTAATAAATAAAATATACCATTTTCTAAATCTATTTCTTCATCTTCATTTTCCTCATTTTCTTGAAGTGCATCTGTAAAATATTTCACTGCATTTGGATAAAGATCCTCCGCAATAAAAATAGCAAGTTCTTCTCCATCTTCAAATATATCATTCTCTTTTCCTGTCCATGAAAACCATGTAAAAAAACTCGGCGCCGTTCCCTTAGTTTGTCTCGTCAAGTCTTTATTCTTTTTCCATTCTATATTCACTTTTTCTGAAATCAATTGAGATGGCTCTTTATTAATATTCGACGACGATGCTTCTGCCTTTTGACTTGAATATCTAAAAAGTTTTTCAAGATAAAGACTATTCGATTCCAAGTATTCATTCGCCTCAAATTCAAAAACAATCTTAATATCACGAGGATCCTCATTCGGTCGATATACCCTTAGATCAATCAAATGTTCAAGTACCTTATAATATTAATAAATATTATCTTTTTTTTTTATTCTTTTTATACATTAGCATCCTCCGGACTTATATAAACAGCTAAAAATATTAGTTTCCTTGTATTTATTTAAAAATTTACAAAGTTCATCACTAGGTGCTGCTTCTATCTATATTTTATCTTAGTTTTATTTATTAATTCCTTACAAATCCCACCGCAATCGGCCAAAATTTCGGTATTTTCCTTAAAACATTTGCTCTCTTTTCATAAAGTGGATTAAATAATTCAACTTGATGTTTTACTATTATTCATATTAATTTTATTCCTTTTAATTCCTGTAAAAAACTACAAAGTTCAACATCTGCTTTTTCAAATTCAAGTTCAATATCTGCAACTTCATCAAGAGATGTTGTATTAGTTTCTGACTGTATTTCTGATCTTTTTTCATTTGTTTTTTTAGCTGACATTTTTATGTATTTTTTCAAAATTATTTTTACTTAAGTTGTTGATAAGAAACTTATATATATTTTACGATAAGATAAGATAAGATTAGGAGGATAAGAGGAGAGGAAGAGATAAGAGAGAAGAGAGGAGAGAGAGGAGAGAATATAAGAGATTAGATAAAGTAAGAAAGAGATTAGATGCTATAAAAGATTTTATATGATAAAATTTATAAGATATAAGATAAGATATTAGATGTATAAGATCTATAAGATGTATAAGATAAGATATTGAAGATAAGATATAAAATTAAATAAAAAAGTTAAAGATTAAAAAGTTTTTAGATTTAAATAATTTTATTTTTATAAATGTTTTAAATAAATATTAAAAGATTAAGAAGAATTATATGTTAATAGAGTAATAAGTATAAAATTGAATAAAAAAAAGTAGTAAAATTGAATAAAAAAAGTAGTAAAATTGAATAAATAATATAATAAATAAGTTATTTACAAGTTATTGGATTAATTAGTTAAAGTTATCTTAAATAACTTGAATTATATTTTGATAGGTTTAATTAATAAGTCGTATCGATTAAACGTCAGAAATTATAAAAACCAATAAAGTCAAGAATAAATATAATAAATTGTAGAAAAAGTACTTAAATATTAGTAAAACATAATTATAATCGTTTATATTTTATTAATCCATTTTGAACGGAGAAAAACATGTTTTTTTTGAGAAAAAGTGATAATAACGGGGAAAATAGTGAAATTGGAGAAGCAACACCACTATTATTAAATAAAAGAAGAATTTTATTTGAAATACCTACATTTGAATGGGATTTCATAAAAAAAATAATTATTGTTATAGTTAAAAAAATAATTATTTTTTATTTATTTATTTTTATTATACTATTATCATTGATATCGTTAATTTTATATGTGAATAAGAGGAATCTATCAGAGGGATATAAAGTTTCATTTGAAGAAATTGATGTGAAAAATGTGACTAAAGATGGACTTAATATATGGATAACTGGTTTTGTTGAAGTTGATTATTCTAATATTAAACCTAAGATTGTAAGAAAAGTATGGAAAGGTTTTACAGGAATGATGGGAAATTTGAATATATATGGATTAAATTTTAATATTTATCTTCCAGATTATTCAGAAAAAAAGGTAGCAACAGTAATTTTATCTAAAATTGAAATAGATATACGAGATCGACATTATACGAATTTTAATGAAATGACCTTTTCAAAATTTGATAATTCAATGGTTTTAATAGAATCACTTAAACATTTTTCTCAAGAAAAATTTTATGATATTAAAATATCTAGAGATGCGAGTTTTCGTTTACATTTTTTTCATTTTTTGGTATTTCCAGTATCTATTGGTAGAATGACGAGTATCTATAGTAAGTTTTTAAATTATTTTATGCAATTGTATAACATAAGCAAGATTTTCCTGAAACAAGTCTTGATAAAGTGTTTGATATGAATTCTCTAGTAATTAAAGATTCATCGTCCGATTATCTTAATGCTGAAATTCAATTGAGTACCAAAATAGATTTTTCAATTAGTACATATCTTCCTTATTTAACATGGAATGTATTGGTTCCTTCTTGTGATGAGACAAAGCATATAAAAATTGCGAATATTAAAAGCTATTTTTTTTATATAAAATCATCAAAAAGACTCAATATAACACTATTATCACGTATAATATTACCTAATAATGAACTTATAGATGTTTGCAATGATACTGGAATTTCACCATTGAACAGAATAGTTTCTCAATGTTTTTCTAAAAATTATCCATATATCTATATAATAGGTGACGCTTCTGAAACTTCTATGGAATCATACGTTCCTTCATGGTTATTTCGAACATTAACTACTACTGAAATTCCTATTCCTCTCTATGGATTCCCTAAAATAAACTTTATAAAATCAGTTAAAATAGATAAATTTGTGGTGGAAGATAATAAAAAAGGTTTGACTCGAAGTGCTTTCTGGTCTTCTCCTAGTTTTTATGGAATCGTTACTGTTAAAATAGGATTTCCAGGTACTTTTGACTTTTATATAAACGTTACACATATTTGTCTCAATATTGAATTATCAAATGATGGTATACCTTTTTCAAAAATTTCACAGAACGATTGGGTTTCTTCTACTTCTTTAAGACCAATGCCTTCTGTATTGCTATTAAAAACAAAAATATATGATAAATATTTCAAAATTTTAAACACAACTGCATTCAATAAAATACTCAAGGAAATCATTTTACATAGAACTAATAATTTCACTTTTTACATTAAAGGTAATATATCTTTAAAACTTGATTCTCGTTTAGGTTTCCTTTATTTTCAAAATGTTCCAATATCTACTAATGTTTTGATCGAATATTGAACATCATGACTTACTCATCCTTCAAATCATTCTTTATCACCTTTTCCACTTTATTATATATTATCAATCAAAACATTTCTACTAATTATTATTCATATATCAACTTTGTCAATTCTTTTATTAACAAAAACTATTAACTATTATTACAAAAAAAAGTATGTTACTACTAATTCTTTATTTATCTTTCTATGTTTTATTTAATACTTTTAATATTTCTTAGACGGTTTTCTAAAAAATTATATCTCTCGATTACTTATTGATTTTTTAAAGGATGGAAGATCTCCAGTGACTCTTGTTATGACATATAATAATTCAGATATACGCTTTCCTAAGGATTCATGTAGTAGCTTAAGAGTAGAGAATAATATTATCAACAGAATTTGTAATGGAAATTCATTTCGAAAAAGTATGTGTTTTTATTTGTTTTTGATAAAACTGGAGGGAATCTAGGCCTTAAACGAAAGACAATAGAAGATGAGGATATGGGGAGTATGTCATTATCAGGACCGGCGGTTTTGAATAGTAAAAAACCTCGAATGATATATCATGGACGATCATTTCCTATTAGTCGATTAATGAGTTGATTTGAAGCTATATATATGGAATATAATTCTAAAGATTTATAGAACATCTTGATTGTTGTACACTTCGAAGTATTGTAGAGACTTTAGTTGATCGTCATCCTACTTTATTTTCAGAAGTGGTTGGTTTATCATCTTTTCCGGATTTATTTTCTGTTATTAGTCTTTTAAATGGGATGGAAGAACAAGTTCGTTCTTCTTTTCCATATGGTGGTGATATTAGAGGGGAATATGCCTATAATAGAATAAGGCCGGTGCTACAGAAGTTTATGGTATATATATAAATATATATATACATATATATATATATATTAATATTAATATTAATATTTTATTTAGGATGCTTTGGTAGAGTATATGATTATTTTTTCTCCTCCGTATCAAAAAAGCAAAAACCTTACATTAACATTTCTTGATCATATTTCATCTATGCTTCATCGGCTTCCTGAATGGAATAATCCTGTACATAATTATTATAAGGAAGAACTTTATGATTCAGTTTCTAATGCATGGATTTCTATTATTTCTAGTATGAGTAGAGAAGGTCTTGATGGTATAAATGGTAATGAATGGATTGCAAAATTAATAAAACATAATGAAACATCTGGAGGACGATTTAAAAGGGTTATAGATGCTGCTAGGAATGAGTTGGCATGTTTTTTTTCTGAAAAAGATTTAAATGTTTCCTTTTCAAATAATAATACACTTGGATTTGATTTTGCTTCTTGTTATCAATTATAATTTTAAAGAAATATTTATTTATCTATAAACTCAAATTCAGATTTTTCAAAAAGGAAGCGTTCTATATTTGGTTTTTATTCTAATATTTTTATATTTATTATACTGAAACTCCTCTTTAAATACTATGTTATACCTTAGAATTTATATTTTTCAAAATTTTTAATTTTTTATTGCAACTATCTGGACTAAACAAATAGTATTCTCTTTATCACTGATGGCTACTTTTACTGTTATTCTCATCAATAATATAATCTTATTTTCTTATAAAATTAATCTTTTGGTCTTCAATATATCTATTTACATATCTACAAGTACATAAAATATCTCTTAATTTTTTCAATCAATTATGAAATATACATATTATATTTAAAAAAACTAGGTTACTGGATGCTATTCTCTATAAACATGTATTTAGGATTTATCTTTTTATAGGCCGTGTCTATCTATATTGACGTGATATAAAAAGGCGGTGCGTTATCTATAAATAAACTATTTTTATAGAGTAATAAAATAATAAAAATACTGATTTTTTTACATAATTTTATAGAAATTGTTTAATATAATGTTTGTATATTAAAATGTTTTTTAAAGGAAAAATAACTGATTTTTTTTAGATTATTTCGAGTTTTATTTGTATATTTTGATTGGAAATGATTATTTAATAATGATTAAACCTGAGGATACTGAGTATATGAATTATGGTTCTTTTTTCTTTTTTTTTTTTCATTTATATCTTAATTAATACTTATTTTAAGATTATTCTAAAAAATATGCTTCTATATTATTTATGAAGAATTATGAACAACGTAAAATCTATAAGGAACAGACGTTATATGGTTTTTCTTGTGCTAGTAAAGATAGTCCTCGTTTTTTACATGATCAAAGACTTCGAATGTATTTAGATAGAGTACGTCATTCTCGAGAAGAATATTGGACAAAAAATCGTAAAGAAGATCAAGTATCATTTAATCTTTCTATAAACTGCTATTTTTCTTATATATTTCTAATAGATTATGCAATCTTTTTTTTTTGCTGAGGAAAATGAAAGATGTAAATTTTTGGAACAAGAAGCATCATTTCATCAAATCACTCCTGATGAGTTTATTGATAATGGTACTTTTAATCCATTCTAATCTTCTTTTTTAATATTTATAAAGAGCAAATATTTATTGAACATATTGAAGCTTTAGAAAATGAACAAAACAACTATCTTATTAACAGATATATGGATCATACATTTCATGGGCATCATTAAATCTTCTTTGGCTATTTTCTTCTTCAATTAACACTCATTCTGGCTCTGGACATATGTTTGTTTATCTTGGCTGCCATGGCAATAGTTGCGGAGGCAACTGACGAGCAACGACCGATATTTTTGTGAGAGAAAAATAAGTTAAAAAAAGTGTTATTTTTCAGCGTAAAAAGCCATTAAAATGTCTGCTTTATGCAGGAGACGTCTTCAGGAGGTAAATATTATGGGGTTTCCTTTTTTTCCGGGTTAAAAATGACCATTTTTAGGAGCGTAAGCAGTGGAGGAAGGACCACCCATTTGTATGAAGGAGGAGACATAAGGATTAAAGCTCATATATACCAGGGATTTTATGCTAAACCTAATAAATTACCTGATGGAACTATGGATTTGATGAATTGGAGTGTTGGAATTCCGGGACGTCCGAAAACAAGTTGGGAAGGAGGGATGTTTAGGTTGACTATGTTTTTTCCTGAAGGTAAACTAGGAAGTTATTATTTAATATATTAAATTTGAATAAGAATATCCTACAAAACCGCCAAAATGTATAAAGTTATGTATTTTTTATTTTTATTTATTATATAGGCAAATTTACACCACCGCTTTTTCATCCGAATGTTTATCCATCAGGAACGGTTTGTCTAAGTATTCTTAATGAGGAGGAATCATGGAAACCGGCAATAACAATAAAACAAGTTAGATTTTTATTTATGATAGAGATTTTTTTATTTTTATTTTTTAGATACTTTTAGGTATACAGGATCTTTTAAATGATCCGAATCCTAATAGTCCTGCGCAAAGCGAAGCATATACATTATTTAAGTATGTTTTATTTTTTCTATTTTTTTAAAAATTAATAGTATATAGAAAAGATCGTGCTGCTTATGAAAAACGTATTCGGCAACAAGCTCGAGAAATGGCACCATAGTTTTTTATACATTATCAATCTTTCTTTAACAATTAACTAGCTTTTTATTTTTTTGTTAAATATTTTATACGATGTTTTAAATTTTATACATAGTAATTATACCTAGTCACTGAAAGTATTAGATTATATTGGAAATACATCTTTAGTCTCCAAGTCTTTATATCTTATTGAATGTGGATATTTATAATGAAATTAAATAAATGTGTTTATTTGAAAATCATATGTTTTTTAAAAAAATTATGGAATTAATATGAATTTTTAATAATAAAATTTATATTTCCATAGCTCTAAGGAATTTGTATTGGAAATTAATAATACTAATGAAATATTTAATAATATGGAGCGTTTTATAGAATCTTTAGAACATTATTTTTTTTACAGATTATACAAAATTATTAGTAACTTTATGTAAAAGAATGTCTAGATTGTAGAAATTAAGACTTTAATGTACAAAGAAAAGTGTAGATGAGATATTATAAATATTATGTTCCAGGAGGTGCAATTGTGTGATAGTTTCCCGTCTGTTGGGAATTTTGTGTTTGTTGTGCAGGATTTGCTGAATTTCCTTGTTGATAATAGTGTTGATCTAAATAAAAGATAAATATTACATGTATATGTTAATTATATGCCTACAATAAGATTGATAATATTGGACGTATGCTTCGTAACCTCCATAAGCCGCATAAGGATCTGCAGAATATGATCCGGAAACGCCAGGAGGTCCAGCCGGTGCTGCTGGAGTTTGATACTAAAAAAAATATTAATAATCGAAAAAAAGCATGTATTAGAAATAACCCCAGATGCAGTTCCATATGCATTATTTGACCCAGGATATCCAGAAAAATTTTGGCTATGTGGTGATGCCTTAAATTGTTCGTATTGTTGTTTGACACTTTTTAACAGATCTTCGCATAAACTTTTGGCTCGTTGAACTTCATTGGGATCAGGGCCACTAATGGATTAGAAGATAAAAAAATGCGTGCATTTTACGTAATATGTAGGTAAAGAGGTTCATCACTTTCACGTCCAGTAGCTGGTTCCATAAATCCAGATCCAATACCTTTAATTTGAACACGACATTTTGTTTCTTGCTGAACATGCTTGACATATTGCCCCTGTAAAATCAGTTTCCTTTTTCTCCATTCTCAATTTTATTATACATTAGGTCCAACAATGTTAGCACGTAAATAAAATCCACGAATTGGTTCTAGTCCAATATAAAGCCTTTCTTCCGGCCATTTTCTCTTTTTAAAATAAATATAACATAAAAAAAACATACATATTATTACTCTTCCAAGCTCATCCCGTTCAACATCATCTTTCTTTCGATATCGTCTCTCATCAACAAGTGATGGAAGCTCATGAGACATAAGTTCTTCTATTTTTTTAACCGCTGCTTCTAATCCTGCTTTAGTCGTTGCCGTAACATGCAAATAAAGTGGTGGATCTCGTTCTGTAGCTAATCCCTTATCAGGATAATATTTCCCACGAGTTGTTACATCTATTTATCAATCATAAATCTTATTTTATTTTACATATATATATATATATATAGTACCCGCTCCTGTTTCTTCTTTAATCTAAAAAAAAATATTATTAGCAAATATTTTTCAATAAATTAAACCATGTTTCTGCTTTAAATAATTATTTCTATACATACCATCTTTTGTGTCGATCCTTTTGTAAGAGTATATCGATTCCTCAAATCATTCACTTCAATATCCTTCACATAATCTCCTTCTTGATTATACACATCACGAACTATAGAAACCGGCGGTGCCGGCGGCGGTGCCGTTGCTGGTTTCTATATTATTTATTAAACTTCATTAATACATCTTCAATATCCAAACTTGAGGCTCAGAAGACGGTTGCACTGATGCCCTATTACTATACATCGCATTAATACGTGCTGCTGCCGCCGCTATTTCCCTCTATTGGCCTTCAAATCCATATATATTTCTTATATTTAAACCTGCAATAGCTGCCGGGTTTTTAGCCCGTTTTTCTTCCGACAAACGACTTCTTGACGTTAAATTCTCTTCTCTAACCGATCCCTCAGTCGTTCCACATGGACTAGCACTTCTTCTACGGCTTGATGTCTTTTCTTCCCGTTCATATCTATGTCTTCTTGTCCCTTCTTTTTCTCGTATTGAGTCCCGGTGAAAACGACTATCCGGACTACTTGTTTCATGTCTACTGCCATGTCTACTGCTTGACATCTCGGCTTCTTTCAAGTCCTTCCTATAAACCTTAAATTTTCTTGATATTCAGAGGTGTTGAGTAGGTTTATCGAAGAGCCGGATCATTTTTATAAAAAAACAAGTGTTTATAAGGTGAAAAAATAATTTTCTGAAAAGAGGGAACCCGTTTGATAGGAAGTTTGTTTGAATTTTATTTGTGTAGTAGTTTTATTTGCAGAAGTTTTTATGTATTGGTATGAAAGTGCGGAAGAATAGTGATAAGCGAAGAATAGTGAAGAATAGAGAGGACCAGAATGATTAATGAAATTGAATAAATTTTGAGTATTTTTTTAGTGATAAAGTTTTAAGCCGAGTTTTAAGCCGAGTTTTATGATTAAAATTATGATTAAATTTTGTTTTGTAGAGAATTAGTAAGATATTTTTGTTATGTTTGCTATTTTTAGAGTTTTGTGAAGCAATTGTTTCTATATTTAGTAAGAAATTAATATTTTTTAAATATTATGTATAATTTGAAATCTGTTTTTTTTTTGAAAATAATGGTTAAATGAGGTTGATTTGTGTTGAAAAAACAGTGTTTAATGCCTGATATGTATTGTAAATTGTAAAATATATGTTTAAAAATATAGAAAAGTGTCTTTCCAGAGCTTTTGAATACTTTTGAAAAAAAAAAAACCAGAATAAAATAAATGAGATATTATGATAATGGTTTTGTAAATGAATGATGCTTTCTTGATTTTTTATTCATGTTGAAGCGTAAAAATGATGATAATAAAATAAGAATCATGATAATTGTTGAAACGCAAAAAAATTTTGTAAAACATGGATTTCTTCGAGTATCAAAGAATTCGTTTTTCTTTCTTATACGTTTTATTCTATGTCTTTCATATGTATAATAAGGTTCATAGTATTCTTCATAGTTAAATCGTGTGTTAGAATAAAGGTTTTCTTGTGATTTTTCCTGATATTTAAAATCATTTTCATATATTTTACCACCAAAATATTCAAAATTTTCTCTATTTTTGTATATTTCCTGATCTAATCCTGAAAGCAATAATTAAAAAAACTATCATAGTTTTTCGTTATATTTACTATTGTAATTTGTTTTTTTTGAGCTTTCTGACAAACAAGAGTACATTTTTGTACTCATTCTTATCTTCTCATCATGTTCCTTTCGTTTTATCCCGTTACTTAATACTTCATATGCCTCTTTTATCTTTAAAAATTTTTTGTATGCTTCTTTATCATTTTTATGCAAATCTGGGTGAAATTTTTTGCTAAAAAAACACTTAAGATCCAAGAAAAGGCTCAGAAATGTCCTTCTGTACCTTAATTCATAGTATTTATGTTTAATTGCCACATAAGATGCATGTTTTGGAACCCCTAAAATGTCATAATATGACGAAAAAAAACGCTTGAAAAACGTATATATATGAAACCTATTCCGAGGAATCCATTCTTCTTCTTTATAATACATAAAACTCATCGGATTGGCCGTTTTAGAGCGTAAAATCTGTGCTCTCATTTTTGATGTCGTTCGAACTCTAACGTCGATTTTTTAAAAATTAATTTAAAGTATGTAGAAATGGCCAATGAAACCCATTTTTCGGCGGATTTGACCGGTTTAACTTGTAATTTAGACAGTGGTATGTGTTTCTTTTGATATCTGTTTTTATTTCTGTTTTTTTCCGGGGAAAAAATGTTGATTTTTACAAGATTTAAAAGTATTGAAGGAAAATAGTGAAAAAAGCGATAAAAATAGCCCTTCATTGGAAGATATTGATGGAATTGCAGCTGATATTTCCAAAGTTTCTGGTATATTGCTTTTTTTTCCAAAAAAAAAGGATATTAATAGGATAAAAAGTCGCAAAAAAAAAGAAGAAGAAGAAAATCAAATGTAGTTTGATAAAACAAGATGAACCGCCTTCTATTGGCCTTACTAAGCTATATCCGTCAGGAAAATATCCTGAAGGAGAGGAAATGGATTATAATAATGAGTATATTTCGAAAAAAACAGAATAATAGTATATTTATTAAGTATAAGTAATCTTTGGCGGGTAACATCGGAAGAAAAACGATATTTAGAACTTTTATCACATGGGGAATATCAGGATCTTCGTAGAGCAGCAGAAGTTCATCGTCAGGTTCGGAAATATGCTCAAAAAACGATTCATCCTGGTATGACGATGATAGAGATAGCAGAAATGATCGAGAATTCTACTAGAATGTTAGTAGAAGAAGATGGATTGAAGGCGGGTATTGGATTTCCTACAGGTCTTAGTTTAAATCATTGTGCTGCCCACTATACACCAAATGCAGGAGATAATACATGTAGGAAGTTAGTATTTATTTAATTTTAAGGATTAATCTTCTTTAGGTCTTCAAAAAGACGATGTAATGAAGGTTGATTTTGGAGTTCATGTTAATGGTATGTGTATTTGAATTTGTATTATTTTTGATTTACAAAATATAGGAAGAATTATTGATAGTGCGTTTACAATGACTTTTGACCATAAATATGATAAATTACTTGAGGCTGTTAAGGAATCTACAAATACAGGAGTTAGGGTATGTTGGACATCTTGTTTTTTTATCTTCCTGAGCTTTTTAAAGGAAGCTGGTATTGATGTAAGACTTTGTGATATTGGTGCTGCAATTCAGGAAGTTATGGAGAGTTATGAAGTCGAATTAGATGGAAATACATATCAAGGTATTGAGTTTGATCTTTTTAGCGTTTTTTTTATTATTATAGTTAAACCTATTAGAAATCTAAATGGGCATAATATTACCCCATATACTATACATGGTGGGAAATCTGTTCCTATTGTTAGAGGAGGAGATCAGACAAAGATGGAAGAAAATGAAGTATTTGCCATTGAAACATTTGGAAGTACAGGAAGGGGCTATGTTAGGGCATATGTATGTTTTTAGAGATAGTAAAATATATATTAAGCATTTAAGGGTGATTGTTCACATTATGCAAGAAAAGGGAATGTAGGTCATGTTCCTCTTCGTTTGGCGCGTGCGAAACATCTTTTGGCTACTATTGAGAAAGTTTTTGGGACACTTCCATTTTGTAGAAGATATTTGGATAGAATTGGAGAGACAAAATATTTACTTGCTGTAATTATTAAACTGTTTTATATATAAATTGATATATTTTCAGTTGAATAATTTGGTAAATTCTGGAATTGTTGAATCATATCCTCCTTTAGTGTATTTTTTTCATATATTTGTTTATAAGAAGTATTTAATTTATTCTTAGTGATATCAAAGGCTGCCAAACAGCTCAATTTGAGGTAAAGAAAGTATGTAGTGCGCTATAGATGTTCACATAATACTAGCATACCATTCTTTTAAGACCAACAAGAAAAGAAGTTCTCAGTAGGGGTGATGATTATTAATAGTAAACATTTGAAAAATATAGAATATATTTCAATTAAATAATAAGAACAACATTCTAGAGTTATTATTGGTTTGTAAATACAATCTACTATGGTTATATGTAATTGATAAGATTTAAAGAGAATGTATTGTAATTATAAAAATATAATAAAAAATAATATCTGATAATAAGAAATCTTCAAGTGTTTCTAATTAAAAGGCAAAATATGCCAATAAGAAAGCAGCTAAACAAAGTGTTATACAAATATGAATTGGAACACTTTTGCTATACATTTATTAGAATTAAATATTAAAAAAAAAATCTTACAGTGATGTTGTAATCGGAATTTTCTCTGGAATTATTTTTTCCTTCTTTTCAAATGCTTCATAATTACGATGACGAAGCTCTGATTCTTTTAATTGATCTTTAAGTTTTTTAATTGTTGTTTTAGCTTCAACTAATTGAATTGCAAGATTAGTACTTGATTCCGCATTTTCAAGTGCTTTGCTAGTTAATGTGCTATCTTCTTGTGACAAATAACTAGAATCATGCACCGCTTTGGTTGTTGAATCTGTATTATAATCGTGAGTTTGAGAAGATCGTGTAGAGGCAAATTTCTAGGTAGAAAAAATATGTTAATAAATAATAAACACACTGAAATCATACATCATATCCGTTTGAAGACTTTTCTAAAATACTATGAGTAGAATCTTGCATAGGACCAAGAAAAACACATTTAATCTTCTTTTCATAAATATCTTCTTTTGCAACGGTATCAAATAGTGAAAGCTACATAAAAATAATTAAATATACTATAAAAATAACCCTTAACAACTACATACCATGTTTTGTGAATCTGTAACATTCTTATCATTAAGAATAATAGACTGGATAAGAAATTTGTCTTTGCATTTATAATCAAGTGGCGGCTCCTCTTTTAACGCCTGCAAAAGCACTACCATATAAGTATGATATTTCCTATGCATATAAAATATCTAAATCATACCTAAAACCTCTATTTCTTTTCCTGCTTCAATACGACCTGAATTCGGTCGGACGCACTAAAAACAGTTAAATATGCCAAAAAATCCCCCTCAATCTCTTATTCTCCATATAAATAACGTACATATTGCTTAGGAGCTGTCGTTTTGATCTTAAATATAATTGGAAACTCATGTGGATTACATATAAAAAGAGATTCCTTTACCATCATCGTAAGTGGACGATGAAACCCCAGCTGACTTGTACACTCTACTGACATATTCTACTACTTATTGTCCTTAATAATGTCTCTTTTTATGCCTTTTTTCCGCTTTATTTTAAGGCTTTTAAAGGTCCACTTTGGATATCTTAATTTTCACTTATTATCCTCAAATTTAGGTATTTTTAAGAGCTGAAAAAGCCTTTCCTAGTAATTTCTTATCCTGCTTTCTTTCTAGAATATCTTTTTCCCGAAAAAACCGCTATTTATACGTCTATTTTGACAAGTCTTTATTTCCAACTTTTTGATGATGTTTTTGCTTTGTGCTCGTCGGGGCTCTCAACGACCGTCAAAAAAGTGTCAAAATGATCTTAAAAATAAGGTGAGAAATTATGCTATAAAACAGCAATATTTTTATATAAATTTATTAGAAATAATGACTAATATTTTTGTAGAAAATTCTGAGTTTTTTCTGTGGAAATTGGCTGAATAAAGGCGGAATATTTGAGGATTATAAATTGGATAGATTGTCTTGTTATGGTGTTTTTTGAGCGTAAATACTGCTGAAACAGTTAAATATGTCTTCGGATGATGTGGTAGATGCAGATTTTTGTGAAAATCCGGAAAATTTTGGTGAAAAAACCGTCGAGAATGATGATATAGAAAAATCCTCAGTAGAAATGCTGAATATTGGGTTAGAAGATCCAATAAAAGAAGTTTTAGACCTTATTGATAGATAAATATTTTGATATATTGCGCAGATGGCACTTTTGACAGATGAAGAAAAGGCATGTAAGATTAAAGAGCTTAAAGAAAAATTGAATGAGAAACGTATGCTTCAAAAGATTCGAGAAGAGCAGGAAGCACGTGAGAATGAAGTATTTTGAAAGATGATGTATTTTATGTATTAATTTTATTAAAAGTTAATTCGTCGTAAAAGAGATCGGGAGTATGTGCAATTAGTCGAAGAACAGAAAAGACAGGCGCAATTGAGAGAGATTCAGTTGAGAAAGGAAGAAAAGAAACAAGATCTTCTTGAGAAAAGGCGAATTAGAGAGCTAATTGAGGCAGATAAGCGTGAGCGTAAAGAACGGGTATATAATATATGTTTTTTTTTCTTCTTATTAGTTTAGGCAGAGCGAGCTATAGCTACAAAAGATATAGTACCGCAAAGTTCGTTATCAGCTGCTCCAAAACCAAAAACTAGCTCATATGATACATCTCGGTTACAGATACGTGTTGAAGCAGGAAAACAATGCCCTTTGATCATTCGTGTATTTTCTTGTGAAGATACATTGAGACATGTAGCTGAGAGCATCTTTCCAGAATCGGGAATTAGTCCTGATATGGCTATATTTGTTTCAACTTATCCAAAAAAAGAATATTTTGGAAATGATCTAGATAAAAATCTTAGAGAACTTCGTATGTGGATCCTTTATATTATAAATTTAAGTTTATTTTGATAGAATTAGTTCCATCATGTGTACTTATTCTTCGATCCTAAATTTTTTTATTACATTATATTATAATAAAGCGTATGGCTTTAATTACTGTTTTATTAAATTCTGATTTAAAGATGCAAAGTTTGTGATAGAGAAAATGGTTATATTTTATTTTTTTTAGTATATTTTTATGAAAAATATTACATTTTGAAATACATGTTAGAAAAAACTTTTAAAATTACTTTTATTATAAATATTAACCCTCGATAGCAATGGACATGCCAATCTTGTGAGCTACTTCTGATAATCGCTAAAAGTAGATGAATATTTTGTTATATATCAGAAGTATTAATGGTTTACCTGAGTATCTAAAGATACCCCAAGACCGACCCTTATTCCAGAATAAAGAGTCTGAGTAAAAGAAAGCCCTGCTATGCCATCATTGTTTATTTTTGCCTATTTACTATTATCATTGTTATTGGCTTAATAAAACACCTACTTTGATAAAAGCATGTTTGTCAAGAAGATGTTTTGCGCCTACTTCGAGAGAGATCATATTAGCAGATCTTCTGGTGTCCCATGTCATTTTCCCTGCGACCTAACATGTTAAATAGATAATAATTATATGATAAATGTACTTCGGTAACTGCATTTACGCGATGATAATAAGATGCCGAAAATACCGAAAGATTTTGTGTAGCTTGAAGAGCAACAGAATACTGGGTCTGAGAATATCCTATCGATGCTGCATAATTGGCAATCGTCCCATTAAGAACATCATAGTCAACATTTCCTCCAATAATAAACCCATCCTTTCCTACAACAATATCTCCAGAAAATGTAGGCCCCTTGAATAAATCAACCATTGTACGAATATTAACAGATGGCTGCTTATATCCCAATCCAAGTTTTGCGCTCTTTGTATTGGACAATGGAAATAAAGTTGCATGAATATCTGCTTTTAATCCTTTTGCAAGATGATTTTCTAATGTTATCTTCGTAGTCAAAGCATTATCTGTTGTCCAATTCTGCGAAAAAACAAAACCAGAAAGCTTATCTGAATATTTTCCCTCAAGTTGACCTATAATAGTCCCAACCGTAGATGGTTGATGTCCTTTGACTGAAAACTCCTACAAATAATAAATACCCCCATTTTCTAGAACGTAATGGCATGTTTTGATAGACTTACAACTCCATTTGGAACTATTAAAATATCAATAAAAACTAAATATAATGTATTTCGAATAAAAACTTTACCTTTAGTTTTAACATCTAATGATGTTCCACTATATGAATTAACTATATATATATTAAAATTCCTAATAAATCCCTACTTAATGGGAAAATCTTTATAAAATATATCATTTTGTGATTTTGTAAAATCGTCATAATTTGGAATATTTGACATTGCTTTTTTTTCCAAAATATTAATAAATAATACTAAAAATGATGTTTCTTTGTAATACCGATTGATATTTGAATAATATTGTTATTATTCTCGATTGATTTCTCTATTCAAAAATTTAGCTAAAAATTGTCGGTATATTTTTTTTTCGGCAAAATATATAATATATAGTTGAATATTGAATAAAGAAATGTTTTAATATAGTTGTTTATATATTTGTTATTCCTGCATGTATACACATAGACCGAAAGGCCCCATCTTCTTTATTAAAAAGTTCTTTTGGAGGACCAAATTCAACAAGTGTACCTGAACTGATAACAATGATGGTGTCGTAATTAATAACAGTGCTATATATAAATATTAATACTGTGTAAAAAAAAAGATATATGTATACTTAATTCTGTTTGCTATACATAAAAGTGTTATATCTTTAAAGTAGGTTTGAACAGTTTGTTGAATCTTGAATAAAAATATGAATAAAAATAATTAAATATATACCATTTTTACCTTTAAATCTGTTCTAGCATCAATGCTTGATGTTGCTTCATCAAAAATGACAATCTTAGATTTTCGTAATAATGCTCTTGCCATAGTTAATAATTGACGTTGTCCATGACTAAAATTTTGTCCATCAGCTTCTACATGCCATTCTAAATTGAATTCTGATAATCCTTCATCATTTTTGCCATGATATTCTTTGATGGAATCTAGAAACCATGATTTTTTTAGACTATCCCAAATTTCTTGATCCGTATATTGTTGAAATGGGTCAAGATTTGACCGAATTGTTCCTTCAAAGAGTATTGGATCTTGTGGAATAATAGATAGTTTACTTCTTAAATCATGGAGACCTATATCTGAAATAGAAATTCCATCAATTGTTATTGAGCCTTTAGATATTTCTACGAGTCTATAAAGAGCTACTATAATAGAACTTTTTCCTGCCCCCGTACGGCCTATTATTATTATTATTATGTATATGATTTTCTTAACATACCAACTATGCCTACTTTTTCTCCTTTAGTAATATGAATATTTAAGTTTTTTAATGAATATGGAAGGTCTTCCATATATTTAAGCCAGACATTATTAAATATAATTTCACCGTTTTGAGGCCAATCAGGTGGTGGTCTTTTTTCTGGAATTATTAATGGTGCTTCTGTGTTTAAATTTTCGCTATAATGATGAACCCTTTCTACTGAATTCATATTAATTTCAAATTCGGAAAACTGCCTTAACATCCAAGACATAATACCAATAATTTGAAGGGAATATGAAAGGATAAGACCTGAAGTTGTTGGATTAATATTTGATACTACAGTTAAAACAGTAATAGATAATGAAATCATGGCTCCGATTGTATCTAATCTTAAAGCAAGCCATCGTTGGCTAGCAAATACTAATAAATAGGCGCTATTTGATAAATCTAGTCTTCTATGATTTTCTAATTTAAATTTTGATTGCTTTCCATGTGCACGTATTATAGGAAGACCTGTTAATGTTTCATTAATTTGAGCATAAAGGCTTGATTTTTGTAAAGAATCCAGTCGTTTTATTTCTCGAGAAGATGCTCTGTAGAATGTCATTAAAATGAAAAAAAATGACATTAAACATATAAGTGCAATAAAAAACTATTAAATATTAGTTATTGAATTATTAAAACTTAGAAGCCTAACGTAATGCAAAAATATAATAATAAGGATGAAAATAGCGGTGATTGATGAAAGTGTTAGAAGAAAAGACAAATAAGTATCAGAAAGCGAGATATCCTTATAAAGTTAATAAAGGTTTTTTTAATAAACAATATATACTAGAATTTTAATATCTTTAGTGAACCTATTGATAATTCGTCCTATAAATGTCAAATATATTTAGATTAAATATAAATATAACCTAAAGGAGTAGTATCAAAGAATGACATAGGTGATCGAAAAACACGATGAATAGCCTAATTGATGTTAACATAAAAATGGATAAATTTTGATTACTTTATAATGCATGTTTGTACTAGCACGTATTCCAATATTAAACAGAAAAAGTTCAATAATAAAAAATAAAATTAGTTCGATAAAGCCCAATGACGCATATATTATCATCTATTAGGAAATGTTAAACATAAATACTGTACATCTTAAGGCTTACATAAAATTCCGCAGATTTTTCGAATTGGTTTTTCATCCAAAAGCTTAACCATAGATTATTTCTATACATATTCAGATATTTTTCTTAGTTTTTATAAAAAATAATACCCAATACTAGAAAATTGAAAAATAGATAATAAAAGAATAACTATTGGAATGATCCAAAGACCCGCTGCTGCTTTAATATATTTAATATATACTTTAAATTTTATCGAGCCTATTTCACGTTCTTCATTTTGCATTAATGTTTTAATTTTTCTTTCTTTTTCCGTTGAAATGACTGTTTCAGGTGCCTTTTTCAAAAAATCATCATATTCGTTATGAGTAATGAGAAATTTTTCAGCAAATTGATAAAAACGACCTTGCTTAGAAATCATGTCTGAATATTTTCCAATTTCTTGAATTTCCCCATCTTCAAGATAAATTATTTTATCCGCTTTGTCAAGTATATCAAGTTTGTGTGTCACGAGAACCACTGTTTTATCTTTAAGAAGACCAAGAATGCATTTTTCAAAAATGTCTTTACTGACATGTGAATCAACAGATGATAATGGATCATCTAATATTATAATATCTTCTCTAGAATAAATGGTACGCGCAATATTAATTCGTTGTTTCTGGCCACCACTAATCGTAACACCTTTTTCTCCAATCTCTGTTAAATCACCATTAGGTAATATCTGTAAATCGAATTCTAAACAACATGCATCGATTACTTCTCGATATTTTTGTTCATCATATGGCTCGCCGAATAAAATGTTATCAATAATAGTTGAATTTTGAATCCATGAAATCTGAGAACAGTAACTAACTGTGCCATTTAACTCTATTGTTCCGCTGAGTTTATATACTTCGTTAATAATAGAAAGAAGAAGTGTACTTTTTCCTGAACCAATAGGACCCACGATGCATACAAGCTGCCCTTTCCCGATTCTTAAGTTAATATTTTTAAGATCTACTTTGATATCTTTTTTTATATAGCTTTTTTCAGGATCATTCTCAACTTCATTTTTTTCTTGTAATGCATGATCATCATCCGAAATGTGTTCTTTTTTTTCCTTATTTAATTCCTCATTCTCGGTTTCTTTTTTATTTTTCTTTTCTAAATCATTAGACTGATTTAATGATTTTTTTCTCCTAAAAAAAGTACTTTTTGAATTTTTTACTTTTTCCTTTTCTAGATTTTGATGTAAGGCATCATCTGATGCCCATGTAAAATATCCATTTCTAATAACAATTGCATCGTTGGATTCTTCTTCCTGAGAATGTTCGGGTTCTTGATATGCTAAAGTATTTCTAAATTCTTTTACTTGATCGGAATTTTCAAAATCGTCCTCATCAGAAAGCATTGCTTGAATCCTTTTCAATGAAGCAAGCATATTACTAGTAATGCCCACCGCTATTCTTAATGTTAAAAAATGTATTTGAAAGTTTAAAAGAAAAAAAATACCAAAAGGTAAATGCATAAAAGAAATCCTTAAATGGTTAAAAAGAGTTAGCGACGAGAACATAATTGCAGGATCCAGATTCTTTTTTACTAAATAGTATGTAATAAAGGTTAATACAATGCAAAAAAATGGTAAAACCTATAAATTGATAAAATAATCAGAGAAATTTACTAAGTTTGTTACCATTAATGTAGAATCAGCAAATGACCGCATGGCTATAAGTATTTTAATTATTTTTTCTTCATCTTTTCTTAGATTTGTTATTTTATCTAAAAAAAACTTTTCCCATGCACAAAACTTGATTATTTTAATAGATTGAAGTGCTTCACTTGTTACACGAGCACGAATGTCTGCAATGGAAGAAATTTTGAGATTTTTAGCGATAAAAGCTTTTGATACTTTTCCCACTAGTACAATTAAATTAAATTGATTAGCTGATTATTTTTCTTACATAAAGGAATAGAAATAAGTGATAAGGAAAGCCCTAAAAATGCAGTGACACCAAGATTTGCGAATATAACCAAAAAAATCAGAAGAATCTGAAATGTTGTCGTCCTAATAATAACTATAAATTTTAAAGGAAAAAAAAAATGAAAAATACCATAAAATATGTGCATATCCAAGAGCAGTATCCACATTAGTGACATCGGTATTGATTATATTCATGATCTATCTATTAACATCTGTCTCAACTTCAAATAATGATATATACTTTTCCATTATTATAAACTAATCTCTGTTTATTTTTAAGAAAAAAACTTTTGCGATAAATAGATGACACTAATGCCGTCCTTGATAATGCTCCTACAACCATACTTCGATAAAATGATTGATGAAGACAAAGCGAAGATGTTAATTGAAATAAACATAACACAAAACAAAGCATAATACCATATGCTACGTATTGTTTCGGATAAATATCTGGATTTTGTTCATGTAATGCCCTTTTTTGAGAAAATATAATAATTTGCTAAAAATATTAATTTATACATAAAAAACCTTTCAAATATAAACTTTAACTAAAAGTGATGACGAAACAATTAATATATCCGCTACAAACTGTTTTTTTCATTAGTCTATATAGTCTCGTCTATACTTTTAATACTTTAAAAATAGTAGCCGACCAATAATAATTACGAAATGTATCATTCAACGCAAATAACACTGCGTGCTTCTTTTCCTTATGTTTCTCATAATTTTCCGTGAACTTTTCATCTAATCTTATGGATGTCCGTTTTTCATCAATACACCATAAATCACTTGCTTCAAGTGGCCTTTTAAACCCTATAACCATCAAATGATCCAGCCAACTCCATAAAAGCTTAGATATCATCCTAGCATTTGTCTCTGGTATTACTCTTGTAGATGACGGAACCGGTCCTAAGATAATATTCTTTATCCTTGCTTTTATGCCTTTACGGCCTTCTTCTTCTTCTTCTTTGCCTTTGCTAGTTTTATCCATTTACGTCCCGTATCTCTATTATTATGATGATTTCTTATCGCTTCTTATCCCTTTATTAATCCATTTTTATATCATTTCATTGAATTTCATAGGTTATTATATCGAAGCTTAATAAAATCTTGAAATTTTAATAAAATAAATAAGCCTTAAGAAATAAATACAGAAAATAAACATGGGACTATCAGAACTCTTAAAAGTTAGTACAAGAGAGAGTTTATCTGGTATTTTTGGGTAAGAAAATGAGGTATTAGAAATAGGTGTTAATCTGGGTTTAGGGCTATATCTATTGCATTCTGGTTTGTTTTTATATAGATTTGGTACGAGATTGAAGATTTTTACAGGTTAATTACTGTTTATCCTCAGTTAATTGAGAATTATAAGCGAAAATCGTTTGTTAAGAAGAAGATCTATGTTAAAGATTAATATAGTTTAGTGGAGATTCGTTATCTCTTCATTTTTTATGTTTATGGTTAATTGGAGACATATTTTCATTAATTGGGTTAGTTCGTAATAGGGTTAGGGTTAGGTGAAGATAAGTTAGTTAATATAGATAGATCAGTATGGGGGAAATTGATATCAGTAATTATTGCAGTTCAAGTGTATTTCTTTTTGGCCGATTTGGTTTTAATTCTTCAAATTTTATATTATAGAAGAAAGCCTGGTCTTCGATCTAAAGTGAATAATCGATGAGGTTATTAAATAATGTTTAATATGATTAAGGTTCGTTTATCAACGTTAAAGGGAGCTACGCTTTCTCAATTCTTTGTTTCGTTAATTATTGTTATAATTTTTGGAATATTGGGATGGATTATTACAGTATTGATGGGAGGGATTAAAAAGCCAAAAATGGAAGTGGATGATCCCACAGGGTTTCTAATATTAGGATATATTGGGTCTTTTTTTTATTGTAGGGCTTTTATATATATATATATGAATGTTAAAGTTAATGGAATCTATAGTATTTGCAAGAGTACCGCAAATTTTAAAAAATTATAGAAGCAAATCTACAGATGGTATGTTGGATGTATGTAATATTTATAAATTCTGAGATAAGTAGGGTTATCTCCATTATTTTTTGCATATACGGTATTGGGAAATTTAACATATTTAGTCAGTATTTTGTTGATAGATACCTCACGAAAATATATTTTAATTAATCTTCCATGGTTATTATCAAGTTTCGGTACTTTATTTATGGATTTTTTGGTAGGATTATTTTTATAGTATATAATGTTTTAAATAATTATATTAGATATTTGCACAATTTATCTCATATCGTAGAAGAAAAAATGAAAGTTCTTCAAATTAATCAAAAAGACCAAAACCCATCTGTTGAATTATTAGCAATGTTTTAATTATTATAAAAAAATTACATCTTCGTCTGATTCTTCTTTTTCTTCTTCTTTGGGTGCTTCATTAGTTACTGTCTCATTTGTCTGAGGAGGAGGTACGCCTGTTGTCGACGTTGGTTCTCCGGTGTTAATATTAAGAAGAAGTTCCTAGTTTAATTAGATTTTTTTTCTAAAAAATATCAAAAACAAACTTTGATGTTCTTTCCTTCGAGTGCTTTTGCGAATAAAGATGTCCAAATATTTTCGACTTTAATTCCTGCTGATCTTACAAGTGTTTGTAGTTTATCCGATGTTATTTCAACTCCATCATCAGCTAAAATCAATGTTGCATAAGATACTGCTAATTCTATCGACATCTAATGCATATTAGTTTAGATAAAAGACAAGATGTCAACTTATTTATAAACCTTAGTGTAATATTGTATTTTTGCTTAATAAATAATCTTAAAAATAATTTTATTTTTAAAGTTTAATTTTTTCTATTTTTTTACGTAAGTTGAACTTTTTAAGGGTGTCCTTCAATAAAAATATATTTTTATCGCCCAATTCTAAATATATAGGGAAATATTTTTAAAATATATTGTATACTTTAGATCATAATGTTTCTTTTTAATTTATAATGTTTTTAAGAACATTTTTTTTATTTTAATTTTTACTATTTTTTATACAAAAAAAAAGGTAAATGAATCATTTAAATAGTAGTTTTAATATGCAAATAATTCAAAATATTGTTTATTTCTTAATAATAATTTTAATATGCAATATCATTAAAATATTAGGTAAAAAATGAACGACTAATTTTTTTATACTTATTGTGAATCAATCACATTCGAATAATAGTATGCTGATTTTTTATAGCACTAAGATTGTTAAGATTATCCCACCAAAAAAACATGAATGAACGACATATCAATTGAAACCATGGTGTAAATTTAAAATCTAAAAAATGTAAAATAATAGTTTTAATAAATAAAATATTACTTTTAGAAGTTAACATTTCACGAAGATCAATTTGTCTAACATATCGTGCTGTTTCTACTTCGTTTGTATTAAGCTTCAAGCTAACATTTGCTTGAATAAATAAAATATAATCAACTATATTCAAAAAAAATCAGAGTTATTTTTTTTAATATCTAATAAATACTTTCATTTTCTCCCCAGATTTCATCGCTTTGAGCTGAATATTGAATCTTTGTTAAATATGAAAATTTTTCCAATGGTATCTGGTTTGCTGTAATCCCTAATTCATGATAAAGCTTTCGCTGCGCCGCACGTTTAACCCCCTCTATAGACTCCTCTAATGTCCTCCCATACTCTAAATGAATATAAAGTGGATGAGAACAACATGTATTTGTCCATAATCCCGGGAACGTAATTTTTTCATTTGCCCGTTTTTGAAGCAGCAAAAGCCCGTTTTCATTGAACAAAAACACCGAGAACGCTCTATGTAGCATTCCTTTCCTTATATTCCTCAATAAATGGCCTTTATATAATCAATTTTCCTGAAAAAAAAAATATTTATTTACATTTCTTTTTTGTTTCAAATCCAACAATTTCATCATTTTCATTAACCAAAATACACGTTTCTTCCATCAAACGTCTTTGCTCCGGATCTTTGTCCTTTAAATCTTCATCAAAAATATAGCTGTCCATATTTTTAAAGTTTTAAAGGCGGTTGTTTCTCGGCGTTTGATGGAAGTAAAGAGTGAAAAGTGTGACAGGTTGATATGGAAACGTGTTGCTATAGAGATAGGTTGCTATAGAGATGGGTTGCTATAGAGATGGGTTGCTATAGAGATGGGTTGCTATAGAGATGGGTTGCTATAGAGATGGGTTGCTATAGAGATGGGTTGCTATAGAGATGGGTTGCTATAGAGATGGGTTGCTATAGAGATGGGTTGCTATAGAGATGGGTTGCTATAGAGATGGGTTGCTGTGGAAACTTGTTACTATAGAAACTTGTTGATATGGTAACCCTTTCTATAGAAACTTATTGCTATACTTGATGAGATCTCTCGAGTACAATCGCAGATAAGTCAAAGTTGTTTGGAAGGCTGAAAAGTGATAATAAACATTTAGATAAATGGTTTTTTATTATTATGAATGAAAGATTAGAGTTTATTTCATATATTTCATTTTTTTTGCGTTGAAAATGCCTGGAAGACTGAATGAATCATCACAGATGTTAACATCAACAATAGAAACAGGAGGAAGCAATATAGTAGCATTAAATAGGCGTGGAAGTAGTCCTACAGAATGGAGATTTCCTGATAGACCTTTGTCTTCTTCGAGTATGCAAGATCCTTTGGGTTTGGTGTCGTTGTTTTCACGATATTCTCCGGGAGAGATAAATGAAACAGAAATGCTGTCAGAAGTAATTGAACCTGAAGTTATGGAACATGGATCATCTATAGATGTTCCTATTGAGACGGCGGCAGCGGGATCATATACTTCATTATCATCGTCGTTGAATCTTTTAAGACGTCGTGAATTACGACTACGTGAGATGCGTGCAAGGGTAGATGGCATGGCAGAGAGACTGGCACTGATGCGTGAAGCACGATCGGTGACTAGAAGATCATCTCCTGTAAGATTTCTTTCATCGCCATCATCATTAGTTTCACTTTCTTCACCTCCGGTTGTTTTATCTGCTTCAGCAACATGGCCTGCAGGATTTGTTCGGCGTGCATTACGGGGAGAATTGCTTGCATCTGATGCATTTTTGGATGCAAATGGTGATATTTGGATGGATGACAGGGTACCGCCTGAGCCAAATGATCCATCTGGTACTCGACATGTAACCTCAAATCAAGATTCATTTAATGATTCTGAATATCCTCCTCCCTTTGTGTTATCTTCTTATCGTGTCGTTGATGGTGTTCTTTTTAATCTTGATGGCGAACAAGTGGGAACTGCAGCAAATCCAAGTTCAGAACTTAGAAGTTGTAAAGAGCTATATGATGAAATGGCGATGCATAGTTTATTTTTGCATGATCGTGACAATGATGGCTCATTATATCTCTATAGCACAATTGCTCATAATGAAAGCAGGCAAAAAAGACGGAAACATTCAGTCGATTTTTGTGCTGGACGTTAGCAATATATGATTCCCATATGGGTATTTTGGCATATATGGCTGGTCCATATTTTTTGTCTTTAATATGGATTTTATTATTCTTTTTTATAAAAACGTTTAATGATATATTTAAATAGATAATATTTTGAGATCAGATATCTCAATTACTTTTTCTTCTATAAGTTTTTTAACACATGCTTTAAATATGGCATGAATATCTTCTGCCTGAGTTGTTTCTTCTAATGCCTTTGTAAATGTCATTTGTTCCAAAGGAATTTTTTGTAATATTAATTCAGCATCAGCTAATACGTTATCGATTACATCCAATGGAATATCTTCTCCCGTATAAAAGTAATTTGCTGTTTTTAAAGATTGTTTAATAATCTTTTTATGCTTTTTCATAGCTTTTTTTTGTATTTCTTTGGCCTTTTTCTCTTCTTTTCGTAATCGTTCGTCCGTTTCTTCTTTTTTCTTCCTTTCTTCTTCCTCTTTCATTAACTTTTCATTTGTTTCTTGGGCATTCGTTCTAGATTCTTGCTTTTTGGCTGCTTTCGCTTCTTTTTCTTGTTGTTTGAATTTTTTAATACGTGGATCTAAGCTTAAACATGTATCTATTAATGCTCGAAGGCGTGCTGTATCTTCTGTCTTCCGTCTTGTTCTGTCCGCTTTGTTTTTACGCTCTTGATATCGTTTATTATTCCGACTATTATCAATTAGAAATGAATTTGTCATGATTTTAAGTCATGATTTTTCTACTTATATGAATCATCAGGAATATCTTTATCTAAATATTCAAAAGACCTCCATGAATCAAAATTATACCAAAAATTGTAAAACTTTTCCACCTCTTCTCTCGTCGATTCTTCATTTCCAAGACTAGGAACTGGTTGTTGATTTGAAAATCTTGCTTCACTCTCAAATATTTCATTCCATTGTTTATAAAAATCCTTTATATCATCTTTTTTCATTGGTAAATAAATATTCGCCTTTTCATCAACTGAATCATATTGTCGTCTTTTTACTGGATCTGACAAGATTTCCATTGCTAAAATTTTTTTCATAAATATACATCATTTATTCTTTATAAATACCCTTTTGAATACACTTGAAAAAAGAATCATCATTCAGATCTCCTTGCCCTGCTTTTTTATCCGGATGATGTTTCAACACTTTTTGTCGGTCTATATTTCGTTATATCCTTCTTATTACTCGTCTTTTTAATTCTAACATACATGCTTGCTTGATTTCTTCTAATGTCGCCCTATAACGACGTTTAGATAATCCAAGTACTGCATAATGGTCCTGTTGCTATATAAATCATGAATACTCCTCCTCCCTCCCAAAAACGTGCCATACTTTCCATTCCTTCGGGTCACTACGAAGTAACTCCTGATCTTCCTCCTCCTCCTCCTCCTCCTCCTCCTCCTCCTCCTCAACTACTTCCTTTACAATACTTCTCCTCTCCAATAACCCTGTATCTAATATCTCTTTATTCAATCTCTTCTCTGCGTATGCCAAAAAATGTCCTCCAACTCCCTCAATTTTACGGATTTCCCATCTGCTAATCCCTTCAATTCCTTTAAATATCCAGATTCCATTCTGTTCTCCCTCTTTCCCCTCCTCTTTCCCCTCAATACCTTCATTACTCGTCCCCATATCTTCTTCTCTGGCTCCAGGCGGTTCCTTGGGTCACGTGAATCTCAATCTCTTTTTCTCCTAATTATAATAGAAATCTCCCGGATCCCTATTATATTGACTTTTAAGACCTGTTTTATGGGGTTTTCTTTGTTTATTTAATTTATCTATTTTTCCTATATATTTGTGAAATTTTGCAGTACGTCTTGGGTCTCGATGGGTTTACCGTCGTCCAACTAACATATAAGTATAGACGTGTAGAAGTAGATGAGGGGCCATAATAATGAGTAATGAGGGGATATTTGGTGGAGATCTTCATGGATTTGAACGGGTAGTAGAGGAGGCTCTATTAGTTTCAGGAGAGGAGAGAATGTATGGTGCTACAGAGAAGGAGATTATGATGAGTGGAGAATTGATTGAGATTGTAGTTCGTATGGGAGTTATTGGGAGAATGAATGAATTAGGTGTTCGTATGAGTTATTATGTTGAAGAGAATGGAGAGGAAGTGGTAGAAAATGAATCGGCGAGGACGAGTGTGTTGCAAAGTTTGCGATTGATTGAAAGGACTATTGGAAGGGTGCCGGGGGTTTTAGAAGTGATAGTTGGGGAAAGAGAGGATAGAATGGTTAAATGGTTAGTTTTGAGGATGATTTTGATGTTGCGATATGGGGAGAAAGATTTAGTACGCCGAGGTATATATGAAGTGTATATTTTAATTACATGTTGTGGTGGATTTTTTGCTAAAGAGGCAATGGATGCAATAAAAAGTTTTGTGAATGGTAGGGATTATGTTTGAGACGAAACAAAGGGATTAATGATGAATATGAAGGGATGGTATGTGATATTAAAGGGAATTTAGATGAAACATGTGATTTGGGGGATAAGAAGAAATTTGATGATATTCCTGGGTTTAATAAGTTTTCAATGATTGATAGATTGGATATAGTGGCACATGTGTATGAAATGTTAGTATATTGGATACAAGATCGAAGGGTGATAGGGATGATTCCGGGATTATGGTCATCTGTTTGGATTGGAAGTAGTATGAATAGTTTGTGGGAATTTTTGGAATGTTTTTTATCGAAAACGTTACCTATGAAATATTTGATTTGGGTTCAAGTTTTGTTTTTGAAAATATTAGGGTTATTATTGTTTCATGGATATAAGAATCCTTTGGTTGATGATTTGCATGTATGTTTTAGAATAGCGGTTACCCTTGTTTTATCAGGATTTGAAAGTTTGTATTCAAGCGAAATTAGTCATAATTTGAATATGGCATTGCAAGAAGCCCTTGGTGCGGGACTTATTGGGATTTCGAGGATATCAAAGCAGTTTCCTGAATATTTATCTATGATTGTTACACGATTGATACCAGCTTTAGAGAGTTTTCAGAAAAGTCCTATTAGATTTATGGCGACGGCATCTGATTTCAAGGTAAGAATATTATTTATTTATTTTTGATATAAACTATTAGATTTGTTATCTTTATACTATTCTCATGTTATCTAATACGGAATATTTATATACCGAAATATTTGATAGAGTAAATTGTTTGGCGAAATTTCTGTTTCAATGTTTAAACGGTCTAGAAATTAGATTTAGGAGTGAATATTTAGAGGAAAAATATGATTCGATTATTGAGTATATTAAACCTATATGGAATGGTTATATCGAAACTAATAATGATAATTTGGTGATGGAGAAGTTATATCCTTCATTAGATCCGATTTTTTATATATCTCGACGCATGTCAAAGGCTTTTCCTCAATTTTTTGGAAGGATTGATAATATTTATGAAGAAATTCTACGTTTTCTTTTTGACACAAATTTGGATGTACTACAATATAGAGTTATTTTTGAATGCATTGGTTTATTAAGCTGTGGAGCGTCTGGAAGTTTAACTGTGTTCAGATTGGACTGTAATGAAGATTTTTCTCTTCTTTGTAATATATGTGATTTTCCAAAATCATCTGCTAAAATTTTGGATTCTTTTGAAATTGCTATTTGCTCTAAATTGATAGAATCTTGTTTGAATTTAGAATGGTTTGTGAATTCTGGTATGCTTAGAATTATTGCTATGAAGGCTTTGGGTAGAATTATTAGACACTCAACTATTGAGTCAGAAATACGATTATCAAATTCAGTTCTTGGAAATTGGTGTATACAATCACTTCAGAGCTCTTCACGTGGACTTAGAATAGAATCTGGGTAGTTAAATATTATTATTATGTTTTAATTTTCTAATATTATTGAAGATATACATTATGCTGTTATTATAATAAAAAAAAATCTGATGATCCTAATAATGAAATAGTTTTAGAAAATAGACGATATATTTTCGATGTTTTGAAAAGAATGACTGTAAATAATGAAAAAATATACATGGAATCTGTTATATTATTTTGGGCAGAACTTGCCAAGTACGTGCTTTAAATTATAACATTTATTTTAATTATATATAGGATTTCAGAAGATGAAGAACTTAATTTAATTTTAATATTACTTATAGAATATTTAGGTCAAAGCAACTTATTTATTCAAGCACTTATTTTTCAAGAGGTGAATTTTTATTTTAATGATGATGAGATTAAAATATGATAGATTCATTCTATTTCTGATGCTCATAATGTAACACCTTTGCAGCTTTTTTCGCCGTATTGGAGCACTGTTAGTATTGCAATTGTAAAACAGATGCAAGTTCAACCTCAAATTATACAAATATTTTCTACTATCTTGGGAATATCATTATCAGACTTTCTTTCTCGTACTGAATCATATACTCTTCCTTACCTTATTGTATCAAAAAGAAAGGATATTATTGAGCAAATTGCTTCTTTTTTGCAAAAAGATGTTTCAACTCTCTGTTTAGATAATATGTCCTATATTTTAGCGACACTTTTAACGCAAGATGTTGCATATGTTGAAAGTGCGGCTATGCTTTTGCTTTCTTTGGCTTCCTCCGATTTTAAAAAGGTAGATTTATCAGGTCTTGTCCGCTCAGAGCCTATATTAATTGCTGTTCAATTGTTACAAATGTTTTCTGATGACTTTGATAAGAAACGTTCGAGGGTATATATTCGACTTATAGTGATTTGTTCCTAATTTTTTAGATTTTAAGAGCTCTTGAAATTGTTTCTGCGATTGTTTGTAAAATTCCCCTTGATCATATTTATTCGAATACTTTCGATTCTAAAGATGTCCTTGCGCAATTTTTTTCTCGATATACATTGGGGATAGTAGCGCACTTTGCTGATCTTATAAATGATGTAAAAGGTGTTAATTCTGTTCGTGAAAAATTGCGTTATTTGGTTGGCATTGAAGAATTGGTAAAATTGGCTGGCAGTTTCATAACTAGTGCAATTCCACAAGTTGTCCTTATTATATTTCGAATTATAACTAATAGTTTTAGCTTTCTGCTTGTCTTCAATCTGCCTTGTTAGATCCTTTATTAAGAAAAGCCTCTTTATGTTCATGGTCAACACTTGTAAATAATTTGAATGATTTCGATCTCTCTGGTTTATTGGGACAAACGTTTTCACTGTTTCTAAGTTATTGGAATGAATGTTTAAGTGCAGAGAAACAATTGATCCGTGATCTTTTTTGGTCCTTAATTAATAATCGTAAAAATGTTATTGAAGAATCTATCACAAGTATACCAAGCTTAAAAGCAATAAAGGAGCTAGATGATATTGAAATGAAATTATCAGAGTTTAGAAAATCTGAATCATTTAGTGATTACTTGAAAAATATTGCTCAAAGATGTGTAGATGATAGTGAAATTGTTTGTTATCAAGGGTTATTGGAGCTTCGTAAATGTTTATATGAAAACCAATTGAGCCTTCATTCTTTGATATTAAAAGAAAGAACCGAACAGGTTATTGAATATATTATTAGAGCTTTGTTAGATCTTTGTCAAAAGTATAGAGAAATAAATAAAGATATTGTTATACTTTCTGCAGAATGTCTTGGTGCTGTTGGTGCTGTAGATCCTTTGAGAGTAGATGCGAAGAAAAAGAAAAAAGAATTAGTTGTTCTTTATAATTTTGAAGATATGGATGAGAATATTACCTTCGTTTCATCATTTATTCAGGAACAACTTGTTGGTGCATTCCGATTTGCGACTGATACTCGAGCTCAAGGATTTTTGGCGTATGTAATGCAAGAATTGTTGAAATTTTGTGGATTTACTGCTTCTAATATTATGAATACTAATCAATCTTCACTTGAAACATTTAAAAGATGGTCATATTTTTCTGTTGGCTCAAAGCAAACTCTTGTACCTTTGTTAAATTCCAAATATTTTGTTAATCAGATTCAGTTAAATACTGCCTTGGTTTATCCAATATATTCTGCTGCAAAAACTTATAAAATTTGGTTGCAGAGCTTTTCTTTAGAAATATTTAAAAGCGTTGAAGGGGATAATGCTAAAAAGATTTTCTCTATTTGTTCTTATATAATTAAAAACCAGGATTTAAATATAACTAATTTTTTATTGCCATTTGCTCTCTTGAATGTAATATTAACAGGAACAGAATCTCTAAAAAACATGGTGGCAAATGAGCTGTTAGACGTGTTAAAAGACGGGGAATCTGAAAAGACAGATCATGTTCAGGTTGAAAAAGCTCAATTGGCATGTCAGGTATATTCATAATTTTATTTTATCATATAATGAATGTTATAAAGACAGTGTTCTCAATAATTGATTATTTTAATACATGGCTTCGTCGGAAAAGAAGCTTTAATAGTAACTTTAAGGCTGCTGTGGCTAGGAAGGCAAATAGATATATGGTTGTTGATGATGTTGTTGATAATGACCCACTTATTAAGAAAGTGGAATCTTTACTTTTGGTTATACCATCAGACCTTATAGGTCGTGCGTCATACAATTGCGGATCGTATGCACGAGCTGTATTTCATTGGGAACAGTATATTCGTCAGGAACGAAATAATGGTTTAGATAATAAAGGTCTCAGACCTCTATATAAAAAATTGCAACAAATGTATATTGATTTGGATGATCCAGACACAATTGAAGGAATTTCATCTAAATTTCATACTTTTGATTTAGATCAGCAAATTTTAATTCACGAAAGTGCAGGTCGCTGGGCAGCTGCTCAAACATGTTATGAGTTATCTTTAGATCGAAAAAATCCAAAGTTTGAGTTATTAAATGGTTTATTGAATTGTCTAAAAAGACAGGGTCGTTATGGTATTTTTAAAAAACATATTCATTTAAGTTTAATTGTATTTATAGAAACATTATTAACGGAAATTGATAGTCTTATTTCTTGTAATTCGAATTTTACTAATAAGTTAATAAATCTTGGTGCCGAGGTTGCTTGGCAGTTTGAAAAATGGGATATTTTGGAGAAATATTTGAGCATTACTGATTCTAAATTATTTGATATTGGTCTTGGAAAAGCATTGTTGTTGTTAAAAAGTAAAAATTATATGGATTATCGTAGCTGTATAGTGGAATTGCGTACACAGTTGGCAATCTCTTTAGGATCAAGTAATATTGATTCTACATGGCAATGTTATGATATATTATTTAAACTGCATATGTTGTTTGAACTGGAATATCTTTATGATTCTTTTAAAGACGATAGTAATGATATAAGCCTTTTTATGGATAGAATTGATCAAAGATTGCAAATTATGGCAGCTTCATTTGAATATAGATCTTCTATTTTATCTTTGAGACGAATAATTTTGGATATATTAAGGTATGTTTTGATTATTGCCTATAATATCTAAATATTGTAGTTCATTTAAGGGGATTGATGTTAATGATGAAGTGGCTAAAATATGGCTTAAAATAGCGAAGCTTGCGAGGAAATCTGATTATTCACAACAGTCTTATAATTCGATATTAATAGCTGAAAGCAAGGGGTTTCCTTTAGCAAGCGTAGAACATGCAAGATGGTGGTGGAAACAAGGAGAGCATAGAAAAGCCGTTGAAAGTTTGGAGAATGCTTTTGCTGCAGGAATTTTTGATTTTCCTGAGAATTGTGTTTCTGATATAAAAAAATCTGACAAATTCTTTGACAAGTATTCTTCTATGAAATCTAAAGCATATATTACTGGAAAGGTTACTTTTATTTGAAGAATATATTGATCTCTTACATTATTAATTAGGCTTCTCTACTTCTTGCTAAATGGAAGGATACAGGAGGACAAAGTAATGCACGTATATTAATACAAAAATATCAAGAAGTAGTTAAAAAGCATAATAAGTTAGTAATATTTATTGTTATTTCTGTTATAGCCTTATATACTTTAGATGGGAAAAAGGCCATTATTATCTTGGACGTTATTATAATAGATTATATGATGAAGAAGCGAAACGTCCGCCAAATATGCAGAGTGCAAATTTGTTAATCCATTGACTTTAATGTTTAGTTTTTGTTAACATAATCTAGTTTGGAAGGAGAATGGACTCGACTTATTTGTCTTAATTATGGACGAGCCCTCCATTATGGAAGCAAATATATTTATCAAACAATGCCCAAGTTTCTTACACTTTGGTTAGATTTTGGAAATAATGTTAATAAAATATTTTTTGATTTTGGGACCAAGTAATGGCTTTATTTTAAATTTTTATATTTTTTTAATGTCATAGGGAATTTCAGGAGAATCTTCTTGAAGCAAGAAATACTCGATTGAAATTAATAAATGAATGTGTTAAAAAGTATGCAAAACGATTGCCGGCATATTTGGTATATATATTTACATTTTGCAATTAAGACTGATATATTAAGTTTTTGACATGCTTTTCTCAATTGATTTCCAGAATAACACATTCTAATCCATCTGTTTTTTCTATATTAGAAATGATAATTGTTTCTGTTATCTCAACGTATCCTAAGCAGTCTCTGTGGTATATTTTCTCTGTATCTAAATCTCGTTCAAAAATACGTTCTGAACGTGGAAATATCATTCTTCAGAAATTGATGGTAATTAGCATTTATTCTTGGGCAATTTTTTAGATTTCGTAGACTGATGATAAGAATTCTTCTGTAAATATGAAAAAATTGATAAATCAGACACAATTATTAGTGAGTCAATTTATCCGGCTATGTAATGCAGAAATAACGAGCAAAAAAACTATACAAAGCCTTTCAAAAGATTTTAGATTTTCATCTTCTGTTGTACCAATAGATATTGTTGTTCCTATTCAATCGGTTTTGGTAATTACTTTACCATCTTCTCCTGCTGCTATTAAGTATCATGTACCATTTTCTGATGATCAGCCATGTTTGCATGGTATTTTTTTTTAAATTCTAATATAATATCTGATTCTTATTAGGTTTTTTGGATGAAGTAGATATAATGAATTCTTTGCAAAAACCTCGTAAAATTACTATTATTGGTAGTGATGGTCGATATTATTCATTTCTCTGTAAACCAAAAGATGATTTACGTAAAGATGCGCGGTTAATGGAATTTAATACTATGATTAATAGGCTTTTGAGAATAGATAATGAATCTAGAAAAAGACAATTGCGTAGGATGATTATTTTAGGAAAAAATAGACTAATTTATCTAAGATATTAGAACGTATAGTGTCATACCTTTTAATGAAGAATGTGGTCTTATTGAGTGGGTTAGTCATATGAGGCCTTTAAGAGATATTGTATTAAAAGCATATAAACAAAAAAATATACCTATTAATGTTTGTATATTTCTAAAATTATTATTTTTTAATGGTAATAGTACTCGGAAGTTCGTGCAATATTAGATATGGCTTCTTCAAGTTCAAATCCTGGTTTAATATTTACTGAAAAATTGTTATCTAAGTAAGAACTTGAAATTTTATCTTTATTTTAATGTTTGAATTAGATTTCCTTCAGTATTTCATGAATGGTTTTTAGAAACATTTCCTTCACCAATAACTTGGAGAGCAAGTCGTTTGAATTATGCAAGAACTTTGGCTGTTATGTCTATGGTTGGTTATGTTTTAGGGTATATTTTGTGTTTTAGTTATTATAATTTAATATCATTAGACTTGGAGATCGTCATGGAGAGAACATATTGTTTGATGAAAATAATGGCGATTCTTTCCATGTAGATTTTAATTGTCTTTTTGAGAAGGTTTTATTTCCTTAAGTAACTTGTTTTTCTTTAATTCTTTTTAGGGGCTTACATTTGAAAAGCCTGAGAGGGTTCCCTTTAGACTGACTCATAATATGGTGGATGCTTTAGGTGTAATAGGTTATGATGGTAAAAATAACGTTTATAATTAAATGTTATAATAATTTTTATAGGAGTTTTTAGAAAATCATGTGAGGTTACAATGCGAATATTAAGATCAAATCAAGAATCATTAACAAGTGTTTTGGAAACTTTTATTCATGATCCACTTTTAGAATGGGATAAAAAAAAAGTACTTAATATTTATTTTTTTATTTAATTAAATATTTTTTAGAGGAACATTTCTTCTGATACCAATATAAATACGGAAAATGTTGAAGCAAAAAAAGTATTAGATTCAATTAAACGGAAATTAGATGGATATATAACAGCTGAAGTTACTCCTTTGTCTATTGAAGGCCAAGTAGATGAACTTATCTTGCAAGCAGTTAACCCTGGGTTACTTGCTTTGATGTATATAGGGTAATTTTTTTTTCTAATTATTTTTTTAACAATTTTAGTTGGGCAAGTTATATATAATGTATATATAAAATATTTAATATATGGAAATTTTCATTTTGTTTTCATATGGTTTTGTACTATTATTATTACAATCTTATTTTTGTCTTATCATCTTTTAAGATTAATTGGACTTGCAATTGTGGTTTTTTTATATTATAGATATAACCATTTTAGAAGATTTAAATGGCTAATATTATTTAAATAGTATTGAAAAAGTGGAATTATGTTTATTAATGATTTGTTGTTATTTTATACTATTTTTAATTCTATTTAAAATTATGCCTATATATTATTTCAAGATTATCTTTTTTATTACGAATTTCTATAATGTTAATTAAAATCTTAAAAAGCTGACATGGATTCAGTAGATATCCTTTTAGTACCATTTCCACGTGAATATTCATATGGTTATAAGTAATTTTTTATATTTATTTATGATATTTTTATTTATAATTTAGTTATGATTATTTTTTAGAAAATGTAGTTTCAAGAATTGTTGCAAAATATGGGGCATTTAGGAAGCTCAAGATATCATCTTTTCATGATATGAATGATTATTTGGATGACAATGATAATTTAAAACAAAAACAGGATTCTAATATTTCAGATAAATTTGATTTAAATTGTGATGTTCAACAAATAAAAGAAAAACTTATTAATATGATCTCGTACGCCAAGAAATAACTTAATTTTAACTTAAGGTTGTTAGTAATGCACAAAATGAATGTTCCTTAGTTCTTGATTTTGTTTCTATGCTAGTTTCTTCAGTCAAACCTGCTTTAGGGAATTCTAGTATGTCTACATTTTTAAAGGAACGTATTCCAGTAGGATCGTTTGGAACTGAAAGCGTTAGAGGAGATATTTTTTCTGAAGATTTTGTTGTTTCTAAAGGATGGAAATTACAAGCTTTATCTAAAGTTACTTCTGATCTTTTAGATGCATCGGTTAAAATTGATAAAGAAATCACTTTGGAAGCTAAGTTTTGGGATCAAGTAAATATATTAAGGCAAAATGGATGGAATCTTATGCATTCTCGTGTTGGTCAGGATAAGAATTTCGTAATTAATTATGGAATTATGGATGGTATTGAGTTTTTGTAAATATTTTTTATTTATGGTTGCTAGTTTCTCGTATTTTTGGGAGAGGATTTGCTATTTTAAAAAGAGGTATAGATGGCGATGTTAAATTTGATGGTGTAGATATGTTTGAAACTTTTAAAATTACACGACTTCGATTTTCTGAAAATGATGTTATAAAAGGTGAAGTAGTTTGGGATAATTCCTCATTTTCGGAATTTTTTGATAAAAATACCCAAATTCTCTCTCAAAGAAGAGATAGTTTTTTTGAAGAAGAATTATTAGAAGAGGTTTTTTCAACATTTAAGTTATAATTTGATTGATATTGTAAGATTATAAAAGAGATTAACTTTTTTGATGATTTAAATGCTGTAATACTAGATAATGGAATATCTGTTGAAATTATGGAGTCGAAACGAGTATTATTACTTGATATTGTAGTTTTTCTGCTTTTTTATATAATTATTTTTAAATATTTTAGGTTGACGCTTCAACAAAAACTAACAAATTTAACCAAGAATATGATGTTTTATGTGAAATTGTGCTTTTGGCATTGCATTTGTTTTTCTCATATTATGAATCTCAAAAACTAAAATGGGTAGATAGTTTTCCTTTTTTGTCAAAAATGTTTTTTTCATAATATTTATTTCTAAATAACTAATTTCTTTAGACAAAATAAAAAACAAACACGAATACTTTTTCCTATTGTATCTCAATTATCACATTATTTTATATTGGATGAAATTTCTAAAGAATTGAAGAACTGTGTTGATGTAATTCTTGCAGAAGGTTGGACTGTAGATTATAAAATTAAAAAATATGTTGATACAGATTTTGGTATTTCTGAAGATTCAATTATTGAATCTATTGTTAATGGCTCTCGAAGTGTAATTGAAATGTATCTTCCAGGATCTTCTCAAATAATAATTGATATACACACAGTTGACTATAAGACATCTTTTGAAATTGATTTTCATAATATTAGAATAAATGGTGTTACGACAAGTAAGACTGTTTGTGGTAGTATTCTTGAAACATTGGAATGTATCATTTGGTCTATTAACAAGGATTTTGTTAATGTTTTACAAGAAGCAGTTACACCAAATTGGGAAATTAAAAATGGTGAATTAGTTAATATAAATAATACTATGAAGATTAAAATGGAAGTTTTTATACAGAGAAATGAAGATGGTATGTGGAAAATATTTTTATATAAAAATGGAACATTCGTACATATACAAGATAAAATTAGTGATGTTTTAAATAAAATATTATAACTTCGTATGTTTTATATATTTTTAATTCATAGAAATGATAGTATTTTTACTAGTGAATAAACCATAGATTGATGCTGTTTAGTCCTGATATTTTGAAGAATCTGTGTTATGTTCATTATGATTGACAAAATTAAACCATGGAAATGCCGCTATGTATATTAGTATTTTTTCCTAGAAGAAAATGATAATTACAAAACTTAAGTGCTGAATATCTTGAGTTTTGTGCTGCAATTCTTTGCATATCTTCTGGCATTTCAGATTTACCATATAATGGTTCGTTTGCTGCTCGTTTTCGCTCCACTTCTTCTTTATTCATTTGCACTTCTCGTCCATTTTCTGTCCAACCCCAAAGTCTTACTATCTTTTATAAATAATATATAATTTTTTAATTGCTTGTTTTACAGCTTGATCTTTGATATGCCAACAAAAACCCTCCACATATACCTAATACCCCGCTCAATCGAAGTGCTGGTCCTAAACCAGACTTGTTCAATGACGGATATAATTTCTCTTATTTTATTACTCTTTATCTTATACAAAGTTTATTTATTACCTAGAACCAACATACTAATTGGAAATCCAGCTGTTCCTATTATGAAAGTTAAGTAATCTGATGGTCTTGCATAGCGAATAACACGGAAAAAATGAGGATCCGTATCAATAACCTGTTAGAGCATTAGTGTAAGTGGTTTTAAGTATTTTTATACCGGGAATTCTGTACGAAGCTTCTTTGCTGATACCATATATATTGCCCGTGATTAAGATAATGTTCGACGATAAAATGGAGACTGATTTATTTAAAATAGATGAAAAAGATGTACATATTATTTCAAGGAAAAGAGACTCTGATAAAAGCGCTTCAGTTGAAGAAAGAGATGTTTCCAGAGATGATAGATTGAATTTCATGAAAAGAACAAATGATATTTCAAATGATTCTGGAGTACTTTCAGATGCTAGTCTTTCAGATCTTGGGGTTGATGAAGCAGTGTCTGTTCGTGTTCGACGACCAGTAGCGAAATTGGATGATGAGAAGTAGGTAAAAGTGTATTTGGATTTTTTGTTGATGGTAAAAGATTATTGTCTTCTAAGGGTCTTACATGGATTTTTCATAATGCACCGAAGAAAATCCATTGGAAAGGAAAGGGGCATGAAGTAAATATTATATATAATAGAATTGTTGGTTTATTTTCAATAGTTTTATGATTTAAGACGTCTTTTATTATTTTATCAGGTTTGGGCACATGAATTGTTTCCAAAGGCTAGATTCCGTGAGATGCTTCGAATGATTCAGAAACAAGGTCATTCAAAACGAATTAGAATTGCTCGTTCACAATGGATTCGTATGAATCGGGAGGAATTGGTTCGGTCTGAAGATCTTCCTGAAATTAGAAGAGATGAATTAGAAATAGATGAAGATATATTTCATGAAGAGATTAAAGAAATAGAAGATATCTAGGAGTTTTTGATAAATGATATTTAAATTGTTTATTTATATTTGCTTTTGATTAATAGATTATTTAAAGGGTAAAATGGAAAGGCATAATTTGGTTTTTGAAGTATTAAATAAGACTTTGGTATATTAGATCTTTTAAATTTTTCAACTTTATTTGAATATTTTGCTTTGTTCTATTTTATTATAAAAAGGTTATTTATATTATTTTATTTAAGACGGTTCGGACGATGCAACACTCTGATCTTTCTGAGGCGTTTGAGGCAATTAAAACGTCTTTAGACAAAAAAAAAGATGATGTATTCCATTTTGATGGGATTTCTAGACAGAATTTTGAGCTCGTTCTTTCTAGAAATGATATTTTTGCTCAGTTGGAGCAGTTTATGGTTCCTCCGCTTGAGTTTTCTATTGAATGGTTGAATAAGCTTCATGGGTAAGATAGCATTAGATTTCTATATTTATCTATGTAACTGATAGATATGTTGGAAAAGAGGTTGAATATAAGGAGTTGTTTCAAGTAGTACCATTTATTTCTCAGATGTCGGTAGAATTTATTAGGGAAGGATTAGAGGGTCGAATTGTTGGATATAAAGAGGTTTAATAGAACAATGAATAATCATTTATGATTGATAATGTGTTTAGGAAGCAGTTTCTATGGAAATTAATTCGAAAAATTCTACGGCATTTGAACGTAATCCGGCACCTCGTGGTGATTTTGTACGAGGAAGATCTACATTTTTGCCATTTGTTTCTGAGAAACTTAAAGTCCTTAAATTGGATCAAGATAAGAATGATGAAAAGCATATGGGTTTATTTCTTGTTGCACCTGGACTTTCACGCACAGGTATTTTAAAGGAATATGAATATCCTGATAAATTTCGTCTTGAACTTGATGAAAATGTTGATCCTAGCCATTGGAGATTTGATTCTATTGAATCCTTTCCTTTAGATAATAAAGAGAAATTGAGTGACGGAATCAGCGATTATAGTAAAATAGATCATTCTTTGGATTCAGTTGACGATTTTTTATCATCAGAAGTAATAATGATAAATTACATTATATTTTTTAATCAGTTTAGTTTTCGCTTCCTTTTTCAAATATTGATGTTTCCAAGTATTCTACAAAGCAAAAGACTAAAGAATGGGCTCATGTGGTTAACATAAAGGCTGGTTTTTCCGATTTTCATGAATTAGTCCCTAACATGGCATATAATGTATGTATATTTTTTATAAACAATATTTTTAAAGATTATAAAGTTTCCATTTGAGCTTGATACTTTTCAAAAATTTGCTATTTATCATCTCGAAAAGACTGAATCGGTATTTGTATCTGCTCATACTTCTGCAGGAAAGACTGTAGTAGCTGAATATGCTATTGCATTAGCATTGAAGCATATGACAAAGTTTGTTGTTATCTTTTTATAAATGTTTTTAAAATTAGATAGAGCTATTTATACATCTCCTATAAAGGCTCTTAGCAATCAAAAATTTAGAGATTTTTATGATACATTTGAGGATGTTGGGATTTTGACTGGAGATATACAGATTCGTCCGGAAGCTAGTTGTTTAATTATGACAACTGAAATTCTCCGATCTATGTTGTATAAAGGTTCAGATCTTATACGAGATGTTGAATTTGTTATATTTGATGAAGTTCATTATGTTAATGATTTCGAAGTATATTTCTTTTGTATTTTTATACTTTGAAATTGATTTTTTTAAAAAGCGAGGTGTCGTTTGGGAAGAAGTAATTATAATGTTACCTGAGTATGTTACTTTAATTCTTCTTTCTGCTACAGTCCCGAATACAAAAGAATTCGCAGAGTGGATAGGAAGAACTAGGCAAAAAGATATATATGTTATTTCTACTGCTAGACGGCCAATACCTTTGGAACATTTTTTATGGGTAAATAGAAAAATGTTTAAAATAGTAGATGAAAAAGAAAAGTTTTTGATGCAAGGGTTTGTTTTGTATGTATAATTGTTACATTCTTAGATTAGATAGTTATAAAGATGCTACCATGGTCTTGAAAAAAGATAAAAATACTGTTTCTACACAATTAAATAAAGGTGGGAATAATGATAGTAATTCTTTGCGTAATCAAAGACGAGGCAATTTAAATCGTACATCTAATAGTCAAAATAATTCCAAAAAGGGAGAGAAAAGTACAAATATTCGTGGGTCTGATAGATCTGTATTTAAAAATAATGAAAGACAAGACAGAAGTATTTGGGTATATCTTGTTAATCATTTACGTAAAATTAATTTATTGCCTGTTGTTGTATTTGTGTTTTCTAAGAAAAAATGTGAAGACAATGCTAATTCATTGGCTAATTTGGATTTATTAAATCATACAGCAAAAAGTGAAGTTCATGTTATTATCGAGAAATTAATAGCTAGGCTTTGTGCAGAAGATAGTAAACTTCCTCAAATTATTCGAATGAGAGATTTATTATCAAGAGGTATTGGTGTTCATCACGGTGGTCTGTTACCAATTGTAAAGGAGGTTAATATTACCATAGATTTTTTTTGTATTAAACTATATTAGATCGTTGAAATTCTATTTACTAGAAGTTTGGTTAAAATTCTTTTTGCTACTGAGACATTTGCTATGGTAAAATATAAGATCTAATAGCTTTTCTAATAAATTAGGGTATTAATATGCCAGCAAAATCTGTTGTATTTTCTGGAATACGAAAACATGATGGTCAAGAATTTCGTTATCTTCTTTCTGGGGAATATACTCAAATGGCTGGGCGTGCTGGGAGAAGAGGTTTAGATACTATAGGAACAGTAATTGTTATGTGTAATGATGATATTCCTGATGTATTTTTATATAATTCTTATTTTTTTTCTGAAATTTATAGATTAATATTCTTACACGCATTTTGTTGGGAAATTCTACTAAATTAAAAAGTCAATTTCGTTTGACTTATAATATGATTTTAAATATTCTTCGTGTAAAAACTTTGAAAGTTGAAGAAATGATAAAGCGAAGTTTTAGCGAGAATACAAGTCAAGCATTACTTCCTGAGCATCGGAAAGAGATAATGCTATATGAAAAAAACCTAAGTTCGTTAAAGCATGAACCATGTTCTTTTTGCGACATTGATTTGACTTATTTTTATAATAAAAATACAGAATATAATGAGCTTACAAAGATTTGTTATCGACTTGCCCTTTCTTCTCCTTATGGAAAAAAGATTTTTTCTCCAGGAAGAGTTGTGATATATAAAGAAAATGTATGATGTTATTTATTTTTATCATTAGTAATGAAGTTAGAATTTATATTGGTCATTGGCAATATTACTTGGTGAAGCATCCCTATCTTTTAATGGTGAGAAATGCTTTCATGCTTTATATGTTAAACAGAAAGATTCTAAAAATCAAGGTAAAATTTTTTAAAGTATTTGCATGTCATATAATTTTGTGAATTTAGCGAATAAACTCCCTTTTATTCCTGTTTTTTGGAACTATGATTTCGGATTAGATAGTTTAAAGGCTGAACAATTTAAAGAGAAAATATTACCTATCTCATCAATTGAATTGATTACTCAGATAGTTGTTAAGGTATTTAAAAAAAGGCTATTTTGGTATTTTAATGTATTTATAGCTTGATGTTTCTGCAGTTCGCTCTAGAATTAAGGAGTCTTTTTGTAATATTTGTGAACAGATAAAGAAAGCAAATTTTGTCAAGGATTTTGAATTTCTAGAATCTAGTTTTGTAAACGTTCGTGATTTAAAATTTAAAGAGTTATTTATGAAACGAAAATTATGTAAATCCGATATGTACAACAAGAAATGTTTGGAATGTCCTGATTTTGTTCTTCATGTTAGACAACTTTTTTTTTATTATGGATTAATATTTTTATTAGTTTTTGAAAGTTCATGAAAAGAATATGCTAGTTGAGAAAATTGAGATATTAGAACATTTGATTTCAGACCAGAATTTGGAGCTTCTTCCAGATTATGAGCAACGTATTAGCGTTCTTAAAGAATTAGATTATATAGATGATAATTTAAATGTTTTACTGAAAGGGCGAGTAGCTTGCGAAGTCTTTTTATTTTTATTGTTATGGTTTTGATTGACTTTTTTAAGATAAACTCTGCTCACGAATTGGTATTGACTGAGCTTATTTTGGAGAATACTTTGGCAGAATTTGAATCAGATGAAATTGTTGCATTGCTTAGTGTTTTTGTATTCGAAGAAAAGACTGAATCTTTGCCTTCGATTTCTCCTCATCTTGAAAAGGTTTTTTAAGTTTATATATATATATATATATATTAATTAGAGAAGGGAAAGGATATGATAATTAACGTAGCAAAAAAAATAAATTTAGTTCAAGACAAATATCAAGTTTTATCTTTATGCAATGAATTAGATTTTGAAAATAAGTCATGTTTTGGCTTGGTAGAAGTTGTTTATGAGTGGGCACGAGGAATGGTATGTTTTGTCATCTACATTAATGATTTTATTTATAACTTTAGTCTTTTGAACGCATTATGGATCTTACAGACGTTTTAGAAGGCTCAATAGTCCGTGTTATGACACGATTAGATCAAGTGCTTCGTGAATGTGCGAGTGCTGCGCGTATTATAGGGGATATTTCTATGTATTCTAAGATGGAAGACTGTCAAGAAAAAATTCGTAGAAATATTATATTTTGTCCAAGCCTTTATGTTTAATGAAATTAATAATGTTAGAGATTTTTCTTAAAATAAATAGATGTTATTGATTGTTTAAATTTTGTTTATTAGATATATATGAAATTAATTGTTTTACAGAATATTTGATGTTTATAACTAATATTCGAAATATTTATATTTTAAGATTCAGGCCATTTTATTTAGATATTATTCTAAAGTGTAAATATATTTTTAAATAATTATATATGTTAGTAACTATTTTAAAAGAAATATTGGATTTTTTTATAAAATGTCGATAAGTTTAATTTTAAAAAATTAGAAAATTAAATTATTTTTGTTTTTTATAATTTTGATATTTAAAATTATTTTAGGGACTTTTTTATTTTCAATTTTCAATTTTTGGATTTATGGAAGAATTATATAAGATTTTTGTAGCAACCTTGAGTTCAGATCCCAATGTTCGAAAAGATGCAGAATCGCAGCTGAAACATGTAAGTGGTCTTTAGTTTTATCTTAAATTAGTTTATTTTTGAAGTTTTCTGTAGTTTCAGGCTTTATTGGTGTGGTACTTGATGTTATTACGACAAATGATGATATTTCTGTAAAACAAGCTGGTATTCTTTATTATAAAAATATAATAGTTAATATAGAATAGCTTCTATTTATTTGAAGAATAGGATTGGGCATGCTTGGGAAGGAAATAATTCTGATTTTAAAATTTCAGAGAATGATAAAGATCTTTTTAGAAAACGATTATTGCCAACATTATTGTTGGTTCCTCCAATAATACGTTCTCAGATCGCGTCAATTATTGGCATTATATTATCATCTGATTTTCCAGAAAAATGGCCAGATTTTATGGATAAGGTTATTCAACTGCTTAATTCTCAGGATGTTCATTGTATATATATTGGATTAATAAGTTTTTTGGAAATATCAAAAGTTTACAGATATAGATCTGGAGTTCGAAGAACGCCTTTAGATATTATTATTCAAAGTGTATATCCTCATTTAATAGAAATAGGAAGCAGAGTGGCTGGAGAAAACAATCCTATTGCTTTTGAAATGTTAAAAATCATTTTGAAATGTTATAAATTTCATATAACGGTTTCTTTCTCGATTTTTTATATTTTTGAATGTTTAATTGTTTTAGCTTGAGCTTATTCCTTATATTCAGGAGTCAATTGTTCAATGGGTTACATTATTTTTATCTGTAATTGCAAGAGATTTACCAATAGATTTGATGGAAAATAATTTAGAGGATCGCCAATCTAGTCCTTGGTGGAAAGCTAAAAAATGGGCATATTCTAATTTGAATTGTTTATTTACGAGGTTAAATGGATACGTATATTATTGTATATTAAAAATTGTTTAGGTATGGTGAACCGTCAAAGTTATCTAAAGATGCGTTGAAGAAATATAAGTCCTTTGCAAAAATGTTTTCAGAGAATTTTATTCCTGAAATATTAAAAGTATATATACAGCAGGTAGAACTTTGGAGTGAAGGTAGAATTTGGATTAGTCAACGTTGTCTTTGTTTTTTAAGTGCATTTTTTGAAGAATGTATTTTTCCGAAGTCTACTTGGACTTTAATTAAAGACAAATATTTTTATTTGGTTTCGCATTTTATATTTCCTTTATTTTGTATAACTGATAGTGATATTGAGCTATGGAATGATAATCCTGTCGAATATGTTCATAAAAATAGCTGTATATATATATATATGATTAACTATATACAATTTCTAATTTTATTAGATATGTGCGACAATTCTTATTCTCCTGCAATTTCTGCGACTAATTTTTTTATTGCATTAGTTGATAATCGTAAAAAATCTACTTTTATGGGAATTTTGGAATTTATAAATAGTGTTTTAAATACGTATGTTTTTTTAATATGTGAAGATTTTTATCATATTTTAGATATCAACAAGCACAATTTGAAGAAAGGAATATTAAAGAAAAAGAAGCTGCATTGCGGATGATTGGAAATATATCACATATTATTTTAGCTAAGAATAGTCCTATTATAAATATGATGGAGGATTTTCTTGTTGTTCATGTCTTTCCAGAATTTTGGAGTCCTTATGGTTATTTAAGAGCACGTGCATGTGAGATTATGTCTAAATTTGCGGATATTCAAATTAAAAACCAAAATGTGTAAAAGATATGTTATTCGTATACTTCTAATTTTTTTAGAATATTGTACGAGCATATGAAGGGATTATGACATGTTTTTATGATTCAGAAATTCCTGTTCGTGTTGAGGCTGCGTGTGCTTTACGGTTTATGATTCGAGATAAATATGTGAGAGAAATGATAGCTTCTCGTATTCCTCAAGTAATACAACAATTGCTTGATCTTACAAATGAATTGGATATCGATACTCTTACTACTGTAATGGAGAAATTTGTTCAGGTTTTTTCTGAAGAACTTGTACCTTTTTCCGTTCAATTAACGGAACAATTGGTAATATTTTTTGTTTTTTAAATTGTGAAATTAATTAAAACAGAGGGATACTTTTTTAAGAATCGTTCATGAATCCGAGAATTATTTTGCGGATAAAGATTCTGAGTTAATTGAGTATAATTATATTGATGATAAAACTACAACTCTTATGGGAATTTTAAATACACTTGCTACTTTGGTATGGAATTTAGAAAAAGCTCCTGAAATTTTGTCTCATATAATTAATATTATTTTACCTGTTATAACTATTACTCTTGAAATTGAATTAGTTGGTTAGTAAAATAATTATTTCAAATAGGAATTTTATTTATTATATTTAGATCTGTATGCTGAAGTTTTTGAAATTATTAATAATTGTATTTTTTCTCTTAAAACGGTTTTTCCTGTAATGTGGAATATATATGAATTGTTGTATAAGACGTTTAAAAGTTCTGGTATTGATTATACTGATGGTATATTTGGTTTTTTTGTTGAGTTTTAGAATTAATTTTTTAGAAATGTTTCCTGTTCTTTATAATTATATTTTATATGGTAAAGAAGAAATAATATCTAATTCAACATATTTAACTATTATATATGATATAATAGAAACTGTTAGTGTTTATTTTATTTATTTTTTATTCTAAGAATTTTTATAGATGTTTGCGGCAGAGGAATTTACTATTCAGGATAGAATACATGCTTGTAAGCTTATAGAATCTGTTTTTTTAAATTTAAAAGGACATGTGGATCATTATTTACATTCTTTTGTTAAAATAGCTATGAATCAGCTTATATGTGATACATGCAGACTGTCTAACTATAGAATACATCTTATAGAAATTGTTATTAGTGCTATTTATTATAATCCTTTAATTACACTTCAATATTTAGAAACTTGTGGTTGGATAGAACAGTTTTTTAATTATTGGCTTTCTGATATTGATCGATTTTCCCGCGTTCATGATAAAAAGCTTTCCATTGTTGCGATATGTAGTCTTTTATCACTGCCAATCGACCGAATACCCAAATCTGTTCAAAAAGAGTTTTCACGTCTTTTTCGAGAACAATTAAGGTTGTTTCAGACTTTACCTCAGGCTATAAAGGGTTAATCACCTAATATTATATTATTTTTATTGACTTTTTAGATAATGAAGCTATTGAAAAGTCTTTTTTGGATGATCTTGAAGCTTCGCCAAGGAGTGAAGATTGGGATGATATAAATAATCAAGCAGATCTTGAAGATTTTGATAAAGGTTAGAAAAATTAATATATAATATTTTTATTTATTTTATTTAAGATATAGAAAAAAATCATGATTACTTAAATTCTTTTTCTCAGGAAGTATATTTATTTATGTGATTTAGAACTTTAGCTTATATTATGGAGGATTGGTTAACGTCAACTACTGATGATGATGATTATTCTCTTGAAGAGCCTTTTCACACCTTGTTAGATAAAATTGATGTTTATGCATTGTTTAAAGACTTAATTAATGGTAAATTGTGATTTAATTATTATTCGAAAATTAATTTTTTAAGAAATGCAACAATATAATCAGATAATATATAATGAAATTACGAAAGATTTGTCTCAAGAATATTATTTAATTATTCAAACAGTTATGAATCAAGCTTATGCATATACGATCGAATCGAAATAAGAATATATATTACTGATGATAAAAAATTGCTTTGGGTTGGGAAAATATGTTTTAATTTTATATTCTTTTATTTTTTATAGAATATTTTGAGATTTCAAAATTGACATGATTATTTTATTTGTAATATTTTTATTGATTGTAATTTAATAAATTTATTGAAATATGATAATATAAATCAAATATTTTAAGTGTCAATTTTTTATCATTTTTTTATATTATCCAAAAGAACTTCTATATTTCTCTCTTGCTCTATTTAGAAGCTCTTCTTGTTGTCTCAAAAGCTCTTCTTGGGACATTCCAGATGTTTCAAGTTTGGATTGTTTTTTTTCACGTGTCTATTAACTTTTTTAATAAAAAATATAATTTATGCCTTTAAATTACCTTTTGTTGTTTTTTATGATCTGAAACTATTTGCTGGATTTCATCAATATAATTTTGAAATCCAAGTTCTTCAAGAGCTTTGATTACATGTTCTGCTGCAATTGTTTTTTTTGCTTCTCTTTCACATATTTCATTTGCTTCTGAAGATATGAGATGGACAAACTCTACACAGCATTCAATTAAAAGATCTTTTGTTTCTCTTGCAAAAACAAGATCAGATGGTATCATTTTTGAGACAAGTTTTTGTACTGTTGCTATAAATAGTATAAATATATTTCAAATTATAGTGATCCATGAGGTTAAATACCTTTTGGAAGTGAAAGTTCGTCATCTATATATCTATCCATATGAATAATAATATTTAAGTCGAAATTAAAATATGTTTATCACGTGAAACCGTTTTAATTTTATTTGGAATTTTGAAATAGATAAAATGCTAAATGACAATTCTTGTTGTTGATAACGGTGGTTATTCAATTAAATATGGCTTTTCTTCGGATGATCTTCCAAGAATTTCGCCAAACTGTATTGCAAAATCAGTTTTTGAAAGAAAAACATATATAGGATCTCAAATTTCAGGATGTAAAGACTTTTCTTCACTTCGTTTTCGGCGTCCAATTGATAGAGTGCAGCTAAATATAACTTTATATGCATTTTTATAACTAATTTTAGGGCTATTTGGTAAATTGGGAATCTGAAAAAGTAATATGGGATTATTTATTTTCTCAAAAAGACTTTAGGGTAGATTTTTTGTCTTTGATTTGTTTTAGGCTTTTACTTGATAGGTTGATTATAGTGAAACATCTCTTCTTGTTACAGAACCTCCCTATAATTTTCCTCAATTACAATCAGCTTATGATCAAATTATTTTTGAAGAATATGAATTTCAATCATATTACAGGTGTATTGGTATACTAAGATATTTTTTATAGAGGAAACTAAGTTTTATAAGCTAGTTCTTTAGTACCATGGAACAATAGTGAAATCTATGGGACATCAAAAGAAATGAATAGGCCGCGAGAATTTGCTCTTGTTATTGATAGTGGTTTTAGTTTTACTCATGTAGTTCCTGTTATTTTAGGAGATATTCAATGGAAAGCTGTGAAAAGGCTAGTATTTTTTGAGTTATAATATACATATTTATATTTTTAGGCTTAATGTTGGAGGAAAACTTTTAACAAATTATTTGAAGGAAATTATTTCTTTTAGACATTATAATATTATGGAAGAATTTTCTTTGGCAGATCAGATTAAAAAATCTTGTTTTTTTGTATCTTCTAATTTTAATGAAGATATAGAAATAAGTAAAGGGAAAAAGCCAGGAAATGTTTCAATTGATTATGTTCTTCCTGATTATAGTACAAATGATCAAGGATTTGTTTTAACGTCGAATTCACAGAGGGATTTGATTAAAGAGAGACAAATTTTGACCTTAAAAAATGAGAGATTTATTGTTCCTGAAGTAATGTTTAACCCAAGTATAATAAGTAATATATATATATATGTATGTTTGCATTTTGTTTATTAATTATTAGAGTTATCTCAAGCGGGTATTCATGAAGCTATTATGCAATCTTTGAAGTTAGTAGAATCTGATTTTCAAGAACTTTTTTTAGCAAATATTATTCTTGTTGGAGGTAATTCATTTTTTAAAGGATATTCTGAAAGACTGTAAGATGATATAAAAAAATAATGATATAATATTAAAAATAAATAGTAAAAAAGAGCTTCAGTCTTTAGCTCCTGCATATTGTAAAATTGTGATTTATCAACCACATAAGTAGCTAAATTCTCTTTATTTATTATTATTTATTTGAATATTAGCCCTGATACATTTGCATGGGTGGGTGGTTCTTCTTTAGCTTGCAATACTAAAATATTTGATGAAAAAAAAGTTACAAGAGCTGAATATATGGAATATGGAAGTAATATTTTTTTAAAAAAAAATGGGTTAAATTTGAATAAGGAATGTGATTTAATTTCATATGAATAATAAGAAATTATTAATATTTTTTATAGATAATATCTGTTTTTGATAATTGAATGCGACATTTTTTTGTGTGTATTAATAAATAATCGAACGATTAATATTTTAGGAGTTCTTATAGAACGCGATATTTTGGAGTATTAATAAGTTGTAATTTGACAAATAATAATGGATATTAATTTTATTTAAATGTTTTTAAAAGTATATGATTTTTTTTTTAAAATATATATTACTTACAATGAATTTTAATAGTGTATTTTATATAAAAAATGTTAGTCTTTGTAATTTTATACGTATTTATGATTTTTTAAAGATTAGTTCCTATAGAAATGATATTTTTATATTATATGCAAATAGTTTAATTTTTAATTTTGAAAAATTTAATATTTATAAGTTTTTGAATTGTAATTCATTTTTATTTCTTTTTAAATATATATGAATTAATATATTATAGCAATTTAAACTAAATTCACAAACTTTTTTTAAGTATATATATATGTAATAGAAATTGGTTTATTTTCATAGAATTTTATTATAGTTTATAAATAAACAAAATTAAATAATTATTATATTAAAAGTAATTTTTCAGAATGTTTTCTTTTAATTCGTTTATTATGATTGCTAATTATTTAATATTAATGCTAATTATAAATTTTTGATATCTTGAATTAAAATGAATTTGGTATATATATTTTAAAAATATTGAGTGTAATATACTTTAAAACAAATGTTTATTTAAATAATATTATAAATATTATATAAATACACAAACATATTTATATAATATTTATAATATTATTTTATTATAATAATTTCTTTGTAAAACATGAGATTATGTTTAAATATATCTCTTGTTGTCGAAAATTTAAGGCGGATTATTTTGAAAATTTTATAAAAATAAAAGAAATATTAAGATATTAAAGGTAGCTAATATATAGTATTGTTCAAAGTATGAGTTGGAAAGGTAATGAAGAAAAAATTTGGCATTTTTTGAAAAAATAATATTTAAATTAGAATATGTTGATACGAGCCTTGTTGGAACTGGGAAATTTGATAAAGCAGCTATATGTTCTCGAGAAGGTAACAGTATATGGGCGTCTAGTTCAGGATTTGATGTAAGTTTACGCGTTTGTATTATTTGTTTTTTTTATTATTTAGTTGAAATTAAATGAATTAACTGCTCTTGCATCTGGATTCGATAATCCTTCACAGGTCCAAGCATCAGGCTTTTATTTATCGCAACAAAAATATGTAACAATTCGTGCTGAGGATCGAAGCATATATGGTAAACAGGTTAGTATTAGATTTCCTAATTTCAGATGTATTAACATCAATATTAAGGGATGTGAAGGTGTTTATTGCGTACGAACACATAAAGTTATTATTATTGGCCATTTTCCTAAAACAACACAAGCTGGAGAAGCAGCCAAAATTATTGAAGCTCTTGCAGATTATCTTATTAGTGTGGGATTTTAATGATATTAGAGTAGAATTATGCATTAATTATTTATTCTATTTGTTATTACCTTTGAATAAACATTTTGGTTAAGATAATGGTCTTAAAAAATCATTTTATTTTTTCGTATTAAAAATTTTGTAATAATATTTTTTTAAATAAGATTCTCATTTTTGAATATTTTAGGCGTTTTTGTAAGAGTTGTTTTTAAGTTTATATTTTATAAAATATCGGAAATAATAAATGTTATACAGGTATTTGATATACACCTATTATTCTGTCCAAAACCTTATTATGTTAGTAATTTTTTTTTTATATGTCATATACTTTTTTGATAAAAGGAATTCTTAAAATATGTCCAATAATAGGAAATCGTGCTAAAAAAGAAATTATAATTGGAAAGAAATCACCACTAAAATTATTAGTTATAGTATACTTGCTTGTTTTATGTAACTAACAAGAGATTTATAAATCCAAATGTTTCAATAATAAATCCGAAAAATGGTTTTTTGAAAAAAACTAAAAGTATCCCAAAAAAAAAGCATACAGATCCTCGAAGTTTTTGTTTTCTTGAAAAAAATACCAATGTTTTTATAAATCCAATGATTAGTATAAGTCCTGAGATAAATAAAAGCTAAAATACATAAATTAATACTATAATTTATGTATTTTATTAGATTACATTTCCAATAATTAATAGATTTGCATCAAATAATGTAATTATACCCTATAATATTATAAATAGATATTATATGAATAAAAAAATATACAAGTATTATAAATCCTATTCCAAGAGCCGTTAATGTTACTCCAATTTCTATTTATATATTAAATAATAATATTTTTAAAAAAATATAAACTTACTCTGATTATCTGTAAGCCACATATTTAATATAGAAAATTATATAGTTTGAAATTTTATGAATACACTTTTTCATAAAATGATCTCGAATTTAGTTGTATTGTTCGACAATGGAGTTTTAAAAAAAAATTGATTTATGGATATAAATGAGACTCAATTTACTGATGTCCATCGAATTCTTCTTCAACATTTTATTGCAAAGAAGAGTATTTTTCAAGAACAGGCATTGAATTCATTGCTAATTGCTATTTCTATCTATGGTAATTTAAAAAAATTGAATATTTTAATTGAATATTTTTAGAAAATATATCTATAGATTCTGTTACAATAAATATAAGCACTCTTGAGTTATATATTTTTGATATTAATAATGTAATTACTTGCTTGGATTTAGAAATTCAAAAAACTATAGATCAATCTACTGGTATAGTGATTTGGATATTGGTAACATCTTTTTTAAATCATATTTTTCTCTAAATAACATAAGATCAATACTTCTTCTGATATTTTTAGTCAATTATCAACTAGTTATACTTTTTCTGAAGTTGCTTTTTTTAAGCAGCTTCTTGATTACATTTTAGTAAAAAGTAACACTCGTCAATTAGAAGTTTTTTCTATAACTTCTACTCAAGCGCTAAGGGAATCTAGTTTAAAGGGTGTAGGATTATCTAAGGTTTCTGCTGAAGCTTCTTTAGCTGCATTTGTTGAGGAAGGATGGCTTTCAAAAACTACGTAAATTTTCTATTATTATTCAAAGATAAAATTAATTGTTTAAGGCGTGGGACTCGTGTATATTTTACATTGTCCCCTAGATCCCTTTTAGAGCTTTATCCCATAATTAAAACATATATTGATGAACCTGAGAATGACTTTGATCATCAAGATTTTAGAGTACTTTTGCTGAAAAGATGTAAAGCATGTCATAATGTGGTTACTCAAGTAATTTTTGAATATTTTTATTTCAAACTGAATAATTTAAGGGTTTTCGTTGTTCAAACATCAATTGTCCTATAAGATTCCATGAATATTGCTTTAAAGTATACATGGCTAAACAAAAAGATAAATTATGTCCTGAATGTGGGATAATATGGATGGAAGAAAATTTTGTTGGTGACAAAGCAGCAGAAAGAAACAGTAACGTTTGAAATAATATAAATGATCCTGATTTGTTTATAAATTTGTTTATATAAATATATTTGGGTTTTTAAATAAAATTATATATATATATTTTTATTAGTTTATCATAGTGGTAAATAATAAGTAATATATATATGTATGTATGATTTGAAAATCTGGACATTAAATATCTTCTATTTCTTTAATTTCTGAAATTTCTGACGAGTTTGTTGTTTCTTTTGTTCTTATTGCTGAAAGTGAATCCATAATTTCACTTGAAAAACTTAAATCTATTTCATCTATTAAATCCCATACAATATCTTCCGCTATTTGTTCAGTATATCTTTCAAAAAGGGGTATCACGGCCGATCCAAGTGGAACATCTTTAGGGGGGTGTTTAAAAAGAGGGCCAAAATTTAGTCTTACTATGCCTCCATGATACATACTTACAGCAGGATAATAGCCTAGCATTCCATCATTTATATCTTGAGCTTGTATAGTTTGTGAGTTAGGAGGCAAAAATGCATAAAGATCTTGAAATGCTGTCCCCATGAATTTTCCATTTTTATAAACTTTTATAAAAGAATTTTTAATAATAGGTGGAGGAGTAGCAGGTTTGACTGCATTTGATGCAGGGTTCATTAGATCTTCCATCTCTTTTGAAGGTATATATTCTAATTGTTCAAAATAAAGCTGTCCTTTGTAACGAATAGGAATTCTATCCCGAAAAATATAATTTTTTAATAGAGATGAATTTTTTGATGTAGTTTTTGGGAAAGATACATGGAATCCAATTACATCACCTGTACCAAATGACTCCATAAAATCACGTGGTCTAGACATATGAACTTTTTGACCTCCTTTATCTCTCAAAGCATAAGAATAACCATCAAATCCAACAGGTGCATCCAAAGAAGCTTTATGGATTGGAATTAATATAATTTAACTATTTCTAAAAATTACCTTCTCTTCGAGCTATCCCAATACGTACAAATCCTCCTTGATCTCCATTTCCTCTCTCAATAATGAATTCGAAATACCAGTCTCCTTCGTTCATACAAACATTTGCTCTTGCCATCCTAAAACCTTTCTCTGTTGTTGCTGTCATTCCATCTCTATCAAAAAATACATGTTGACTAGTATCATTCCAGCTAATTCTTGCTCTATAAGGAGGTAATTCAATTTGCCTATACATAATATTTGGCATAAGAGGTGTTGCTTCACAAGGAAGATATCGAAATGCTTTTCTATTGAATGGTTGATCTGTTAATGAATAAAATTCTTGATTTATATTATTGTTTTCAACTCTTATAAATGTAGGTAAACGAGGAGTTGAATTGAAATCAGAAGGTCGATAAGGAGGCGGTCGAATTCTAGGAAGAATAGACATATCGAAAATATTGGTATCTAATACTTTGTCTTTCTTTTTTATATGCGATTCTTTCTTTTTCCAAGTTTCTTTTCTCTCCCTTGGCTCTTTAATATCTTTTTTGTTCTCGGGATTTTCTTTTTTTATATTACTAGAAATATTTTCAATAGAATTAGAAATAATAGAAGAATTTTTTAAAATTTTTGTATGTATGTTTTCGTCATGATATATTGAATTTTGTCTTTTACGAGATGTATTTAATGTTAATTTGTGTGAGCCCTTATTATATCTTTAGATGCTATTTTTGGAAGATAATAGATATTAAGACTTACAGAAGTGTATGTTGATCTAAATTGAAAAAGATTTGTATCTATTAATGAATAAGGACTATTTTGAGATCTATTCCCTTCATCTTGAGCTCTAAATGCATCTTTACTTGATAAAAGTTGACTTCCAAGTGTCGATTGCCTAATTAATAATTAGTTAAAGTAAAGAAAAATATTATTGATACCATGAACTAGCTTTTTCTTTATCAATGCACAAAATTTTCCAATTAAAATGATTTTCTAGAAAAGGAACAATATCTGCTTTTTTTGTAAAAAAATATTCAAGCCTAGTTAATTCTAGATGATTTTTACTAGAAATCATATCTTTCGTCCATTCTGGGTGGTCTGATATTATTTTTTGGGATGTAAGGTTTGCAATAACGCTTCCACAAATAGCCTTCCATGATGCTATTGAACGGTGAAATTCTTCAGTATTAGTATTACTACATAAACTACAAACTAGTGTATAGTTTATTAAAAATGGTAATACTTCTTTTAAAGGTGACCTAAAACATCTAGCATGAAAGAAATTCTTGCAAACTAATGTTTGAGTATCTTTCAAGTAAATACATGTTAAGTTTAATTACCTTTACATTGAAAGTCTGGCTCATCTAAAGTTCTATCTTGAGCACAGTAACAGTATACATGTTCTAGATTTATTGTATGTGTAGAATTCCATCTTAATTCATCTGGATTATAGCTTAATACAGGTTTTGGTGGTAAATCTTTTATAATATGATCAATTTTCATTGTAGTCTGGTTTATTTTTTCTTCAGATAATATTTTATCATTTAATTGTTTTTCAGGATTTATGTTAATATTTTTTTCATTAGAATCTATATTCATTTCCAAATTAGGATCCTCTGAAATACTTCCCTCCATTTTTATATTAGTTATGGATAAATATGTTTTTATATTTTTTAGATTTTAAAACGTTATCGAGATAAAATTTAAAGTTTCATAAAATTTTAATATATTTTAGAAATAGTTAAAACATATTAAGCTTTTGTATGATTTTTTTTATGAAATAATTTTATATTGTAAAATGAGGATAAAGAAATATAGAAAGGAAAAAGATTATAAAAGAAAAAAAACTTTGGATGTTAAACTTTCTCAAAAAATTCTAAAAATTGCTCAGGAACAACAGGAAGAGTTTGATGATAAATCTTCTCAAAATAACAAAGGTTCCCCACCAATAGAGCTAGAGGATATTGAATTTTTATCTGAATCTTCTGTTGATTCTGATTATAACCAGAAATATTCTGATTTTGAAGATATTGATTTTGAAGAAATTGTATACTTTTTTATTATTTTATTTGATTTTTTTAATCTTGATTGATAGGAAATTGATAAATCTGACCAAGATTTGTTTGATAAATTTTTAGATCTTGAACCAGTTTTTAAAAAAACTATGGCAAACCAAATACTTGGTAAAATAGAGGAATGTGATTCATTTATAGGATTAAATAATAAAACATGTTCTATTTTTTCTTCTTTACCTCAGAAAGTTGTCGAAGTTTATACCAAGTAGGTATTTGTATTATTTTATATATAGTATTGATAAATAATCTAAGAGTGGGTGTACTTTTATCAAGGTATAAATCTGGAAAACTTCCAAAAGCATTTAAAATAATACCTTCTTTACGAAATTGGGAGGATATTTTGTTTTTGACATCTCCTGATACATGGTCACCTAATGCATGTTATGAAGCAACTCGTCTTTTCGTGAGTAATTTGAAATCTTATCAATTTCAAAGGTAATTTTTTAGAAAAAAAAAAAAAACTGAGTGTTTAATAGATTTATATCTGCCATACTTTTTAATAAAGTTCGTCAAGATATTTTAGAGCATAAAAAACTTAATTATCATCTTTATATGTCTTTAAAAAAAAGTATTTATAAGCCTGCTGCATTTTTTAAAGGTTTTTTGTTTCCTATTTGTGAAGTATTCTTCATTTATTTTTATAATTTTATAATGTAAAATTAGAGTAATTGTACATTTAGGGAGGCCACAATTATAGGTTCCATCTTATTGAAAGTTTCTATTCCTGTTCTACATTCTGCTGCTGCTCTTTTACGATTATCAGAAATGGATTTTTGTGGTATGTTTTATAATTTTTAATGGTATTATTTTATTTTATTCTTACTAGGTTCAACGTCATTGTTTATTAAAATATTATTAGATAAAAAGTATGCCCTTCCTTATAAAGTTGTAGATGCATTGGTTTTTCATTTTATGCGATGGAGGTCTTTGCAACGACCTTTAGTTGTTATTGAACACCAGTCTCTATTGGCTTTTGTTCAAAGATATAAAAATGATCTTACACAAGATCAAAAGGATATTTTATTAGATGTAATAAAAGCTAAAGGGCATGAAAAAATTGGACCAGAGGTAAGAAGAGAACTAATTAATAGTATCAATAGAAGTGATATATCGACTAAATTTATGGAAATATAAATATTTTATTTGAAAATATGTTATAACATTATATTTATGCATAACAATTAATGGGTTTCCTTTTATGACATTAATCTTATACTGTGTATTTTTTTGATACAAAAAGTATCAGATATTACAATTATATTGACAAGTTCTCCATAAATAGTCTGAGGTATTATAATATTAGTATTTAGTATTCCTTGTGTGTGTTTGGACATAGTTAATCGTTTTAAAACATGAATTCTATTAGATGTATGAGATGCGCATAATATATACCAGCCTTCTTTCTGAGGTTTTGGGAATTTTGGAGAATATAGTATATAATTTGGGTGATAAGGTTTGGAATCTTTTATCAGAGTTATATTTAAAAAAGATTTTTCTTTTTGAGAAATTTCTATAGTTATTATAGGTATAGTCTTTGCGACATTTATAAACTAATATTATTAGTATTTTTTATGCATTGGCATAAATGAATACCTCTATCATTTTTTCTTTAGGAACTTTAAGAAGTAATCCTAATTTTTCTAAATAATTTTTTGATTTTTTTGGAAGAGATTCTAGTTTTGTTTGTGATATTTGTTGTAAATTCATTGCATTTTCGTGATTTACACCTGGAAGTATAGATAGTTCAGATAATTCAGGCCATCTAGCATGTTTTATACATTGTAAAAGTGATATAAATTCCAAGCAAGCTTCTAGATAGCCTAGTTCGGTTGAAATATCTATATATGCCTGTAAATTATTAAAAATTGTATAAATATTTTTTTACAAAATTTTTACTTGTAAAATTCGAACACTTTGATCTAAAATGGAAATAGTATCTGTAATATAATCTATGATCGGCAAGTCGAAATGTTTTAAATGTGCTTGAATAAGAAGAAATGTTTTTACATGAGGATCCCATAAAGGTAGTGCCATTTCTTCACTTTTAAAAGGTAATTTTCGAGAAATTTCTTTATTAATAATATCCTTGTATAATTAGCTGCTAATTAATTTTTAAAACAGTTTACCTCATTGTGGCGTACTGATAATTCATCGAATTCTGATGCTTCTGACAAAAGTTTTAAACAGCTTTTGAAATTAATTTCAATTTTAATTTTATTTAATAAATTTCTAATAGTTTTATGAGATATATAGTAATAACTTGCTATTGAACCAAATACAGTCGCTTTAAGCGTTCCATTTTCATCTCTATAGATACAATTAGATTCTATAAGCTCATTGATAGATGTATTAATTATTTTCGATAAATATGCATTTATACTATTTTGTGAACTATCAGATAAACCATAGTATGCAGGATTTTTATGAATTCTTCGAAAAAAATATGTCCATGTTAAATAATCTATTGCATCTTGTTCTGAAGAAATTGTTTCATTAACAATTTCAGCGGAAATATGATCAGTTAAAACCTTATGTAAAGATGATTCCACAGGAAACCCTGCATGAAGAAAATGTTTATAAAAAGATTTTTTGGTATCTTGAATAAATATTTTTGCTACACCTGCCGTATCGAATTGAGGTCTTCCAGCTCTTCCAAGCATTTGAAGTACATCAGTTAAATTCATATCTTTATACCCTTGAGTTTTTGCATCAAAAAATTCCGTACCCTTTACGATTACTAGATGTGCTGGAGTATTTACACCCCATGCTAAAGTACTAGTTGCAATCAGAATTTGAATTTTATTATTTATAAAAAGCTCCTCTGATAGTTTGCGATCATTTTCAGTTAATCCTACATATTATTTTCAAATTAAAAATCTAATTTTTTCATACCTGCATGATGAAGACCAATACCAAAATTTAATGCATTTTTTAAAGATTCATCTTGAACCTGACTTAATATCATATCTAATTTGTGATCTGACATATGAAGAAATCTTTTTGGATTTCCTTCCAAACCACAATAAGCTATTAAATCCTGTGATGTTAATCTAGTTTGTCGTCTTGATGATACAAATATAAGCACAGGTTTATCAGGAGAATGATCAAGAATAGCAGAAAATGCTGGCTTGTTCATTGACGCCATTCTTTGGCAACTAATGAAAATTAGACATTAGATAATAATATGTTGAAAGCTAACTATTTATGGCCAGGAAATCCATCTATATATATTTTCAACGGAATTGGTCTTACAGAATGCCGAAAATTGTATAATCCTTCTTCTTTTATGCCTAACCAATCTGCCAAATCCCAAGCGTTTGCTATAGCAGTTGATAAGCCTATTATTCGTATATGTGACTTATTTTGAGTAGCTATGTAGTTCATACGTGATACAATAATTTCAAGTATGGGTCCACGATCATCTCCAAGTAAATGAATTTCATCTATAATAATTAAACATATTTCTTGAACATATTTCCTTTTTTTCCAGTTTCTACTAATACCATCCCATTTTTCAGGTGTAGTTATGATTATATTTGCTTCATATATTTCTTTAGAGTCTGGTGAAGTATCACCTGTCAATTCTATAATTTTTTTTTTCAATGGATTTGCAAATCTTGTAGTCCAGTCTTTTATCCTCTCTCGAACTAATGCTTTCATTGGTGCAATATAAATTATTTTAGATGATGGTTTTGTTTTAAATGCCCACCTAAGATTTCTTTAATATATTATATGTTAAATTTAATTATTTACCATAGAGAGAGCTCTGCTGCTATTGTTTTTCCTGATCCAGTAGGCGCACCTATTAAAACATTTATATTGGTGTGATATAGAGTATGAAATATTTGTGTTTGTATTGCGTTAAAAAAAATAAACTTTTTAGAATATATTTCTTCTAAAACACAATTATTCAATGCAGAAATCTAATATTCGTTATCAATTTTTTTATAGTTTAATATAAATAATTACTGGAAGGGGTTGGAGATCAAGTAACTCAGTTATTGAGTTTGAACTGTCCGGAAAAATAATGTTATTGAGAGATATTGGTGTCATTGTTTCTGCTTTTAGCCATTTATCAGAAATTCCCCAAATAAGTATTTGAGATGGAATAATGTCCGGTAGAAGGATAAAAAAATCCAGAGTTTCTTCCTTTTTCTTTTTAGAAAGTAGTAAATGATGAGAGTGTAAAATTTCTGAAGAATCTGAATTTTCTACCCAAATCCAAAAAAGCTCTACAGGGTTATGAATTGTGCTATCCCAAATAAAATCTGGCTGTATATCTAGTTGAATTCTTAGAATCTTCTTTGTAATTGGAAAAAATTTTGCATCAATTTTTATAAGAGGAAATTTATTGATATAATTAGATATAATTCCACCTAAACGGATATGATGGACAAGCATTCCAAGCTCCGTTTTGCTCATTCTTTTCAAATCTCTTATATTTCCAATATTGTTATGCATTTCCAAGTTTTGCAATATTTTAGTAGGCAGATTAAATTGACTTAATGGATGCTCGTGTGACCATATTTGTCTGAAATTTAGTATATATAATAAAATGTAGGACATAAAAAAACCTTTCAATAGATTTACAAACATTTAAAATAGTTAAAGCAGATTCCCAATTTCTAGATAATGCTATTTCCTATAATTAATTAGTTTGTTTTAAATTTATTGATTTTTGAACTTACAAATAGTGCTCTAGAAATTCTACCAGCATTTGTTGCTATATAATTTGAGTCAGATATTAAAGTAGAATCTTCTATTAGTGCTTTGGAAATATAACTTTGAAGTAAAATGTTTACTTTTCCTGGTGTTGAATCAATAGTTTCCTTTTAAAATATTAATTTGGAAAAGAAATAGTGAATAGTACTTTGATTTTATAATAGCAATATTTTTCTAAGAGCTGTTTTAATTCTTCATTTTCATTTTCTATATGCGTTAAAATTAAACGTGGAATATAAATATTATTAACCTCTATATTTCATTTGTGAAAATTCTGAACTCTTGCTTAAAATATGTAAGACTTCCTCTTCAGTAATATTCGATTTAAGTGACATATTGAAGTTTTCTATGTTTTCTCGGGAAATATAATAATTTGATGCTATTTTTCCTAAGTTTTTTGGACTTAGAAGTCCTGATTTTTTGTTGAAAATTATCATTTGCGTTTCGTATAGTTTTTTTGCTGACGAAATTATAAGTTCTTTTCTTCTTTTATATATTTGTGGATCATCATGGATATCTTTATGAGTTAATCCATATATAAGAGGATTCTTTTTCATTCTTATATAAAAATATGTATAACTCAGCCATGAAATTCCCTCTTCTACATTTGTTACTGAACCTAAAGATATTTCTGCGTTAAGATTGTCTGTCAATTTTTCCATAAATCTAGAATTGTAAAACATGTTATTTAATTATTTTAAAATTATACTTAGATTCTATAGGATGTTGTTGAGTTACTGATGATACATAATGTGCTAGCTTATCATTTGATGTAATAATATATCCAATACCACGGTCTTCATATTGAGGTCTTCCTGCTCTTCCAAATATTTGAAGAACCTTATAATTAAAATCAGAAAGTAGTTTTAAAATTATATACGAATTTTACATCTAATATACCTAAATCTACATAAATGCCTTTTTGTGGTTCATAAATCTGAGTCTGTTTTTTTAAGAGTATAATAATAAATATATTATACTTACTCCCTTTATTATAACTGCATATGCTGGTAAATTGACACCCCATGCTAATGTAGCAGTGCAGCATAGAATTCTAATGATTCCAATGCTAAAGTATTTTTCTACGATATTTCTGTCTGATCTCAACATTCCTGCATTATGAATTCCAAAACCCTTTTCAAGTAATTCTTTCATTTCTTTGTTTTTCGATTTAGAAATGTCTTTTTTGAAAAAATGGTAATGTGTATGATTTGAAGGATTAAAAATATCTTTTCATATTAGAAATATATATATATTGGAATAAAAACCTTCGTAACCGTCATTTAATGCTAAATTGAGAAGAGTTTTTGCTGTTTTGGTTGTTTCTTTACGTGTATGGACAAATATCATAACTTGGTGGTTATTTTTAACTAATTGTATAGCTTTTTCATATGTTACTAAATTCATATTTGTAGATGATATTTTTGATCCAGGTTTTCCTTTAACACCTAAAAAGTGTTGTTCTAATGGAACTGAACGAAATTGGTCTGAAAAATAAAATAAGCCATGGTAACAATTGACTCTATAATTTAATTAACATGAATTATGATGAACTAGCTCTAAAAATTACCCAAGAAATCTTGCTACATCGATATAATTTGGTAATGTTGCTGAAAGTCCTATAATTCTAATCATCGTTTGACTAGATTCAATGTATCTTTGTGTCCTTGCAATTAAAGTTTCTATAACAGTACCTCTTTCATCGTGAAGCATATGTATTTCATCAAATATTATGAGCTTAATTTTTTGTGTTAATCCTATATCGTCAACATTTTTTCTTGTTATAATATCCCATTTTTCCGGTGTTGTTACAAGAATTTGTGTTGAAAGAATTTCCGATTTTGTTAATTGTATGTCACCTAAATTTTATATTAGGAATATTGATTTGTGAATTTTTTTACCTGTAAGTTCTTGAACTTGGATATTTAACCATGATAAACGTCCTTTAATTTTTTTTACTATTTCTGATGCAAGTGCTTTCATTGGTGAAATATAAATAACTTTGAATTCACTTTTATTTATTTTAAAAAAATTTGGTTTAGGTTCTTTATGTGGAGATGGGTCTGAAAATTGAGATATCACCCGCATAATTGCAAGTATAGCAATATCTGTTTTTCCCTTGTTATAATTAGAAAATATATAGATGTAATAGAAAATTATGTGTGCTTACTGCTCCAGTAGGTGCACATATTAGCATATTTTCGTTTGTGTTATAAGCAATAGGATAAACTAATGACTGAATATAATTTAAAGTTTGATATTCTTGAAATGATCTAGAGCAAAGACTGTCCATTTCGTTTATAAATATTATTTTATTATCTATTTTTTGAGCTTCGTTAGGAGGTTGAACGGTGATTTCTTCGTATAACTTTTAAAAATTACTAATTGCTATAATACTTAATAATCAATTACTGGATAAATATCCCTTGATGAACAATGAGGTAATGAAAATTTAGTTCCAAAAATACTCAAAGAAGATCTTGTATTTGAATTTCCGTAAATATTTGGAAATGATTCTGGATTTTCATATGATTGATCTTTAAAAAATATGTTATCTTGATCATATCTTATTGTATTTGATTCAGATGCATTTCTATGATCTCTTCCTGAATAAAATATATTATTTTTACCTGAATTAGCTTGATTATTAATATCTAATACTTCGTTTTTAAGATTTTTAATATTTTGAATTATTAAAGTTATAAAATCTAAATTATTGTAACCTAAAATATTTAACAGCTCATTTTGAAGCTCAATTTCTAAATTATTACGTGTTAGTTTTAAGATATTTAGGATTTTCTTTACCATTATTTGTTGATAAAATACGATCTTTGATAGTAACAAAAAGAGGTTCTATATATAAAGATATATTTTTTTTTTCTATAGATTCGCAATAACTATATATTTATTTTCTGTATAAATGTGCATTGTTTTTCTTACTCTTTAACCTTATTTATATCTAATGGTTTTTTTATGCTATTAATAGTCTGCTCTTGGAAATTTGCATCATTTTTCAATTCCCTTTTAAATGAATTAATAATTATATATAAATCTGACAAATGTTTTTTAAAATTATTTCCATAGAAATCTTTTATTTTAATAAAATATAATTTATTTTTATAATTTTCATTATATTCTATTAAATGAATTAGGTAAATAGTACATTTTTAGTAAGAAAAATATCTGACCTCTGACTTTGTTTAGATAATTTTTCATTTCTTTTAATGAATTGGAAAATGCGTTTGTTGAATCCATTTTTTATGTTTTTTAATAAATCTTATTTGAAAATTTTATAGTTTAATTAAATAATGAATCATTTAAACATTAAATATACAAATATGAAATCTATAAAAAAATAATAACTTTAGTTTCTGGAACGACTTATCATTTTTATATTCGTTGAATTTAAAAAATTTATGCTAAAATTATCGTGTATTAAAAATTCTAAAATAAATTTTAGAATTACATTATTTTTATAATTATATTTCTAAAAAATAATTGGATTTAAGATATAGAGGTGATGCATATTTATTGTATAACCATTTTAAGGAATGATAAAAGACCTGCTCAAGTGCTTGCAATTTCTACTAATCTGAGTTCATTTGGTTTTTTTGTTAGATCAAGGTATTGTTTCTAGATTTAATAACCAATATTTAAAAAAATAAGTATTTATGAGTTTATGTTATTGTTTAGTCGAATGGTTGCTGAAGAAATACAGGTTAGGCAGCGTAAAAGTTTTGAACATGAAAGTTGATTTTATAAAATATTTACATATCATATTATATTTATTTTTATTAGATTATACTATTCACGTTTATTCCCGGTCTGAAGGTGTTGCTGCAGTTATTATTTGTGATGCTGAATATCCCTTAAGAGTTGCATATTCTCTTTTAAGTGATCTTTTGGATGGATTTTTAAAAAAATATCCATGTACTTCCTGGCCTGAACAAGGAAATGAATATTTATCATTCGAAATGTTAAATGAATATATTGTGAAATATCAGGATCCTAAGAAAGCTGATAGCATCATGAAAGTTCAGCAAGAACTTGATGATATAAAAAGTGTGCTAGTATGTTTTTATTTATTTGATAATATTATGTTTTTATACTTTTTCATAGTTTCAAACCATTGATTCAGTTCTTCAACGTGGAGAGAAGTTAGATGATTTGGTTCAGCGTTCAGATATGTTGTCTGCTCAATCCCGGTTGTTTTATAAACAGGTATATATATATATATAATTGTGGTTTATGTAAAAAAATAGGCAAAAAAAAATAATTCATGTTGTATTATTTCATAAAATGATTTTCTACATAATTTCTTAAAATTAGTCTCTGAATTATTAGCTTAGTTTAATTAAGATAACATAAATTGCTTGAAAATGCATATATATATCCATTTGCAATTGTAACTGTTTATATAGTAAAATTGTGGATTTAGTTAATATTTAAATATAATGATTATTTTTATGATATGATAGAAAATGCAAAAATTTATGTCTGATTTTTTAAACGTTTTAATTTTTGTTATATTTAAAAAATATAAGAATTGATATTTTTATTAAATATGACAATGCTATATAAATTATAATAAAAATATACATATGTATAAATGATAAAAGTTAATGTATTTAATATATATATGAACAATTATAATAGATTATGTTTCTTATATATAAAACCTAAATATATATTTAATTTTATTTTTGTCTTTTAAATACATTAAAATTAATTGAATGTGTTATATATAAATTATGTATTTTGATATATATTTAGATATAAATTTATTTATAAAAATATGTAAATTATTTCTTACATATAATATTAATTATATTAAAATATAAATTTAATAAAATATTCATCTATATTAGTTCATATTATATAAATATTTCAATTGTGTATATTTACTAAATTAAAATTGTTATATTATTATATTATAAAATAAATATTATATAATATTTAAAAATAATATCTGATTTGATATTTTATTATATAAAAAAAATAAAATAGTATTACATTTATAATACATGAAAAAATATATAAAAAATAAAAACGAATATATAAATTAATATTTCTTTAATGATTACCTAGGACTTATAGTTCAATATTATAATAAATCCCATTATAATATAATAAAATTGATTAATAAATATCGCTAATATTATGCACTTTTATACAAATTATTATAATTTAGTAAAGGTAAAATTATATTTTATATTTTCATTATTTACTACTTTTTTATATAAAAACAATATATATAACTATAAAACTAATTATAAAAAATCATACAAAAAAGCTTTATTAGCTCTAAATGTATACAACCAAGCACGCTGATGACCTAGTTCATTTTGGATATCTTTGAGTGATGTCCATAATTGATGAACATACTGTCTTTGATGAGCAGGGGTTGCATCAATTACTATAAATTTTATAAGCTAAAAAATGCCATATTAAGATTTTTTATATTTTTAAAATACCTTTTCTCCATTGATTCTCTTGTAAATTAGTATTTTTTATTAATTCATAAATATTATCAGACAAATCAACACAAAATACAACTATATTTCTAGAACAAATATCGTTAATCAATTCAGAAACATATTCATACGCTTTTTTTTCCTTAGTAACAGATATATTAACATTAAACATACCCTTATTAATTATAAATTGCTTTTTCTTTAATTTAATTTTTCCAGTGTTTTCTTCAGATAAAAATCGAACAGAAAGTTCTTTTTTTCTACTAAAATTAACATCCAGAGCACGTTTTCGTATAATCATATCATTCATATTTTCATCATTTATCCTATTAAACTTAATCTGATTTTCAGATATATTTTGCCTATTTCTTTCAGCTATTTCTCCTAATAACCAAGGAACAAGGCTAGAATACGGTATTTCTTCATCATGTTCAGATGCTATATTTTTAACTTTTACAGAATAATCTTTAAATAAACCATTTGCTTCATAACTTTTATGTCTTACTATAATAATCCAATTGACACCATTTTTTTTTGCAAAATCAATAATATCATCTAATGTTTCTAAATTTGATCTCGAAAGATCAGATTTAATATTAAATTTCCATAACTCGTTTAAAATTTCCAAACATTCTTTTAAAAATCCATGACCTATACTTGAAACCAGAACATCACAATTTACAACATTATAAGGCCAACGTATAGAACCAGATATAGCTTTTGAATATTTTCGAGAGGGAAATTCTTTAAAAGAAAATTTTGCAAGAGATGAAATTATTTTCTCAATAAAAATAGTTATTCCAACCACAGAAATAGATACTTTCCCAGAAGACAAAGGTGGAAGACATTGGTTAATTAAACTATCATATCTCCCGCCCGCAGCAAATATATCACATTTTTTATTTTGTATCATTAATGCTTCAAAAATTAAACCACCCTTATAGAATTGATAATTATGCACTGTTAAGGGAAACAAAAATATCTCTTGTTCTATATGAAAATATTTTAAATATAAAAAAACAGATCGAATATTTTCTATTGAACATAAAAGCTTTTGATGCATTGATACGTCAAATATATTTAATAAGCGCAAAATACCAGCTTCAAATTCATCTATTTCATCAATTAAAAATCCATATATTTTAACTGGATATTATACCTTGAAAATTAAATTTATCTAATTGTTCTAAAGAAGATCCAGAGAGTAATGATTCAGAACGAAGTTGATTTTGAATTTGTTTTAATGTAGCACTCTTTCCTAATTGAGATAACAATATACTAGCCCTAGGTCTATAAGAAATATCTATTCCACAATAATCAAATATACAATCACTAATTAGAATAAGCCAAGAAAATAAAACCACATGAAAGAATTACAGAATATCACAATGATTAATATTAATCAAAATTTTCATTTTCAAAAGAGAAGGGACTTCATTTATAATTTCATCAAGTATCTTAATACATTCGCTTTCATAAAGACTCAAATTATCATCATTTCTAGTAACAATGTCAAAATTAACTTCATCTAATGACCAGGGTATTGTATCAATAGTACTATTTCTAATAACATTAAACGACTATATATAAAAAAATTCAAAATTAACCTGTAAACTTTGCCAAAACAATAATATTTTCCATATTTTAAAGAACATTTTGTAAGTTGTCGAGCAAAAGGTAAAATAAGATCATATGGGAGCTAATTTATTTAAATATACATTTTATCAATGAAAATAGATATAACCTGCAAAAGAGTACCATGGCAATCTAAAAAAGTAGCAAGATTCTGCCCAGAGTTATAAATCTCATTTTTTGGAAATAATTGTGAACGATCATTATTAGAAATTGCACCATGTCTTTTAAAGATAGTTACTAAACAGCTTTTAAGCCATTCCATAAGTGGAGATTCAACATTTAAAGAATCGGTCTTTAAACATCAATATATAATTGAATTATAAAAAATACTAACTATGATATCATATGTATAATCCTTGCATTTATCTATATTTTGAGAAAATAAAGCTTCCATAAGTTTAACATAATACGGTGTATTAGGATTTGCTTATTTCATCAATATATTGTAATTCTAATAATTATTATATTATTTACCAAGAGTATGAAGACTTTCGCGTATATATTCGTCCTCCACTTTTGGAGGTAACAATTCGCTGCGTAAAAGTTGAAAACTAGTAGGACGTGTTTTAGGATCATGTTGTAAAAGCCATGTAATAATATGCTTTTGATTTGAAAATTTATTAGAAGGAAACTTCGACGGAAATATAATATTCGAGTCCCTTAAATTTAAAATAGTCTTTTCAAATTAATCGAACTATAAATATTTATTTATATTTTTTACTTTTATACGCTCCATAGTAGTTTTAAAAGGATAACACAATTCAAAAAGAATTATACCTAGAGAATACATGTCGACTAATTTATTAGCCTTTATAAACACTGAAACAAATTTACAACCTTTTTGATTATAAGAATGCTTGGTATTATGCTCTAAAAGTTCAGGAGCAATATAAAGAGCAGTACCAATACCTTAATTAAAATTAACATAATTATTAGATAAAATAAAAAATTACCCGACGTTAAATCATTATCATTTTCAATATTATCAGAATATTTTCTAGAAACCAAATTCTCAATTATTGTCCAACATTCAGTAGCCAACCCAAAGTCACCTATTTTAACATCACCATTTTCATCCAAAAAAATGTTGCTTGGCTTAAGGTCTCTATGAATAACACCTTGACCATGAATATGTACTAAAGCATCCAAAATCTGACGAAATAATCTCCATATTTCATCGGTATTTACTTGTTTTAGCTCTAATATATCCTTTAAAGTACGTCTTTCACAATATTCCATCTGAATATACAATATTCCAGAGCTACGGGATTTCAAATCAACAGATATCTCACTATTTATAGAACAAGAACTCCAATTACTAGATGTACTTCTAGAAATTTCACCTTCAAAACAATTTAAGAAACTTCGTTCTGGTCTGCTAGAAGAAACAAATTCAGTAACATTAGAAGATATTAGGTCAGACCCATTATTATAAGAATCAATAGATCTTCCAAATTTCCTAGGAATATGATCGTAAATAGTTTCTCCACTGAATAAATCTTCTAACCAAGCAGAAAAATATCTTACAATATGTTGATGATGAAGCCTTAATCTTAAATATTTAAACAAAAACGTATCAAGTATCATACCTGGAAAGAGTCATTACTTCTCGAAGAATACGATTATACTCATTTTTATTTAAACTAATCCGTTTAATCTAAAAAAATATCATTAAACAAACATTAAAAAAATAACATTTATTTTCATACAGCATAATATTGCCCATCGAGCCTATTTCTCACTTTTATTACTTTGCCATAAGTACCTTTTCCAAGCCATTTTACTTCTTCGAAATCATTTTCATATCGAGAAGCTAAACGTAACCTAGAGGACTGAGAATTATATTTAGATGCTCTAACAAATCCATAAAAAGGATTAGTCGAAATTTCAGTATTTAATCCCAATGTTCTAGCAATTTCACCACTAGTAAAAAAAGGGGATGCTAAAAGGTCAGAAGCAGATGGCCTTTTATGCCAATTTATTTCCAAAGTAAAATTAAGAAAATCAATTACCGAGACAGATACCACTATAAATATATTAATAACAATATATATATATATATATGTATCCAGAAATACTAGAATCAGATATTTCTTTTAAACTAGAATATTTAGAAGTAGAATTAATACCAAAAATCATTTGAAGAAATATAACGCCAAACATCCATATATCACTTTTCCGATTAAATACATAATTTCCAGTTTCAGATTTACATTCAGGAGGATACCATATTTTTGGAATATTATTTTTTTTAGAAAAAGATGATTCATTTGATGAAAAACTACATAATTTATTCATATGTTGAAGACTATACGAAATACCATAGTCAGATATTTTTGCTACTGATCTCCCTTTCTCAGACTTAAATATTAATATATTTCCTAAATGTAAATCTAAAGTAATCAACATCTAACTAAGCAACATCAAGGTGTCATACTTTTATGCAAAAATCCTCGACGATGTGCCTCATTAATGCCTTCTAGCAAATCCATTGCCCAACTTCTAGCAATATCCAAACTTACAGAACCAACATTTTCTAATATATCTCTAAGTGAACCTCTAGGAGTATACTCTTGCAAACATGATAATCTCCAACTACCCGAATTTAAAAGAGAAATTCTGCATGCATAAAATTGTACAATTGATGGATGTCTCAAAGATATAGTTGCTTGCAACTCCTCTTCCATTTTATAAATTTCTTTCGTACCATCAGATGAGTTCCAAAATTCGGAATTCAAAATAAGATCCTTTAAGACAAAAATGTTTTCCCTATTTTTATCCGTAACAGGGGTTACTAATTTTACTGTCATAAAAGATTGTTTCCGAAAAACTAGCAAATCCTTTACAGCTTGAAATCTAATAAATTTACATTGTTCATTTTGTATTTCTATTTCTTTATCAAAAATTATTATATCATCACTAGGCTCTTGAAATCCATAACAATCTTGTTGTCGCTTATTTACTCGAGTTAATTGTCCTTTTCTTCTAATTAATTCTTTCCGAATCATTTCATCCAAAATTATTTCCTCTTCTTTTTTAAAATATTCCTGCTGTTTCCTCATCTCTTCTTCTGTCAACTGTTGTTTTAATTCTTCTTTTAAAATCCTTAAATGTCTTTCCTCTCCTAAATTAGTAGAAGGCTGATATTCATTTTGCCATTCGTATAAAATATCTTGAATATTTGAAGAAATTTCGTAGATCATTTCATGACCTTCTAACTTATTCATAGTTTTTAAAATAAGATCATCTATCTGAGCCAATTGAGATTTAAGAAGGTTAACGGAATTATCAATAGATACTCTTGGTCTCGTCTTTGGATAGGTATCCGTCATATAAATTATTAAATCTAAAGAAAAAAAACTAACGCCATTAAAATCACTATGCAAATGAATTTTTAAAAAAGATTCTTGATCCTGATAATCTATTAAACAGTTTTTAAAAGATTTAAAACATACATTAGAAGCATGAGAAAAAGTATTATTATCGATATATACAAAATCATCCATATAAATAGCCTTTAAAGCTTCCAGTTCGTTTTTTTGAATTTCAAAACATTCCAGTAATCCTAAATCCATAGATTAAAAATATTCGAACACTTTAAATCCTAATTTTATCATATTTCAAAGTATAAAATCATGTCGATCGTCTATTAATTTTTTAAAATTATTATTAAAATTATATTTATAAAAATTAAAAAAAAGATCTATATATATTATCATATCTAACACTCAAACATTTTTACTCAATACATTTTTAAAATGCATCATTGCTATATTTATATATTTTTAATTAAATATGCATATAATAAACATTTAAAACATCTATTTTTTAAATAACTAATGTTTCTATTATTTTACATAGATTAAGTTTAAATAATATTATAATCAGATATTTTTATTTAAATCAATATATTTTATTTTAAGTATACGAAATTTTATCATTTGTTTAGATAAAGTATCAAAGAAAAAAAAATAAAAATTAATAATTATCATTTTTTTGGAATTATTTCACTTTTCAGGAAAATATGTTTTATTGGGATACTAAATCACATAATAATAAAGATGATACTGAAAAAAATCATTCTTATGAATCAAATAAAACTCTTTCACATTCTAAATTATTAAGTCAAACACCAAAAACGCCATCTGCAACAAATTGGGTTCTTCAGGCATTTAGAAACCATTTTTTTTATATAATTTATCCAGGAAAAAAATCATATATTAAAGAAAATAACAATACTATTTGCAAAAATCAATTTAATTCTTCTATAAAAGATGATTTCATTACTAAAACAAGGTCTATTGACACATCAAAGATAATTGACAATAAGGAAAGCGATGTAGAAAAAATAGAGAATACTAATATTGATAAAAAAGAATACAAGAAAAATATTCAAATTTCTGACTTGAAAACTCCAAAAAGACAAAATAGTATACTTAGGCATCCAGGAACAAATGGCACACGTAAAACAGTTTCTTTTTATGATGTTTATGAGCATGATAATAGCATATACGACTCAGAAGGAAATAAAACATATTTTTTTCGAAAATTTCCAGGAAAATTCCCTAGTTCATATTTATCCAAATCAAGAAACTTTAAAACAGACGAAACAAATGAAGATACTAATTTTTTTAATAATTTCAAAACTATTACATTAAATCCTAAGAAGTCACCAACAAATATACTTTATCAACAAATTAACTCTATTACTCAAAATAATCAGAAACTAAGACTTTTAGTTTCTGAAATATCCAAAGAAACAAACATTTTTTATGATCATTTAGAAAACAATACATCTGAATTCGATATTACAGATAATATGAAAGATCATATATCATCTAGTAAATACTGGAAAACTAAATTTGAGACCTTAAATATCCTTAAAAAAAATCTTGAAAACGAAAATCAATTCTGGAAATCTAAATGTTTTCATTTAGAAAAACAACTGCAAAAACTATCTAAAATAGATTCAATGTATTCTGAAAAAAATGATGCTAAAGACGATCTATTTATAGAAGAATCTAAAAAAGAGAATTCATTAGGAAATAGCTTTTCCGAAAGCAAATTGACAAATATCAAGAACGATTTAATTAATGATATAGAGGAAATCAAAATACAAACAATTGAAAAACCATATATTCATCTTATAACTCAAAATTCAGATAAAAACATTCAGATAGAAAATTCGGAAAAAGAAATTTACAATTTCAAAACATCTTTAAACAATAGATGCCATTCATTTAAAAATAATGACAATAATCACCCGAAAGTTAATATAAATATGGATCATCGTGAAATAAGTAAAAATAAAAAATCAATAAAAGAGCTTAATACAAGGAACGATTTTTTAAATTATCAAGAAGAATCTAAAAATCCTAATACTATTATATTTAATCGTGATACTTTTGATAAAAAAATAAAAAATAAAAAAACCATTAATCAAAATTCTACAGAATCATTTACTAAAAAAGGAGATAATAGAAGCGACAATTCAGACACTTTTAAAAAGGATAATTTAGATAAAAAATCTAACTTTTCAAAATCGATCGCCAATAACACATGTCATCTTAAAAATTCTCAACAACTTCAGGAAATAATTAATGAAATTCCAAAAAATTTACGATATAAGGAAAAACCATTTTCTAATGTTCTTGATCCAATATCCAGAAAAGCTGCTGCTGCGAAACGATTAGAGGAGCGTCGAAAAAATAAGAACAAAGCAAATGAAATTAAGCAAAATAATTTAGAGAAAGAAAATATTAATAATTTTTTTACATAAACATAAAGATAGGCTATTTGTTAATTTTAAGATTCTTTTAATATAAAATATATTGAATATATGTATATATTTTAAATCATAAATCGATATGTCCGAAAACTTCATTTTTTTATATCTCTAACTTTCATTGAAATCATGTATTTTTGAAATTGTCATTATTGCATTAAAAGAAATGTCAAACTTATCAGCAGTTTTTTCACAAATACCTTCAGAAGATATTAAACGAGCAATGCAGCTAAAAAATCAAGGCAACAAACTTTTATTAGAAAAATCATTTTCGGAAGCAATCAAGCTTTATTCTCAAGCTATAGAACTAGATCCAACTAAAGCAGTTTATTTCACTAATAGGGCATATGCTTATATAAATCTTGAGTCATATAGATTGGCTATCGAAGATGCTTCTAAAGCTATTTCCATTGATCCATCTTACTTAAAAGTATTTTCTTGAATAGTTAAAAAAGTTTTTAATGAAAAATAGGCATATTATAGGCGAGCAATAGCATATACAGCTACTTTGCGCCACTCAGATGCATTAAAAGACTATTGTACTATAATAAAACATATTCCTAATGATTTTGAAACTAGAAAAAAAGCTATTGAATGTGAAAAGATAATTCGTAGAATAAAATTTGAAAAAGCTATTGATGTAGGAGAGGAACCTTCTGCTACAGAAGGAATCGATTTTGATGCTATTGGTAACATTAATATTATAAATAATTAATCATATTAATACATATAAGTCATAAAAGATGATTATGATGGAGAGAGATTAGGCGAAAACATGACACTAGAATTCATAAATGATATGGTTTCTAGATTTTCCAATGGAAAAAAGATTCATCTAAAATATGTTTATCAAGTAAATTAATATACATGTATACAAAAATATTTTAAATAAATTAGATAATTCTTTCAATCAAAAAAATCCTTAGCTTAGAACCAACAATGATAGAAATTGATATAAAATCCGATCACATTCTTACAATTTGTGGAGATATACATGGTATTTATTTTATAAATTTATTGTATTGCTAATATATTAGGACAATATTTCGACTTGCTTGAAATATTTAGATTAAACGGAAAGCCTTCAGAAACCAATCGTTATTTGTTTAATGGAGATTTTGTTGATCGAGGTTCATGGTCAACAGAAGTTGCCCTTTTACTTTACGCTTACAAATGGTTATATCCAACTGGAATTTTCCTTAATAGAGGGAATCATGAAACTGATGATATGAATAAAATATATGGATTTGAGGGAGAGTGCAAATCAAAGTTAATATACATTTTTTCTTTATTTCTAGCTAATTTTTTCAAAGGTATACTGAACGTACTTTTAAACTATTTTCAGAATCCTTTAATTGCTTGCCTCTTGCAACATTAATAGGTCGTACTTATTTAGTAATACACGGAGGGCTTTTTTCAGACGATAATGTTACATTAAATGATATAAGAAATATTGATAGAATTTCTAAAAAACAACCTGGAAATACAGGTCTAATGATGGTAAGAATTTATATATAAAATATTAATTTACATTGATTACATAAGGAAATTTTATGGACAGACCCTCAGTCTTCATTAGGTCGAGGTCCTAGTAAAAGAGGGGTAGGTTTGCAATTTGGTCCAGATGTTACAAAAAAGTTTGTAGAAGCCAATAATCTAAAAGCTATTATTAGAAGTCATGAAGTTAAACCTAATGGCTATGAAGTAGAACATAATGGATGCTGTATTACTGTATTTTCTGCACCTAATTATTGTGATACTCAGGGAAATAAGGGTGCGTATATCCGAATAGGACCTGATCTAGAATTAGAGTTTAAAACTTTTGATGCGGTTCCTCATCCTAATATACCACCTATGAAGGTTAAATTATTTTCTTATTACGAATAATTCTAACTTTTATAGTACGCAACTGGTCTAATATCTATTATGTAATTTATATTCACAATAATCTTGGTAATATAGCCTTTTTGAATATGAATAATATATATATATATATATATATATTTACATAAACTATATAAACTATAAATATTTTTAATTATTAAAATTATATAGTAAAAATCACCAATAAACATAATTTTAGATAATTTTATTATATATTGATAATAATATTATATTTTATAGCTGTTAGTATATGTATATATTATGTATAAATATGATAAATTTTAATATTTAATAGAAAAGTATAAAACAAATTACTTTAAAATATTTATTCATAAATACTGATTATTAAATCTAATAATTATCGATATTTAACAAAAAAAGCAAGATGAATACTAAATATTTCATTATATAAAATTCTAGCAAAAAATATATGAATAAAAACATATTAATAATTTATAATACATTTTTTTAATATTTAAATATAATAAATACAAAAAAAAATATAAATACATATAAATACTTCTCTTAATAAAATTAAATAATTCATAAATATATTTTTTTAAATGATATTTTCTTAAACTTAAATAATTTTTAAATATTATCCAATGGTATAAAAAATATTCTAATTAAAAAGTTTTAAAACATTATCAATTCAAAACTTATTTAATAATATTTCTCAAATATTTTTTTGAAGACGTAGTTTTTTAAACTAAAATATAATTTTGTCTATAATTTTTTAGAATTTATAAGAATAATCTATAAAATACATCTTTTTATTAAAAATAGCAAAAATATTTTATTAAAAAACATTTATTATATATTCAAAAAATATATAAACATAAAAAACATAAAATTTTATAACGCTTTTGATTGAAAAATTTATACATATTAATTATATTTTATATTGAAATAATTATAACAAAAAATTAGTATAACATGTTAATTGTATCCAGATATTTTAAAGGAATATTAATAAAACTACATTAAGATTCTAAAAACTAAACACATTTAAAATATCTACATAATACATATGATATATATATATATATATATTTATTATCCATTCCATAATATAATCATAGATTTAATATCAAAACTATATATAATATTAAAATAGTTTTTTATTTTCTAAATAATTTTTAAAAATAGTTAATTGCACTAAAAATAGTCAATTTTTAAAAGTTCAAACTAAGTCACGGAAAATGTGTCCTATAAAGACATACCCTACCCTCTTATACATTTTTTGTTGATCAAAATCTCCTGAAAAAAACCAGTTATTTCAATTATTATTTCCTTAATAGCTATTTTTAACAAATTATCTTGAATTGCATTGAAACATTATAAAAATGGAGGGTAGTTCTATAACTTAAATTTAAAAAGAAAAATACTGATTTTTGCAGATGAAATAGCCGCTCTTGTTATTGACAATGGATCTGGTATAAAATATTTTAATAAGCAATTTATGTTTGCTAATGTAATAAAGGCATGTGTAAGGCGGGCTTCGCAGGAGATGATGCCCCAAGGGCTGTTTTTCCTTCTATTGTTGGACGCCCACGTCATCAGGGTATTATGGTATATATACTTCTTAGATAATAGTTTAATTAACTTACAAATTAAAAGGTGGGAATGGGTCAGAAAGATTCATATGTAGGAGATGAGGCTCAATCAAAACGCGGAATTTTGACATTAAAATACCCTATTGAGCACGGAATCGTCAGTAATTGGGATGATATGGAAAAAATCTGGCATCATACATTTTATAATGAACTTCGCGTTGCCCCAGAAGAACATCCTGCATTGCTTACAGAGGCACCTCTTAATCCAAAATCTAATAGAGAAAAAATGACCCAAATAATGTTCGAGACATTTAATACTCCTGCATTTTATGTAGCAATTCAGGCTGTTTTGTCGCTTTATGCTTCAGGACGTACTACCGGTATTGTTCTTGATTCCGGAGATGGTGTTACACATACTGTTCCTATTTATGAGGGTTATGCACTTCCGCATGCTATTTTGCGCCTTAATCTTGCCGGACGGGACTTAACAGATTATCTTATGAAAATCTTAACAGAGCGTGGTTACAATTATACTACTACAGCAGAGCGTGAAATTGTTCGTGACATTAAAGAAAGGCTTTGTTATGTTGCTCTAGATTTTGAACAAGAAATTCATACAGCTTCATCATCTTCTAGCTTAGAAAAATCATATGAATTACCAGATGGTCAAGTAATAACTATTGGCAATGAGCGGTAACACTTAATTTTTGTTTTTTTTTTGAATATTAATATAATATTTAAACAGCTTCCGTGCTCCAGAAGCTCTTTTTCAACCATCTATAGTCGGTATGGAGACATGTGGTATTCATGAAACTACTTTCAATTCTATTATGAAATGTGACGTGGATATTCGTAAAGATCTTTATAGCAATATTGTTATGTCAGGTGGAACAACAATGTACCCAGGTAAATTGAGAAAAAGTCCAGAGAGATTACGTTAAACATAATTTAGGTATTGCAGATCGTATGCAAAAAGAAATAACTGCACTTGCGCCCTCTTCAATGAAAATTAAAATAGTCGCGCCTCCTGAACGCAAATATTCTGTCTGGTATTATATATAGTTTTATTATTTCATTAATACTAAATAAAAATAGGATCGGAGGATCTATTCTTGCAAGTTTATCAACATTTCAGCAAATGTGGATTAGTAAGCAAGAATATGATGAAAATGGTCCATCTATTGTCTATCGTAAGGTTTGTAATATGAAAATATAATTTAATTAGTCTAATTTTTTAGTGCTTTTAAAAATAAGCGAGAAATATACATTAATCTCATTTTTGTTCTATGAGATTTACATTGTATATCTTTTCTATGTTAAGAGATTTTTAGTATTTTTTTTAGATGCATAAAAATAATTTTTTTAAATAAATTTTTATAAAAAGTACTATATTTTTAAGTTTTTATTCATTAATTTAAGTCATTGTTCATTTAATAACTATCAGATATATACACATAGATTTATATCAAAAGATAATTAGTATTTTATTAATTCAATATGAAATTTCAAATAAATGCTTTTTAAATACTAAAATATTTAATAAATTGAAAAAAAATTATAACATATAATTCTATAAACAATATAATTATTATACATAAAAATCAAAAACAAATATAAATATTATATAAACTTATTGAAAGAAATAAACTAAAATTTATGTAAAATTATAAATATCTAACAAATAATATATTATCAATTTTCATAATAATCATTTGAAATACAAATCAACGTTTGTATTGTTTCTTTTTTCAAAATATTTATTTTTAATAATCAAAATCCAATAATTTTATATTTAATAATTCATTTTAAAATTCACTAAAAAATTTATATTAAAATTAATGTCTATAACCTTTGTAATAATAAAACTTTATATGAAGTCCAATAATAAATCAAAACAATTAATTTACAAATAAAATAACATTCAATATAACTATTTGACTAAAAACACATGTATTAACAATTTATATTAATTCATTTTTTTTTCTAAACTCTTAAAACAAAATATAAATGCTATTTTTTAATATTATATCAAAAAAAATTCAAAATACTAGCTATATAAACATTTAAACTAAATCTTATAACAAAGGCATTAAAATATCAAATGAACCAGTACCAACATCTAAAACCTTCCCCATAACCAATTTCGCACTTGGATTTTTAAGAAAATCAGAATCACCATATAAAGTTGCTTCTTGCAGAAAATTACATGTAGTTTCGAAACTCATCTTCAAAAAAGGAGAAACATTTGAAGATATAGAAGACCTATTAAAAGCTTTATATGAACCATCCATTGTCATATAATCAGAAATAAGAGTAAGGTGCCTAACATCAATAACTATTCCATAACTAAATAGAATTAACTATTTACAAGAGAATAATTATCAAACATACATTTTAAACAACTTATAAATTTCACTTATTATTGTATTTCTCGCAGCTTCAACACCATATGTGCAAAGAACATTTGCAATATCGTTAGAATAAATCGTATTTACAGATATAACATCATGAGCCTCCCATATACCTTTAAAATTAACACCATCAGTGCCTAAAATACGCTATATTATAAAAAATTATTTCAATAACCAAAGAGTCAAAATATTGCTCACCGAAGTATCCAATTTTGATTCAGGTTGAACTCGAAAACATTTTGAAATACCAGTTATTTCTCGTATTACAGTCTTTTGACATGCCATTTCTATAAGATTAAGTAATAATAACTTAGGAGTATCAAAAGGATACTAAATATTATTTAGTAAGAACAATAAGCACGAATTACTCACAACTAGCTCAATTTCACACCATTTTCCATCAATATTATCAAATTCAAACTTTCTACAATTTGAACATGCATAACAAACATTTTCTGAAATTTCTGTATTCCGAATAGTTATATTGTCATTATTTTCTTCATTCATTTCAAATTCATATGCGTCATTATTATCATAATTTTCATTACCGTTCATATAAATTTCAAAATCTTGATTTTCGCTTCGGTCATCAGTATTATTATCACTATAACTCATATCTTTTTCCTGAATAATTTGCTCATCATCATTATCATCATTATAAGTATCTCGTCGTTTTAATTGAGAAGTCGTTTTTACAGATTCGATATTATCATTCGAAATATTATTAAACAGTGACTCATCCTGAAATTGAAAGCTTTCAAAATCCTGAAAAGAAGCAGCTTTTCCAATATATGGTGTAGCATCATCCTTTCCAATAATATTTTTTCTAGTTATTTTACTGTTTTTTTTAAGAATGTTTTTCAATATTTTATCTAATTCTTTCAAAAAACGATTTTGCATGACTTTTCTCAATTCGAAAGCTGATAAATTATACTCTTTTTCATATTCCAATTTTGAAAAGAACATAATCTTAATATTATACTTTTTAATTTTATCTTTAATTGAAATATGTTCAGTAACAACAATTTTATCAACCAAATCTGATAAAATAAGTTTACTAATATTTTTTGCAAACAATTCCGCTTCATAATCTGATACTTTATCTAAAATCTCAAAAGTCATTCTAGGTGTTTTAATATTTGAATTTGCTATTAAGACTATTTCTCTTAATCTTGGAACACCAAGAGTAACGTTCTTAGCTCCAAGTCCAGCAAAATGAAACGTATTAAGAGTCATCTGAGTAGAAGGTTCACCAATAGACTGACCAGCAAGAACTCCTACTGCTTCACCAGGATGTGCCAAGGATTGCTGGTACTTCGTTTGCATAAGAATGCGAAACTTATTTTTTGAAATATTGTTTTTTATCAATTTATTATTTCTACTTTTCTGAAAAAAATTATGTGGATCTTTATCAATATACTAACTTTTTTTTAAAAGAAAAACATATAAAATATATACATACATCATCCATATGTTTATGAAATTTCTCAGAAATACATCCTAAAAATCTGCCTGGATTATATTTAGAAAGAACTGGATCATATTTCAACGGATTTTTAATAGATTTTTCAGCATATGAAATAGCTTTTTTGTGGTCAATTAATTTATATACAGTTTTAACACGATATTTTCGAGCCAATGATTTATAATTCATAGCGTAAAAACCAAACTCTAACATATATTTTTGTTTTGTAACATCAAGAGAATCTTCACCATAATGAAACTAATAAAATCAAAAAAAAATAAAAAAATCCTGAATTCAACGTACTTGAACTATGCTTCCATCAGAATCACGGACAGTATAATCATATTGTACTTTAATTCCTTCAAGATGTTTAATCAAGCATCTTTGAAGGTAACCTGAACGACTAGTTTTTATAGCAGTATCAATAAGTCCTTCCCTACCAGCCATACAATGAAAGTAATATTCTTGAGGTCTAATTCCCGTTAAAAAACGCCCATAAATATATCCCCCAGCCCGTGGACTCATATCATACGGCTTAAACGAAGGTAAACTCTTCCCACTAACCATTATGGGAACTCTACTACTTTCTAATTCTTGTTGCCCTTGAAAAATATTAATAAATTTAAGTAATATTTATGCAAAAACTAGACCTAAAAGACAAGATATCTGTGAAACATTTACATTATTGCCCTTAGCACTAGAAATTGTCATCATTTGCATATTATTCCACGGAAATTTAATGAAAAGCCCTTTAGGAATGCATTCATTAATAATGGAAGAGGTTAAAACACTCATCTTTTTCTTCATTATATGGTCTAAGCCTTGAAGTTTTTCTTTATCTCTATAAATTTGTTCCAATTTTATTTTAAAAGCACCATCTAATTCATTACAGTCAGATAAACCAATATATATTTTAACATCTTCCATGTCACACAATGATTCATTATCAATTATTTTTTTCCTGTGACTATCGCCATCACTATTTAAACATAAATCGTCTATACCACACGTAAAACCCCTCATTTGAATATATTTAGTAAACAATCTACTCAACGCGCTAAGCAATTTCCCAGCAATAGATGATCCATATAATTCATATACTGAATGTACTAAACCAAAGGCTGAAGCTCCAAATTGAGACTTATCAAGAATTCCGGAAAGCAAGTATCCATCCTTAAATAAAACTGTTTGTTCTTGAGTATGAACACCCCAGTATTCTCCAGCAACTTTTGCTTTCGATATTAGATTTAATCCAGGACAATTTCTGGGCTTTAGATTCAACAAAATGGTAGAAATAATCTGTTTTCCAGTCCAAAGAGTAGCCGGTTTAAGTATTGTAGGAGATAGTGTCAATATTTTACCACCATTTGAACTAACATTATCGAAGCTTAACGGACCATACAATAATTGTTGATATTGTTCCTTTGTAAAAAAAGTATCCTTTTTAGTCATCCAAACACCAGTAACAATATGGTCTTGTATTAGTCCACGAAGAGGAGTACCAGATGTAGGAACTAAATACTGAGAATCTGTATTTGCAATCAATAGTGCTTCTATTCGAGCATTTTCATTTTGAGGTAAATGAATATTCATTTCATCACCATCAAAATCTGCATTATATGCATTACAATTGGAATAATGCATTCTTATAGTTTTTTCTCCAGAAAGAATACGTGCTTTATGCGCCATTATAGATGGTTTATGAAGAGTTGGTTGACGATTTAATAAAAGAATATCGTTATTTCTAAGATGCCTAAATACTTTTTTATTTGTAGAAGATACTTTCAAAAAAGAAGAATTTACTCCTCGATATGTCTGTGGAGTCAATAATGTATTTGCAATAGCAACTCTTTCTTCGAAAGTTTTCTTTAACAATGAAATCATATAACCGTCTTCCAATTGAACTTGAATTGCCCCAGGCCATTTTTCAGGACCATTAATGACAGCATGTCTCAATAAATCAATATTATACGAAGTTACAGGTTCCGGATATGTTAATTTCATAGCAAAAACAGGAGGAATACCAATCTCATTAGTTTCAATATTTGGATCTGGAGATATAACACTTCTTGCAGCATAATTTACACGTTTACCCATCATATGTTTCCTAAACAAACCCTCTTTTTTTTCTAAAATTTGTTTTATTCCAGGTGGAGGAAACCTTCCCTGAGGTAAATTCACAGGATTCCGATTACTATCAATAAAACTGTTTACATCGTGTTGTAATTGAACGAATGCAGTTATTAACATCTCAAAATTACGATCCTTATTTTCAAAATTATCTTTACTATCAATTAAATTCGAAACAAAATCATTTAACTCTTTTATACGAAGACATGATTGAAGTATTTTCGAAAATAACTCATTTTGAGAATTTTCATGTATATCAGTACCGACAAGAGATACTGGTCTAAATTTAGTAGGGGGAACTGCTATAACATGTATAAAAAAAAAATCCGGAGTTATAAAAAGCTTATCTGGTTTAGATGAGCCTCTATACAATAATGATATTATTTTTTGTTCATTAGTAAATAACCGCCGCAAGTGATTTAAAACTTCTATTGGCAACATATATCTAGGCTGACTACTAGCCTTCAAAATTTTACAATTCATTGTTTCGTTTAAAAAATCGTTATGCTTTCCAAAATCTATTTTAGTATCGCCATAATTTCCTTTATAATAATGTCCTAAATGAATACTATTATCAGAGAACTCTTGAGACTCGATTTCCTTTGTTTCTAACAGCACATTTACCCTAACTTTCCCAAGAGCATCCATTTGTTCTTGATGCTTTTTTGAAAGTGGAAGCTCAAAAATCTTTACATAACCATCCTTACGAAAACTGGGAGATATCCTATTAATAATTAAAAATAACAAAAATAAAGAAAAATATAAGAAAATTCTAACGATGAACAATTACTACATTTCCTTAGGGAAACGATTTTTTCTAGAAATTCTTTTATCAGATTCCTTTTTTCAGAATCAACCAACTTATTCTGTATAAATTCATCTAAAACCTCATTTTTTGCAAGACATTCTTGTACATATATCTCCCTTCTTTCAGAAAGACTTAAATTATATTCATTACTCTTACTATCATTAGCCTCTCTATCAACCTTTGAATGAATTTTATCAATCTCTTGACTCTCATGAACAAGTCCAGCATTTAAAAGCCTTAATTTACAATAATAAAGATTTACTATAGAACAAGAAAGTTTGAAATGATGACAATATAAACATGTTGCTTTTAAAAGTCTATATAACTGAGATAAGAACAAAGGATGATACGTAGGTGTTGGGAGGAAAATATGGCCAAAATGACCGGGACAATAACGTTCATCTAAATGACATGTTGAACACCTTTAATAAATAAAAACTGCATTCTAAAGCAATTTAATACTTACAATATTGAACGATTTAATGGACCAAGAGCAGGATCATAAAGACCGTCTTTTGAAGGATGCCCCAAATAATCAAAAATAACAGGATTAATAATTTGCTTTACTGATATTTTTTCTATTTCCTCAGGACTAAAAAAACAAAAATCTACAGAAGAAACCTCTGTACTAACGGGTTGTGCTATATTCATAACAATTAACAAACAAAAATCAATATACTACAGTAAAACATTTAATATATGTTGATTGATCGAAATTATAAAATTTATCTCGTATATCATATATATGTTTTAATCAAATAAAATTAAGACAAATATACAAAACTTCTTTCATATATATATATATATTACAAATATTAACAAATCCTAAACTAATTTTTTCAAAATATACTAATATAGAAATTGTTTAATTATAAACATTATGATAAAAAATTTTAGATTCCTAACAAATATAATTTTTATATCAAGGAATCAAAAAAATAATAATTTTATAGCTCAGAATCATTCATTTTTTGTTTTTTTTTATTATAATTTCGTTAAATTAGGATTAAAACAGATTCTCTTTTAATAACCGTCTTATAAAAAACAGCAAATTTAATTAATTTCAAAAGAATAAAAATCCCAAATACCGAACTTGTTTTTAACAACATTTCAATATAAGTTTTTTCAACATCATCTATCAAATCTTCTAAATCTATATAATGATTGATAAAACTCAAAAAAGATTTTTTGATGAAACAGATGAAAAGAAGGCAAAAAGACTTAAATCAGATGAAGATGTAAGAAAAAGACTGGAAGTACGTAAATTATATTTACAAATTTAGCTTAAACCTGTTTCTAATAATCTTACACGAGAAGAAATTATTCAAAAAGGAAGAGCAAGTATTTTAGAAAAGATTAATAAAATGAAAAAAGCACACACTGAAAAAATGAATTCTCTTGATAAATCTACTGAAATGAAATTTCATACCATAAAATCAGATATTCAAAAAAGAATACAAGAACACAAAAATTTAGTTAGTAAATCTACAATAAAAGCACGTATGCAGGCAAATAATATCCAATTATTATATATTATTAATAAGATCTTTAAAGGATAACAGCATAGATAATGACGAATTTCAAGGAAAAGGAGGACTTTCTGTTGGCGTTCATCCGTCTTTGTTAGTAGATACATCTAAAACTGGAAATGACAAAAGAAACAAAATTCGTCCTAAATTTGCTACAACTATGGTATGGAGTTTCAAAGCTCTTATAGTTTCTAATATTAATAGGCAAATCTTCGGACTGTAGCTTCTCAACCACGGCCTAAAAAGCAAATGGAAATTTTACGAAGCCCAACAGACGACTTTATGAATACATATATGAATATCTATTATGATCCTAGAATGAAAACAAAAAGTAATTATAATCTTTATCGTTCTAAAGCACAAAAAGCTCTTATTTTTAATGAACCTGGAAAATATATTGAACAAGCAAATGCTCTTAAAGCTCAAGCCAGGTTAGAAGAATTAAAAAAAAGAATTGCAGATAATGCAAAAAAGGTTGGGTTGGAAGAAGAATTAGATGTTGATAAAGCTCTTTATGTAATATAATATAATTTTAGTTTAAATATTCATATTAATTATATTAGAAAGAAGCACCACCAGATATTGAATGGTGGGATGAAGGTCTCGTAACAAATAAATCATACAATGATCTCGATATTGGTCTTTCAAAAATCGATACTCCAGATTCAATTATTTCTCTTTATATTCAACATCCCATACCAATACCACCTCCATTTGAAAAAAATCAGCCTCCTCCAAAAGCTCTTATGTTAACGGAAAAAGAAAGGCGAAAATCAAGACGTCAAAGAAGGGCAGAAGATTTAAAAATGAAACAAGACAAACAACGTTTAGGATTAGAGGAACCAGAGCCACCTAAAGGTGTGTTACTCAACAATTTAATATTTTTAAATAATCTATTTAGTAAAACTATCAAACCTTATGAGAGTATTAACAAGTGAAGCAATTAAAGATCCAACAAGAGTTGAAGCAATGGTACGACGTCAGGTTGCAGAAAGAAAAGAAAAGCATGAACAAGAAAATAATAAGAGAAAATTAACGCCTAATCAGAAACGTGAAAAACTGAGAATGAAAAAAGCAGAAAATGCATCACGCGGGATATACTGTAATGTTTTCAGGTAATTTAAATTTTCAATCATTATACCTTTTTAATATATATAAAGAGTCGAATATTTATCTCATGGACAGCATAGATTTAAAATCGACAAAAATGCTGAACAACATGGTCTCACAGGAATAACAATATTGCATCCAAAATTCAATTTGGTTGTGGTTGAAGGGGGTTCAAAAGGCATTAAGCGTTTCAAAGATCTGATGCTTCGTCGCATTAATTGGACTGATGCACCAATTTCATCCACAATCCCATTTGACAATCAACTAATAAAACAAGATGAGCATGCATTAGTAGATTATTCTAAAAATAAATGCGAATTAATTTGGGAAGGAGAATTGCGTAATAGGAATTTTAGAACTTGGAAATTTAGAAGCTGCTCTGATGACAAAACAGTAAAAGATGTCTTAGAAAAAGGGAAAGCCTACCAATATTGGAATATAGCCAAATGTATTAAAGAACAAAATGATTTTTTGTCTTAATTTATTAACATGTAATTTCTATCTATATAGTATTCACCCTCCCAAATTCAATGCCATTCATGATCAACTATTACTTTTGAAGTATTCTTCCATTATGTCTATTCTCACTGATCATTTTCACTTTCATTGTCGGTTTCTGATACTATGTCACCTAATTCTTTTAAGCGACATTTGTCTCTTTTTCTTTTTTTTTCAAGTTCTTCTACTACCAACAACCATGATTCATCAATTTCTTTAAGTTTCTTTTCAAGCTCATTTTTCTGATCCTTTAATTCCAATATTTCATTCATTAACTTATGTTCCTATAAAAAATATTAAACTATTTTATAATTCGAACTAACTAACCTGTTTTTTTAATTGCGAAAAATCATTTTTAAAAGATTCCAAAGACATTTTTTCTTGAGATAATTGCAGCTGCAATGAATCTCTAAGAGATCTCAAATCTGAAACCTCATAAGATAATTCGCGATAATACGTAAGATCCTTTTCAAGATCATTAACAATAACAGCGAAATCTTCAGCCTCCTTTTTCTTTAATTCAACAATATTAGCTAATTCTTTCTTTGCATCTTCTAAAGACAAAGAAAGATCTTTTTTCTCAAGTAACAAGTTATTAATTTCTTCCTGAAACTTTTTTAAACTAGATTCAAAATCACTACCTTTTTGAATAAATTGTTTTTCCTTAATCATATAAGTTAATTCAATATCAATAATATTCTTCTATACCATGTCATTTATGTTCTGTTTTCCCACTTCCAACTCCATTACAAGATTTTCAACTTTTGTATTATGTTCTCGAATATAATTTTCCTTTTCTTCTTGTAATAACTGTAATTTAAGTTCTTTTCTTTCAAGCTCATTCGCCAAAAAAGCATTATTCTTAGTTAATTCTTCATTTTCAATGCTAATTTTTTTAGTTTGTAAAGATAAATGTGGATCTTTATCTATAGATTTTCGAATTATTCCTAAAAAATTAGAAAGGTAACTCTTGTTAAAATAATAATAAAAACCATAATTATCCCTAAAAAAAGTGATAAATGTATCTTCAAAGTATATGTCATCAATATTTTCTTTATAATCCAGTAACATGCAATCTCTTAACTGAGGATGTTCTTTAAACTGAATAATTCGATTAACAAAAGAATCACGTCCAATGCGATCAATAAGACGCTTTAATAATTCTCTACAATTTTAACATTTAAAAAATATTTAAAAATAAAACAATTTACTACCTAGGAATAGCAGATAACTCATCTGTAAAATGATATACAATAGCCAGAAGAACAGCAGCAAGACCCTGCAATATTATTCCTATTTTTGAATTCTGAAGAACTGAAATTAAATATTGAACAGTGCTCCCTTCATTAAGAAATTCAGATACAGATTCATTATCATCAAAAAGCCAGAATATTAATAACATAAAATATGCAACGCTTGCTCGATATTCAAATGAATAACCCAAAGAACTAACTAAATTGGCAGATATTACATGAATACATGACACAGGCTCTTCCCCTAAACTAGGATCACCTATAACAATTTCCCTAATAAGTTTTTTTGCTTCAAGATTCTCCTCAATAATATGCATTAACATAACACATGAAAACCAAATTTCACAGCCTGATTTTTTCCCTTGGTTAAATACTAAGATAATAGTTAAGGGATTACATAAATAAGCTATATACCATTAATTCCTAAATAAAAAAAATATTAACAAACACTCAGAAAAATCATTCTTTTTAAACATATCAATAATATAAACCAAAATATCAATTTGTTTTGAAGAATTACAGCAAATGTAAGATTGAAGAAAGTGACAACAGGCCAGTCTCAAAGAAAAATTAGATTTAAGGGAAAAAAGAGCAATAGAAAATAAATGCTGTATAATAATATATTCAGACTTAGGAGAAAATTGCATATTGTTCAAAGATAAAAAACTCTTCGAAAAAAATTTTTGACTATCTATATTTCCTTTAATAAGATAACCACATGTTTTTACTGCCTTATTATTTAACAAACATCATAAAACAAGCATTACTTACCTCTGCTTGAAGCGCAAATGGTACATCAAACAAAAAAGACAATTCTATTATCCTAACGAAAACGCCTTCTTTAAGAATAGCATTCTAAAAGCATTTAAGAAAAAAGAAACAATTATTTGCTTTAATACTTGATTAAGAGTATTCCCCAAAGTTTCTTTAGGAACAAATAATCTTATAAACTCCAAAACAGTAGAAATATTAACGAGTTTCTGCTTTTCCTGCAACATCTTAATTTCGTCTGCATTGAAAACCTCATCTAATAATTCTTTTATTTTACTAAAAAATCCCATTTCTCGAAACCAATTTTGATTACTATAATTATAACGCACAAGATTCTGCAATAAAACCAAACAATCAAAAACAATAAGGTTCCCATACAAAAGACCTCCTTCATTATGTATAATAGTTAAAATACGATCAAACACATTTTCGAAAACAGCCCTTTTTTGCAATTCAATATTATCATTAGAAATAGAAGTTAAAAGCAAAATAGCCTCTGAAAATAAAAACTAATGTAAGAAAAAATATATAAAAAATATTTAGATAACACCATTTCTAATAGCATCCCTTTTATCATCAAGAAGAGCAACAATTCGAGATATTCCATCATGACTTAAAAACATACACTCTTGGACTTCAATTAAACGATATTTAACAATAAATAAAATAATCTTAACAGAATAAAGACGAACATAAAATTCGGTATCTTTTAATATATCTAAAAGAATCTCAAAATTCTCATTTTTCTAGTACACTGTTAAATATTGCTTTTTTAAAAAATTCAGACATGCAAGAACAAATTCATCCGCAAGCCAAAGAGACGTATCATTATTACAACTAGAATCATGACTTTCAAACAAAATAACGATTGTTTCAAGGGTAACTTTTAATATATCAGAATCTTGTTGATCCTTTCTCAAACTTTGAATTAATCCCTTTAAACTTCCCGCAATGACAGCCTAAAATTCTTAATTAAGCGAATCAAAGACATTATTAAAAAGGAAAAAAACCTCAGGATATTCCCTACTAAATCCTTTTAATCCAAGAACTGCAGCTCTTCTATCTTCTAACAATGTTGCATGTTCTAGTTTGTCGCATAACTTTATAATTGTCTCTTCAGCAATTTGTTGTTTCGGTTGTGGAAGGAAATTATATCCTTTAAATAAGAAGTCCATTAAATAAATATTATTTAAAATATAAGCAATAATTCATAATCCTTATTTTTTAAGCGCAGTCGATTTTTAAAAAATCGTTAAAAATAATTTTTCAATCTATAAATTATATAAAAATATTAAGGTAATTATGCTTAATATTTAGTTATAGGAATATACGTATATTATATGATGTCTTAGAGACATTTGACCTAGAATAAAGTATAAGTTTATTTCATGCTGAAAAAAATTGCTACCATTTGAAATTTCTGATTTTTATCCAATATTCTATAAATAATATTTTTCTTTGTAAGATTTTATTCTAATAAATAACAGAATTAGATCCAGTGAAACTAATGGGCTTTTTGGTTATTTAAAATATACTATAGAGCTACATTTAAATTTACATTTATTTTTGCTTCTATTTTCATTTCTAAGCAGCAACTGGGATATATTTAAATAAAATAGTAATTATATATTTTTTATTTATAAAATTCATGAAATAACAATTTCTTAGTTTCAAAACATTTATTCTTTTAGAATATTTTTAAAAATAATAAATCTAAAATTAATTATAAATGGGTAATTAACATAATATTAATAAAAAAAACAAATACTTAATTTCTGATTAGGAGTTCCCGCACTTTTTCGCCATCTATCAAGAAAATGCAAGCAATTTTTTCAATTCTAATATTTTGATCTTATGAAGTCTAGATCCAAAAATCATAACACAAGTTATAGAAGAGAAACCTATATATGTTGATGGGATTCCAATTTATCCATCTTTTTCCCATCCAAATCCTAATGGAACAGAATTTGATAATCTTTATCTTGATATGAATGGTATAATTCATCCTTGTACTCATCCGGAAGATAAGCCAGCTCCAAAAAACGAGGATGAAATGATGATTGAAATATTTAAATATACAGAAAGAATTATCAATATTGTTAGGCCAAGAAGACTCTTAATGATGGCGATTGATGGAGTAGCTCCAAGAGCTAAAATGAATCAACAAAGATCAAGAAGATTTAGAGCAGCTCAAGATACAGAAAAAAAAGCAGCAGATATAGAAGAATTCATAAAACTTTTGAAAGCATCTGGCAAGCCTACAGACGAAATTTCAAAAAAAAAAGAAGTCTGGGATAGTAATGTTATAACACCAGGGACACCTTTTATGGATACTTTAGCAAAGTCACTAAGATATTGGATCATTTACAAAATCAATGTAGATCCTGCATGGAGAAATGTATATTTCTTGATTTAAATAGTCTAAATTGATATTGAATATAGTTAAAAATAATTCTTTCAGATTCTACTGTTCCTGGAGAAGGTGAACACAAAATTATGGAATTTATACGAAGTCAAAGATGTAATCCAGGATATGACCCCAATACCCAGCACATTATATATGGATTAGATGCAGATCTTATTATGCTTGGTCTTGCTACTCATGAACCTCATTTCCGTGTTTTAAGAGAAGATGTTTTTTTTCAGGATTCTAATTCAAAAGGCTGTCATATTTGTGGTCAAAATGGTCATTTCGCAAGGGAATGTATAGGGATTAGAGGAAATAACGAAATAGTTAATGAAAAACAAAATAACCCACCTCCAAAACCTTTTATTTGGCTTCGTATTGATATTCTAAGAGAGTATCTTGAAGCAGAACTTAATATTCCAAACATTTACTTTCAATTTGATCTTGAACGTGCTATAGATGATTGGGTCTGTTTATGTTTTTTTGTGGGTAATGATTTTTTGCCACATCTACCAAGTTTAGACATATACGAGGGTGCAATTGAAATCCTAGGAAATATTTGGAAAGATAAATTACATGAAATGAAAGGATATCTAACGATGGATGGACACATTGACTTAAAACGAGCAGAAATTATTCTACAAGCTTTAGGTCAGCAAGAAAGTCATATATTTTTTAAAAGATACGAAGGTAATTATTTTTTTATATACTTTATTCATAAATTGAATTTCAAAAGCTGAAAAGCGACAAAATGAATCTAATAAACGAAGAAAGATAGAGAGGAATTCTCCTCAAGATTATAAAAAATCAGTATATCAAGAAAAGACATCTTTATATGATAATAATCTTAAAAATATTGGTAGAACATCTAATTATAAATATAATTCATATTTACCAAACGATCTAATAATACCTTCAAATAAAGAAGATGTGAAAATGATTACAATAACAAATAGGAACGCGGTTCTTAATAGAAAGAACTTAAAAATGATTAATGATACAAATAAGTGTGCAGCAAAACAATTAAAGGAGAAAATGAATAACAATGATTTTGAAAAACATCAGAATATAGACTTATGTAATAATCTAAACAAATCATATAATGATCAGAACTCTGCTATTGATTCAAAATCATCTATCCTCGGGAAACGTAAAGCTATTGCGTTAAATGATACTTTAAAACAAGACTCTATGATTCATGATAGCAATTCTGATAATATTGAAGATACTATTCGGTATTTTTTCCATTTAATATGTTATAATACTGATCAGTTAGTCTTTGGGAGCCCGGTTTTCAAGAAAGATATTATGATCAGAAATTTCATATTTCAGAATCCGATATAGAATCCCGTAAAAGGTAATTTTCTTTTTCTCTTTCAAAAGCAATATAATTATATCTAGAATTGTTGAACATTACATAAAAGGAACTTGTTGGGTATTACTATATTATTATCAAGTAAAGATAGTATTCATTAAAATTTAATATTAACAAATATTAAGGGCTGTCCATCATGGAATTGGTATTATCCATATCATTATGCACCTTTCGCCTCAGATTTCAAAGATATATCGCTTCTAAATATCGAATTCGAACTCGGGAAACCTTTTCAACCATATGAGCAACTGTTAGGTGTACTTCCTGCATCTAGGTACCTTTTAAAAAATCATATTTAAGAAAAAAAAAACTGATGTTAAAAATAGCAAAGCTAGTCTTCCAAAGCCTTTGCAATCTCTTATGACAGAAGAAGACTCTGAAATTATTGATTTTTATCCAAAAGAATTTCCTATAGATATGAATGGAAAAAGATTTTCATGGCAAGGTTTATTACTTTTAAGAATCACTGTATTACTAATATTATAACAAAAAGGGGTCGCATTACTTCCTTTTATTGATGAAAAAAGACTACTTAACGCTATTGAAAAAGTTTATCCACAATTATCTGATGAAGAAAAATCACGGAATACTGTAGGAAATGATATACTTTTCATATCAGAAGATAATGCCCTATATAATGATTTGGTTTTATCTTTATATACTAAAAAAAAAGAATCCGAAGAGGTTTTCTGAATTTATATTACTATATTTTCTTATATTTATAGTTTATTAAACTGAATACAAAACTTAGTAATGGTTTATCAGGTATTGTTTCGCCAGATAAAAATTGGATCCCAAATAGCACATTATTTAATCCTTTAACATCTATATCTTTTCCAGATATTGAAAATGATAAATCAATGAGGTAGAAAAATAAACAGAATGTAAAATAAAATATTAACAAGAAACTAGTCTTGTTTATAAAATATCCAAATCTTCAAATATTCATAAGTCAATGCTTTTACGTGGAGTAAAACTTAACAAGAAGTTTTTAGATATTAACGATATACGACTGGTTCGTTTAGGGCTATCAGCTCAAAAATTCTAACTCTTTACATTACTCTGGATATATAAATTTAAACAATATTCCTTTAAAATGATATACTAAAACATCTGAAATTGACATTAATTTCAATGCTAGTACTATATCTTTTCATAATTAAAGCGACAAAAATAAATATCATAAGAATTTTAACATTCGTAATTATAAAAAATATCATAATAACACCTCTCAATTTCCATTACCTTATTCAAATAATTCCAATAAAATAGATCAGAACAAATCTCTATGTCTTAAGGAATATTTAGCAAAATTGGATAATTATAAAAGCTATTCAGACTAATTTTTATCGGATTATTTATATACACATTTTCATAACCATTGATTGCCAATAGCCTAATAAAGCAGGTTATATTATTTCAAAAATATTGACCATTTTATGTAAATACTAACGAAACATAATATTTCATAGAATTTTCTAATCTTATGTATTTAATATAAGCCATAGGTTATAAAATGTTAAAATATAAAACCATATATATATATGATTTAAAGACAGTTTATTATCTCAATTTCACAGAATTTAATAATCATCAATAATAAGATTAACTGTATAGGATTTAAGCTCATTTTTATGTCATTTTTAATTGAATTAGAAAAATAAGAATTCAACATAACTAAAATTTTCTAATAGTAATTTTCGTTATTGTACAAGTCTTTTCATATTATAACAGAAATCTTATATAATAAAATGAAATCTTTAAATTATATGTAGAATCCAGGAAACAACTAATTATAACCCTTAATTTATATTCTAGTTTATCACTAGATTAAATTAACAAAAACAAATATCATAAAATATACTTCAAATAAAAAACTTCAAATATCATAGTCAATAATTATTTTAAAAACTATAAATTATAATACGTTCTTAAAATTGAAAACAAAAATATAATTTAATAATTTTTAAATCACTAAAAATATCTTGAACCATACTTGAAAAGAAAAAAATATAAATATAGAGAAAATGGATCATTTTCTCTATATTTTACTAAAAACCTATTCAAAAAACATAAATTTATTAATATAATTTCACTTATTAATAATATATTCATAATTAGTAGATAATCTACTTTCAAAAATATATAATATCAAAAATCTAAGATAAAATTAAAAAATTCTATTTATTATATAGAAAAACAAATTCTAATGAAAAACTATAAATCCATTTCCAAATACTAGTTAAAAAGTTTGCAGCCATAATTTAATAATTTTTATTCATACAAAAAAACACAGATATAAAATTTATAACATTTAATTCATAATAAAAAACCTCAAAATACTATCTTCCATTATAAATTTTATTCATATCTAATAAAAACAAAAACATTGAAAAATAAAAAACCACTGAAATCATCAATGTTCAATATTTCTTTAAAAATGTATCAAAAAAAACAGAAATACATCATTCTAATTAATAACATTAATATAAATAATAATAATAATAATAATATATATATATTAACATATTCTTTTTATAATATAAATAGTCACAGATCTTAAGGTACTTGCATTAAATACCATTAGTTAAAAAACAGAATTAAATAAAAAATATAAACAATCATGAAAAACAATTATCATAAAAATATATCTTATAAATAAATCATTAAATAAAAGTAAAGGCCATCTAATAATAGAAACAAATAAATTTTAAAGGCCAATTAATTTTTAAATCATTATTATAATTTCGTTAGAACCTCTCAAAAAATATATTAAAAGATAAATAAATAATATAGTAAAATAATGTCAACTTAATAATTTATCCAATTATATAAAGCAAAGCTTCTCATTTATCAACTTTTTTACTTTCTCCAACAACCGTATAAAAAAAGAATTGTATGAAAAAAAAGAAAAGAGCTTTGTGAAATTGTCTCAATAACCATTCATATTTTCATATTTCTTTCAAACAACTTCCATTCACATATATATTCATGGTTGATAATTTCATCTATATCTTCTTTTTATTCTAAATAAACATAATTCATCATCCAAAGATTTTTCTCTAGTTATTACATTTAAATCATAATTTTAATATATTTTTCTACATTTTCTTATAAATAAATATTCTACTTATAATATTTTAAATCAATAATTAAAGTGACATATAATAAACACTTGCAATGCTTTATTCAACTATTATATTTAACAGTCTTAAAAAGCCTTAAACATATCAAATCAAAAAAATCTTTATAATTCCTTTTTTTATAATAAAACCCATATTACAATGTCCTTTTATAAAAAATATATCTTATAAAAAGAAATCGTTCTATTTTTAACAAGTATCAAAATTAGGGTAACCAATTTAAAAAATTGTATAAAAGCCTGAATGTTTAAATAAATCCTAAAAAGCATAGAGATGAATAGGAACGGCATATTGTTAAAGGAGGAAGGAGATGAGATGTGTGATTTTGAAGAAATAGAAAGGAGTTTAATTGAACAATTAAAAAAAGATTTCGGTACAGATGAAAAAAAAATGAAGCAACATGAAGAGGCATTAATTAAACTTGGTGAATTGTATAGAGATCATAGGTGAGAACATATATTGTATTAAAGTTAATATATAAATAATATGCCTAGGAAATTAAACGAATTAGCAGAATTAATCAAAAAAAGTCTTGTATTTTTGAAAAACTTTGCAAAAGCAAAAACAGCAAAAATTGGTTTATATTTATTTCTTTTTATAAATTTTATAACAAACAATAGTACGAACATTGATTGATTTATTTTCTTCTGTCCCTGATTCCTTAGAATTTCAAATAAATGTTACAAAAGAAACTATTAATTGGGCTACCGAAAATAATCGAATATTCCTAAAATTGTCACTAGAGACACGAATTATTGGACTTTATATGAAGGAAAAGCAGTATTCTAAGGCTTTACAGCTTGTAGATGTCCTTTTAATTGAGCTTAAACGTCTTGATGATAAATTTCAACTTGTTGAAGTATATTTACTTGAATCGCAGATATATCATGCTATCAAGAATATTCCTAAAGCAAGAGCATCTCTTACATCAGCAAAAACATGTGCAAATGCAATTTATTGTCTTCCACATATCCAAACGGGACTAGATCTTCAAAGTGGCATACTTCATGCAGAAGAAAAAGATTATAATACTGCATATAGTTATTTCTATGAAGCATTTGAGGGTTTTTCTGCTTCTTCAGATCCACGCACAGTTCCAACAATTAAATATTTATTATTGTGTAAAATAATGCTTAATGCGGTATATAACATATTATATCTTTTCTTTCTAACATAAATATAGAGTAATGATGTTCAAAGTTTTATTACTGGAAAGGTTGCACAGAAACATGCAGGACGTGATCTAGATGCCATGAGTGCAGTAGCTCGAGCACATCAAAATCGATCACTTGCTGATTTTGAAAAAGCACTTCATGATTATAAAAATGGTATAATTCTCACCCATTTTCTTTAGATAAAACTAAAATACTTAAAAGAACTAAATGATGATCCTATTGTGTATTCTCATCTAACCGTTTTATATGATACACTTTTAAAACAAAATCTTTCTAAAATCATTGAACCCTTTAGCCGCGTTGAATTAGATCATATTTCTAAACTAATTGGAATTTGTGTTAGTAAAATAGAAGAGAAGTGAGTTTTATTTCAATACATAGCTTTACCTTATACTTTAGACTCAGTCAAATGATTCTCGATAAAGTTTTTCATGGTGTTCTTGATCAGGGTACAGGTTGTTTAATTATATTTGATGAGCCTGAACAAGATGCAACTTACAATGCGGCATTAGATACCATTAAACATATGAATACAGTAGTCGATTTGCTTCAAGAAAAAGTAAATTTCTTTTTTCTTTAAAAAAATACTAACAAAAAACAGGTTGCAAAGTTCTTATAAAAATTATTTAACTATTGTCTTCTCATTTTATTGTATATAAATATTTCAATCATATTTCTACATATAAACTCGTTTACATTTCGAAGGTTTAACAACCTCCGATGAATCGCACAGTACCATTGAATTTTGCACAAAACCTTTATAATACATCTGCCCGACAGCAACCACATACTGTCCTTGGTAAAAGGTCTACTACATCTACTAATGAGTCTATGAAACTTCCAAAAGCACCTAAACCAAGACAACGGCCTACAGATCGCTCTATTTCAGCAAAAATAGAAGCACTTGTTCCAGATTCTAAATTATACCATGAACTTCGAGATATTGAGAGGAGATTAGATGCGGTTATAACACGGAAGAGATTTGATATTCAGGATGCAATTAACAAAGGCTCCAAAGTATTTATTTTTTTTTTTCAGTAAAAAAATATTTATAAGCATTAAAATTAGGTAAAAAGAACGCTTCGAGTGTTTGTTTCAAATATTTCATCTGACCAACCGTGGCAAGCGACAGATAAAGGGCTGGATCATCATGCGTTTGATTTTGATACGGGAATGATTCCTACATGGACTCTTCGTATAGAAGGAAAATTATTAGGAAACACAGATATAGCAAAAGAACGAAGGAAATTTTCAAGTTTTGTCAAAAGTATTGTAGTAGAATTGGATAAAAGTAATAGGTTTTTATCAAGCGGAAACATTGCTAAAGTATACACTATAATTTTAAACAGTAAACAAAATTAATATTATAAAGTGGCATAAATCATCATCAAATGCAGAGTTTGATGTATTGGAAATCAAAAGAAGAGGGGACATGAATATAGATATTAGAATTTTAATTTATCTCAATGAATATCCTGAAAAATATAAGCTAAGTCCCAAACTAAGTCAAATCCTTGATATGAAATCAGAAACTCGTCCGGAAATCATTATGGGACTTTGGGAATATATTAAATTTCATAAGTTGCAAGATGATGAGGAAAAAAGGATCATTAATTGTGACGAAAACTTGAAAGAGGTTTAAAACATTCGCAAAAAATAAAAATAATATCTTAATGATTATAGATTTTTTCTATGGACAGAATATTCTTTCCAAAAATACCAGAAATGATAAATAGTCATTTACTTCCAATGGATCCGATTGTTATTAAATATACGATCTGGTAACATTAAATTATAAATCATCAATTATTTTCTTATCTATAATAGTACGGATAAAAGCATCAATATATCAGAATTTGCATATGATATTCAGGTAGATATAGATGATCCAATACGTGAAAAAATGATAAATATTCTTTCTTCGATATCCTCGCAGAAAAAAATTGAAGAATTGGATGATCAAATTGCTTCAATTATTCAAGAGATTAACAGTTCTAAAGTAAAACATAGTTTTTTTGAAAGATTTGCACAAAATCCTGCAGTATTCATCAAAAAATGGCTATCTAGTCAATCTCGTGATTTAGAAATTATACTTGGAGATAATGATTCTCGTGAACGTATTGGCATCGAAGATAAACAACGAAGTGAATTTTATAACAAAGATTGGGTTCACGAAAGCATATTTCATTATTTGAGCCGCCAAGAAAGTAAGCGCATGCAAGAGCTTCATTCAAAACAAAAATAACTATTTTCAAATAAAAGCTTTTTATATAATTCATGGGATTTTTATGCAAAATACATCATATTTTCCATCTATCATCACTAAGATTTCGATTTTATTCAAAACATTTGTCAATGTATAATATAACATGTCATGATAAGCAAAAAAATAAAAAATTATATATATATATATATATAAATATTTTTATTATATAAAAACGAATTCAGGGCTATTTAATGTGAAATCATTATATTCAATAAAAATACATGATTTTTCTAAATATAATATCAATGTATACATTTGTAAAAATCTTATATTAATAAATAAAAAACAATCACAATCTTGAAAATAAACAGGTTTTATATTTTTTCATAATCTTTTTACCAAATAATCATTTTATAAATCAATACATCTTACTAAGTTTTGTAAAGAAAAGGGAATTGTTGTTGCGCAAGTGAATCAAATATTTTTACATCCAATGCAAATTCCCTTACATATTCTATCTCCAAAATATGTATTTTGTTCCCAAACAAGATTAAAGAGTGCAAAGGTGGACCAAAATCAACAGAAGCTAATTGCTTCAATGATCCTGCAACTATTTTCTCAGTCGAAAACCCCATTCTTGATACACCCACAGCCAATGTTGACTCATCATATACTAAAAAATTAAATATACTAAAAAAATATACTCAAAAAACCTTTTTCATGACATAATGACTCCAATTCCAAAAGCTGACTAATTGCATGGGAAATACTCATAAAGCGAGGCTCTTCATATATTTTTTTCCCTTTTATATAACTTTCAAATAATGGCTCTTGTACATGTAAATCTGCCCTCACCCTCAATTAACATATAATATACCTTTATATACTTATTTACCCAATAAAATCAAAGTATGCAGTCCTAAATCCCTGTTTTCCTTAATTTTAAAGTAAATACTATTAGGCTTCCATGTTTCTGTAAAAAAGACTAATGACACCGTTTGCCCAAAATTATATAACTGCAAACCTACTGCACCAATTGCTGTCATAATTGATGCATTATGTACAATTTGCGTAGGAATATTCTCTCGACGTGCTCTTAATAACAAATCAACATGTGTTGTTGCACTACCCACATTAATATTCAGTTAAGCACTTATTTCTCACCTTAGAGGATCACCCACTACCAGTAGTGCTACGTTCATTTCACGAGCTTCTTGCAATAACATATTGCCATCACATTCAACTTTCTCACGATTAACTAGAGTAATTGAACGGCCATAAAAAGCTTCCTAATATATGTCATATACTTCTATCATAGAAACCACTTACTTACCAATTTTTCTTTACTCACATATAATATACTTGTATAGGCTTCTAAGTATACAGATTGACATTGACGAATGATTTCTAAACCTTTTACACTGATATCCTTTTCATCACCAAGACCGAGTCCTATAAGGTACAACATAATACACTTTTTTCTCTTAATTATTGTATACGAAGGATTATAGAAAAGAACTAAAAAACAAATACACTACATATCAACACCAAATACATCTAGTATCAATAAAATGAAATATTTTTATTTTATTATTTCATTAAAAAAATTATATATATAAGATATATATTAATTGATGAGTTGAAAATATCTTATATAAGCCAGGTATTATGAGGGTATATCCAATAAACTATCAAACTTCCTATTGTCACAAGGACAAGCATGATTGGTGCATAATTAAATGTTGATAAAGAAATAGGAAATTGATAGGGAGAAGCGAGAACAGAAATTACAAAGATACACCATATAAAAGCAATGAACTGAAAGGGTCTAGAAAACCTTCCAAGTGACCATTTGACTTGTAAGGAATCGTCTGATTTATGTAACAAACGTAAAACTAGAAAATTAGAACATAAGTAATAAATTTTATATCAAGATAAATATATTCACATGCTATTAATCCATATGCACATACAGTTGGAAGAGCCATTGCACTAATTAAACTTGTAAATGCAACTTGATTAACAAGAATTGTACATAGAATGATGGATGATATTATCCAAACTAATGTTACAGAATTCCTAGGTTGAAGCCAAGGGTCTACTTTAGAAAGCCAATTATGCATAAAAAACGCACCATCACGAGCAGCAGCATAAACTAGCCGAGAAGAAGATGTGATAGCAACTGTTGTATTTAAAAGATGACCAAAAATGATAACAAGATTTAAAAATACATGTGCCTTTTTACCAAGAGCCAGTGAATACAACTGTACAAATGGTTGAGGAACATCCAAAGAAAATAAAACATCCAACTTAGGCTATCAAACATAGGTCAATTGAATGAAAAAAAGAAATAAAGACTCTTATACTGAACAAAAAATAAAAAGAAAGACAACAGGAATACCAAACAATCCAGTCACAAGAACACTGGTAAAAATAGATCGAGCCGTAGCCAGACTGGCATTTTTTGTTTCTTCCGCCAGATGACCAGGTGCGTCAAATCCAATAAGTACACCAGAAGTAGAAAGAAAAGATAAACACCAATTCCATATTGGAGTAGCATTAGTACCATTGTATGTTTCCATAAGAAAAGTTATATCTTGAAAACCATAGGTTTTTGAAACACCAATAGGCAACCATATTATATTTAAAAAAAAATCCAAAATAATAATCATACATGATATACGAAGTGCATACTTAAATAAATCGGCTAAATTAAAGTTAAAAAAACAAATGAATAATACAAAATAAATGAGCATACGCTTCAGATAATTTATTACAGTAGAAAACGCCAATAAAAATTCACTAAGAAGCCATTGAACAATTCTGAACTTAAAAACATTGGTAGATGTCGGAAAATTCACACCAAAAATAGGAAGTTCCTTTACCATTTCAATAATTATAAATGATATTTTCTCTTATTGCTTACAGATAAAAGAAAATTAACAGCACTTTGTGTATTACCAGCAACAAAACTCACCCATGCACTGATTGACCACCAAGCCACAAGGAAACCTATTAATCTTTTATATTTTGGTGATGCATATTTAGATGCCCATCTAAAAAAATATTAAAACTAGATATTATTTTCTTTAACTTTACAAATAAATAGACCCAGACACAGGAAGTGCTGAACATGATTCTGCCATAACAGCAGCCGTAATAGACATTCCAATACATGAGATAAGATAACTTATCCTTGTTTTTATTAAAAAATTAAATATTTCAAAAAACTTTATACCAATACGCTTGCGGTCCTCCTGCAAATATACCTGTTGTATAAACGATCCTTATACCACCAACAAAATATAACGCTACTATACCACTATTAATTCCAACTTATAAAATATTTAAATTAACTAAAGCCAATAGAGAAATTATCAAAAAATTGATATGTTCTATGTAATGTCTAGAAAATATTAAACTATATCGAAAACATTTTTTATCATTTACCTGTCTATATCCTAATGATAACTTTTAAATTATTATTAGTACCAAAAAAAAAATTTTAATGGCATTTCCTTACACTAGTATGATCTAATTCAAGTTCTGACTATAAGTCAGAACCTTTTCAATCTAACTTTTATAAAAATTAGATATCTGTAACACATCTTATATACCAATTATAAAAAAAATTCATAGATCATACTCAAACACTCCAAAATGCCATAAAAAACAATATTTTCAAATATAACTCACAAGTTGTTTTTCATCTTCGTTATAAGACTGTTCTCCAGAAATCTCATATTTCAGCTCTTCTTTAACATCCGAATCCGATGACATATTCTATTCTATCTCTCTATCTCTATTTCTATCTGTTTCTATGTATTTTCTATAAATCCATAAAAATAATTATATTTATAATTCCGCCAAATTCTTATTAAACAATATTATAAACTTTAAAAGCCTTTTACTTGAAATACCCCCAAAATCACTGAAATAAGACTCAAACCCCCATATACGCTATATAATATATATTCTTTATAATAAATATATATCTTATAAAATTTATATTTTAATATAGAATAGAGTGAAAGAGTCTAAAAAATTAAAATGATAAAATAGATTATATTAACAAGTAAAATAAGGAAAAAACCTTATTAATTATACTTGTTTAAAGTGTATGGGTTAATAATAATAATTAAGAATAAATTTAAGAATTTTGGAGGGGAAGGTAGTTTGTAAGCGATATTTTCTAAAAACAAGCGCTCGGAGGGAGAACGTCCAAAAAATAGGTGGACAAAAGTCTGTAAAAAAGGCAATATTTAGGCCCATAAACAGATCAATACAGTGTTTAAAAGTAGAATAAGGGCTTTATTTTAGCCCAGAGGGGCTTTTTGGCCCTGAAAATAATTAATTATGTCATTTTTAAATATCTTTGCGTTTAATCAGGGAGATGAGACATGTTCTCCTCCAGGTAGGTTGAATAATAGGGTAAAAGAGAAGAAAAGCTAAGAAAATGTAATAAAGAAGATTCTCGTATGATATCTGGTCGTTATCGGGTTCTTCCGCGGCGAAAATCTCTACTTTTTTGGACGTCGCCAAGTCGAGAACATAGTACTAGTATATCAACAGTGTGGTTTGAGGAGGGGGCATATGAAGGAGAATTGAATGAAAACAGTACGTTACTTGAGGGACTTGTAATTGCACCTCAAAAAAAAATTATTAAACGTATTCTTTATGGGTTTTGGAGACGATTATTTATACTTAATATTTTGCCATCAGTGATTGTTTTTTCGATACCTTTTGTGGTGATTTAGGATAACTAAGATGTTTATTAGGTTCTTATTTGGTGTGCTATTCCTTTTCCTTTATCGGAATCTTCAAATAATCCTCTAACACCTTTAACAAAAAAATGTATTAATTTTTGGTTTTTTTTATTTATATATTACGGGTTCTATAACGCAATTGGTCTATTATGGATCACTAAGTTATTTAATTTATTTTCTCTTAATTGGTTTTTAATATTTTTGACCGCGAATTTACTTTTTTGTTAATAACTATAGGTGGCCAGCATCATTAGGAGGCGCTATATCATATACATTCTTTTGGACATTTTCTGTATTCCTTGGGAGTTTGATTTATCTTTTTTCAGAAAAAGCAGAATATACGCTGACATGGATTCTTTTAACTTTCTGTACTATGGCGGGTATGCATCTATCTGAAAAGTTTATTTCAGTGCTTACGTTTTGTAAAAGGTCCAATAGTTGTTGCATTTGCAGTTTTGCGTGCTTCACATAGACATATGAATTGTCATTCATCGTCATATACAGAAGAAACTTTTTTCAACAGAACTTTTGATACGCATTTTCCTTCAAGTTATATTCGTTTTCTATGGTTCTGTCTGATATTAGTCATCGGATTAGCAGCATTTGCAGCTGGCGAAGTATTTTTCCTTTTGAACATTATTAAAAACTATATTAAATAATATAGGCATATGCCAGGCTATATTTAAAAACATTGCCTCATAGTAGTACAGATGCCCTTCTCTATGTATACTCGTAAGTAATTTTTTATTTTAGATTATATTAATTTTATATAGTTGGATTACAACAGTGTATATATTGGATATGATTACAGTGTGGATTTTGAGTTATAAAATCAAAAGTGAATCATTAGCATGGGTTTTTAAACTATATTATGCAATGACTTTACAGGTTATTTCTCATATTTTATATCTGTTTTAAAACTTAAATATTTAGATTTATGTTCGAAATTTATACGCTAGACTTCATTCGCCTCAACAATTCGCTGTAATACAGGGAGCAAGCTCGTTTACAGTCATCATTATCGTACCAGCTCTTATGACAAAATGGGCATACAAAGGATATTTATTTTTCACTAAAAGTCAAATCGATTACCAAGAGTATAAAAGAAACTCTGGAAGATCATTTTATATTAAAACATTGGTATTTATTTATTTTTATATTTAATGAATTTTCTAATAATTAAGGCACAAAACATAACTATGATTTCATTTCTAGGATGGGTTTGTATTCTTCACTTTGGGCCCAATAAGTCCGTATATCCTTATTTTACATTTAATACCAAAGTGTCATCTAGCGATGACGTCTATTCATTTAAACTAACCTTTTTTGCTACACTGGTAGTTTGGGCATCTGAACTCATTAGCTCATTTATTACAAGATTAATAATGAAATTGTTTTTTAAGTTTGAAGTTACGAATGAGGCATTGAAGGATATGATGGAATTCCCTGATATATTGCCAGCTGCACTTTCCGTATGCATCCATGTATTACAAAATATGCTGTTTTCAATTATTCATTTAGAGTTTACATAAATTCATAAACCGAAATTTTCAAAGAAAAAAACAATATTTACGTATAAAAAGTAAAACAGGTTCTTTTTGAAATATAATTCTATAATTACATAGTCTGATATTAAATAGTTTAAAGATATTCTATTTTTTCAGCACATAATCCTCCTATATTATTATAATACTATCTACAATTCTAAAATAACAAAACCTATGATTTCTTTAATTTTTAACATGAACTCATTAAAACCCATTAGAAAAAACATATACTTTGATAGTTGTGACATAGATGCCAAAGCATTTCAATTAGTCATATTATTTACATTATCTATCAATATCGGAGAAGATACTGAATTAAATACAGTACTATCTTCCGCGCTTAATTCGAATTTTAGTTCAATATCCTCATTTTTGACTTCTACAATCCCCGCATTGTACTTAGACTTAATATCAAAATCATCATGTTTTGAACTATTTTCCAGTTCCTCAGTTTTAACCTCAACTTTAGAAGAATCATGATAATCAAATTTATTTTTTACATAATCAAAAAAAGTAAAATCACGACGATTCCCATCACCTTCATCATCAGAATCACTAAACTCATCAGATCGTTGGGGATTTTTACTCCATAAAACTTAAAAATCAGCCTTGAATATATAACAAAAAAATAAAACTAACTATTTTTGCGTTTATCCGGATCTTCTTCATCTTCTGAATCATTATTTCTATCCAATGGAACATTTTGCATTTGAACACTAGGAGCAAATTTTGTTCTTGAAAGATTCTTTAAAACTTCTATTTTTATTTTTTCCAAATATTCTTTTGAATTCATATTTTGCATATTACTTGCAGGAACATTAAGTTCATATGTAGGTCCATAATATTCATAATAATCATTAAATGGCATTTCTGTAATTACATGAATACTAATATATTAAAAAAAAAAAAATACTAACCAGGCCCTATCTCAACATCATTAATTAAACCAGTTTCATAAGTCCATGTCCGAGAAACATTTCGCATTGTATATCCACCGCCTCCCAAAACTAACGTAGGTAATCCAAATTTCTTAACAAATTTAACACACGCAGCATGCCCTTTCATACTCAAATTAAAACAACCAAGACGATCTCCTGCAAGACTATCTGCCCCGCATTGCAAAACAACAGCACTTGGACGATACCATTCCATACATGCTGAAACAACAGGTTCGAAAACAAAAGCATATGATTCATCATCAATTCCATCACGCAAAGGAAAATTAACAGAATAATATTTCCCTTTTCCAACACCAATATCTCTAAGCTCTCCTGTACCAGGAAAATATTCTCCATATTTATGAAATGAACATGTCATAACCCTATCAGTAGTATAAAATGCTTCCTCTACACCATCACCATGATGTACATCTATATCAATATAAAGAACCCTAGGATAATACCTCAAAAGTTCGATAATGCCTAAAACAATATCTTACCAATTATTAACAATAATTTACCAATCTTCTTCCAAATATACATACCATTTACATAACAGAAACCACTAGCTTCAGATTTTTTTGCATGATGTAATCCACCAGCCCAATTCAATGCAATATCACATTTACCTCTATTAAGTCTTGCTGCACCCTCTAAAAATGCAAAAATAAAAAGAAAGAAAAAAAAATTTAACATACCCATACTTCCACCTCCACTAATAGCACAAAATTCAAATAACCCTTCAAAGACTGGACAATCATCTCCAACATTAACTGTAAAATATAAAAAAATTTGCATAGAAAAAATAAAATAACACACATTTTCCTTGCTCTTTAATATAATTATCCATATTTTCTGGTGTCACCCGAGAAAGAAACTCAATATAATCATCTGAATGAAACTGACACATTTCATGCTTTGTTGCCGGTTTAGCCCTCTAAAAATTGGAATAAAAATCCATAAAATACATAACAACAGCATACATAGATCTCCATTTTCTTATATAATCCATAATTCATAATCAATGAATGCGTCATTCTAATACGATGAGGTTTCATAGGATGTCCTGCTCCATATGCATAATTTCTAAAAATAAGAGAAAAAACCAAGAAAAAAGTACATCACAATACCCTACATCTGCTAATAAAGGGAAAATTATGTTAGAAATGAACTTATAAATAAATAAACAAATCTACAATCATAAAAATATGCAACACCTAAACAATCATTAGATAAACTCTATTTTCTCAGAAAAAAAAATACGTCTAGGAGATTGCCCGTTCAAAGCAATTGGATCTAAAATCCTCAGCTGGTTAGTCATCAATTTGCTTCAAACAAGGCCTTTTTTTCTTAAGCACGAAGAATGAGATTAAAACGAGATGAGCAGAAAAATCCAGATTTTATATAAAATAAAGGTATAAATAAAAAAATACAAGAAATAAACTATAAAAACAAATATATATATTATCAGGATTAATATTTTAAATATATATAATAAATATAAAATAGAAATAAATATTTGAAAAAGAAGATGTAAATTAAGGAATAAGAAATATAAATAGTATTATGAAGAGATATAAGTTATTTTAAGAACCAATGTATTTAGAAGTGTTATAAGTAGTTTATGAATTTAGTGAAAAAAGGTATAAATTGATCGGTATAGAATAGTTTGTTAGATAAAAGATTAGATAGAAATATGAAAAAAGTAATTGATCTAAAAAAAATTAGAAAAAATGAATTAATAAAAGATTATAATATAACCAAGATCAAAAATCCAAAAATTTTTTGTATAAATAGTTAAAATTTAAGTATTAGATAAGCCAAATATATATGAGATAAATGTTGAATAGAAAGGATGAATAGTATAAATTAGTAAAATAATTTGTATATAGTAAAAAGAAATTTGAATATGATAAATCCTATAGTTTTTCTTATAATAAGCAAAAGATCAGAAAAAAAACAAAACCCAAGTTTTCTGAATCCATATATATATATATAATGTTAATGTGTTAAATAAAAATTTTGACATCAAATAAATCCAATAGAAAGTAAAAAACCAAATAAATTAACAAATATTAAAGAACCTTTCCTATGTTTAAATAAAAATTGACCATTTTTAATGGAGAAAAACACAAAAAAAAGATCATATACGTAATAATAATTGCTGTAGATATTAGATCATAAGACAAAGTTAACTTATTTAGAGAATTTCAATATCTTTATTGTTGCTAGATTTTCCATAACTTAAAATACCATTTAATTTGATTTCTTTTTGATAATTTAATCATTATCTCTTAGATAATAGTCATCAAATAAACTTTCTTGAGATTCTTCGAGAGAAATGAATATTTGAAATAATTATCCAGTTGTATTTAGTTCCATAATATCAAAGATAAATAAATAAAAACAAAATCAATGATTCCTAAATCCCATTGACAAAGTTTTTACCAATCAATTGCATCTAAGAATATGCAGAAAAACACTTTCTAATATAAAGATGAAATTAATAATAAATTAACCCCATTATTAGTCCATGAAATTCCATTATAATATCAATTTTTATGACCAAAAACAAATCATATATAATTATAAAGCCCCAAAATGAATTTTCATCAAAATTTTAAATAAAAATATTAAAATCATGCCGTTATCTCATAAAAACCAAAAGTATCATAAAACACCCTTTCATTCAAGATAAATAAATACTGACAAAAGAACTCCAAATAATATAAAAAATAGTAAAAAAATTAGAAAAAAAAACACAAAATATCCTCCAATCTCAATAAATCCAAAAAAAATAAAATTATATAATTAAATAATTAAACTCAATAGCATCAAATAAAATATCCCAAAAACATTATTATAAAAAATTTATTAATAATATAATTAAAAACTTATATTATCAATAAATTTCATTCATTAAAAATTTCCATTCCCTCTATTTAAATAAATTAAGAAGATTATAATGATTATTTATTAACATAAAAATTAATATTTATTCTTAAAATTTAAAACTATCTTATTTATCTTAATAATTAACATAATAATTCCCTAGTATAAAGCCCGATTAACTCAGTTGGTTAGAGTGTTGTGCTAATAACGCAAAAGTCACAGGTTCGAGCCCTGTATCGGGCATATTTATATTTCCTTTGCTTTTTCCCTAATTAAGGTCTTAAAAACCCAATGATAACTATATTATAAGCCAATATAAGACTTAAATTATTATTATTATTCATTTATTTATTTATGTGTATACTACTTACTACAGCCTTGTTATATTTACATTAGAGGAGATTATCAAATCTAAAGAATTCAATCTATAGCTTTATTAGAATAAGAAATATCTTTTAATTAGCTTAAGATTTGAAGGACAATTTTAAAAAGGTTTTTATCAAATCATACAGCTTGCTTAATAGCAGGTCTTTAAAGGCAAACAATTTTTTCTTGAAATAAGCTTAATATTATTGTTTTAATATCTTAAAAGACAAGGAAGGATATGCCAAGTCAAGCAGGACAAGGTTCAACTTCTAAAAAAACAATTCATGCAAAGCTCGCAGAGCTGCGAGCACTTAAAGCAGCAGGAAAAACACGGCTGCAATCATATAAAGTAATAGAAGAAGATCAAGTCTATGATTTAGTAGATGAAGAAGGATATCGTGCAATTGTTCGTCAACGTCTTAATGAGGATGATTTTGTAGTGGATGATCATGGAGAGGGATATGTAGATAATGGGATAGAAGAATGGGAAAAAAGCGAAATAGAAATGTCTAGTGAAGATGAAGAAATATATTGTAAGTTTTAAATATATAAGAAAAGAATATATATATATATATATTAGCTAAGAAAAAGGAAAAGAAGGTAAAAAATGAGAAAATGGAGCATTTTTTCAAAAAAAAACCGGCAACAGTAGCAATTAAATCTATAACAGAAGAAGATATGGACTTTATGGCGGATATTCTTGGAAAAATGGATAGTGAGGAAGCAGAATTAGTATCAAAAAAAAAAGAACTTGCATCTATTCCTCAAAAACGTCTTGCGTCACCTCCATTAAACAATTCTAGTATTTATAATCGATTAGAAAAGGCTAGTGCAATGTATGGGAAACAAAAAAATCAAAGTTTGCCAATACAAACAGAAAATAATGAATATCGTCCATCTAGTTGTCCATCAAGTGATATTATATCATCAAATTTACCATCCAAAACATATACACTTTCATCGCCTATCAATTCAATATCTAAAAAACTTAGGACAGAATCAGAATCAGAAGATGACTTTGACTTTGAAGTAAAAGAGCTAGTACAACATAATATTCTAAAAAATAAAGATAATTTTTATGAGAAATCAAAAGAAAATCCAATTACTCTAACAACCTCAGCAATTAAAGAAACTAAACCTTCTCCAATGTCTGAGACAATGGATGCATCATCATGGTTAAATCTAAACGATACTTTAAATGTTGTGAATAACCCAGAAAAAATATATTATATAGGAAGAAAAGAAGTTTTTCAAGATTTCGTAGAAGAAGACAATTCTTTAAAGATGTTTTGGTTAGATTATACAGAACTCAACGATTCTTTATGTCTTTTTGGAAAAACGTATAATAAAAAATTTGAAACTTATATGAGTTGCTTTGTTCAAATACATGGTATCATGAGAAATCTATATTTCTTACCTAGGAATTTCAATTTGGAAAATCAAGAATTAAAACAAGAAGTTACTATGGGCGATGTTTATGAAGAAGTGTCCAATTTACTTGCAAAATTTAAAGTCAATGAATTTAAGTCAAAACCAGTAACTAGAAAATATGCTTTCGAACTTCCCGATGTACCATATCAATGTGATTATTTAAAAGTTTTATATCCATATACGGAACCTTCTCTTCCTCAAGATATTTCTGGAAATACATTTAGTCGTGTATTTGGTACCAATACATCATTATTTGAGCAATTTGTATTATATAAGAGAATAATGGGACCTTGTTGGCTACATATTAAACAACCATGTTTTGATATTTGTCAGAATTTTTCTTGGTGCAAGCTTGAATTAGGTGTCATCAATCCAGAATATATTTTTCCTATTTTAGAATCAGACCTTGAACCACCTCCCTTAACTCTTATGAGTATTGCTCTAAGGAAAATTATAAATGATAAGGAGAATAAACAAGAAATTGTTGTCGCAAGTATGAGGATATATGAAAACATATCCTTAGATGATCCGGCACCAGCAAATAATTTACCTTGTCAAACATTTACTATTATTAGACCAATTCAACAATTTTTCCCTATAGGATTTGAATCTTTAGTTAAAACTCATAAAGGAATTGTTAAAATTGAGAAAACAGAATCTTCACTTTTAAATTGTCTCATAACAAAGATTCAAAATGTGGATCCTGACATTTACTTGGGGCATGAATGGGACAATGTAGATTATAGTATTTTACTATCAAGAATGAAAGAAAAAAAAACAATGAACTGGCACCGAATTGGGCGTCTTAGAAGAAAAGAATGGCCTAAAATATCAGGTCATTCGGCTATATTTGCAGAAAAGTTATTAGTCTCTGGTCGATTGTTATGCGATCTTGCAAATGAATTGGGTCGTTCTTTGATCAAGGCACAATCCTGGACATTATCTGAGCTCTGCGAACTTCATTTGGGTATTAAACGACATGAATTTGATGATAAAGAAACAGTTCTTTCATGGACCAATACTGCAAAAGGAATGATGGAATATCTTATACATTGTGAAGTAGATACCTATTTTATTGCAGCCATTGCTTTTAAAATGCAGATGCTTCCTCTTACAAAACAATTAACAAATTTAGCAGGCAATAGCTGGGCAAAAACATTATCAGGATCTAGAGCAGAAAGAAATGAATACATTTTATTGCATGAATTTAATCGTGAAAAATACATTTGTCCAGATAAAACTCTCATAAAATCCAAAATTATAAATAATGAAGAAGAGGAAGAACTAGGTATTAACACTTCATTTAAAAAAAAAGACAAATATAAAGGAGGTCTTGTATTTGAACCAATTAAAGGATTATATGACAAATATATACTTGTTATGGATTTTAATAGTTTATATCCCAGCATTATTCAAGAGTATAATATATGTTTTACAACAGTTAATAGACACGATTGTGAAAAAGACGACAAAATACCAGAATTTCCAGATGAACAAACACCACAAGGAATTCTTCCAAGACTAATTGCAACGTTAGTTAACCGAAGAAAACAGATAAAAAGTCTTTTAAAAGATAAAAATGCCTCAAGTATTCAAAAAATGCAATGGGATATCAAACAACAAGCTTTAAAATTAACTGCAAACTCTATGTATGGTTGCTTAGGATATACAAAGTCAAGATTTTATGCCAAACCATTAGCTATACTTATTACATACAAAGGTAGGGAAATTTTAAGAAATACTAAAGAGCTTGCAAGCAGCTTAAATCTTCAAGTATGCAATAATAAATATTAAAATAAATGATTTTAATTTTATTAGGTAATATATGGGGATACAGACTCTATTATGATTAACACAAATATTGAAACATTTGAAGAAGCAATGAAAATTGGCAATGAATTTAAAAAACATGTAAATGAGAGATATAAATTTCTTGAAATAGATATTGATAATGTTTATCAACGCATGTTATTACATGCAAAAAAAAAATATGCTGCTTTACATTTAGTAGAAATTGATGGGAAAATGGAATCTAAAATTGATGTGAAAGGACTGGATATGAAAAGAAGGGAATATTGTATTTTGGCAAAAGAAGCTTCTTCGTAAGAAAAGTCACAAATTATATATTTTTTTAATATATCTAGTTATGTTTTAGATCAAATATTATCAGGTAGCCAAACAGAATATGTGATAGAAAAAATACATGATTTTCTGAGAGACTTTGCAAATAAAATGCGTGAGGGCAAATTTCAGCCTGCAAAATTCATTATTTACAATGTTTTAAAACTAACAATATATTTAATTCATATTGATATGTTTTTAGAAACTTGGAAAAAATCCTGAAGAATATCCAAATGGAAAATCAATGCCTCATGTTCAGGTTGCTCTTAAGAAGAAAGAAAAGGGAGACGTAGTAAAAGTTAATGATGTTATTGCATATATCATTACTGGTAATGAAAACGATAACAGGCATATCGCAGAAAGAGCATGCACTCCTCAAGAAGTAATAAAACTTTCAAATGTTAAAATTGGTATTTATTTCAAAAGATATGTATTAATTTATTAAATAAAATAGACTACAACTATTACTTAGCAAATCAAATTCTTCCTCCTATAGAACGACTTTGTGGACCTATAGAAGGAACCGATCGTACAAGGCTTGCCGAATGTTTAGGACTTGATATTAGGAAATATCAAATCAATGAAACTAATAGTTCCAAATATAAATTTTGTACATATGAATCAAGTTTAACCGACGAAGAACGTTTTAAGGATGTAAAAGGTTTAATGCTAACATGCAACGGATGTAATGAAAAAATGGACTTTAAAGGACTTGTAAAATCTAGAGTATCTTTAAACAATCATATTTATTTTATTTAATCAAATCAGGAATTTGTAAATCTAGAAGGAATTTTCTGTATATGTGGAAGAAAGTTCCCTATCTATACAATTAGTGCACAATTGGAGTCACAGATTCGGAATCAGAATGATATTTACTATAATGCATGGCTATTATGTGATGATCCATCTTGTGCAAATCGTACTCGACAAATTAGTGTATACGGAAAGCGATGTTCAATCAAAAATTGCCAGGGCCAAATGCATTTCGAATATTCAGATAAAACTCTCTACAATCAATTACTTTATTATGATAGTCTTTTTGACGTCGATAAGGCACGGGCTATCGCGAACAATTTCCCCAACCCAGAATCCATTCTCGTTTGCGCAGAACATAATCGTGAGCGATTCGAGAAATTAAGATATATCACAAAGCTTTATTTAAACCATAATAAACGACGTTTTGTTGATCTTCAAAGCATTTTCAGTTTTTCGTAATTTTTTTAAACAAACATTAAAAACATAAATTGTTGGAACATTCAATATAGCATCTTTAAACATCTTTTAAGGCATTTAGACATATCTCAGTAACAAATTTTATATACCTACATCTAATAAAAACATATCACGTGACCATAAATAAAGCATATGTATATAGTCAACTCGACATTGAAAAAAATAATTTAGCTATTTATAACTCTCCTGAAAGATAAGAATTATAGAACATTATTCATAAATATTCGAATTTATCCATATTAAAGGATTATTTTCAATATTGCCGAGCACATTATGTGCCCTAAGTATTAACGGAAATGACACTAAGTCCGACATCGATCAGCGGTTGTCCTAACGACCCAATTATACAAAGTCAGAACAGTTTAAACATGGAGAAAAGATTATCAAAAGATTATCTTTAAACGATCTTTGGAAGCTCATTCAGAAGTATTCTTAGGCATTGCTATATTTACTTATAAATCCTATTCGACAATTAATATTTAGATTAATATAAAAATATGTCAGAACGATTACCAGAATCATCATCAAAATCGCCCAAAACACCTACATTTAATTCACCTAATGAATACATACTACCCAACATTTTATCACCACCCGATACTCATATCAGTATGCTCGATTCCTGGAAGGAGCCAACACCAGCACAAATTTCTACCATGAGTCTTGATGAAACCCGAAAAACAGTAAGTTTAAAGATTTTTCAATGTCTTTTACTAATTATCGAAGCTACTTCAAGCTGTTAAACATATCGCTATGCTTACACAGATGCTGCGTTCGGAACGTGCCAACGTTGCACATCACACATTGCAACATAAATTATTGGCACTTGAAATCCATGAAGCATCTCAAAGATATTCCGTTGAAATTAATATAATTCGCCGAGAAGTGGACCGCCTATTATATGAACTTGCACTCCCCTCAAATACGTTTTTAACATGTCAGCAAAACTACCAAAGCATTAAACAAAAATTACAAAAGACATTGTCTTTGTTAGAACCGAAAAAAAACTCTACAAAAACCGTATCGACTCCCACTTCAAATAACGTCGCCCATATAAAGAAAGATAAAGAAACCACACCAAATCAACAAAAACAGGAGCAAAGTTCCCCTGATATAACTCAACATAGTCTCATGAGTCCTATTACATTTCATTCACCACAATCGAAACAACATAATAACCATGATATTATCAAAGAAGCCGAGAGTCAATGGCTATCTCAAATGTCTTTAAAAAAGAAATCAAAAAAAAAACATTTAAATATAAAACGAAAATATAAACTCCGGCCTCGACAATCCATGCTTATTAGTCCTAATATTTCGCCTCGTCTAAAATGTTCATGAAGTAATTTTAACACTCGAATATTTGTTTAATATGAAGATTTCTGTTTTTTTTCTTTCAAAAAATGTATCCTATAGATATTATTAATATAAAAGACAAAGAGAATTTGGAAATACTATTCAAAAAATTTGTTAAACTATTCAGTCGTTTTGCTTAAGCACGTTTGTCTTTCTTGTAACCTTAATCAATCCAAAATCCGACAAAATAGAGTTAAATATTACATATTTAGATGTATAGAGTTCAAAAGAAAAGCAAATATAATATCCATAAATCATTAATGTATGTTGGTTTTGGTTTTCCTGAAATCTTAAAATACATCCATCCTCGACAAACCAAATTTTTGTGCAAAATAATCATTTTAAGACAAAATACACTACTGATGTTTCAATTCCATTGCAAAATCATGTAATTCGCCATATTCCAATAAAAAAACGAGTTGAAACATCACCTTCAGAGCATATATATAATCATATTCATAAGCAGTGTATTCTCGAAAAAGATGTACTTAAAAATATCTAAAACAAATCTTCATAAAAACACGACAACAGGATCATCATCTGAATCATCGGCCATAGAATTGCTTTCGCTCGTGTCAAACAATTCATCGTTTTTCATTCCGTAAACTAAGGAAGAACGAATAGATACATCGGGCTGTGTTTCAATATTCAAACAAAACTTTTGCTTTACAGCAAGCGAAAGTTGTGTAAATGCATCCTTTACAGCGCCTATAGACGCAGATCCAACTTGTGCATCAAAAAGATTACGACGCAAATTCTAAAAAGAAAAACGTTAAACAAAAAAATTAAAAAAAAAAAAAAGACTACTACCTTAAGAGATATTTTAAGAAAATTACATTCCTGAAAAATATCTTGATAAATTTCGTCCGGACAATAAAGCAATTGTATCTTAAGTATATCTAAAAAAATTAATTAAAACTTTTCAATCCGAAACCTATTTATACCTATCCAATTCACATAAAAATCAGGAAAAACAGAAATAGCCCGACAACATGAAGAAACAAGAGTTAACATTTTCATCCATTGTTCAAGGCATGAGCCATTAGAAACAAAAAGAAAAATAATAAAACATAATTGAAATTCACCCAAAAATCGCCCCGAATCTAAACCTTTTAGATATGAAAAAGTATATAATTAAACATGCATACCTCCTAAACAAACATTTTGAAGAATTCGTTCCAATTCCCAACTTTTATCAAGAAAACCCTCCGTTATTTCTCGACCTAATGCACCTGGCTTCCATGTACATCGCGAATTAATTGGTAAAAAAACCATTTCTGGTTCTGTTTCAATTACTGGTAAATTCGGCAATACCTCATCTAAATCAGATGACGTAATCGACGAAACATGCCATCCAGATGGAAGTAGACAATTAAGCATATTACGCGTAACCCATGCAATTAAATGATAAAAACAATACTCATCATCAATATATCTCACATCTTGTGTTTTATTTATACGATCTTGATCATACCCTTGTAATAACCCGTTTTCACGGGGAAAAGAAATTAACCATGGTTCAATCATACCCATCTCCGATACCGATACATCTTCTACTCCTAATATCATCTCTTTATAATGATCATATCGAAAAATTAACACTAATGAATCAACATAGAAAAAAAATCCCTGAGAAAAACTTTCAAGTCCCTTTAACTGTGTATTTTCTATCTTATTTACATAATCTTTTTTAACTCCTGATATATTATAATAAGCCCAATGAAGACCATTTGAGAGACCACGAATTCCACAAAAACGATGTCCTGTTATCCATGAATGACCGTCGATACCAAATGTTGAGCCTGGAGGAACATCGAGAATAAAAACTGACGTCATCTTAAGTCATAAAACAATATCTCATCGATTAATGTAAAAATAGTGATATTTTAACTGAAAAAATTATAAAACCCGAATATAAGCATTTAATAAGCATATAAAGAATCAAATAACCCTATAATAAGAATAAATAGATAAATAATAAAAATAATAGTAGTGAATCAATTATATATTGAAATCGTATAGAAAATAGAGATTAATAAGCAAATCCACGTCAAAAAACAATTATATTACAAAATGCATATAATACGCATATAATACGCATATAACCCGTAGTTATACGTTTCGATATACATTTTATTATATGAAAATGTAAAAGATATTTATAATATAAATTAATAATATAAATTAACATATATTAACATATATTAATATAATTTGTTAATATATATTCAAATTTACTCAATTTATTCACATTTCAGACCGATTCATAATTATAATCTTTATCCTTTGAATCTACTTGTATATCCATATTTTGTACTTTAGACCCACGTGTATATGCTGGACAAGGAATTATAGATGAAAGACTGACTGTTAATAAAGAAGCCAAGGCAGTTGCATAAAAAAGAGAAGTAGTTAATTTTGTACACCATGCCGTTGACCGCCAAAATGCCATTTTAAATAAGTTTAATAGAAATACTTAACTAAGCATTTCTATATTTTTTAAACTTTTTATATAAAAATTTATTTTTATTAAAGATAGAGACAAAATATGTTAAGGAGTGTCCCTAATTTTTTAATAAAGTATAATATTGAGGGCTATTTTATATATAAAAAAAATCAAGATGGTAAAAATATTAAAAAAATACAAGAAAGAAAGATCTAACATATAGTATTTTAGGCAGATAAGCTTAGAATCCAGTCTCAGCTTGAACAGCTTCAACAAAAGTATATTGGGACAGGACATGCAGATACAACAAAATAGTAGGTTATTAGATTTTTATATAAAAAAATAAACCAATAATTAGTGAATGGATTTCAAATCAACATAGAGACTCATATGCATCATATCTTGGACATCCTCATTTGTTAAATTTTTTTGCGGTCGCAAGTAATGATAGTCGAGAACGAGTTCGATTAAATATGATTGAAAAAATGGTTCTACCATGTGGTCTTCCAATTATTAAAGATGATTTATGACGATTTAATTATGAATTCAATAGAATTTATTTATAAATGATAAATAAATATTGAATAATAAAAACCTATACAGATGCAACTATATATATATAATATGAAAACATTAAACATTTAATGAGTAAAAAACTAGATATAACAAAGAATTATTTATATACAAAGAAATACGAATATTTTTAGGATCCTAATTATGTATAAATGAATGTGCTATAATTTTATAGAAATTATAAAAATATTTAAAAAATAATGTCGGTATCTTCATTACTTTCAAGAACGTTCATTATTACGACATTTTCCATTTTATCTTTTTCCCGATTTTCCTTTTCAATATCTAACTTTTTCTTAACCTGAACCTTTTTAAGTCTTGTAAAATCTTCTCGTTCAAGTTCTTCAAGTTCCGAATTAATATATTTAATTGTATTTTCAACCTTTGGAATAATAACATATTCAACAGCATTAACGCGGCGATTCGTTACTTTAATAACATCATCAAGAATAATAAAAGTTGTCTATATTTCATAAATTCCCTTTTATATCTTTAATAAAAATAAAAAACCTGCAGAGAAGCAAGTCTAACAATAACATCAATCACTTTAACATACATCTCCTGACATTTCCGAACTTTTTGTCCACCTTTTCCAAGCCCAACAAACCGATGGTCTAACATTCATTATAACTATAGTCCCCTAAAAAAATACACAAATACCATTCATATCTTCCATAGAACATTCATAAATAGGCAAAAATACACCGCTAATATTTTCATATCTCGTTTTTAAGCGGCAACATGATGTTTGCGTATTTTCAAGAATCTGATATTTAACATCATCTCCCATTACATAATTCATCTCTGCTAATGAGAAAGCTGCCAGCTGCATAACTTGTACCATTTCCCTCTTTGCATCATCAATTAACTTAGTAATTGTTCTAAATCGTTTAGTAAGAGCTTCTGATTTTCTTTTAAGCAATGAATGTCCTGTAACAGCTCCTTTCAGCTTAGTTTTCATAATACCCAGTGACCTTATCATATTTAGCTCTTATTACTTAGTAAAATAACTTACTGTCTTGTCGGGAAGACATTTTCCCTCTGATTTTGATCAGACATAGCTTATAAGCCTTTAACTCTTAAATCAGAGTCGTTCATCGTAGATCTTAGTCGTTAAGTCTAATATTATGAATTGGAGAAAGAAAAAAGTATGAAAACAGGAGTTAAACAGCCAAGTTCAAGCTATTTGAATATTAGTTTTTATATTAAAGAACCAACATGTGAGATAGTGTTTTTGAGAATATGTATATATATATATATACATAGTAAAGTAGTTAAGATAAAACAAAAATTGAAATATTGTAGAATATATAGAGTCCTTTTAGATAGATTTTGTAATAGAAAATAAGAATAATAGAAAATTATTTACGTCCATAATTAACAGAAATGACACATTCACTTAGAGACATACCGACCGTTCCTTGCTTAGCAATAATTGCATCTTCATCCCTTTCATATTCAACAAATGCAATTCCAGCCCTTCCAGGAACCATACGAACTTCTTTAAAGCCAGGAAAACGACCAAATACAGCAGATAAAACATCTGCTGTAATATTTTCAGGTAATTTTTGAAGAAAAAGAATTTTATGTGGAGGTAAATATTCATCAGGTATTCTAGATGGTTTTTGATTGGATTTTTTCGTAGTATTTTTCTTTGTAGTAGTAGTAGTAGTAGGCTGAGGAGCCTTTACTTGAATTACTCTGCGACTTTCTATGAAAAAAAAATTAACACAAATATATATAAAAAAATATAAAACCTTTCTTTTCTATTCTTCTTCTTTTATGTTCTTCAAATTCTTCCTCAGTTCCAAACTTTCTAACTATAGCATCACTTTTTGTCTTGCTAAACTGTAAAACCATAGGTTTATCAAAAAGTCGAAATGCTTGAACATCATCAATAGCCCTCTGAGATGAACTAATAGAATCAAATACAACAAATGCTTGTCCTCTCATTCTTATATTTTTATGTGCAACTATATCTAGAATAGTACCATATGATGAAAAAACGGCCTCTAAAGATTTTTTCAAAACTAAACCCATATAAGAACATTTAGAATTATCATAGCAATCAATATCACCATCAATCTTTACTTTTTCTGACAAGTTGCGGATATAAATAGTTTCTGAAGGGGGATAAAGTGATCCACCTGGAGGTACATATGATAATTCATTATTTTCAGTAGAAACAGGAACAGATTCTGAAGTCATATTATTAGAAAATAAAGTTACAGTTTCTTATATAATAATAAAATATTAATAATTTTAAATTAACAATATTATTTTTAAAACAAACTAGTTAAGATAATCCTTATCACGATTATCAAATTATTATTTCTAAAAATATCTATATCAAATAAAAATAGAATAAAAACAGTATATAATTAAAAATAGATTTACATTAGTACCAAATATTTTTGAAAAACCATATATTTTAGATCGTATTTAGATCGTATTTATAATGTATAATAGTGTAGTGTATAATAATGTATGATAAAATGTATAAATTAATAATCAGATCTGTTGTTCTTGATGTATAAAAAACGACCCCTATATGATTGTTTGTTTGTTTTTAAACAAAATAACTCCAATCTTTCAAAAAAGAATATGAAAATTTTTGTTCATAATTTTACATAATAAATTTATTTATTAATCCTGATTAATTCCGATTAAATCGAAAATAATTAACCACCAACATTCTGTTTTTGTTTTTTTCTTTTACAAGGACCCACTTTTTGAAATTTACGCCAACTATTAATCCGATTTTCCCGATTTTCCTCCCATGCCTTATCATATTCTTTTTTTCGTTTTCTCTCCTCTGCTTCATCTTCTAAACGCTTCTTCTCCCTTCCCTCTTCTGCCATTTGGATCTGTCGTGCCTTTCTTCTTCGAAGTTCATCATCAATCAATACACTTTTTGTTTTTTCTCTAACATCTAACTGAAACGCTTCCGTATCTAATTCTGGATGATCTAATGTCCATTTACGTTCCTGTATCAACATACGTCTTGCCGTAGCAAACGCTGTATCTAATCTTTCCCGGATTTTAGGATCCATTAACTCTGATTCCGCCTTTTTAAGACGATCAAAAGCATCCGGTGCCTTAGGATTCTTTGTTTTGTCTGGATGAATCAAAAGCGACTTCTTACGAAATGCATTTTGGATATTACTAGTGCTTACTCCTGGTTGAAGATCTAAGACAGAATATGCATCCAGCTTAAAAGCATTTAAAATTCTCTCAATTTCTTGATCCTATAAAATATTAACTTAAAATTCTTAATAATTTAACTAACTTTTGCATATTCTGCATCCTCATTTTCTAAAATCTTAACAATTTCATCAACACTTGTCATTATAATGTTAAGAAATGTTATAAATTTTAACGATTTATTAAGAAATAATTAAGAAATAATAAGAAATTTAGATTCGATTGTTAAGAATTCTTAATAAATGTTAAGAAATAATAAAAAATATTAATTTTTTAATAAAAAATGTTAAAAAATAATTAAAAAATATTAAAAATGGTTATAAAAAAGTCTAAAAAATTAAGAGAAATATTAAGAAAAAAGCATTTTGAAGAATTAGAAGACTTAGAAAGGCGTATAAAAGAGTTTAATGGCACAGAAAATATAAAAATGTTTTCAGAACTTCCATTATCAAAGCAAACAGCAGAAGGTTAATATCAAGTCAATTTTCAAAAAAAAAAAAAGATTTAAAAATAATAGGATTAAAGGAAAATCATTATATTGAGCTTACAACGATTCAGAAAAGAGCTATTCCAGTTGCTCTTAGTGGTAGAGATATTTTAGGAGCCTCAAGAACAGGAAGTGGTAAAACTATAGCATTTTTAGTTCCAGTAAAAAAAAATATAAAAATAAAAGAAAAAAGTTGATAGTTAGGTCCTAGAGAATCTATTAAGGAAGAAATGGGGAGTTTATGATGGTCTTGGTGCATTAATTATATCGCCAACAAGAGAGTTGGTAGAGTATTAGATAGATAGAAATATAATTATTAATAAAAGATACATCAGGCAACACAAATATTCCAGGTTTTATGTAAGATTGGTAAAAAACATAATTTTTCAGCGGGTCTTGTAATTGGAGGGAAAGATTTACAAGAAGAAGCACAAAGAATATCACGAATGAATATTATGGTATGTACACCGGGAAGAATTCTTCAACATATGGATCAAACACCGGGATTTTATCTTGATAAACTACAGATGCTTGTTTTGGATGAGGCAGATCGTATTTTAGACATGGGATTTCAAAAAACTATAGATTCTATTATTGAAAATTTGCCAAGCAATAGACAAACATTACTTTTTAGTGCAACACAAACAAAAAGTGTTAAAGATTTATCTAGAATATCACTTAAAAATCCGGATTATATAGCAGTTCATGAAAAGGAAAATAGTTCTACACCACCAACACTTTCGCAATATTATTCTATTATTCCATTGGATGAGAAGATCAATATTCTTTTTAGTTTTATAAAAACACATTTAAAATCGAAAACATTAGTTTTTATGAGTACAATTAAAGAGGTTTCAATTAACCATTATAATTTTCAAAGTTAAAATTAATTTATCTATTTAGGTACGTTTTATCTATGAAACATTTAGACATTTACAACCCGGGGTTCCACTACTACATCTTTATGGAAGAAAAAAACAGAATTCAAGAAATCTTATAACAACACAATTTTTTTCAGCAAAACATGCAGTCATGTTTTGTACAGATATTGCAGCACGTGGACTTGATTTTCCAATGGTAGACTGGGTTTTGCAATTCGATTGTCCTGAAGATGCAGATACATATATTCATAGAGTAGGAAGGACTGCAAGATATGATAAAAGTGGAAAAGCACTTCTATTTCTTTGTCCAAGTGAAATAAAAATATTAGAACGTCTGGAACAAAAGAAAGTTCAAATACAAGAAATTAAAATAGGAAATTCTAAAAAGATTGATATTTCAAAACAGCTTCAACATCTATGTTTTAAAGACCCTGAAATTAAATATTTAGGACAAAGAGTAATAATTTTGAGTATTTAATCAATTTTTTTATTAATATATATTTATAGGCTCTTGTAAGTTATTTAAAAAGCATTTATCTTCAAAAGGATAAAGAAGTATTCAAATTTGAAGAATTACCTATTGAGGAATTTTCATCAAAAATGGGGCTTTTAGGTCATCCAAAAATTAAATTTTTACAAGGTTTAAACAGTAAAATTTTAAAAAATAAGCCTAAAGAATTACAAAAACACTTAAATGATGAAATTGATAAAGAAGAAACAACTAAAACTAAATATGATAAAATGTTTAAACGTACAAATCAAAATGTTATATCAGAACATTACAGAAATATGATAGAAGGCAATGATTTATCAATTAGCCATGATTCTGACGATAATGATGACTTCATGAAAGTTAAAAAAGTACATAATGATTTTAATGATGAACCTTTAGAAAATGTTTGTAAACATCTTAATTATTATCAATTGACATTTATAGTGTTATAAAACCCTTTCAAAACGAAAACAAAAAATCGCTTTGTCAAAAAAAGCAATGCTTAAATATCGTCCTAAAGGAACAAAATTATTATATGACGATGAAGGAAATATATCTAATATTTATCAATTTCAGAACGAAACTTCATTTCATAAAGAAGGTACAGCTGACGATCAAAAGAAAAAATATATCCAAAAACAAAAAGAAAAAATGTTACAAAATGACCTTATAGATAAAATACAAACAAAAGAAAAAAGACATCAAAAAAGAAAAAAGACTTCAACTTTCAAAGAAAAAAATATTACACAAAATACCTTCCAAAACGATATTAATTCTCAATTATCTTCATCTTTATCTTCATCATCATCATCATCTTCTTCTTCATTCACTAATAATCATTCATTTATACTGACAAAAAAACAAAAAACATCTTTTAACAATATTAATTCAAATGATCCCTCGATCATACAAGTAGAACATCTTGATACACTTCAAGATCATGAAAATCTCGCATTAAAATTATTAAATTCTTATTAACATTAAATTAAACACTAATAATCTAATATATTTCATATTTCTTATATATTTTCTATTTATCTCTTAACTCTCTATCGTTGACCATATCAAAATTACTTTTAATAAAAATGACACAAATCTTATCAAATAATAACAAGAATAAGATAATATTAGATAATATTGACTCGTATCATATCTCTGAAGAAGATTTTGAATATGAAAAAGAGCTTCTTCGTAATCCATTTTCTATAAAATCATGGCTAAGATATATTGAACATAAAGAGGGTGATCCAATTCATGAACAAGTATTTATCTTTGAAAGAGCATGTATGGACCTTCCTAGAAGCTATAAGTTATGGCGGTTGTATTTAAACGTGCGAAAACGGCACGTTGAAGGACTTAATCCAGCTAAATATGAAGAAGAATATGAAAAAGTGAATGTTTGTTATGAAAAGGCCTTAGTTTTACTTAACAAAGTATATATATATATTTGTCATTAAGGGGATTAAGATATTGATTAATAGATGCCTCGAATTTGGATGGATTATTTAGAATTTTTGATGAAACAATGTAGAATTACAAAAACTAGACGAACATTTGATAGAGCACTTCAGACATTACCAGTTACACAACATGAAAGAATATGGAAATTATATAAGGAATTTTCCCGGTCAGTATCAGGGGAAACAGCAGTTAAAGTTTGGAAGCGTTATATTATGGTATATATATATATATATATATTATAATTAACAAGTCAGATTTTTCCAGAGATGATTGAAGAATTTATACAGCTTTTATTGGATATAGAATGTTATACGGAGGCAGCGTTTCAATATATATCATTGCTTAATAATCCAAAATTTCAATCATTAGAAGGAAAAAGTAATTTTCACTATTGGGTCGAATTTTCTAAACTTATAGCGACACATGCGGATAAAATTGAAGGGGTATTAGTAGAAAAGGTTATTAGATCAGCAATAAAACGCTTTACGGATCAACAGGGAACTTTTTTTACCAGTTTAGCTACACATTTTATTACAATAGGTGATTTTGAAAAGGCACTATGCATAAATATTTGTATATAATATTTTTAACAATAATAGGCTCGAGATATTTTTGAAGAAGGATTGATTACTGTTGTTACAGTTAGGGATTTCACTCAAATTTTTGATGCATATGCAGAATTCGAAGAATCTATTATATCTCAAGCTTTAGAAGAAATGACAGAGGAAGATAAATCCAAAAAAAACAATTCAAATGATGATTTAGATTTGGATATTAAAATGATTCGATTTGAACAATTGATGGATCGACGTCCATTTCTGGTAAATGATGTATTACTTAGACAAAATCCGTATAACGTTATTGAATGGGAAAAAAGAGTTGGACTTTGGGGTAACAATAACGAAAAAATTATAGAAACATACACGAATGCTATTAAAACTATACAACCAAAAAAGGCAGTGGGAAAACTTAGTTCACTTTTCATCAATTTTGCAAAATTTTACGAACAAAACAATGATCTAGATACTGCAAGATTGATTTTTGAAAAAGGTGTTATGGTACCATTTAAAAGTGTAAATGAACTTTCAGAAGTTTGGTGCGAATGGGCAGAACTTGAACTTCGAAATAATAATTTTGATAAAGCCGTAAAAATCATGAAGAAAGCAACCAATTGCCCAGATAGAAGCAATGTTGATTATTTTGATGAGGTATGTTGAATATTGTTTTATTTAAAAGTAATAATTAATCTAGACATTAACTCCTCAACAACGTATTCATAAATCTTCGAAACTTTGGATGTTTTATGTTGATCTTGAGGAAAGTGTTGGGACAATTGATTCTACAAGAGATGTGTATGATAAAATATTATCCTTAAAGATCGCTACACCTCAAACTATTGTTAATTATGCAAATTTTCTTGAAGAAAACAAATATTTTGAAGAAAGTTTCAAAGTAGCTAAATTTATACTTTTAATGAATTATTAAAAAATTATAGGTTTTTGAAAGAGGTGTTGAATTGTTTAGTTATCCTGTTGCTTTTGAAATTTGGAACATATATTTGGTAAGTTTTCTTTTTCAATATTAATAATATTATTAATAAACAATAGACCAAATTTTTGAAGCGTTATGTAAGTTCTATTGGCAACAGAAATAAGTCTAATTGAATATTAGAACGGTACAAAAGTTGAGAGAACCAGAGATCTTTTTGAACAGTCTCTTAAAGGATGTCCTCCAAATTTATCTAAATCAATTTTCTTAATGTATGGCGATTTTGAAGAAAAGTATGGACTAATGAGTCATGCAATGCGTATATATGATCAAGGTATCTATATAATATTTTTCAAGTATATTTTTAAGCATCTTTATTAGCTACCGAAACCGTTTCTACAGAAGATAGAGCAGATGTAGGATTAAATTATACTTTTTTCCAATTATTAATTGTAAAAGATGTATAAATATTATATAACTAAATTAGCTATAAATTATGGACTTACATCAACAAGACCTATATATGAAAAGTAACGTTTTATTTTATACATATTAATCTAACAAATCAGAGCAATAACATATCTACCTGATAAAGAAGCAAAAGATATGTGTCTAAAATTTGCAGAAATGGAAAGATCAATAGGAGAAATAGATAGAGCTCGTGCAATTTACGCTCATGGTAAAAATCATTTATTACTAAAATAATTTACTTATTTTTATAGCTTCACAGTTCTGCGATCCTAGAATAGATCCTTCTTTTTGGAAAATATGGCATGAATTTGAAGTAAAACATGGCAACGAAGAAACATATGCAGAAATGTTACGAATAAAAAGAAGTGTTCAAGCTGAATACAAGTATTCTCTTATTATCTATAACTCTATTACTAATTTTATTCTTTAGAATGAATGTTAACTATATCGCTAATCAAACTACTACAGATATTACTTCTGAAACACTTGAATCTGATAACGACCCAATGGCTTCATTAGAAAAATCAAAAATTCTTTCAGGCTTTGTTAGGAAAGTTAAAATACTTTATTCTATACATATATTCTTATAAAAATACAGCTCATCTTCCGGTCCTATTGGCAATCAAAATTTAGACTCTTCTACACAATCTGAATCATTTTCTATTAATAATCCAGATGCAATTGATCTTGATAATAATTAATTCAAACAAACAATATTATAACTATATTATTCAAGATATATATATATATATTTAAAAAATTATTTTACGTAAATTTTAAAGACTCGTATATTTTTACTAATATTTATTTTTTTTTAGATATAAACACTTGTTACTTTAATCTGACTAGTAAAGCAGATGTCTTGACATGTCAGCAGAATATTCAATATCATCTATTCAGTTTGATGATCCTAATTATGTTTTAAATTATGATTTAAAACCTTTGATTACATTTTTATCAAAACTTGTAGAAGTAATATTAAATGGAGACAAACATGATATAGATGAATACGTTTTATCATCTAATGATTGTTTATATAAGTGTGAAAAGTTTATTTCAGATGCTACATTAAGAGTACTTTATATTATAAAAAATGTTAAGGAAAATTTAGTAGATGATTCAGGTGACGACAAAGATTTCAGTATTTTTAAGTTTATAAGGGCTAGGAAGTAGTTATGTTTCTTATAGCTACCATTTTGATTTAGAACTATGTCCTTGTTCAGAGACAACAGCTATACTTGCGTTAATTAAACGTTATGAACAAATTAATCCAGCAATATCGCTTGAAAATCAGTTACAATTGGTTAATATGCCAGGATGGTTCAGAGATGAAGTATCATCTACATCTTTGATGCCTTATAAAGTTATACATACATTAATTCATTCGGCAGTTTCGCCTTATTTTGATGCATTCACGAAGGAGAGAGAGAAGGAACAAGAAAACACAAAACTATTAAACAATGAGCGTAGAACAGGTTAATATTTTCTTTCATGTATTTTATATCTAAAGAAATAGGAATCCCGGCAGTAAAAAAGAAGATTGCGGAATTAGAATTATCATTATTAGATTTACAACAAGATATTGAAATACCAAAGATATCTTTAACGATTCATCCGGAAGTGGAGAGATTTATTCTTGAAGTATTTAAATAATGTTTCAATAAATTTTTAAATTTTTTAGACTAATGAACAAAACATGCAACCTTTAATACAGAATTTCCCGAGCAATCTTTTAACAGATAGCACATTTCTTAATAATCTTCAGTCTAATGTCAATTCTTGGATTAAGTCGATTCAAACTATTACAAGAATTTCACATGATCCAACATCAGGATCAGCATCACAAGAAATAAATTTTTGGTTGAATATGGAAACGTCTTTACAAAATATTGAGGAGCAGCTTAAAAGTGAAGGTGTTGTCTTAACTTTAGAAATTTTAAAGCAAGCTAAACGGTTCCATACTACAGTAAGTTTTACATCTGATACAGGTCTAAAAGAAGCCAATGAAAAAGGTATTTTAATTTTTTCTGAAAAGTTTATTTTAATTATAAAAGTTAATAAATATAACCAATTAATGAAAGAATTCCCTTTAAATGAACTTTTATCGGCAACATCATTAGATAAAGTTCAAAAATCTATCTTTCAGATATTTAATCATCTTAATAAGAAACTTAGGATTTGTCCTTATCCTATTCGCAGAGTTTTGCCATTGGTGGAAGCTATTTCTTCAGATCTAAATACCCGTATTCAGAGTTTACTTAGTAGCCAAAAGCTAATGCATTTTGAATATACGCATTTTATGAAACTAATGAGATCAGCCGATGAAGTTTTCAAAACATGGGATGATCAACTAAAGGAATTCACAAATATGGCAAGAGATGTTACTCGAAAACGTAGTGAAAAGTTTATTCCTATAAAAATTACTTCGCAACATATTAAAACCCAAGAGAGGCTAGCATATATAAAAACATTTAGACAAGGGCATGAGCAATTGCGAAGTACGATTTTCAATGTTTTAGAAACATCTAAACTATCTTCTGACGAGAATTATATAAGATTTGATGGAGTTGGAGATTTAGATATTATGAATGATATTTCTGAATCATATTCTCTTTTTAAAGCTATAGATGTACTAGATATTTCTCCAGAGGGCACAAGACAGTGGATAATTACAGAAAATAATTATAATGATCGAATTTCTAGAATTGAAAATACTATTATAAATAGATTAAGAGATAACTTGAGTGCTGCAAAAACCTCTAAGGAGATGTTTATAGTTTTTTCTAAATTTAATCCTTTATTTATTAGGCCAAAGATTCGTGGAGCAATTCAGGAATATCAAGTTCAGCTTATTAATAATGTTAAATCGGATATAACTAACTTGCATGAACGATTTAAAAAACGTTATAGCAATTCGGAATCATATTTAATGGCACAACTATATGACATTCCTCCGATTTCAGGCGCTATTATATGGGCGAGACAAATTGAACGACAATTAGATACCTACATGAAAAATATTGAAAACGTTCTTGGTAAAGGTTGGGAATTATACGCTGATGCTCAAAAATTACAATCGGATACTACCATATTTAAAAATAAACTTAATACATCTCAGGTATGACTATTTAATTTTTAAAAAATATTTTTTATTGGATAGATTTATGAAGCATGGCTTCATGATATATCAAAAAGAAAAATTTCAATAACTGGAAGGTTATTTAAGATAATTAGAAAGCGTACATTAGATAATGCATTAGAATTGGTTGTCAATTTTGATCATCAAATTATTATATTATTTAAAGAAGTCAGGAATCTTTTGTGGTTGAATTTCTCAATACCTCATTCTATTAATAGTATTTCAAAAGAAGCTAAAAAGGTTTATCCATATGTTGTAAGCTTAACGGAGACTCTTCGAAATTATCACGAAATTAATGAGAAAATACATGGAATGAATAATATTTCTATTTTACTTGCCGAATATCAAAATAATATACAAAATTTTATGTCAAAAGGAATAAATTTAAAATGGGAATCTTTTATTCATTCATATGATAGTCATATACGACCTTTGGATTATAATAACATTGAGAAACATAGCAGTCTACCGCACAAAAGTCGTCATGTTCTTTTTATACAGGATTTTTCTAAATCAGTTTCAACATTGCGAGAAAAAATAAATATCTTATTGAAATCTCATGATACTATTTTTAAAGAGTTAGAAAATTTAAATACATGTGCGTATGATCAAAAAGCATTTAGTTCTATCCTTGAAAATATCCAAAAAGAAGTATTATTATTGTTTTTATGAAAAAATTTAATAGCATTACAGATCGATCTTCTAAATTTTGAAAACTTTTCCAATTTAAGTTTTTGGGTTAACGATCTTAATTCTAAGATTGAGGATATATTAATACAGAGAATCATTCGATCTGCTCAAATATGGGTCAAAACGTTTATATCATTTAAAACGACTGATTCGGATTTTGAAAAAGAACAAAAAGATCATATAAATTCTTGTTCTTCAGACTATGATGATCATACATTTCCTAAATTTGAGAAATTTACATATAAAATTCATATCCGTAATCAATTAATATCTTTAGAACCCTCTATCGAATCATCTAAATCATATTGGTTCAAGAATTTTCATGACTGGATAAGTAAAAATTCATATTTTGTCTTCCATAAATTAATTTTTTATAGATATTGCATGTAACCAAAAAAAAATCTTCGCTTTTAAATATCAAATAAATTTTGATCTTGATACATCCATTGACCAAAACTCAGAAACTTCTACATACAGATACCTGGTAAGATATTCTGTCGATTTAGCAAACATTAATTATATATATGTAGCTTTCAAAAATATCTAGCCCTCATTTATTTAATACATATTCTTCTATTCTTAAAGTTCTTAATGAAGTAAATGCGTATGTTGAAAAATGGTTACAATTTCAATCACTTTGGGATTTACAGCTTGACCATGTTTATAATTTTCTCGGAAATGATTTATCAAAATGGCTGCAGATTTTGCGAGAAATCCAAAAATCTCGTTCCACTTTTGATACTACAGAAACCTTTCGCTCTTTTGGATTTTTAATTGTAGATTACAAGCAAGTTCAAAATAGAATAAACGCTAAATATGATTCTTGGCAAAAAGATATATTGAATAAATTTTCTACACAGCTTTCTGATAACATGAAAGAGTTTTGCGTTCAAATAACCAAAATGAGGCATACTTTAGAACCTCAATCTCTTGAAGGATCAACAGAAGAAGTTATTTCTTTTATTACCAATGTCGAGCAATGTAAAAAACAAATGGAAGAATACAAAAAGCTTGTTTCTCTATATCAACAAGGTCAAACTGTTTTATCTAGACAAAGATATCATTTTGATAATGACTGGCTTTACATTGATCAAATCGAGGGGGAATGGGGAATGTTAACTGATATACTGAATCGCAAAGATAAACTTATAACCGATCATATTGGTATATAATTTAGTTTAATTATATTTCTAATTAATTTTAGATGTTTTAAAAACAAAAGTAATTGCACAGGATCAGATTGTTTCTTCAAAAATATCTCTAATTATTAACGACTGGAACGAACAAAAGCCTGTTTCAGGTGATCTTGACCCATCATCAGTATTTAATACACTTTCTATATTTGAATCGAAAATCAATCAAATAGAGAAAGAGAAAAAATCTATTCTAAAGGCTAAAGAAGCCCTTAACCTTGATACTAATGGAGAAGATGTCATTTCTACTATTTTAGAAGAAGTCATGGATTTTAAATCAGTCTGGTCTGCCATTAATACTCTCTGGAAAACTTTAAATGAGCTAATGGAAACTCCTTGGAACATTGTTATTCCAAGGAAAATTCGACAATCTTTAGATAAATTGTTAAACGTCACAAAAGAAATGCCTAGTTCTGTGAGGCAATATTTAGCTTTTGAACACATGCAAAATTTACTTCGTCAATATATTAAAGCCAATTCTCTTATATCAGAGCTTAAAATCGAGGCTATGAAAGAAAGACATTGGGAAAAACTTTTTAAACTACTTAAGCTTAAAGAACCCATTAGGTTTTCTTCTCTTAATATAGGAGATGTTTGGAAATTGAATCTCATAAATAATGAACACATTATCAAAAATATTATATCAGAAGCACGTGGGGAAATGGCATTGGAAGAATTTCTTAAAAATGTAGGTTTAATTAATAAAATTATTTCCATTTAATATTTTAGATTCGTGAAACATGGTCAAATTATTATCTAAATTTGGTTAACTATCGAAATATATCTAAATTGATTAGTAATTGGGACGATCTTTTTACAAAATGTATTGATAATCTTAATTCTCTTTCAGCTATGAAAAACTCTCCATATTATAAAATGTTTCAAGAAGAAGCGTCTTCTTGGGATTATCGTCTTAACAAAATACATATTTTGTTTGATATATGGTCAGATGTTCAGCGACAGTGGGTTTATTTAGAAGAAATTTTCTCAGGAAATACCGATATCAAACATTTATTACCTATGGAATCACAAAGATTTCAAAATATAAGTTCAGAATTTCTCGCAATAATGAAAAAGGTTTGCAAATCACCTTCTGTTCTTGATGTGTTAGCAATTCCGAATATCCATAAATCTATGGAAAGATTATTAGACTTGCTTCAAAAAATTCAAAAAGCATTGGGCGAATATTTAGAAAAAGAACGCATTTCATTTCCTCGATTTTATTTTATTGGAGATGAAGATTTATTAGAGATGATTGGGAATAGTAAGGATATTAATAGAATCCAAAGACATTTTTGTAAAATGTTTTCTGGAATACATAATTTGATTTTAGATAAGGATTCTACCGCAATTACCGGATTTTCGTCAAAAGAAGGTGAAAATGTTTTTTTAAAAACACCTATAAATTTACTTAAGACACACAAAATTAACGAATGGCTTGATTTATTAGATATTTCCGTTAAAGATACACTTTCAGACTTATTAATAATTGCCATTAATGATTTTGGAAATTTATATGGGAGTCTTAAATTAGAAGATTCTCATTTACTTGATTTTTTTGATAAATACCCTTCTCAAATAATCATTCTTTCATTACAAATTCTTTGGACTAAAAATATAGAAATTGCATTATCCGATTCAGATATGAGTGAAAAGAACTTACAAGATAACTTGTTTTGTATCGACACTCTTTTAACTATGCTAGCTACTTTAGTGGTTAATGATATCAATACTATACAACGTAAAAAATCAGAAAATATGATTACTTATTTAGTCCATCAAAAAAATGTAATAAATATGTTATTAAAAGATAAGGTTACTTCTGTCAATGATTTTAGATGGCAATATCAAATGAGATTTATTCTTAAAGATTATTCTGATCCAAAAAGTCTTCAAGTTTTAATAGGAAATGTTAGTTTCGATTATGGATTTGAATATCTTGGTATACCAGATAGACTAGTTCAAACTCCTTTAAATGATAAATGTTTTCTTACTCTAACGCAAGCATTAAAGCAGAAGCTTGGTGGATCTCCTTTTGGACCTGCAGGAACAGGTTTTTAAATAATATAATTTATTATATTTTAATTTTATTTTAGGAAAAACCGAGTCTGTAAAAGCTTTGGGTGCACATTTAGGGAAATTTGTATTAGTATTTTGTTGTGATAGTACATTTGATTTTCAAGCAATAGGAAGAATATTTCTTGGAATCTGTCAAGTTGGCGCATGGGGATGTTTTGATGAATTTAACCGTTTAGAAGAAAATATTCTTAGTGCAATTTCTCAGCAAATTCAAGCAATTCAACTAGGTTTAAAAAATAACAAAGAAAACAAGCACATTGAGGTTGAATTAATTGACAAAAAAGTTAAAATACATCCGGAAACAGGAATTTTTATAACCATGAATCCTGGATATGCAGGAAGATCGAATCTTCCTGATAATTTGAAAAAACTTTTTCGAAGTATATCTATGACACGACCTGATAAGGAAACAATTGCTCAAGTTACATTATATTCTCAAGGGTTTTCTATGGCTAAAGAGCTTGCATCCAATATTGTGCCATTTTTTGAAAAATGTAATACCGAGTTATCTTTTCAATCTCATTATGATTTTGGACTCAGAGCATTAAAAGGTGTCTTGGTTATTTCTGGGAATATCAAAAGGTCTATGATCCAAAAGAGAAAAGAGGACAATGCTGTTAAAGATATATTAGAAACTGAGATTATAGTTCAAAGCTTAAGAAGAACAATATTACCAAAATTAATAAAAAACGATTTACATCTTTTAATGAAGTATGTTGCATATTTTATGTTTATTATTAACTTTTGATTAGTATAGAAAAAGCATTATTTCCAAATGTGAATTATATTCCAGCAGATCTTTCTAAATTAGAGGAGGAAATTAGAAAAGTTTCTTCGACTGAAAATTTATTTCTTGATGATGAATGGATAGCCAAGATTTTGCAATTGTACCAGATCCAATGTATTCACTATGGTATAATAATGGTTGGTTCTTCTGGAACAGGGAAATCGAAAACTTGGCGCACTTTATTAAAAAGTATGGAGAATATTAGTGGAACAGAATTCGTATATCATATTATAGACCCTAAAGTTTTTTCCAAAGAAGTTCTTTATGGAAATCTTGATCCTATAACACGAGAATGGACAGATGGCTTATTTACTAGTATTATTAGGAAAATAGTCAATAATTTGCGAGGGGAACAATTTAAAAAGCATTGGATTATTTTTGATGGAGATATTGATCCTGAATGGGCAGAAAATTTAAACAGGAAAGTATATATATATCAATTTGTATATCCAATAATATCATTTAGTGTTTTAGATGATAACAAACTTTTAACTTTACCAAACGGTGAACGTTTAAGTATTTCAGATAATATACGAATTGTTTTTGAAGTTGAGTCTTTAAGATACGCAACTCTTGCAACTATAAGTAGATGCGGTATGATTTGGTTTGATGAACAAACGGTTAAACCAAATATGATTTTATATAATCGTCTGAATTTGTTACAATCTTCAACTTTTGAACAGTTCGAAGAGGATAATACATTTTCTATTGGTCCTTCGAATTTATTTGCTATCCAAAGAATTCTTGTAGATATTTTGAATGTACCTTTTTCAGAAAATGGGCTTATTATTCAAGCAATTGAATATGCTCGAAATTTAGATCATATAATGACTTTTACGCCAATAAGATCTTTAAATACATTATTTACATTTATACATGCAGCGTGTAAGGAATTGGCAAGATATAATTCACAACATGAGGATTTTCCTTTAACTAATGAAAATATCGAGGCTTACATATCAAAGAAATTACTTCTATATATTATATGGAGTTTTTCTGGAGATTGTAAATTTACAGAAAGAAAGAAATTTGAGAAATTTATAATACAATTTACTACTACTGAACTTCCTGTTTTATCTAATGATAGACATTTACTCGATTACGATGTATCTTTACCATATGGAAACTGGGATTTATGGGAAACAAAAGTACCTATAGTTGAAATCGATGTTCATTCAGTTTTTAAATCTAATTATGTTATTTCTACAGTTGATACACTTCGGCATGAATCATTAATTTATTCATTTTTGCTTGAACATAAACCGTTTATATTGTGCGGTCCTCCTGGTTCAGGAAAGACAACAATATTATTAAATGTGCTCCAAAAGATTTCTAATATAGAACCAGTCGTACTTAACTTTTCTAGTAATACAAATCCTGATTTAATTATTAAAACTCTAGAGCAATACTGCGAATATACAAAAGCTGTCCATGAAGTCATTATGAGGCCTAGATCAGTAGGTAAATGGATTATAATTTTCTGTGATGAAATTAACTTGCCCTCTCTTGATATTTATGGTACTCAAAGGGTTATTTTCTTTATACGTCAGTTAATTGAGCATGAAAAATTTTGGAATTCTAAAATTAAAGCATGGATTAAGCTAGAAAGAATACAGTTTATTGGATCTTGTAATCCTCCAGAAGATATTGGAAGAATTGCTTTTAGCAATCGGTTTTTGCGACATTTTCCTGTTATAATGGTTGATTATCCTGAAAGAACATCTCTGCTACAAATATACGGAACATATAATAAAACTATATTAAAATGTATTCCAGAGCTGAAAAAATATTATAAGGAATTTACATATGTGATGGTCGACTTTTATCTTTTATTTCGGCAGAAATTTACACCAAATGTCCAAATACATTATGTGTATAGCCCACGTGAACTTACACGGTGGGTTCGTAATATATATGGAGTAATATTTTCTCTGGAAACTATGAGTCTAGATGAATTGGTTCGTTTATGGTTTTATGAATCATTAAAACTGTTTCAAGATCGTTTAATTTCTGATGATGAAAGACAATGGACCGAAAATACTTCTAAAGAAGTGTTTTTAAAATACTTTCTTAATATATCGGATTCTATTTTCAATAGACCAATATTATATTCAAATTGGCTTTCTAAAAATTACATGCCTGTAAATAAGGAATTATTTCGGGATTATATTCAAGCTCGCTTAAAAACTTTTTGTGAAGAAGAAATTGATGTACCTCTAATTTTGTTTGATGATATTTTGGATCATGTTCTTCGTATTGATAGAGCCTTTCATCAAATACAAGGCCATTTAATTTTTATTGGAATTAGTGGCTCTGGGAAGGTCAGTAATACCTATACAATCTGTTTTTTATATAATTTTTTTTAGACAACATTATCTCGTTTTGTTGCTTGGATGAATGGATTAAAGATATTTCAGATTAAAGTTCATTCTAAATATTCTTCTGATGATTTTGATAATGATTTACGAAATGTCTTACGACGAGTAGGATGCAAAGGGGAGAAAATATGTTTTCTCTTTGATGAATCAAATGTACTTAGTACATCTTTTTTAGAACGAATAAATACATTACTCGCAAATTCTGAAATTGCTGGTCTTTTTGAAGGCGATGAATTCGCTTCACTTATTTCAAGCTGTAAAGAAGCTACGCAAAAGGAAGGCCTTCTTTTAGATTCCCAAGATGAGCTCTATAATTGGTTTTCTCAACAAATTTCTAGAAATCTTCATATAGTGTTTACAATGAATCCTTTAGATAAAGGATTATCAACAAAAGTATCAGCTTCTCCTGCTTTGTTTAATCGTTGTATTGTAAATTGGCTCGGGGATTGGTCTATTCAAGCCTTTTATGAAATGGCTAGTCAGCTTATTCGTTCTTTGGATCTAGAAAAGCCCAATTATATCTCACCTTCAAATGCACGTACTATTTATTTGCAAACTCCATTTACTTATCGTGAAGCTATTCTTGATTGCATCATTTTTATTCATTATTCAATGAAAGAATTTAATGAGAAGTTTTCAGGATTTAACAATAAAATTTATATCACTCCTAGACATTTCATTAGTTTTGTTCAGAATTTTGTTCAAATTTACATGGAAAAAAGGGAGAAATTGGAGGATCAACAACAACATTTAAGTTCTGGTATTGAAAAATTGAATAATACTGTTAATAAAGTTTCTGAATTAAAACAAAAATTAGCAGAAAAACAGCAAGAATTGGAATTAAAAAATAAAGAAGCTAATGAAAAGCTTAAACGAATTGTTGAAGACCAAAAAGAAGCAGAAGAAAGGAAAACAGCTTCTTTAGAAATTCAGGAATCTTTATATCTTCAAGAAGAAAAAATTAATATTAGACGAAAAATGGTAATTGATGATTTAGCTAAAGTAGAACCAGCAGTAATTGAAGCACGGCGTTCAGTTAGTAGTATTAAAAAACAACATTTAACTGAAGTAAGATCTATGACTAATCCACCTGAAGCGGTTAAACTTACTATGGAATCTGTATGTACTCTTCTTGGTCAAAAATTTGATAATTGGAAAGCAGTTCAAGGGATAATAAGAAAAGATGATTTTATATCAAATATATTAAATTTCGATAATGACAAACAGATGACAAAAGCATTGAGAACAAAAATGCAAACATCTTATATTTCTAATCCTAATTTTACATTTGATATAATAAATCATGCTAGTAAAGCATGTGGTCCTTTAGTTCTCTGGGTATGTGCCCAAGTGAACTATTCTACTATTCTTGAAAAAGTAGCACCATTACGCGAGGAAGTTAATAATCTTGAAATACAAGTTTCTGAAAATAAAGTCAAAGTTGAAAATATAATTGCTACTATTCAAGAGCTTGAGAAAAACATTATATTATATAAGGAAGAATATGCTACTCTTATTAGCGATATGCAAACTATTAAATCGGAAATGAGCCATGTACAACAAAAAGTAGATAGAAGCTTAGAACTTTTAAACAATCTTTCTTCTGAGCGTAATCGCTGGGAGCTAGAAAGTCAAACGTTTGAAGATCAACTTGATACATTAGCAGGAGATGTATTGATTTCATCTGCTTTTTTAACATATGCTGGCATATATGATCAACAAGCACGTTTAGATATTCAGGCAAAATGGAAGAGTCAATTGCAATCATTAAATATTAATACTAAGAAAAACAATCCTGTTTCTGAATATCTTGTAACTTTAGATGAGAAATCTGACTGGTTAGATAACTCTTTGCCTGAAGACGAGCTTTGCATAGAAAATGCGTTAATTTTAAAGAGAGCAGATCGATATCCTTTAATTATTGATCCTTCTAATTGTGTTACTCAGTATTTGATCGAGAGTTTTAAGGAGAAAAAATTGACTGTAACAAGTTTCTTAGATGACACATTTATTAAACATTTAGAAAGCGCCTTGAGATTTGGAAATCCTATTTTGATTCAAGAAGCAGAATATTTAGATCCGGTATTATATCCAGTTCTTAACAAGGAATATCAAAGAACTGATGGGAGAATACTGGTTCAACTTGGAAAGCAGGATATTGATTTTTCCCCCTCTTTTAAATTATTTTTATTAACAAAAAATTCATCTATTAGTTTCGGGCCAGAGATTTCTAGTAGAGTTACATTTGTTAATTTTACAATAACTACTAGTAGTCTTCAATCTCAATGTTTAAATAAAATACTTTATTATGAAAGGCCAGATGTTAATCAACGAAGAAACAATTCAGTTAAACTTCAAAATAAATTTAGACTACATCTTATACATCTTGAAAAGAATCTTCTTAATATCCTTAATGAGTCTCAAGGAAATATTCTTAACAATGATACTATTTTAAAAACATTAGAGAGTTTAAAGAAAGAAGCTTCAGAAATTTTTGAAAAAGCGTTGGAAACTGAAGAGATTATTAAAGAGATTGAGCAAATAACTTTATTATATAAGCCAGTGGTATCTCTTTGTAGTTCAATATTTGAAATTATGGAGAAATTGGTTTTAATATCACCTTATTACAATTTTTCTTTATTATTTTTTCAAGATATTTTTCATGATGTTTTAAACAATAATGAAGGATTAAAGAAAGAAGAAGATTTTTCTAAAAGAATTAACATTCTTTTGCGAGAAATAATGTTGACTACATTTAAAAAAGTTTCACGGGCGTTATTACATAAACATCATGTATTTTTCGGGTTATTAATTACAAGACTTGCAATTCTAACAAAAGAAATTAAAGGTTTTGATAATAATATCTTCGAATTATTGTTTACTAGTGAAATACCGGAAAACGACTTTTCAGAAAATCCATCTAGTATTGATATTAAAAAATATAAAGTTCCATATTTTTATGATATTGACAAATATATTGATGAAAATTCAAAAGAATTTAATTTATTTTTAACTGTAGAAAAAGCAGAAGATTATGTACCTATATTATGGGAATACCATGAAGAACGTAAGTAAAATATCTTTAACTAAATAACAAACTAACCTATTAGCATTAAATAATAATATTCGTAAATTACTTATTATTAAAATGTTTCGAATGGATCGCTTAATTCCTGCAATTGAGAAATTTATAACAGATGTTTTTGAAGAAAATATTTTTTCTCATATTTTCTATGATATTAAATCTCTAATTGAGAATGAATCAACTCCTCAAACACCTATTGTTTTATGTTCAGTTCCGGGATATGATGCTAGTTATAAGATCGAGAATTTTGTTAATCAAGTATCTGCTGATTGTCAATCTATAACTATGGGTTCAATTGAAGGACTTACTCAAGCAGATAGAGAAATAATTTTAGCTAGTCAGAAAGGCACATGGATACTTTTGAAAAATGTTCATTTAACAACTTCTTGGCTAGATCATCTTGAAAAAAAATTACAAAATCTTAAACATCATCCAAAGTTTCGTTTATTCATTACAATGGAAATGAGTTTTAGACAAGTTCCTATAAATCTTCTTAGAATGTCTCGAATAATGATGTTTGAACCTCCACCCGGTATTAAAGCAAACATGTTAAATACGTTTGGGTCAATTCCAATATCATATTTCAATGATAAACCTATAGAAAAAAATCGTTTATACTTTTTGCTTTCATGGTTTCATGCATTAGTACAAGAGAGATTACGTTATGTCCCATTAGGCTGGTCTAAATTATATGAATTCAATGATTCTGATTTTGAATCCGGTATATGGATGATAAATAGGTTAATTAAAGATTCTGCACATAATCGTTCAAATATTTCTCCAGAAAAGATACCTTGGGAAGCTATTCGTTTACTTTTATATCAATCCATTTATGGATCTAGACTTGATGATGAAAACGATTTAGATTTACTTAATAACATGATTAAAAATATATTTAAACCTGAATCTTTTAATCTTAATTATCAACTTGTCGAAAAACATCTTACTATTCCAGATTGCTTAAGAAGAGATGAATTTCTTCAATGGATACAAAATTTGCCAGAAAGACAATCTCCAGCATGGTTAGGATTACCTGAATATGCAGAAAAAGTTATTCTTTCTTCCCAAGGTATATACACACACATAATATATATATAGACATTTTGCTAATTAACATTCTAGGAAAAGAAATGCTTAATAACTCCGAAACCATATTGGATGTATTAAAAAGAGAATAGTTATTAGAAACACAGATTGACAAATACACACATTATACAATTAATTTTTCAAAAAATACAATTTCTATTATTAAATTTCTATATACAATACAATTATAAATTCATATTTTGGAAATATATGGAAAAAAAAACATTATTTATAATATTTCATATATGATTTTACACAATTTAACTCTTACTTCATTATATCATACATCATCACACTTGCAACATTTTTTTTTCAAAATACAAACAACTCATTTATCATTTATTCTTGACTTTTCTTATTCACATAAATACACAAATATATAAAAATTAAAAGGTTATTTAAGATATAATTTTCATAAGATTTCAAGTATTAATTTATACTTTTATAGTCTGTTTTTTTTTTTGACGGCAACTCTAAAATTTAACCTTCAAAAAATATTAAGATTAGAGATGAGTGAATTGGACCATAACATTGAGTTATTAAAGGACTGTAAGCTGATAACAGAGTCTCAGATTCAGGTTTTATGTTATAAGGCAAGAGAGATTTTAGTAGAAGAGGCAAATGTTCAATGGATAGATACACCAGTAACAGTAAGGAGATTTATCTAAGTAAGGAGAATATAAAAGTAATATATTTAAGATATGTGGGGATATTCATGGACAATTCCATGATCTTATGGAGCTATTTAAAGTTGGAGGGATGTGCCCAGATACTAATTATATATTTATGGGTAAATGATGAAATAATATATATATATATAAGTCTATACCTACATTTGAAAGGGGATTTTGTGGACAGAGGGTTTAATTCGATAGAGACGTTTTTATTATTGTTATCATTTAAGGTTAGATATCCAGACCGTATTACATTAATTCGAGGGAATCATGAGTCTCGACAAATTACACAAGTATATGGGTTTTATGATGAATGTATACGTAAATATGGGAATGCTAATGTTTGGCGTTATTGTACGGAAGTATTTGATTATTTATCATTAGCAGCTATAGTTGATGGCAAAATTTTTTGTGTTCATGGAGGGTTAAGTCCTACTATAACAGCAATAGATCAGGTATATATATATATATTAGAATTTTGAATAATAATTGTATTAATTTTTAATTTATAGATTAGGTTGATTGATAGAAAACAAGAAGTTCCTCATGAGGGGCCTATGTGTGATCTTCTTTGGTCAGATCCAGAAGATATATATGGATGGGCATTTTCTCCAAGGGGAGCAGGTTTTCTTTTTGGTGCAGATGTAGTAAAATCCTTTTGTAGGGTTAATCAGATTGAAATGATTGCAAGAGCTCATCAACTTGTTATGGAAGGTTATAAGATTATGTTTGATGGACCACTACAAAAATTATCTTTATGTGATGAAAATAATAAAAATGATGAAAATCATAAAAACGATGAAAATCATAATATGGAAAATACTAATTTAGAAAATTATAATATGGAAAATGGATTAAACATAGTTTCATCTACATCAGAATGCATATTAATTACCGATGATCTAATTGAATGTGAAGGATCTATAGTTACGATATGGTCGGCACCTAATTATTGTTATAGATGTGGAAATGTTGCTGCTATTTTAGAACTTGATGAAAATCTTGAAAAATCTTATAAAATTTTTGAGGCAGCCAAACATGATCCAAGCGTTATGCCACCTACCAAAAAACCTGTTGTAGAATATTTTTTGGTAATACATTTTTATAATTATTATTATTATTAACATTACTAGTAATTTAACGATAGATATATATCTATGGGGAGAATACTTTTGAATCACTATATTTTAGTAGAGTCCTGCATCTTTAAATAGCTTTGTTACATATAATACTACTCTTGATTATAGTTGAAACTAATATGCGAATTCTTATATGGATAAAGATTAAGATTAAAATATAATAATGATGGGTTATCTTTTAATTATGTAAAATTATATGACAATTTACTTTTTGTAAATATATATGTATATATATTAGGAAATGCATGCAATGTTTTTATAGGGTTATTTAAAAATCAGACGGTTATAAATTCAATTTATATATATTTTTTTTAAAACTTGTAAGAATATCTTTTAAAGAGGAGTTGGATCTTAATTTTATTCCAACCCAAGCGCAACCCCAAGCACGACCCTATCAAACATAACCCTAAGCACAACCCTGACCCTAAGCTAAACCCTATCAAACACAACCCTAACATCTACCCGTCCCTAACCCTACCCTAACATCTATACTAACCCTACAAACCCGACTCCAACCCTGACCCAACCCCAATACAACGCTTAACCTTATCTACACCCTAACCCAACTCCTACACTATCTACTCCTACACTATCTACATTAACCCTAACCCTAATCTCATTCTAACCTATATATCTATAACTCTAACCCTAACCTCAACGTCTAACCCTAACCTCAACGCCTAACCCTAACTCCACCCTAACTCCACCCTAACCCACTACTTCCTAACGACCCCCCAACGACCAACGACCCACCTATGTCATCCCTAATCTCACTTTCTCTTTACTAACCCCTCTCCACTCTAACCACAACCCTTCCCTTTATCACCCTCTTTTTTCTTCTTTACTATCATCTACTTGGTTTAGTTTCGTCTTTTTATTTCCCACTTTATACTACCCTAAATCTTAGCTCGTCTATATTAGGAAATTTTTATCCTTTTCTTACACTTCTTTTTTTATTAACCGTAAAACGGATACTTTTCAACCTTTTCGGTAATTCTAATCATCCTTTCTATACGTTGCTTCATTTTATCTCTTTCACTTTTTCATTCTTATCTTTATTTTTATAAACATCCTCTTTTCTTTCTTTCTTTATTTCTTCTTTTTATATCATCCTTTTAACATTCATTCATTTATTTTATTTATTTTATTTATTCTCTATATTTCTTCTAACTACTCTTTCTCTTGATTTTACTTAATAATACACCTTTTCTTATTTCCCTTCTTTATTATTCATTTTTTCCTGTATTTATTTGATTTCAGTAATCAAACTATATTATAAACTAATGATTAAGCAACTTTTGGTAATCTATTTTCACTTGAACTTTTTCGTATATCTTCCGATATCAAGATTATCTTTTATCCGTATTTAAGAAAAAACATACTTGTATGACCTGATTAAGCAATACAAGTATGCTTTTCTTGAAAATCCTCTTCATATGTCTCTTTGCAAGGACATATGCGAAGGATCCGTCCAAGCTTTCGGGTTTTTTTATATCACTTTATCACTTATCTCTGGTTTTTTAACGTTATACAGAGTTTGGGAGAGAATATCCTCCATTGTATCAAGCAAATTCATTTATTTCGAAAATTGAGAGGACGCATAGCAAATGGACAGAGGATTATATAAGAAGCAAATTGTATGCGTTAGCATGGCAGAATTCTATAGATAGGAATAACGATGCATTTATATTTTCATCTCTTATAGGTGCAATTAGTAATATGAATTATTGTGCAGAGATGCTTCGGAAAAGATGTGAAGTCTTAAAAGCTTTAGGAGGCAAAGTAACGGAATATTGCGTTGATCCAGTAAGAACATGTGGTTTTCACTTTCCCGTTAGACAAATTCGAGCAGCCCTTCAAAGTAATTTAAGGAAACGATATACTACTCGTACAGCATGTACAGAATATTTGAGAACATGTTTTTTTTTAAAACATAAACTTTCAATGGCTACTGAATGTACTTTTTTGATAGGATCATGTTATTTGTGGGTTCGAAAACATGTGGCAGAAGCCATTTTGTCGGAGGTGATGAGAGGAGACTTATCTAAACAGACTTCTGCATATTCGTTGAGACGCGCTTGTGAAGTGGTTGGAGGAGGGAGTCCGGATTTGCTTCGTTTATGTTTTGAAAACGGTAATCTGTTAAAAAAACTTAGAACTGGGTTACAGCAAGAAATTAGTGCATTAAAGACTAGATTAAGTCTTGTTTCATATCGTAATTGCTACTATACGTTGCAACAATGTTATTATTATATTGCTGATTATTATGGTATTTATGAAGGATGTAAGGAACTTCGTCGAGCATGTGAGGAAACAGGTTATTCTTTTAAACCACCCACTTTTTCTCCACATATGCTGGAGGAAACTATTTATCTAGAAGATAAGATCGTTAGTATTGCTTCTGAGGTATCATCATCGTTAGGTCTCCGTTTTAGCAGTTGTGTAACAAGACCTTCGTCCGATATTGAGGTAGCAGCATATTTAGTTAATAAAACTTGGATGTATGATTACGAATGCACAAACAAGTTGCAAGGAGTATGTCAAGATATTTCCTCTATACCATATACGAGGAAATTGTGCTCATCACTAAAAAATCGGGATTCCAAGCCCTGCAAGGATCTATATTATTCTGTTAGGGATGAATCCTATAGTTTATATAATGCTTTATCTGATGCTGGAATATTGCGCAATACTACTCAACGTCTTTCATTACAACAATGCGATATCTTTATAGAAAGATGTAGTTTTCTTAGGACTCATTATTCTTATTGGAATTCTTTAGATACATGTCTTATTGTATATTCTGCATGTTATAAAGAAGATATAGATCAATCAGCTAAGATCTATCTTCAAACTAAATTGAAAAAGGAAATGATTGTAGGAGATAAATTTGATGAGTCAAAATGTAAAGAAGCTGTTCTTAAGGAATGCAGACTCGAAAATTTAATGTTTAGATCTTATTCTCTTATGGAAGCCTGTTTTCACTCGGAAAGGTTCTGTCAAGAAATAAAGAAGCATCTTACCCAAGAATCTAAGAAATTAGAAGAAGAAGTAAAGAAAAAGAAAGGAAGTCCCTCCTTTTATGATTGTAAGGAATTGGGGCAAAAGTGTAACTCTGGATTATATTTTGGATCAAATGTAAAAAATGAATGTAAATCTTTCCAGGAAAAATGTAACGAAAAAGAAGTCTATAATCAACTCCTTAATCATACTCTTCATTTAAACGCTTCTTTTCTTACAAGTGAAGATCAATGTAAAACTGAATTCAGTAAAAGTAATAGCAATAATCATCGCTTCAAAGAAATAATATACAAGAAAGATGATCCAAAAGTATGCAAAGCTCTCTTAGATATGCTTAAGGAACGTTGCGATAATATGGAATATGTTTTAATAACTCTTAAATCGTCTGCTAATTCATTATCATTAACTTATTGCTCTTATATATCAACAAACTGTAAATTATTATCGAAGGCTTGCCCAAAATTAAAAGAACATTGCGATCCTGTTGCCTCAGCGTGCGACACGAAATCACAAGAACTTAATGAACAATCTTCTTTTATTGATAAACATCCCATGGATGTAGCGGATTCAAAAAAATGCAAGACGAAACTACAAGAATTATGCAAAAATCAAGAGGAAAAGAAAAATTATTCATTATTATGTGCTAGGAACGATAATCATGTCAGATCATGTAGTGACTTAAAGGATTTCTTGGAGAAAGCATGCGCGGCTCTCAGATCATTTTTATATTCATTCCTTTCGGGATCAAAATATTCAGATAAATGTTCTACTCTAAAAGAACTTTATTTCAAATTTAAAAAAATATGTTTAACCGTCGATAAATACTTTGATTTATCTCTGTATGCCAAGGAAAAATGTGAACTCGATAAAGAACCAGAACCAGAAAAACCAAAACCACCAACACCAAAACCACCAGCACCAAAACCACCATCTCCACCATCTCCACCATCTCCACCACAGCCACCACAGCCACCACAGCCACAACCACAGCCACAACCACAGCCACAACCGCAACCACAGCCGCAACCACAACCGCCAACACCAAAACCAAAACCACAACCGCAACCACAGCCACAACCACAACCATCTACAAAACCAAAACCAAAACCAAAACCACCATCTTCATCAACCTCAGAAACGGAGGTAGAATCAACAACGGAGTCAGGATTTATTTCTACAACAACAAGGATAATAACAACATCAATACCAGGAAAAGTACGACCAACGCATACAGAACCATCTACAAAACCATCTACAGAACCATCTACAAGACCGAAACCGAAACCAAGACCAAGACCAAAACCAAAACCATCTACAACTACAAAACCAACTACAAAACCAACTACGAAACCAGAAGATACTGGAACAATTAAAGGAAGCAGCATGAGATTATTAGGAATTGACAGAATAGAATTATTATTTATGACTATTGCGATAATATTTGGAATATGGATGATATAAGCATAACTTAAACATATCAAATATAAACTAATAGATAATCATGTATAATAGCTAAACAAGCATAGGATCTAAACATCACTGTATTATTAGATATATACGTATATATAATGATTTGATATCGGAGCTTAGGGTTGGGTTTTCAATCAGATTCATTTCACTACAGGAAAAAATTAATTTTTTTATTAATATTTAAGAATCACACGCAATATATAAAACTATATTAAAATAAGTATTTTTTCATTAGTAAAAATAATATCAAAATTGACCATTATTGCCCCGAATAAAAGTATCGCCATATTCATTTTTTAATACGCCTTTAACATATTCTCTACATTCTTCAAGCGCAACATTCATACAACCATCAAGACAAGATAAAATACCTAAAAATAAGATAAAAAAAATAATAAAATTAAGAATAATAAAAACCTATAAAAAATAAGAATAAAATAAGAATAAAATAAAATAAAAGAATAGATATAAACCTCGATAATCAATTCCAGAACTAAGACGTACGAGAACAAAGTGGCCGATGATATTTTGAAGAAAGGCAGAGGGAGCGTCAGTAATAGAATCCATTAATTTTTTCTCGGAAGATATTTCGGCTGAAAAACAAGAAAATACAAGAAAAATATAGAGAAAAAAAAGATCAAATTTACAGATATTATATATTGTTAAGAAGGTGCACAGAAGTATATTGAAGAATAATATAAATAAAATATAAAAAAAAGAAAAAATTATTAAAAAAGTTATAAATAGTAGTATATTCTAGGTATATATGATTATAAATACACAAAGGATTTTAATAAAAGTTAAAAAAGATCAAGAAAATAGATAGGAATAAGTGGATTGGAATAATTTGGTTTTTTTTTATGGAAAAAGTATAAAATAGAAATATATATATATAAGAATAAAGGACAATTTTGTATGGTTTTATGGATTATAAAGCAGGATTAATTAAATCAGAACGAAATTTTCAAGCTCATGTATTTTTTATTATTTTTTATACATAAAATGACAGTTTATACAGCTTGCACAATCATATCATGATTTAATTGCATTATTAAAAGCACCAATTCCTGAACAAATAGGTCATTATAAGATTGGAAAGATAATTGGTAAAGGCGGGTATTCAAAAGTGTATAAAGGAATACATTTGTTAACAGGAACGGAGGAAAGTTTATAAATATTTAAAAACATAGGTTGTAAGGATAGTATAGATTGTTTTAAAATGTTCGCCAAAGTCTCAAGCAATTAATTTATCTCGAGAAATATATCATCATAGTCAAATGGATCATCCACATATTATCAAGTTATATGAAGTGCTTTATACAGAAGAACATGTATGGTTAGTTCAAGAATATTGTTCAGGTTTTTTCCCAGAAAATTTAAAAATATTATTATAATTTTATATTAAAATATTAGGAGGAGAATTATATGATTATCTTGTGAAACATACAAAATTGTCGGAACATGAAACAAAAACCTTATTTTCACAGATATCTAGTGCAATTGCTTACATTCATATGCATGGATCTGTTCACAGGTAAGCCAATTTATTTTTAAATATCAATATAATAAAAATTTTTAGAGATATTAAATTAGAAAATATTTTTCTTACAGCATCTGGTAATGCTAAAGTAGGAGATCTAGGTTTTATTCGTGAACAGGTTACAAATAAGCTATTACAAACATGGAGTGGGACATTGGCATATTCAGCACCAGAAATTGTTAATGAATCAATAAATACAGAAGAAAGTAAATAAAAAAAACAATTTAATAATATTTATATTAAGATATTTATAGAAATTGATGTATGGTCATTGGGTGTTCTTTTGTATGCATTATTGTGTGGAGAATTGCCATTTGATGATGATGATGAGGGTATATTACGATTAAAAATTCTTAATGATCATCCAAAATGGAAAAATAATTTATCACCAGGTTATTTAATATTCTTATATATGTCTATTCTTATTTTACACAGAGGCTCTTGAATTATTGCAATTAATGTTGGCTAAAAATTATAAAAACCGACCAACTATGATAGATGTTTTAAAACATCCATTTCTAGAGCCTGTAGGAAAGGAATATCTTAAATATTTAAAAGTACAAAATTTGCAACATTTTTCAACTGATTTAGAGAAAGATATTTTATTTAATATGAATATGATTGGTATTAATGTTGATATGCTTAAAAGAAGTGTAATTGAAAACAAATGTGATGCATTAAGAGCTTTATGGTTGTTAATTAAAGAAAAAGTAGAGGAATCTACAGGAAACTTTGTAAACAATAAAAGCACAAAGAGACAAGAAAAAGATGAATTTTCATGGGTAAATATAGTTTCACAAGATATAATTAAAAAAAGGTCATACAAGAAATTATTTAACTTAAAAGGTAATATAGATTATGCAATTGGTATAATATTTTGACATTATAGACATGTTTGTTTATTCAAAATTTGGTTCATATTTTTATTCCAAATCTACTCAAAATATTATGGAAAATGATTGCAGAGGAGTCCCAAAAAAGTCTCTTGAACATAAAAGCAATTTAGAAAGAGGATTATCTATATTAATTATTTTCAAAAAATGGTTGATATCATTATTAAAATACAAAAATTCAGTAAGTTGCCTATAAAAAAGATAATTCTAATTATATTCAGAAAGATGAAGAAAATTCAGATACTGGAATGTTGTTGAATATGCAGAAACATACATGCAAAAATGCAAATACTTTAACAAATCCAAGATCTCATATTTTACATGAGGTTGATAAGGCAAATGCAAATTTAATACAAAAACCATCTATATCGTCACTTTCATTATGCATCTCTAATCGCTCAGAAGGATCAGAAGCCTTAAAAGATGAGAATATATCATATATTTCTAATTTTAAAAAAAAAAGCTCATTAAAAGAAGGTGTATTTAAGAATTTAGATTGCAATACAGATAAATACATTTATTCATATGAAAATGACATTTCTAATCCGTTTAATGAAAGAATAATACACCCGGACTCCTCATTTATATCACCATATAAAAAACGAACAGCTATAAAAGAGCAATACAATAATAAATATGATACCAAATTGGAAAATACAAAAAGATTAAGAAAGAATCAAGAGGAAGAGTCGAGGTTCCTTCAAAGGATTACAGAGGAGGATGAAATTTCAGATAAATAAAATTTTAATCATTTTTTATTTTAGAATTTTACATATAAAGTCATAGAATATAATTTATTTAAGACAGATGCATGGAAAAACTTATAAAAAAATGCATTAATTTGTTTTAGAATCATTTCACAACTTTTTCTAATCTTTAAATTTTGTATGTATTAATTTTCAATGAAAACAATGAACACAATTAATAATAAAAATAAGATATTTTTTATAAAATAATCAATATAATTTGAAAAGCACCTTTTAACAAGAAACAACGAGTGAATATATTTTTAAGCATCATTTTTACTTGAATATTTTCATTTTTTTTGTAAAAATTAGGATATTTTAATTCTAAAATTAATATCTATTATGCAGGTGACTTAAATTTTAAGAATTAAAAAGTTCAAGTCTAAAATATAATAAGTTTATTCTAGGACGACAATATGCCTTAATATCTAAATTGATAAGATAAAAAGGAAAGTAATCGTTCAAATATTGATCCTAAAAACCGCATTAAAAATTAATCTTCTTTTGCAAAATGATCTGAGATAGAATAAATGAATATATATAAGATTTTAGATATATTTAAAAAACCGAGACATAAAATATAAAAGATATACATAGATAAAACCGTTTTAATACCATCTTCCATGAGGAACTTGAAATAATAATTCATCAGCAGTCTTTTTAGCAGGCTGCTTATCAGGTTTTCTTTGCGCAGCCTCATGCATTTTTAACCAATCGGGTACTTTTGAAATACTACTTTTACTAATTGCTTGTTTAAGATCATACATTATTTCTGTGTCTTCTGGTGTTAAAAAAGTAATCGCAGTACCTGATTTTCCTGCTCTTCCAGTACGTCCAACTCTATGAGTATAATCTAAATTCAAATTAAATAAAACTTAAGACTTTAAAAAACAAAAAACCTTCGATATTTTTAGCCATATTATAATTTACCACAAGAGATACATCAGCAACATCAATACCTCTTCCAGCAAGATCTGTTGCTACTAAACAATCTGCTTCACCAGAACGAAGCTGCGAAAGAGCGGATTCTCGTTGTTCCTGACTTTTTCCTCCATGTAATGCAACAGCATTCCACTGTATTATATTAATATAGATTCATAATTGAAAAAAAAAAAATACCCCAATACGAGTAAGAGATTTTGCCAAAGCATCACAACTTCGACGTTGATTAATAAAAATAATTACAGGAGGGCTATAATCATTGCTATTAAGGAGTTCTTCTAGTCTTCGTCTATAAAATTTAGAAAAAAATATTGAATAACTTCTTTAAAATACTTCTTCTTATCTTCAGTATTCATCATTTCAACGATTTGTACAACTGTATCTACTGCTTGACCAGCATTTCCAATGGTCACAATTGCTGGCCGACGCAAATATTTTTTAGCAAGTTTCTCAACAGCAGGAGGCATTGTTGCACTAAACATAACTGTTTGTCTAAACCGCACTTTACCTCCTATCAATTTAGACATTAACGCCGGATTTTCAGCGTCATCATTATTAGGTTTTTGATTACGCACGGGCAATGCATCCAAAAGCTTATTTACCGCTTCTTCAAAACCCATATCAATCATACGATCTGCTTCATCAAGAACAACATATGCACATTGACTTAATACTAAAACACGTCTTTCAAGACAATCTAATAACCGCCCAGGCGTAGCAATAACAATATGAACACCATCTCTCAAATTAAAGGCCTGCTCTTCAATTTTATGTCCACCAACAATTGATACGCATACAAAACCCATTGATATACAAAATTTCTTTGTTTCAGTCTCAATTTGCTGAGCCAATTCTCTCGTAGGAGCTAAAATAATTGCATAAGGACCATCATTCTTGTTATGTTCATTAAGTGGAGGAAGCGTAGAAATATATACAAGCATAGGAAGCACAAATGAAGCAGTTTTTCCTGATCCTGTTTCAGCAATACCAATAATATCACGATTTTGTAAACCAATAGGAATGGCTGCTCTTTGGATAGGTGAAGGTTCTTTATATCCTACAGCTTTAATTATATCAAGAATAACCTTAGGTAATCCTGATTCCTTCCAATTACGTATAGGGTTTGGAATCGATCCTCCTAAAAACATTAAAAACAATAAATAAAACATTTTAAAATACCTCTTGAGGAAATATTAAAATCTTCCCTAAATATACGCCAATCCCTTTCTTTCATAAGCTCCAAGGGTTTTTCTGACCAATGAACATCATCCCAACTAATTCTAGAACTTTTTTTATATTCCATTTCCATCAATTGTCTTAAAATATCAATATAAAAAATAAAAATAAAAATAAAAATACTTAGCTCTATCTCTATCTTCTTCATTAGAAGAACGAGACAATACATTAATATAAGAACTAGTATAATCTTTATTATCTTTATCATCAAATCCTCCTAATCTTCCTCTACCTAAAAATTGTGCACTATGACGATTCAAATAAATAGGATTAACATCGATAGATGTATCTTCTGTATTATCCCAATCAAATACAAATTTTCTTTCTGCCGTTCTTCGCCTTTTTTTCTTATTTTCAGTCGCTCCTAAATATCTTTTCTAAGAAATATTAATAACTTTTCAAATCTCATTATATACAATTACGCGAATATCCTCAAGCTCTTTTTCCTCAACCGCTAATTCAAACTTCTCATCATTCTTCTTTAAAGACGACTTGGATGACTCATACCCTTTCGTCATTTCTTTTCTCATATTTTTGGATTCTGTATATATCGTTTTTGTACCATTCGTATATCCATCTAAACAACTAAATTAAAAAATTTCTTATAGAAAAAGCACCATAACAGACTCGTTTCATTTCTATCTGACATAACATTTGTCCCATCTTTTGGGTAAAAATCCGTTGAAAGATTTGAATTCATTTTATCAATATATTGACGTTTTTTTTTAACTTCCAAACGACGTTTTTCAAGTGCAATCTCTTCCCGCTGCTTTCGAGTCAAAAATTTTGGCTAATTCAATTAAAAAATCATATTATAATAATCCTATTTCTACCCTATTTATAGATGCTAATTCTTTTTCTTTTTTTAAAAGTTCCTCTATAGATAATGGTCCATTTTTCCTCAATTCAGAAATTATAGATCCCTTAGATCCCTCTTTCAGTGTATTTTTATTATGTTTCATTACATCTTCCATTTCATGTGATTTACCAAGTCCTTCAAACATTCCTAATGTTTGTGTTTTCGTACAAATCATTTTTTTATAAAAACTTTCCTTCATTCTATCCACTTCAATATCATTTTGGCTACCTCCTGATAACTCTAAATTCTCTTTTGGAAGAGGTGGCGGATAAATTATTGGTAACGATGGTGCTTTATCTATATTATTCACATATCTCTCACTAGATTCCTCTTCTAATAATGAATTCATATCCTTATTAATATTCATAAATCTTTCAATATCATATTAATTCTTTAATAACTCTTAATAACTATATTTTAAATGATCCAATATAAAACAAAAATTAGCCTAAAATTAGCCTAAAATTATCAGTTTTTTTCGCTCTTTTTGAATTCTTACTTTATAAATTAATATTACCTCTATATAAACCGTTAATTAACAATATTTTACTGGAAATTATGTCTTCTTTTATCAATCAATAATTTATTTTTTTCAAGTGAGGTTTAAGTATTTTTCGGTTTCCGTAGCAACCCCATATTAAATTTAAAATCTAAAAATATACATTATATGTTACTTTCCAATATTGATTTCATCTTTATTGAATCTATATAAGTCAAAAATTATTATCAATAACCTATATTTTTTAATTTTTTAAAATACCCCTTAACAAACTTTTTTTCAAAGAAAAATATCCTTTTCACTACGTTTCTTCTTCTCCTATTTATTTTTTTATTTTTTTATCTAATAACATTTTTTTTCTTACAGCTTTCCAAGTTTCTATACGGCGAGGTTGCATTTCTAACTCTTTTATTATTCGCGAGAGTCTTGCGTTATATTAATTTAATTTTTTATTTTTTTAAGTTAAACTTACTTTACTTGTTTCATTCGCTGAGCTTTTGTACCTTTCCAGCGTAAAATACCGCGCATTTGTTTAATTACGGGAGAATTTAGTGGAAAAAGTTTTTCATATCCAAAAATCCGTGCTTGTTTTATTAATACAGCTTGTTGTCTCAAGGAATAAATTGGATTTTGCCAGCGACCAGTTAATTTGTTTTTGATAGGCTTAAAAGGATTTGGTAGATTGAGATTTAAGGAATTATCATTTTTTATAGAGGGGAATTGCTTAAGAAATCCAGCTAATAATCTTGGCAAAGATTTTGATTTCATATTTTTTTTTTTTAAGATTAAATCAATATATTAATCTTGAAAAGTTTAAACGAGAAATATCCGTCATTTTATTTAGCGAATTTGGGTTTTATTAATATTATTTAATATATATAGGAGAGATCATGTTGATTCATGTTCAAACGCAAATTGAAAGTTATCTGGTAGTCATATTTACATTAAGTATTCTATGTATTTTTTATCCAGACAAAGTTCTTAAACAAGGTATTATATATGTCTTGGGAGATGCAATGAATCTCGTAAAAAATAAGATAACATATGAATTTATACATATTTAACATATAGAAATAGGCACGACCTAGTCGTGATCCAAGTGGTATTGTTATTGTTGGTATGCTTTTATTTCAACTTTCTTGGATTTATCTTTTTGCATTATTAAAAATGAATTTGACTTTTTTTAAAGATCTAGGTCATTTTTTTTCTTTAAAAAATAATTAATTTAATATAAAATAGCACCATTACGGACGATTCAAGCATTTGCTTTAATTTTATGGATATATTTTTCTAACAATCCTGCTATTTCAAATGGATTAACCTTTACCTATGCATTTTTCGATTTAATATGGCAATTTTGGATGTTTGTTAGTTTTCGAAGTTATCAAATACCTACAACATAAATGATTCAAACAGTTATTTCTTTTAAAAAATATTATTTTACTGAAAATTTTTATTATAAACATCTTTTCAAAGCGGACTTGATTTTGTTTCATTTCTATCTATATTATCATCATATTCTCTTATACTTTTTACTAAATTTATCATACAATCAATCTTATCTAGATTAATATACATACATATATACATAGATAGATATAGATATAGATATATGTATGTATATATAACAAAAAATGAAAAACATTTTAAAAAAAATCAATTCTACAAAGCAAAATTATGTAAATTATATAACTAATCCCGTTTTAATGGAAAATTTTCAACATGTACGCCAGAAGATGTCACAATAAATGCTTGAAATGCATCGCCAACCTTAAATATTAGAAATACATATTATTCAAAGAAAAATTAATATATATACTTCAATGTGACGTTCTACAACACTGTTATATGTGTCTTTAATAATTTTTATTGCATCATCGCAAGATAAAGAAACTGGTGTTCGCAAACGATATTGTCCATCGACTATTCCATGTTGATTCTTTAAACCCACCTATAAAAAATTCAATAAATATATATAAAAAACTATCCATAACATGAAAGAAAGATTATTCAATTCATACAAAAAGGTTAATCTATTATAAATCTATTATAAATCTTTCATGTCTGGATATTCCATAACAATCATTTTATTCATACCTGATTATCCATTATCGGTAATGCTAAAGATGCTGATCCACCAACTGCTTGATATGAAACTCTTTCATATGATCCTATTGGATCAAATGTAAATATCGCTCCTTTACCTATAAAAATTATCTATCTTTTTTTTTAAAAAAAATACAATTAAATTAAATTCACCATTCTCATCAATACCAACAATTAACATATAAATATAATATGGAAAAAAACGTCTATTATATAAAATCATCTGTATAAGTCGCGCCGCCGATCTAACTGAAAGTTTCTTTTTATGCTTAGAATGATAGACAATAAGTTGTCTTCTCAAAATACGTATCACTTCAACACAATCTCCTGAAAATCCACATGCACTAACTACTAAATTATCTCCAATATTAAAGACCCTAGGCTGATATCTTGAATGGATGCCATATCCCCTTACTTGACGAGTATCTCCTGCAAGAATAACATAATCCTCCCCTGATATAGCAACGCAAAGACCTCCATTCTCTTCATAAGGACTATAATCATTAATATTTCAATTATTATTTTGTTAGAAAACTTGAATTGATGTTCAATCATGGCATTAGATTTCTCCTCTGAAAATGATAACATATTTAAATAAAATATAAAAATATCTTAATATTCTTATAAAAAAAAGCTCTAAAATAATAGAAAAAAACAGCTTAAAGCATGCTCAAAGGCGTACTTAATTTTTCTTGGAGTGGTCGAGATTTTTAAGAGAAGTTGCCCTGGTAACGCCTGAACGTCACTAATTATGATTATAGAAAGTTATTAAGATTTTGTGCTATAAAAGAGGATTTTTTTAATAGAAACCATATGAATATGAATAAGAGCATAATATTTAATAGATGTTCCTTTTTTTTCCGGAAAAAAACCGATATTTATAGGCAAAATAGAAATTTTCAAAGTTCATTATATCAGAGAGTCATAAAAATGAGTTTAAATATGATATTAACAAGGAATTTATATATAAGAAGTATTGGAAGAAATGAGGATATTTTTAATAGAAAAAAAAAAGGATTACAGATTGAAAAATCAAGTTTTTTACGATTTTTTTTACCAATTAAAGTATGGATATTTAATATTAAGAGATTTAGAACATATGGAAGAGGTAAATATATATATAGATATTTTTATATAGAATCATATTTATATAATATATATAGAATATCAACCATCGAATAGAGTACGCAAACGACGACATGGATTTCTTAGTCGAAAAAGATCAGCTAGTGGACGCAGAATTCTTGCTAGAAGAATAGCAAAGAAAAGAAAATATTTAACACATTAGTATTTTTCTATATATATAAATATATATTTATATATAGATAGATAAATAAATAAATATATATATATATATATGATTATGATTATAAAGAATTAATTGGAATCATTCTTTTTATATCTATAAAATCAACTATTTCTAATTTTTAAAATATTTTCTGCTCGATTTGGTGTATCTGCAAATAATGTTTTAAGTAAATCTATAATTTCTTCTTTTTCAAAATCAACCAAGGCACCAGAATTATATAAATACATGACATCTTGCATTGAAGCTTCAAGAATTTCTAGTAAATATCGAAACTTAAGCCAACTTGGAACATATGTTGGTGTTACAGGAAACTAATAAATATAACTATTAAAAAATAAATTAAGTTATTGATGAGAACTAACCATTTGGTTTTCAACAGTAAAAATATCTTCTATTTGAGCAAATTGATTAAATAATATTGAGAGTTGGTTAGATTCTTCTTCAGATATATCAGAAATATCTTTAATTGCTGTAATGATATAAACGACAACAACTTCTAAAAGCCAACCAATAGATTCAAATAATGTTTCTCTAGTAAGAATTTTCTATGTAAATATTAATGAATAATATATAATACAACTCAGAAATATGTACTCTCCATGATTCTGATAAAGTTTGAAACATTTTTTGTAAATCACAAAGTGCAATTGAACATATTTCAATTTGTTGTTTATCTGTACAATCCACAAATCCATGAGTTCGTTCAAGAATTGAAATAACATTTTTTTTTTGCATTTTCTATATATAAGTTAATATATATAATATAGATATAACTTCCTTACAAGTTCAAGAAAATATGTAAAATTGCCAGCTTCACGAAAATTATTGCTTTCTTCAAGAATACATTGAAATTCAGTCGAACCATCATAAAGTTCTTGAAGATATTCAGAAAAATATATAAAATCATTATATAATAACATAGGTGATATTAACAATTGATTACAATGAAGAGAAACCAATGCCCTATACGTATTTAGAATCAATATTATAGAATCAGATAATTGAGGAAAGAAAGATGCCATCATATAATTTTTATATCTATAAAAAATTACTAATATAATCTAAAACAATACTCATTATTTACTGAGGCTTCATCAATTCCTTTATATAAGAAAGATGTTGTTGAAGAATAGGAATAATTTTTTTAGGAAAAAAAGATATAGCATAGTTTTCATGTTCTAAGAAATCATTATCAGATCTTTTATTTTCTATATCTTTCATGTCATGGTGCTTTTTAGTATCTAAATCCTGATCACCACCACCATCATCATCATCATCATCATCATCATCATTCCAATCCCATGATTCATCTTTCAATTGATCATTTTCAAAACGATTATCTTCTATATCATTATCCAGTTTCCAAGTATCATGTTCTATAGTAGCTTCATTTTTTTCATCATCAAAAATTTCTTTATCTTCATTTTCCCAATCCAAATCCCAATCATTATTATCAGTAGAATCAACCTTTTCATCATTAACAACCTGTTTACTTTTTGTATTTTGTATATGTTCAATAATAATATTGTTAGAATCTTCTAATTTCAAAACCTTCCTAGCTAAATCAATAGAATTGGATTTCATTTTCATAATCCATGTTTCTGATGCTTGTTTTATCCATTTTTCAATTTCTAAGCTATTGTTCCATATAGTTTGTTTAATTTCTTTATTAAATTCAAAGCCCTCTAAAAGTATTCTATTAAATTTATCTAATCCATCAATTCCATCTGGTATGATATCATTTATATAGTCATTAGTTAAAAAAGACTGTATTTTAGGAAAAAGGTGTTTTGATAAACTTGATAATATAATAGATGGAAATACTTTTTCTATAAAATTAATTAATATAAATAAAGACGGAAAAATCGATTCTAAAATACTAAGTAATAATTTAAGATGTTTTAAAATATACCTTTTTTTTTTGATGTATCAATTTTAATAATCAATTGATACTCTTCATCATTTTCACTCCATTCCAATGTATAAAAATTCTCTTTATTCGATAAGACAGATTGAAAATACCTTGATACAAAATAATTAGAAATATTTATCATATGAAGATCAAATATTTCAAATTGTCTAGATAATTCTATAAATGATATCATAGATTCCTTTTTTTGAAATGGTCCTATATATTTCATTAATATACAAAAATAAATAAACTTTCACACCTTTCAATTGCTTCTTAACTATAAATTCATCTTCAAAACGCACAAAATCTTCCCAAATATCATTACATCTCTCAATTAAATTCAATTTAAGCCCTGATATTTTTTCCTTGAAAAAAGATAAAATTACTACATTTTTCTCATCACGTATATTTTTACACTCTATTTCCGCCTCATTTATTGAATCAAATGCTCTAAATAAATCCCCTTCAACTATTGAATCCTCTGCTTTATCTATTAAACTAGCTATAAATTTTATTTTTAAAATAGTTTCTTTTAATGCTTTTTTCACTTCTATAGAATCAATTAACTCCCTCATACCTTCATTTTTATCATTAAGTGTTTTTAATATTTCCTTTAAATAAAAATAAGCTTAAAAATTATAATTATATCAATTATACCTCATTACTCCTCTCAATTTCCATCAAAACTGTCATATTACTAATCAATTCCCTTATCTTCTCATAAATCTCTCTTTTTTGATCAAATCTTCTCTTAAATAATCCTTCATTTTCTAAAATTAACCTTGATACCTTTTCCTATATATATATATAAATAAATACACAAAATATACACCATATAAACCCCCGTTTTCTTTATTTCCACTTCAATTTTATTAAATATCACATTCAATCCCTCTTTTTCCCTTTTTAATCCTTCTAAATATTCCATATCATTTAAAATTCTTTCTTCATTATTCTTATTTATCTTTTCCGCTCCATCTTTAACCATTCCTCCAATAAACATTCTTCTGCTAATCTCTACCATATTGCTACCCATTTTATGTACATAAATCTTCTTTTTTCCTTGTATAATTCCTCTTTTTTTTCCTTATTAATTCCTTATATATTTTCTTATTAAAACACTTAAAATCTCTTAAATATATAAATATCCCACTATTAAACCCGGATAATACAATTATTCTACTGTCTGTTAACTTGGTTTTTTTCAATATTTGCTCTTTTTATACCTTTTCTACTTAAACCTCTATTTTCCCATATGTTTAAACCTAACGGACAAGGCTAATAAGTTAGAAAATGACCTATTTTGTTAAGAACCAGGATTTTGAGGCATACGGAAGACGCGTCAGGTCATGGAAAAGCATTAGAACTGGTATTCAAGTAGTTTTAGTTGATATTGATGTACCTTTAACCAAAGGAAAATTTGTACTTGCAACAGAAAGTAGGTAAAAAAGAGTATATAAACGAGACTAATTAATAATAGTTTTAAATGACTCTGGATGTCCTCATACGCTTGAGCATTTGATATTTCTTGGGAGTAAAAAGTATCCTTATAAGGGTATCTTAGATTCATTAGCAAACCGATCATTTGCACAAGGTACAAATGCATGGACGGGTAAAGTTTAATATAAGAGGGTATTTTTAAGGGAAATTTATGTAGGAGGATAGAAACGGACCATACGGCGTATACGATTAGTACGGCGGGAACAGAGGGATTTTTAGATATATTTCCAGTATTTATTGACCATATACTTTTCCCTACGCTTACATATGATGGGTTTTATACGGAGATTCATCATATTGATGGGGAGGGAAATGATGCGGGGGTTGTGTATAGTGAGATGCAGGTGGTTAAAGTGATAATATATAAAATATGACTGATAATATGGAGGGACATGAAAATACAGTAGAAGATTTGCAATTGATACAGTAATGAATAGAAATAGATAGGGATATGGTGAATAATGAAGAGATAGTTCACAAAGAGCGCTTTTTCCGGAAGGAATTGGGTATAGAAGTTATACAGGAGGGAATTTAGAGGCATTAAGAGGATTAGATGTTGAAACAGTTAGAAAATATCATTCAGAATATTATCTTCCTCAAAATTTGTGTATTATTATTACAGGAAAAATTGAAGTGGAAGAACTTTTTTATGTACTTGATGAAATTATTGAACCTAATATTCTTAATAATCTTACGCCGAATTTTGAGAATTGGAAAAGGTATAAATATGAAGAATGATGTATTGAAAATCTTATGTATAGACCATGGGTTGATTCGCCGAAAACACCAGCTTTAAATAAATCTCATACAGAAATTGTTCTTTTTCCTGATAAAGATGAAACGGTTGGAGAAGTTCTTTTGGCATGGCTTGGTCCATCATCTACAGTATTTTTATATTTTTACATAAAATTATATAAAATTATTATTAGGAATTTCTTACATTAACTGCATTAAATCTTTTGGGAAAATATCTAACAGATTCAGCTATTTCTATATTACAAAAAGAACTTGTAGAAATTGAGGATCAATTTTGTTCAGGTATTTTTAAATTATACAATTTTATTTGACTATAAAAAAGAATATAGATATATTTTTTTCAATGACAATACGTCTACCAAGTGTTTTATATTTAAATCTATACAGTGTACCAACAGAAAAACTAGAGAAGATTGAAGAACGTGTTTTCGAGCTTTTAAATAATATTAGAGATACTCCAGAAAATTTTGATATCAATCGCATGAGTACTATTATATATAGAGAAAAACTAGCGGTAAATATAACTATCTAAAGTAATTGACTAAAACAAGTAGATTATGGATACAAATGGTTAAATTTATTTTTATTAAAATTAATTGTCTAATGAAATTAGAAACTGATCTAGATGGCATTTTTACTAACGTAATCATTACAGACTTTTTATATGGTGATAATACCCAGGATACTTTAAAGAGATCATTGCAGGATTATGAAGATTATGAAAATTTAAAATTATGGACAGTAACAGAGTGGTTAAAACTTCTAGATACGTATGTATTATATTTGTTGATATTAATAATTCATTTAATTTTAGTTGGCTTATCCAAAATTTTCACATATGTATAATTTCCAAAGCATCTGCTAAATTGCCATTAGAATTAGAAAAAAAAGAAAAAATAAGGATAGAAAATCAAAGAAAAAGACTTGGAGAAGAAGGTCTTAAAAAACTTAGGGAACAATTAAGAATATCTCAAGAAAAAAACAATGCACCATTTCCTTCAACTATAATTTCTGAATTTAAAATTCCAAGTGTTAAAAACATAAACTTTATTACAAGTATATCTGCTAGGGCAGGAATAGCAAAACAAGAGATAGAAAATACAGAAAGAGAACAGTAAGCATTATTATTTCTATGTGATTTTTTCTCTTACATATTTATAGATGTTCTGATGTTCAAAAATATGTTGATGATGACTCTTTGGAAAAAATTCCTCTTTACTTATATTTTAATCGTAATATTAATTATTTTCTTTTCTATCTTTTAATTCTTTTAAGATATTAATTCGAAATTTGTAACTATCCGGGTGTATATTTCTTCAGAACACATAAGTTCTGATCTTAGGCCATATCTTGGTATTTATCTCGACAATTTCTTCTTAAATGGGATTGTTCGTAGTGATGGAACTAAGTTAGCATATGAAGAAGTTGTAAGAATATTAGAAAACGAGACAGTAGACTATAATACATCATGGGGGGTATCTGCATCGTTTTTAGAAATGGCAACTATTCAATTTAAAGTTGAAGTATTTAATACATTTGCTATATGTTCAATCTTAATCTTTTATATAGATACAAAATTATAAAAAAGGAATTCTTTTATTAAAAGATTTGCTTTATGGAACTATTTTTGAACCTCAAAGGTAATAAGTATTTCCATGTATATTTTTAAAATTTATAGACTTATGAATTTTGTATTAAAGTCATTAAATGACATTCCACAAGAAAAAAGAAATGGAAATAAAGTAATTAACCTTTTATTTTGAAGATTTTATCTCTAACATTTTAAGATATGCTGGGCATTAATGAGAATGTAAATAGCCCTTATTTTTATTGATTTAATTTAAATTTTCAAAAGGTATCAACTAGATAAAGATCTATCTACATCTAAAGCAGTCAATCTACTTACTCAAATAAATTTCTTAAAGAGGCTGAAGAATGAATTAAAAAAAGAACCAAATAGAGTTATTGAGAAATTTAAAATTATACAAAATCAGCGTATGTTTTTTTTTTAATGAAGCTTTGTTATAACATAAAAAGTTTTTAAACCTGAAAATATGTATTTTCAAATAATTTCCGACATTTTACATTTAGAGTATCCGGTATCATCATGGAAATCTTTCAATGATCATCAAGAAGTATTATATCCCTTTTATTACTTTTTAATATAATCTCTTTTAAGAAAAATGATATTGTTATGTCACGAATTCCATATAAAAAATTCATGTTGACAGAAAAAGGAAGAACTCCTTCTGGAATAGTATTGATTTATTTTATTTATTAATTTCTCTTACTAGAATAAGGCTCATATAATATCTCTACCTACTGTCGAAAGTTCATATTCTGTTCATGTTTCTAAGCTATTTTCAGATTTTAACCATAAAGATTTCCCAGCTTTTATTCTTCTTCTATCATATCTTAATATTATGGAAGGAATACTTTGGAAACATATAAGAGGTGCAGGTTTAGCATATGGTGTGAGCTTTAAAACAGATATAGAATCAGGTAATTTTAATAACATATATTTATATATGTTAATATTGCTTAAATTAGGTTTTGTTTATTATTCTATTTATTCATCTCCAAATGTATTTAATGTATGGGAAAAAACTCAAGGTATAATTCAAATTATCAAAAATATACATTATCTAATGCTTTTAGCTATTATAAATGACATAAAAAATAAAAAGGTTAGTTTAAAGAGTATTTTTATTATAATAGTCTAAAATATTAAAGATACATTTTGATGAAGATCTAATGATAAATGCGAAAAGTTCACTTGTTTATGATATCGTTTCAATTGATTCAACTCCTTTCTTTGCAGTAAGTAATTAACGTAAAACAAACATTCTTTAAAAAAATAGGCTCAAGAGTCATTTGTCTCTCAAGTTATGAAAAATCAACCAGAAAATAAAAGAAGCCAATTGATCGATGAAATATCGGTAATATTTATCATTCTTTTTCATACAAATTATAACTATCTAGGATATCACTATTGATCAGCTATATGTTGTTCATAATAAATATCTGGTGAATCTATTTAATTCTAAAACCTCCGATTCATTTATAGTCACTACTTCTTCAAAATATGATGAAATAATGCAAGGATTTTCTAGAGCAGGATATAATATTACAAAAAAAAAATTTAATGATTATTAAAATATCTTTTATTTGTTATCTATACATCAAAAATTATATAACTCTATTTTTTTAATATCACATAATAAAAAAATCTTAATAATAATTTCTATCTAATTTCAGGACTAATAATAAAAGCTATCAATAATTATATAAATCATTTCAGAAATGTCTAAAAACAAATCGTAATAGTTGAAGTTTTTTTGTCATATCTTATTTATACAGAATTTAAAATAAAATAAATGATATATATATATAAAGAATACTTATTAAGAGCGAATCAAACAATAATATTAAAGAATATAATATCATGTAATAAGCATTATTATAAACAAATATATATATTACAAATCTACATCATTTTTTAGAATCGTTATAAATATATTAATAAAATTATTTTATATCTATTTTTCTCATTGTAATTAACTCCATAATCATTGTTACAATAATTTCAAGATCATTTTTCCAAGATAGATAGTAATAATTTTTTCTTATATCTAATTAGATAATATTTTTAAATAAAATGTACTTTACTCCACTTTCAAATAATTTACTTTCAATTACTTATATTGTAAGAAACAATTGCAAAAGAATTAACAATGCAATGGCAAGAAAACATAAATATTGAACAACAATTACAAAAATATTGTTGAGATAAATTTAAAAAAAAAACAATAGTTTAAACTTAAGAATCATATACTAAATAATCATATACTAAATAATCATATACTAAATAATCTATAATATTCATAAAAGTAAAGACAAAAATATTTATAAAAATTATAACCAATTGTATTTTTTATAACTATTTAACTAATTATATTTATAAAAAATAATATTTATAACAAATCTCTTTCAATTAATTCCATTAATTGAAATAATCAATGCAATTCTCCTAAAACAAAATATAACTATACTAAGCCTAACATTATATCCCAGTAATTATAATTATTTTATTTATTCCATTAAAAAAATAAAAACTTGGCTTTATTAAACATAATAGTTTCATTTAATCCCTTATTATCTAAAAAAACACTCCAGTAATATTAATAAACTTATTCTAACAATATAAAAATATTTATTAATAATATTGATCTATACAATCTTTACTTATTTCTTATTAATTAAATACAAATAAAAACAATGAACTATATTATAAACTTCATTAATTTTCTTTTAATAAACAATTTAAAATTTCCTCATATCTATTTCTTCATATTAGATATATTTAAGATAAATCCATTATTACATGAATAATATACATTAACAAAAACTATTTTATTTACATTAATAATATAATATAAAATAATATTAATTATTTGACATACTAATGATAAATACTAAATTAATATACTTCATTATTGAGCTAAAAACTCCCTTCTCTATATCCATATTCTATAACTATAATAATATAATAATACAATAATAAAAAAATACAATAATATAATAATATTCCTACATAAATATACTCCTTTCATCTTAAAATTCAAAGTTCTTATCCTTACTATTCTTAAGATACTTGATAAAACCTTATATATGACTTGTTTCTCCAAAATAACCCCAAAAAACCTGCAATTTCTTCTGATACTGAAACTTTTTCTTCAGAATAACAATTCTCCTCATAAATTAACATAAAACCTTCTTTATCTTGTCTTTTAAATCACTTTTTCTCCTAAAAAATATCATCCTTAATATATGGAGAATCAAACTAAGGTTTTTCTAAATATCTATGAATAAAGACTAAAACTCAGTAGATCCGTGTAATATTTGTTACAAAAGATAAGGAAATTGAGGTTGAAAATACACCTATTTTTGTCCCTCTTTCATTGAGCCGCTATGGCTTAAATGAAGTAGTCAATCATCTGCTAGAAAAAGGTAAAATAAAGGGAATAAACAGGATTATTCTAAGTATATACATAGAACCACCATTAAACTTTGCGTTTTTAATTGATGGAGAGTTTTTGCAGGGCTCATTAGGAGAATATTTGGCAAGAAAGGAACGAACATGTGTATGAAGGAGAGATTTGGGGGAAAAAAGGGAGCTAAATATGGTAGGAAACAACTCTATCTATAGAATATCTACGCTGTATATTGGAGCCTAAATATGCGTTATCATTTGTACATAGTGATTGGGTTTCAAGTGTTAAATCAGCAGAATCAGAGGAAATAGTTTCAGGATGCTATGATGGAGTAGCTAGAATATGGAATGATAAAGGAGAAGTTATTACAGAGACGTCTGTACATGAAGGGCCGGTTAAATCAGTTTGTTGGGTTGAAAAAGGACGATTTGCTACATCAAGTATGGATCAAAGAATTAAAATATGGGAATATAAGAAAAAAAAGAGTGGAAAAGTAATATGTCGGTGTATTATTGAAATGAAAGGACATGATATGTCAGTTGAATCAATTGCGGTTAATTTTGAAACAAAACGACTATTAAGTTCAGGAGCAGATGGGAATATTGGGATATGGGACATTGAAGAAGGAGAGAATGTAATAGATGAAGAGAAAATGAATAAAAAGAGAAGAATAAATGAATCTAAGAATAGAATTGTGACAAAAGTATGTTTTATTAGAATTTTTATTATATATATAAGTTTAATGTATGATGAAGAAGCCTATTTGTATGATAGAAGGACATTCGTCGTCATCATCAGAAATTATTTTTGATAGTAAAGATAGTACAGTAGGATATTCTGTTGGGACAGATCGTTGTATTAAAACATGGGATTTAATTACATTTTCCAATGTAGATACTAGGGTAAATAGAAGGTTTGAAATAATAAATGTTAAAATTATTTAGGTAACACAACAAGCTTTACTTTGTATATGTTCTATACCTTCATTGTCATTATTAGCATGTGGATCATCATCTCAACATATACTTCTTCATGATCCAAGAATTTCTTTAAAATCTACACCTGTACAAACATTGAAAGGACATAAGAATTTTGTAGTATCATTATCACCATGTGATAGAAATAATTATGCTCTTATAAGTGGTAGTTATGATAGTTTAGTTAAAATATGGGATATACGAGCACCTAATGGAAGTTTATATTCAATTGCACGTAAAAGTGAAAAAAATGATACAAAAGTATTTAGTATTGATTGGAGTAATGCTTTTGGTATTATAAGTGGTGGAGAAGACCATTGCCTACAAATTGATCAAATAAATGATTTATAATATTTTCTAAAAAAAATAATAAAATTATTATAATAATGATTTAAAAGAATCCAATATTGTGTATTATATTGTTATTTATATATGATCGACTTAAATTTTCTTAAAAACTCCATGAATCCAAACTCTATACATTTTTTGCATAGTAGCACGATTTACTAAAAGTCGTTTATCTATTTCATTACGTTCTATTTTAAATAATTTTCCAAAGATTTCTGGTATATGTTCTAAAATTGATATTAATTCTAATATAAAAAATACTGAAAAAGCACCATGACTAAAAAAATACACTCTAGTACCATCCCCTCTTATATAGAAGTTATTATCAAGAAATCTTTCCTTTTTAAAACGCAATTGTGTCATATCCCAGCGTCCATAATCACGAAATAAAATTATACCACCTGGTTTCAACATCTAAAAGAGTATTAAAAAAGAAAAAAACATAGAAATCCTTTCTTTATATATATTTTGAACAGCAATATTCCATTGACTTGGTGATAACGAACTAAAGGCAAATATTAATATAACAATATCTACATTCGTTGCTCCTTCTGGAAATTCTCCATTTAAATTAGCCATATCCCAAACAGATGCCCGAATATTATCTCCTGAAAATAATTCTGATCCCTTCACTATTTCAATAGCCTTTTTTGAATAATCAACCCCATGAATTACAAGAAATGGATTCTTATTTTGTAATAAAATAGGAAACATAGTATTTCCAACACCACATCCAATTTCTAATATATATTTCTTGCCAGACTATTACTAATAAGTTTCCATAACATGTTATACACAATCATTATACATATGAACAAATACAATCAAATATTTGAGGAAATTCATGAAATAACCATTTCCTATTTTTAAAAAAATGTGTTTTATGATTTTCATAAAATTTGTCCCAAAAAAATGATGGATTATTCATATATTTTTCTTTATCAATAACAGGATTTAACATTTGTTTATGTATCTTTTCAATAGCTATTTTTTCCTGCTCTTCACTCCATTCTACATCATCCCTTCACTTTATAAACATATTTTCCAGGAAAAAAAAACATCTCTACCAAGCATTATATGAAAATACTTCATTTAAATCTGTAAGATAACGACATCTAAATGGCTTTTCTACTTTATCAATAATATTCTTATCGTCTACTGAAAATGTTGTAATTTCACTATCTTTTTCATACAACTTTTGAGAAATATCAACTACACATTCCTCTACACATTCCTTTATCATATTTCCTTTAATATCTTCTAATTTTATGGCAATATAAAGCTAAAAATAACAACTTTTTAATAATAACAATTCATTTTCATAAAATTCCTATAAAAACATAAAAAATTTTTAAAAAAAAACACATAAAATCTTTTCCTACCATAAATAATTAATAATACTCGTGTTTTAAAGTCTTATTATACACCTATTCTTATAAAAATTAAGAAAAATATTTCAAAAAAAAATTACAATTCTTAATAAAAATATTCTAAAAACAAATCTCTAAAAGTTAAAGCTATTCATATATTGCTTTTCAATATAAATATATTTTATTTTATTTTTGGTGTTAAATCTATATTAAAAAGGCTGGTTAAAATCTTAAAACGTGCTCGAAAAGCTGATATGTAAATTAATAAATATATAAATAACCTGCCATTTTCCAGCCTAAAATATAAAGAAAAAACATATGAATTAATGAAAGAATAATATTAGAAAAGGATATATTTAATTGAGAAAAAGATTGGATTAAATTGATCAAAATAATCAATAAAACTTATTAAGATTGGAGAATTATAAGAAAGAAAATAGCTATAAAAAGGAGTTTTTTTGTATAGAATAAAGAATTGTTTATGCAGCAGTTTTATTATTTATGTTTTGTATTTAATAAAAATGGGGAATACACAGGGAAAACAATCATTTTATGAAAAAAAGTCATCTGCAGGCAGATTGACAAAAAAATGGAGGAATCGAGGATGTTATAATGGAACAATTTTTCAGAATAGATATACGGGTACACCAATTTATCAATTCTCGGATATTTTTGATCCAGGTACAAATCTTATAAGTAAATCGGACGAATGTTATCCAAAAAATATTAAACAGAAAAATGAAGTGTCAATGACGTATTTGGATGCAAATAATAATCGATTTACTGTTAATGGAAAAAAGGAATTTTTTTCATTACAAAATCAGTATCCTTCTAAAAGATACAGAATTGATCTTTTAAATTCTAAGGCACCAAATCATTATTTTCCATCAAAGACAAATCAACGTCAAAGTTTTTCAAATGCAATTGCATGTTCTAATGGTGTTCGTCATAGTTCAATGATTTCGAATACTTGCTATAATTCACCGCCTTTTGCATTATCAGACGAAGCATTACCTAGGTTATCATCATATTCTACACACTTATCTAATAAAAGATTAACATCATCGAATGCAGATTTTGGATTAATTTCTCCTGGTGTTTTAAGAGTGGTAAATGGTAATCCATCACCATGTTCTTCTGATGATGAACTTTCACTACGATCTTTTTCTCAAGGAAGATCATTACCATATACAATTGAGGAAAAGACATTAAAGTGTTCAGTTACACCTGAACCAAAAATGACAGTATCTGAAGATATGCTTAAACATGCATCACCTCCATCTAGTACGACCGAGGAGTTATTAAGGGAATATTATGATCATAAAGATAAAAATACAAATGATTATCTTCAAACAAATGATGATCCAAAAATGACACAATTTAATCATATTCTTGATAAAAATAAACAAAATTCTAATTCTATTTTAAAAACAAAAAATTCAAGACAAAATTATTCAATCACATATGCTCAAAATAAAATTAATGACAAATATTTTTCAAATCATACACACGAGCATGAAAATAATTATTCAATTAAACATTTACAAAAATTAGATGTTCATAATAATGTATTAAAAGATGATTCTTTGGATATATATTCAAAAATTAATAACAACTCCGAAACTTCTGACTTTTTACAAATAAGGTCTGGCATTCAAGATAAAACAAATCATACACAGCAACAAATTCACAAAAGCACTAAATCTTATTTAGCTTATAATAATATCGATATGTTGCCGATTCCTAATATACCTAATCTTTTTGTTTCTGATCAAAGAATAGCTATTTCTGGATAAGATTCTTTTTATTTTTTACTTTTAAACATATTGTGTTAATACATATGTTTTACAATGTACATTTTTTTATTACAGTTTGCTTAGATTTTGTAGTTTTTAATGCATAATTTAATACTTTTATATTATTTTGTATATTGGCTCTTATTCTAAACACATATCTCTACATATCTCTACTTATTTCTGCATATTTCTACATATTTCTACATATCTTTACATACTCCTTCCTTCCTCTACATATATACATATAGTACTAGCCTAAAACACTCTATCCGAATATTCTAGAAACCCGTCGGAGTTTCAATTAAAAGTCTATATAAACCACCCGTCACGCCCCGAGTTCTTTACCTCTCTTTGGTAAGATACACCTATTTTCTCTAAGACTTTATTTGCTAATAATGTTAATAGCCTTTTGGCTTAGATCAAGTGTAGTATCTGTTCTTTTCAGTTTAATCTCTGAAATGTTCCCACTGGGAACGCATTGATTATACTACTTTTTGTACCCAGCCTGGTCATCTCTAGCTTGCTATGTGACCGGCACAGGTGTCGCTTGTATTGCACTACCTCAGGCTGACGCCGAATCTCTTTCAGAGATTCTTTTTTGATTGTTGCTATGATAGATCATGGTGAGATTCAAAGAAGTGTTTTTGAAGGAGAGTATAATTTTTACGAAATTATATAAATTTCAGGGTACTTTTTAGGTAAGAGTATTTTTATGTAGTTTAACAAGTAGAAAAATGGTAATTCAACCTTTTTAAAGAGATTTTATGTATAACTGGGTTAGTCAAAGAAAGGGTTATCATTAGCAGAAAAACGGGCGCGTCTAGAAGAATTATTTCATGAAAGTGTAAGTAAATCATTTATTTATATAGCCTTTAAAGAATATTGTTTAGAAAGAATTTTTTCAACTTAAAGAGGTGTTATTACAAGTTAAAATATAGACAAACAGTTAACATTATTGAAGATAGAAAAGAAGGGATATCAGGAAAAAAAAATAGTAATTCAATCTATTAAAGATATTTTACAATCACTCGTTGATGATGGCATTGTTAAAATGGATAAAATTGGAACAAGTAATTACTTTTGGAGCTTTCCAAGTGAAGCAAGACAATCAAGACAGCATCGAATTACAACGATGGAAAAGCAACTTGAAACACTTCAAGCAGAAACACAAACTTTACAAAACAAAATAAGTGAAGAAACAAGTCAACGAAAGGATTCGGTATTGAATTGTTATGATTTTTATAATATTTACTAATAAGCAAAAGCAATTACGTACTTCATTACTTAAAAATGTTTCAGAGAAGGAAAAAAAGCATACAGAGATTCTTGCAAAGTTAGAATGTTATCGAGATTCTGATCCATCAATTATTGAAGCAAAAGGTATATATATATATTAATATACAAGATATGGATATTATGTAAGATTAACAATGAATCTAGAAAAAGCGATACAAATTGCAAAAGAGGCAGCAAATCGATGGACAGGAACTTAGGAAATTATTTTTATCAAACACTTTTACTAATGTGTAATAGATAATGTTTTAATTTTACAAAGTTATTGTGTAAATGAATTAATGGTGGAAAAAAGCCTTCTTGCTTCACAATTTAATATTCCAGATGACCTGGATACTATTCCTTGAATATTTTTAACTACTCGTAACATTTAGTGCTTTTTTATCTACAATTTTATTATCATTTTTGCGATGTCTTTGCTTATAAAATAATTAGAAATATTTAGAGTATGCTTAAGAAGCTTTCCAGTGCTTTGATGTAGTATTTGATTCCAATATACATGTAGCTTTTTAAAAGATATTTATATTTTTTTTCATTTTCCGTGTTAGCGTTTAAAAATTTATATGTATTCCAGACATATGGAGCAGACCTATACAAATGAACCTACAGCATCTGGACAAGCCTTTACAATGTCAAATCAGATGCTTGAAGAGAGAGAAGCTATTCGTAAATATACTGCACCTAAATTCTGGAGCATTCCAGCATCTCCACCTGGGAATCCATCTCCAATACTAGAGAAGAAATTTGAACATTACCGAATGTTAAAAAAAAGAAACATTCATTTAAATGATAATCTTGATAATTCAAAAACGTCCCGAAATCCATATTTATTAGATGAATTGATAGATTATGTGGATATTAAAGATTATTATGGATCAAATCTACCAGAAGAGTTACAAACATGGAAAAATCTAGAAATGTTAAAAATAAATAAAAAAGAAACTGAAAATACTTCATCAAAAACACAAAATAAGCCACCAGTAAAATATTTTCGAAGAGACCGTTTCATATCAGAATAATATCTATCAAAAAAATATATCTTCCAAAATGCAAACTTCATAAAATCTATCTAGAATGATTAGATGAGTTTATTAATTTAATCCTGCTGTATAAAAATTAACCTAAATGGCTTAATTTTTATAAACAAAAAAATAGTCATAATTTTATAAATTATAGAATGTTATTATATCAAGAACGAATTTATACTGGATGAATAATGCCGATTAAACTTGTTAAAAATGCATGAATGGCCATTTCAAATGACCAGGCTGAAACAGTTCGTATATAATGTCGCTTAACATCTTGATCCACTACAATATTGGCAAATGCATTATATATCTTTAATATTAGAAAAGAAAAAACAATAAAAATGGTATAGATACCTCCTTTGAAAGATCATTTATTAGCTCGCTATCATAAATAGTCCAGCTACCATTAAAATCATCCAAATTTTTTATTACTTTACAAGCAATGGGTATGTATGTATTATGTGAATTAATATATGCCACAATAGGACGAATAAGTGCATTACTAACATATGATAATTGTTTTGTAAATAATGGAACATTTGCTTTCACTCCATGTAATACTACTTTAATATCAATCATAATATCTTTAGTACTAGCAAATTGTGAATTTTTAAAATTTCCAGTTTGAACTAATTCTTGTAGTGATTCAGAGGATGTTTCGTTTGCTGTATCTTGTAATATAAATCTGTCTTTTTCACTTTCGTTTTCTTGCTGCATAAATGTAGTCTCAACATTATCAATAATATTATGCATAACTTTCATAAAATTTATATTCTCGTTTTCATTAGGAAATACAAAATCTAAAATGAAATCAACATATCCATAAGTGATCCATCCAATGGGCCCTTCAACGCCTTTATTTATATGATCTATATTTACATTATCTATTCGAAGGCGAGTTTTCCTAACTTCCTTGCCCTTTTTTTCATTTATATCACTAAGAAATGTTTGATGTGGATGCAACGTAAAAAGAGAATTATCATAAGAACCAGATATCGTATTTGCATTTAAAATATCATACAATAACCATTGTTTCCTAAGCCTTGGAAGCTCACAATTATAAATACTAACAGTAAATGGCCGAAAGTTTTTAGATTGGAAAACTGTTACTAAAACATTTTTAAGTCGAACATTTTCAATTTCAAAATCACTTAATTGACGATTTTTTCTAAAAGATTTTAAATCTAGAGGTGGCGCATCTTTATCTAGACAAATATTTGAACCATCTATAATACCTCTAACACCCCTTATATCTATGTCTTTAATAATACCCGTTCCACTAAACCATTTTACAAATGAAAAAACTACATCAATATTTTCAATTATTAAATAAAATTGTGTATAATTCGATTTTTCTTCAGACTTAAATTTAAAAGAATTAGTAATATCTTCAGTTATTACGCTAGGTATTTCTGAAATCAACCCTTTTCTAACATTATTTTTCAAATTTTGATTATATGGATTCCTAGAAATAAAGACATTTCTAAAGGAAATCGTTCCATCTTTCCACTTTGGAACAATGGATGACTCAAATAACACTGTAATACCCGTCTCTTTAGTAAGATATTCACCAATCTTAGTAGCTAGATATTCTTGTGCAAAAACACTATTTACTGCTGCTAAGACCAAAGAAAAAAACGTAGTTGTACCAATAATAACCCAAAGAATATTACATGCAATAAGCCATGTAAATAATGCACTAATATCATCAACGTTAAATGGGCGTATTTGTCTCATTAAACGATATTTCATTCTAATTTTTAAACGTTCAAAAAACCCCGATGTATTATACAATAACGTCTCTTTCGTAGGATTATATGTTTCACTAATAGATGATGCTCCTAATGGAAATTTATATGATGACAATTCGGAATAATTAGCTACAAAATTTCGACTTTTATAAAACACTCCAAAATTACAAAAAATTCCCCTTATTTTAAATAAATCAATTCCAATCATTTTTAACATAGTATATGAATGCTTTCGTGACAAAATCGTCTGGTAATAATCCCTTTTAACTATATTTTTCAAAAAATAACTACTTTCTCGTTTTTTCCCTTTTTTTCCCTCAAATTCCACTCTTTTTTTCTCATTCAAAGATGAAAAACATTCTCTTCCTCTTCTCAATACGAAATTTGTCCTTTTAAACAAAAAATATTGCCATTTCATCCCTCTCCATAGACTTTTTTCCTCTTTCAATAAAAAACTAGATCTCCCTTCAAAACCAACCAATCTACCCTTTAAACTCATTTTATTACTAAGATAACCATAAAAACCCTTGGTTTATCTTCTTAACCGCCTTAAATACTAAAGAGCTCTATAATTACTCCTATAAATCTATTAATCTTTTATACATTATTTCTTCGTCGTTCTCGTCAGACGTCTAATTTTTTTATAAAATCTAAGATGCAAGATCTCCAGCAAGATCTCCAGCAAAATCAGGAGTCTACAGGTAATAAAACAGTATTTTTAGAGCAAATACTAACAGATTATATGAAGAAAACGTTTTAATTAAGGTAGATTCAGTTCCATCAGCTTTTGAATTGGACGATAAGGAAGAACATCTTGATGAAGAAAATCAACCTCAGTTTTCAGCGTTAACAAAGAAGATAAATGTTATTAAGAAGCCAGAAATGGTTTCGGTTAGGATTCCTCGTCATAAAATAGCATCCTTAAAGGAAAATTGGGCAAAAATTTATCCAATATTGGTGGAGCACTTAAAATTACAAGTACGAATGAATTTAAAGGATAAAACGGTTGATTTGAGGACGAGTAATTATACAGAACGAGCAGAATCGCTTCAGAAAGGATCAGAATTTGTTAATGCATTTGCAATGGGATTTGATGTAAATGATGCCGTTGCGATGATAAGATTAGATGATATTTATATTGATACATTTGAAATCAAGGATGTAAAAACATTACAAGGTCAACATCTTTATAGAGCAATTGGTAGAATTGTTGGAAAAGATGGAAAAACGAAATTTGCGATTGAAAATGCAACACGAACAAGACTTGTGATTGCAGATACAAAAATTCATATTCTTGGAGCATTTTTAAATATTAATATGGCTAAAAAATCAGTAGTAAGTCTTATATTAGGAAGCCCTACGGGAAAAGTATGTTATTACATGAATATATTTTTCTTATAAATTTTTAGGTGTATACGAAACTTAGAAATATTTCAGCAAGATTAAAAAGTACATTTTAACAACTAATGATGTAAATATTGATATACATAATAAAAATATACATTTGATATGTATATTATTTATAATATGGTTTAATAGGACATTTCTTATTTTTGAATTCATATATACTATATAAATATGTAAAGTTTCCTTTTTTTTCGTACAAAAAAAGCCTCTATATCTGATTCTTTTCCATTATAGAATTCTGAAATAGGTATTTCTAGTTGATAATAAATGTTCTTAGCATGAAATACTAATGAAAATAAATTGTTTTTCTCGACTAATTCTAAACATAAAGAACTTGAATTTTCCTAGTATAATTAATATTGTATAATAATAAAACATAATAACATACTACTAAAGAAAGATCTATCACTATTTTTGATTTTTCTGTATTATTTAATTTGAGAAACTTTTCAACAGTATATAAGGGTTTTGTTAATTTTGATATTTTAACATCAGTTTTAGCAGAAGATATACATGTGTTTTTATTTATAGTAGCCTTTTTACTTTCAGATTTTTTGCATGTATTACCTCCAAAACTTTCTAAAGGTACAATTTTATTAGTGTTAATTTCTTCTATTTTTGCACCTGAAACATTATCTATTTCTAAAATACTTGGTTGCAATTCTCCTTTCGCTTTCATTTTTGGAATAACATATTCTAAATTACGTGAATATTTTTATTAATAATTAACAAAAAAAATAACCTCTAGAAAGAATCATTCCTGTTTTATCTTCAATAAGTTCAAGACATGTCTCAATAAAAAAAAGACGAACATTTACATCTTCTTTAGATAGTTTCATAACTGACGTATTACAACAACAATCAATTACTAAACATTTCTTTCCAGCTATTTTTTAATTGTTATAAACTTTATTACTGACAATTATATATACCTTTATCTACATCCCATCGTTCTATACTTATAACAATAGGTATTTCCCAATGCCATCCTTTCATTATTTTAGGAATAATATCATATCCTACTTGATCTTTTGGTGGTGTAACATGATCCGAATGACATAAGTTAAGAAATACTTTTGTACCTTGAGGAATTCGTTTCTTATCATTGCTTGTTTGTACAGTTTTAACTACAAAACCAGGAAGAGGTGAAATATGAATATTTTTAGTATTTTTTTCAGATTTTTCGCCTTGTGATGGTAATTCCATGAAATTAGATCCTTGTTTTTTAAAATTTCTATCCATAATCTTTTCTACCATAGAATAATCATTATTTTCTCTAGTATCATATTCCTTATATTTTTCATAGCTATTTGATACAATATTTAAGCTTTTTAAAGGATTCACTTTGTCTGGAATATCAAGAAAAGGCATTTTAAATTTAAATCATATATATTTCTTTAAATTCAATAAAAGTACTGTTATTAAGCCGTTTAAAAAACACCGCCTTTAAATATAATCTTAAATAATAAATTTTTAATAAGTTTTTCTTACGTTTAAATTCTTTTAAAATATATTTTTAAGATTGAAATTTATAATATGTTTGTAAGTTTAAAATAGAATTAATATATATAATTTCTTATATTATTTTAATAGGAATATAGAAATCTTATTGATATTATATGCAAAGGCATTATTTTCATTATTTTTATGTTAAATTAAATAAGTATAGGCTCAGAAAGTTTTATTAATATATTTTTTAAATGTATGGATAATAATAGAGATGTTCTATATCAATTTTATAGACCATATTCAACTATTGTATGGAATGGAAATGCCTTTCTTGGTCTATCTTACGCAGAATTTGTTAAAGAACTTCCTATTAGTCACCATGAAGTAGTTTTGGACATTTTTATTGAAAATAAGTTAATAAAATATACAATTTAGGTTCAAAGTTTTGATTGTCATCCTATTATTTCAAGTATGAATCAAGATGGTACATGTAGTATTGTACTAGTTGTATCTGGATCTGTTCGGTATGGAAATGAGCAACAATTAAGAGGATTTTCTGTATAATTATATAAATTGGATCAAAAATGTATATCTAATTTTATTATAGGATACATTTATTTTAAAATCAGATTTAGAAAAACCAGGAATTTATTATATAGCAAGTCATTGTTTTCGACAAGTTGTTTAAGCTTTTATTATATTTATTAATTCTTTTTTGGTTTTTTATATGGTAATGTTTAATATAAAATGTTTTTATTGATTTCATTTTATAATCTTTATTATTATTTAAAAAAAATTTAACAAAGATACATATTAGCATTGTTTTAAATATTAATTAAATTATTTTATTAATAATTATATTTCATTAATAATTATATTTTATTCATAATCTAAATCTTATTTTTATAACCAACCAACGACACTTAATAAAAATCTAATGGATTTTTTAAAGGTTTTTATCAAGCAATAATTTAAATAAATATTAATATATGTTAGGATCTTGGAGATGCTTTGGATATCCCTGGTTTTCCATGGAAAAAGCTTATTATTTCATTTATTCTAGGTAATTTATTATAATATTAAGATATTGAAAATTAAATTCTTTTAAGTCCAATATGTTTTTGAACAATTTTTAACATTAAGACAATACAAAAAGCTTAAAGAGAAAAAGCCATCAGCAGCTTTAGAAAATATTGTTGATATGGAAACATATAATAAAAGTCAAGAATATGGTAGAGCGAAAGCAAAGTTTAGCCTTGTTGCGGAATTGTATGAACTTTTTCAGAAACTGCTTATTATGAAATATGATATTCTTCCTAAGCTTTATAGTTTTGTTAAATTACTAGTAGATCGGTTTTTTTCAGAGAAGTTTTCTGGAGAAGTAAAAAAATATAGAAATATTATAATTATATATTTAATTAATTGAAATAGATTTTTTATTCTATGTTATTTTTCTTTATCTTAAATTTACAATCTCTATTTCTAAATCTTCCAGTTTCTATCTATTCTATATTTGTTTTGGAAGAAAAATTTGGATTTAATAAACAAACATTTGGTCTTTTTATTGCAGATTTGGTTAAAACTCAAGTATTAATTGCAATTATTGGAGGTCCTGTTCTTTTTGTATTTCTAAAAATTGTTGCATACTTTGGCCAAGCATTTTTTTTTTATTTATGGCTTTTCGTATTTATATTTCAAATTGTACTGATAATAATCTATCCTACATTAATTCAACCTTTATTTAATAAGCTTGTTCCTTTACCTGATGGAGAATTGAAATCAAAGGTTGAAGAATTGGCATCTAATTTGAAATTTCCTTTAAAGAAACTTTATGTAATTGATGGATCAAAAAGATCTGCACATAGTAATGCATATTTTTTTGGTTTACCGTGGAATAGACATATTGTCATTTATGATACATTAATTGAAAAATCAGAAACTGTTGAAATTATTGCAGTATTAGGTATTTATTATTATTATTTCTTATAATACTTATTTTGTTATAGCTCATGAATTAGGCCATTGGGCATTGTCTCATGTAGCGAAAATCTTAGTAATTACTCAAATTCATATATTTTTTATATTTATGCTTTTTTCCATTTTTATACAAAATACTTCTCTTTATCAATCATTTGGATTTCATTCAGATAAGCCAATCTTGATAGGCTTCGTCTTATATAGTGATATTCTGACACCTGTAAATGGTCTTTTAACATTTTTTATGAATATTTATAGCAGGAAAAATGAATTTGAAGCAGGTACATTATTTAAAATTTATAATACTATTATAAATAAATATTCTAGATGCATTTGCTGCTAAACTTAATTACAAAAAAGAACTTTCAAGTGCGCTTATAAAGCTTCATATTCAAAATTTAAGCACTATGGATGCTGACAAACTTTATAGTAGTTATCATTACTCACATCCATTACTGGTTGAACGTTTACGTGCTCTTGGTTATAAACATGAATCAAAGTCTGAGTAAAATAATTACATTTATTAATAAAATATAAAAATAATTTATCTAATTTAATAAAAAACCTTTATTTTTATCCAAATTTCGATTTTAAATCTAAAAATTAAATAAAAAAATGGATTAGTTAATTCAATTATTTTCTATTTTTAAATAAAAAATAATATAAATATAGTATTTTTACTGATATTAGGAGGACGGCTCTAAGGAAATTGTTAATTCTTAGTTTTGATAAGGACAGCAATGAAATATTGGCAAAATCTAAGCAAATATGGGAAATATTAGTAAAAAACAAATTGAAGTCGCAAAAAGGCGGTATTTTGAATGCTATTGGATACAAATCACAGAAAAAAGATGTTATACAGATGGTGGTTTTATATAGGATTATAGAAGTAAAATTTATGAATTTAGACTCCTCGTGAATTTCACGCAACTATTACAATATGTGAAGCTATAATTGACTCGAAACATTTAAATTGTACAAAAGAATTTATACAAGAGATTGCAGTTATTTTAAAATCTTCTTATGGATCATTTACATTATCATCTTTTTTGGATGTTGATAGTTAAATTTAATTTTTGAAAAAGAATTATAGTCTAAGATATATTTTTAGAGGTATTTTATCTGAAAGATTTGGCAAATAAAAGTACGCTTTCTCTTCTTCGTTTTATGGATATGTTCCCTGGATATAAAACAGATATTTTAAACATATTTACTGAATATATTGAAGAGGTTTTACTGGAATTAAAAAATTCACTGGATTGTAATATCTTTTTGATATTAGCTTATAACTTACAAATATAGCTTCTATAATATCAGAAATACATCTTCCATTTACATCATTATCTGGTTTTCTAAAAGCACTTAAAACTTCAAAATTTCTTCAATCAGATTTTGAAATTATGACTATAGTCGAGCCTTTAAAGTATTTACTTTCAGAGACTTTTTTATCAAAAATATTAAATTTAATAATAAAATTTGAAAACGAAGATATAAATCAGAATATACCATTTTTAACTAAAAAGCATTCTAATGAACTAGTATTAGGAAAATGTCTAATATTAACAAAAAATTTAATTTTTATAATTCAGAAGTATATTTTTAAACAAATAGTAGGAAATGATATATTTGATTGGGAAGAAATTCTAACAGATAATACTTTAAATTTTGATAATGTTCATCTCGAATTTTCCGCGATTACTTCTATAGTTCAATGTTTAAAAGATACCATTAAATATCTTAGCTCACTTTCTCGATCTAATATTGTTGAATCCAATACTTTTCAGAAAGTGTTCTCCTATTCATTAGTATGTTTATTTTTTTCAATTTAGTAGTTATTACTGAATAAAATTAGAGAACGACATGTCTTTGCTGTATGATTATTAAGGATTTTTCATTAATGTCTAAATGGTTTGAAAAACTTTTGGAGTTTTCACATGAAGGGTTTAGTACTATTTATACTATTGCTATTCAAGATGTTTTTGCAGCAATTGCTCTTCGGTAATTTCTTTTATATTTGTTTTTATTTCTAAAATATGATAAGCTTTCCGGATAATGCCAGTGTTATTATTCAATATTTTCGAATGCATATTCTTCATTTTTCAGATTCTGTTACTAAACTTCAATATAATGACGAGCTTACTGCATTGGTATCTAAAAGACTTACATATGTTCTTAAGGTATATATATATATATATATATTATTTATAATTATGTCTCATTTAATTAGCATTCTTCGCAAGATGCTGTTATTACTACTATATACTCTTTAGCAAATTCTATTTCTTCAAATATTCCTAAAGCATCCTCGGTAGATCTGCTTATTCCTTTAGATCAACGAACAGTAAAAAGTAGTATATCTTTAATATTTAAAACAGATTCTCAAAGACGTATTATCCATTATAAAATTGTTGACGCTATAACTCAAATAGCAATTATGATACCTGATGAAAAGGTTAATTTAGATATGTTTTATAAAGTTTCTAAATTTCCAAGATAGCTGCATTGTCTATATCAATTCTTATACAAAAATATGGCAAGATAGATATTGAAGTTGACAAAATTATTTTAGAAAAACTTGCCAATGTAACGAAGGCAAAATCAGAAAAAAATGTTATGAGTATAATTAAATTTTATTCACGAGTTGCGGAAGAATTGTACACTTATGGGCTAGATACTGTTTCAGATGCGGTAAATTTTAACTATAGTTTCTTTTTTTATTTATTTTATAAAAGTTTCAATCATCTCTTTCAAAAATATCATCAAATATGGAACAAAAATCTGGATTATTAACATTTTATCTTAACAATTTATTGAATATTATAATAAGATGTGATAAAGTTCCTGAAAAACAAAATGAGACTGAAAAAAAGAGCGAAAACAGAGACTTAAAGGCATAATATCACAATAATATTTTATCATCACTAATGATGTAAAGGATATTCAGGATAATATTCTTAATATTTTGCATCCTTTAGCAATATTGCTTCAGAAATTTGATGCAGAGCATTCTTTTGATTCAGAAACAATTCTTCTTTTTTGTAATATGTGGTTTACTTTCGTTTTATGTGGGTTTACTCAAGGATCTGCTCTTGTTGATCAAAATATCGAGTCATTGAAAATAATTGCAACATATTCTCCTCCATTGGTATTAGATAATGTTACTACTCATTTTGAAAGCGATCTAGAATTAAACACTGTTTTGAGAAGAGGCGGTTCTCAGAAAGTAAAATAGAAAATATGATTATCTTTTTTTTAATAAGACAATAGGATCTTAATTTTCTAAGAGAAACCCTTTCAAAAGCACTTCCTTCTTGTGCACATGAAATCAAATCAGCTTCTTATTCAAAAACAGTATATTTGTCATCAGTATTTCTTTTAGAGACTTTAAGAAGTAGTGCAGGGATTTGTTCATATACATTTGCTTATTTAAAAAACACTAATATTAAAGAAAGTGATATTGCAACATGCATATCAGCAATAGCACATTCGGTATATTTTGTCTTTTATATCCATTATTTAATTGCTTTAGGCAACTAACGTTTTTATTTCATCATTTGTTTTTAGTTCAAAAGAACCAGAAACTTCATTGCTACTTTCAAAAGAAATGAAAAGATTACTTCTTAGTTGCTCTCATAGAATGAAGCAGCCACGTGAATTGGCTCTAAAATGTTGTGATAAGGTTATTTCTTCAATGCCATCAGTATTATGTTCTCAATCAGTTCTTTATACGTTGCTTGAATCACTATCATTGTTATGGTATAGTTGTGCAAATGAATATTTATCCGAGGTATAATATAATTTTATTATTAAGTATTTTATGACTATTATCTAGTACACTCCTCAATACATTTTTTCATCATCTCGTGGTCATTTATCTTTAGAATTTTCAGACTCATATATTGAAAGAAAAATAATTCTTCGTGATCTATTAACATATGCAAAAAGATGGCTCACCCTTGCATTACAAATTAGTCCTTTAGATCTTAAATCACTTTTACATGTATAAATGTGTTTTATATTATATTATGTTAATATATATAGACATATCTTTCTGATTTTGATGATTCGAGTTCGACTAGCAATATTTCCTTAGGGAAAACTGTAGCATTAGATATTGGAGGATCGTTATCATATATAGATAAGAAAATGTGTAAGTTATTTGAAGTTTATTGAGTTGAATTTGCTTAAATGTACTTAGTTGGAGATCTTCTAACAAATGTTTCATCTGAATTCATCTCAGAATATACTATTAGACAATTGAACAAATTCCCTGCGTCAATATTGCATCCAATGCGAAATGGTGGTAGTAATTTCTTTTTTTTTAATTTAAATTTTTAATCTAATTAGATTCATATACTATTCAAAATGATTTTAGTGATAATGGTTTTATCACTAGTGTGTTACAGAACATATCTCAGATAGAAAATGATTTGAAACAAAAAAAGAAACTCGAAATAAAGGAATTAAAAGATTCTTTACAGAAGGTTGCTACCTGTATAATTACTGGCACTGAATATGAAAAAATTTTGGCACGTTATATTGTAAGAATTCCATTTATGATTTTAAATGTTCCTTCTATAAAACTTGGAATATCTTTATGGACGTGGATAATAACTGAACGATCTTCACTTCATATTCAGCTTCTTACAGAGATATCCAGAAATTTCCAATGGTCTATTAGAAGACGACAAGGATTGTTTTCTAGTTCAATTGATCCATTAAATGCTTTTGCTGAACCTATGGAATATCTTCCAACTGATAGAACGATATATGATAAAGAAATTCGAAAAGCATCAAAATTGTTTACTCCCCATCTTTTACTTACAAATTTTCTTTCAAGTCACTTACAAGCTTTTCATAAGGATTATAACGTATTTAGTATTATTTCATCTTTTTTTCGTTTTATAGGTACTGCTATATCAAATAAAAAATCAAGTAAGCATATTTTATCAAGAGAATTGCATTTTCATTTATTCAATCTTGGTTTTAAAATATTAAAATTTAAGGATATTGATCCTATAATTTTTATAAAAACAAGGAAAGTGTTATACTCAGCAATTTTTGCATGGTTTTCACGAGTACCAAAATGGGCATTTGGGGGAAATAAAGTTCAATTAGAAACAGAATTAAATCTTCTTACAGTTATTCAAAATGCTATAGAAACTGATAATACTGTTATAACATCATCTTTTTATGATGAACTTTTTGATAATTCTATTCACGAGAAACAACAAAAGCTTCTATATCTTTTAGTCAGTCATGAAAAATATCGCATATCAACCTGGCTTAATGTTAGAGCGATAGGATTAAGCACGTATAATATAACTACACTTTGGGAAAACATTTCAGATGAACAATGGAAAATGTTTGTCAATACCGCATGGAATCATGATCCTATTCTTGCTGTCAATTTAGTTCATAGATTTAAATCAAAAGACTTGCATAAAAAATTAAAAGATTTAATCTTAGAAAATCCATTCGATGTCATTAGTTGTCCAAGCGCATTGAGTATTCTTTTTGATAATTTTTCAGATGTTACTGCTTTTCAATTAAAATATCTTCAATTTTGGTCACCGGTTGTTCCTCTTACAGCTATTACATATTTTCTTCCAATATACAATAACGATGGATTTATTTTGCAATATGCAGTGAAGATTTTGGAACATTATTCATTAGATGTTATATTTTTCTATGTACCTGAACTTGTTCAAGCATTACGATATGATACTTTGGGCTATATTGAACACTTTATTATTGAAACGAGTGTTTTATCTGAATTATTTGCTCATCAAATAATATGGAACATAAAAGCTAATTCTTATAAAGACGAAAATGCATCAGAGCCGGATTCTATAAAACCTGTATTAGATAGGGTTGTAGAACGTATAATATTATGTTTTACTGGGGAAAAAAAAGAGTTTTATGAACGAGAATTCAATTTTTTTAACAAGATTACATCTATTTCAGGGAAATTGAAACCGTATATTAAAAAATCTAAACTTGAGAAAAAAGAGAAAATAGATCTAGAGATTTCAAAAATTGAATTAGATACAGGTGTCTATCTTCCAAGCAATCCAGATGATATCGTTATAGGTATTGATAGAAAATCAGGAAAACCATTGCAAAGTCATGCTAAAGCACCTTTTATTGCAACTTTTAGAGTTAAAAAAAAAAGAGAAGTTTGTACAAATATTGAAAGAAACATATCGGAGGAAAACTTAAATAATGATTCGAATGCAGAAATTAATCAAGAATTTTGGAAATCATCAATATTTAAAGTCGGAGATGATTGTCGTCAAGATGTTCTTGCACTGCAATTGATTTCGATGTTTAGAAATATATTCAATGATATTGGTTTGAGTTTATATGTTTTCCCATATAGAGTTATTGCCACTTCACCTGGGGTATATATTTATACTTTCTTTTAACAAATATAATAATTTGTAGTGTGGGATTATAGATGTATTACCAGATAGTATTTCTCGAGATATGCTTGGTCGGGAAGCTGTTAATGGATTATATGAGTAAGTTATATTTAAAAATATTTTAATGCTAATTATTATATCAAGATATTTTATAACAAAATTCGGCAATGAAAATTCTATTGAGTTTCAAAAAGTAAAATTGTTTTAAAATTAATGGTTTAGTTAATGAATTTAGGCCAGAAACAATTTTGTTCAAAGCATGGCTGCATATTCAGTTATAACATATCTTTTACAAATAAAAGATCGTCATAATGGTAATATTATGATTGATAGAGAAGGGCATATAGTACATATTGGTAATTTTTTGTTTTCTAACTAAACGTTCTTATTAATATATATAGATTTTGGGTTTCTTCTTGATATAGGTATTTTAATTCATATAAATATAGGTTTTAATTTATATAAATAGCACCTGGGGGAATTACTTTTGAATCTTCACCGTTTAAGTTAACTAGAGAAATGATTGCAGTTATGGGAGGGAATCAGAAAACTCAACCATTTATTTGGTTTCAAGAATTATGTATTAAAGCTTTTTTCGCATGCAGACCGTACGCTGAAAATATAATTGAATGTGTAACTCTCATGTTAGATTCTGGACTTCCCTGCTTTAAAGGAACTACAACTATTAATAATCTTAGAAGTCGTTTTCATTTAGATCAAGAAGAACATGAAGCTGCACGAACAATGATAAAACTTATTAATAATAGTTACGAAAATAAACGAACAATTATATATGATCAATTTCAATCAATTACTAATGGTACTTATATTTAACTATTATTAAAATATACTAATTCAACATAGGTATTCCTTATTAACTCGTACATATTCGTTTAAGGATTCAATGTCATATATTTTTTTAAAAAAATATTAATGACATCAATTTACTTATTTGTAGCGTTTAAAATAATTGATATTGCCTCCACTATAACTTCATGTTCAATTTTGTGCATTCGTTCTTCAAATTGACTAAAAGTTTCATCATTTAACATAGGAACTTCCTTAACAATAATTGGTGTTCCTTGATCAATATTTTCAATAACTTGATGTACCATAACCCCCGTTTTCATAATTTTTCCCTCACAAAAAGCTTTATATGCCCTTTCTATCGCATGTATTCCATCAAACGTTGCTGGAAGTGCTGGATGAAGATTAATAAGTTTAATTCCATATTTTTCTAATGGATCAAGGCATGCATTCGATAGAATATGCATCCATCCTGCACATATAACTAACGCCGGATTTTCTTCAATAATAATATTCGAAAGATCCCTATCATATTTATATCGTGCTATTTTAATCCCTGTTGAATTAGGCTCTTCTTTTCTTTTATACGGAAGAAGAAGATGTATTGTAGTCGGAATTCCTACTTTTTCTGCTCGAATAATACCATATGCCGATCTCGTATTCGAAATCACTCTAGATATATATCCATTAATTCTCTTAGATGCACATGCATCAATAATTGCTTGAAGATTTGTACCCGACCCGCTAATTAGAACTACAAGTTTATTTTTTCCATTTTCTCGACAATCCATTAATGTACCCATATTTATTCAATATATATATATATTATAACTTATTATATATACATTTCCTTGATTTATTTCTTTTATACTTAATCTTTAAATTTTTCAAAAAAATTTTAAAAATCGATTATTTGATAGCTTTAAATAAAAAAAGAAATATTAAGACGGTTTAATAATTCTTATTTTTTTCATTAGAAAAGAATGAGTTATCTTGAGTATTCAGGGTTTTTATTAGAAGAAGAAACTGAATATGAAAAATACTCACGTTTAGTGGTAAGTTTAAATAAGAAAATCAATAAATTTTTAAGAAATAATATTAGAAACAAAATTCGGATGCTTTTGAATCATGGGAAGGGTTAATTAGGGTGGTAGAGACTATGGATGGAGGATTAAATAGGAATTCGTCGCCACAGGCAATTGGAGCGATGAGAGATGCATATGATAGATTTCTTGCGAAATTTCCATTATTATTTGGATATTGGAGAAAATATGCAGAATTGGAGTTTTCTATAGCAGGAACGGAAGCAGCAGAGATGGTATATTAATAGTATAAATAAAAGGAAATAGGTTATAATGATAATAATAGGTGTATGAAAGAGGAGTAGCAGGTATATCTAATTCAGTTGACCTATGGACAAATTATTGTGGATTTAAGATGGAAACAAGTCATGATGCGGATGAAACAAGAGAGTGAGTATTTATAATTGTTTATTATTATGGTTATAGTATTTTTTTTGTTTATATTTGAAAAAGTTGAATAAAATAACTAATTCTATAAATGTTTAATAGAATTAGGAAGTGTAAAGTATTTGATTAATTTGTTATTTTTTAATTGTATTTTATTGTGTTAACTGATATAATTTTTTAGATTATTTGAACGTGGAGCAACCCATGTTGGTTTAGATTTTTTATCGCATCCTTTTTGGGATAAATATATTGAATTTGAAGAACGTATGGAGGCGCCGGACCGTATTTTTATGATTCTAGATCGTGTTATTCATATCCCAATGCATCAGTATGCCCGTTATTTTGAAAGGTATATAATATATATATGTATGTATATATATATAGCTAAGAAATAAATTTCAGATATACACAAGTTGGAGCAACTAGACCTATATCGGAATTGCTTCCTGCTGATGTATTGAATTCTTTTAGACAAGATGTTCTTGCAGAGCCGGCATCTTCTATTCAAGCAGGACAACAGCAAATAAAGATGGAGCGTGGTGAGCTTGAAATTGAAAGAGAAACTAGAATAAGAATACATAATTTACACTTGGAAATATTTAATCGTACACAAATAGAAACTACAAGAAGATGGGTTTACGAAGCAGAGGTATACTTAGAATATTATATTTTTTTTTTGGTTTTATTAAATTTAAATTAGATACGTCGTCCATATTTTCATATTAATGAGCTAGATGAAGCACAATTAGTTAATTGGAGAAAATATTTAGATTTTGAAGAAACAGAAGGAGATTTTAAAAGAATACAGTTTCTTTATGAGCGTTGTTTAGTTGCATGCGTAATTATTTTCTAAATTATTGATCATTATTATTAATTTAAAAGGCATTATATGATGAATTTTGGTTTCGTTATGTTCGATGGATGTCTGCACAGGAAAATAAAGAAGAGGATGTTCGATTAATATATCAACGTGCATGTTCTACATTTGTTCCCATATGGAAAGTATTTTCTTTTTGTTCTAAATAAATTTTAATAAATCAGTCGACCTGCTATTCGTCATCAATATGCATATTTTGAAGAAGCTCTTGGTCATGAAGATATTTCTAGAGCTATGTTTGAGTCTATTCTCGTTAAACGTAACATTTTCATAATATCTATATTTTAACATAAATTAATATATAAAAGTTCCGGGCCATTTAGAAACGATTATTTCATGGGTCAATATGGAACGACGTCTTTCTTCAGGCATTGACAATTCTATTGCTATATTAAAACGATTTATTGATAGTAATACATGTGATATTTATGCGAAGGCGGCTTTGACTACAGAATGGATCAGATTAATTTGGAAGGTATAGGATATATTATCGTTTAATCATTTATTAATTATTATATAAGATTAAAGGCTCTCCTGAAGAAGCTCGTAAAATGTTTCAAAAAAATGCTTCAATATATCTTGACAGTCGCTATTTCTGGATTAATTATTTAATGTTTGAAATGGAACAACCTGTTTGTAAGTAATATTATATTTATTTTATATTTTATTAATAATTCAAGCTCCTGATACTGCAAAAAATGCACATAATCGAATTTCTGAAGTTATTACTTTAATTCGAAAAACAGCACGTCTTCCTCCACTTGTAATTAAGGATTTAACCCATGTTTATATGGTTTATCTTCTAGAGCGCGCACCTATTCCAGGTGCTATTTTAGAATACAATAGGTTGGATAGAGAAGTAAATGGACCATTTAGTGTTCAAATTGAAAATAAACAAAAATTATCGGAAGACGGTGATGCTAAAACATATGAACGCAAACTTCGCTTAACAAATGGACATCCTGGTGTAGAAATTAATGAAGCTGATATTCGTGCTGGAAAAAGTCCTTATGATAAATATTATATCGAACAAGGAGAGATACCACCCATCACTGTAGGGCATAATGTTCAACAAGAATCATATTCATAATTTTTATAAATTTAAAATATAACATATTTATTTTTTAAGTAGATAAATATTTGGGATTTTTTTTGTAAAATTGCACAAATTTTATTATTTTTTTATATATAAATTCATATAATTTATATTTTTCAAGTTTCGACTATTTTTGAAAAAATGTCTGAAAGTCATATATTCATTGGAAAACCGAGTCCTTCTCCACTTAAAATAGATAATCTTTCTAAAAGGAATTCGTCCTTTGAAGAAAAACCTCAGTGTCAAACAAAACATAATGAATTACATACTGAAAATGCTACAAAAAATTTGCCAGATAAACATAAAAATCAATCACTTTCTGAAGGAGAAATGAATACGCCAGATAGAACATTATTTACACCGAATTCTCAGAGATCCAATCATAATCTCTTATTATCTTTTAATTCGCCGGCAGTATCTTTTGCTACATCTAGTATGAAGTTACCACCTCTTCCACCATCTACTCCAACAGAAACACAAAAACTTTTATTAGATATGAGTCCGGAACCTGTATTTGTAACACCAAGGAGTATTCCTAAGTATACATTACATGATCTTGAAAAAGAAAGATCAAAGTTACGTGCAGAAATAGTAAATTTGGAATCTCGATTGCAAGGCCGTGAAGCAGAAATTAATGAGCTTCGTACACATGTTGCAAAAATTGAAGACATTGTTTCTATAATGGAACGTGAAAAAAATGATCTTGTTATTTCATGGGAAAAGGAAAGACTTCAATTAGAATCAAAAATTTTGTCATCTTTATCTACAGATTCAAAAACTATATCACCGATTATTGATCAATCAGTTTTAACAGAATTAGAAAGTAAACATCAAGAGCAATTAAGTATTTTAGCAAATGACTTGCATCGTCAATATTCTCAGAAACACCATCAAAAAGTTCAAGCACTTAAAACCAGTTATGAAAAAAAATATGAAGCCAAAATCAATTCCCTTCAAGAAAAACTAGAAGAAATGAGTCGAATGTTAGAAAATGAGCAGAAGGAAAAAATGGAAATTATTTCAATGAGTGAAGAATTGATGAAAGTAATGGAAGAACGAGAAGAAAAAGAGCAAAAAAAATAATTGCATGAGATTATTACCATTATTTTTTATATTTTATTAAAAATATGAATGTATACATTAATTAGGTGTTAATAAATTAGTGTTTATTAATTAATATTTATGGAATAAAACATTTACTGGTTGTGTAATGATTAATTTGGGATAAGTGTGGTATATATACGGTTTATTCAACTAGTAATATTAAAAACAAGAGTTTCAATAATATCATTTTCAGCTCAAAAATGTCCTGCATTGTTGGCTTTGATTGTAGTTAAGCTACTTGAATCATTTAAACTATCCTAAAATTTATGATAATTTCTCCAGGAAAGTAAAAAAGCAAGTAAATCTTTTCAATTATAAATAATTAAACTTTTCTTATGTAAATTAATTGATGTAAATTGAAAAGATAATCCAAGAAAACATTTAAGAGATGATAAAAGAAGAGAAATAAGAAAAAAAATATTTTTTCGATAGGCGAATCCATATTAAAAACAACTATAGCTCCATAAGAATAACCACTTAAAACCATTTTATCAATTTTCGGGAAATTTGTAAGAGCATATTTTATGACAGTCTAAAAATCTTGTTCAGGATAACTTAACCAGCTTATTTTACTTTTAAATCCTGATGCGTTTTGAAAGTTAAATGTAATTGCTAGATAATTTAAAGATAACAATGTTTCTGTAATTATTTAATTACATTTAATAATACAGAAAAAAAGACCTGAAACTGTTACAACAACGTGATTATTAAAAACTCCTATAATCCAAAATATGTAAATTTATTCGAAATATGTTTTTTAACTTTATTATATTTATAAACATATATAAATAATATAATTAAAAAACAAGTTTACGTGCAATAGATTTTGTATTAAACTTCATATCAGATATATTACCATCCCATATAAGACTAATAGAGCCTGCTTCATTCCCCTCAATATTTCTTTTTGGTAATTGAGATGGAGGAGTTGGCCGTGGATGACTAGAAAAATATTTACTTTTAAGAGCCTGTTTTGCTGATGGACGTTTTAGTGGGTCAAATAATAGTAGCCACTCTAATAAGCATAATTCATCATCACTAGCAGCAGTAAAAAGAACCCTATGGTTGACAGGTTTTGGATATTGCTTAAATTCCACAAAATCTGGAAGACGGCGCATTCCTGGCCAGTCTTCATCTGTTGGAGTTCCCAATGCTCGAAAAATTGTATCGAGTTGATCGACATCAGTATTTCCAGGAAGATATGGTGTACGAAGCATAAGTTCTGCGAATATACAACCTATAGACCATATATCAACACCTGTACCATATGATTTTGCTCCAAAAAGTAGTTCAGGAGAACGGTACCAACGAGTTACAACCTAAATTGGAAAGATTAAGTAATAAAAAATGAATTATAATATCTACTTGACTAGTCATATTTACATATGGATTTCCGTAATCTCTAGCAAGACCAAAATCTGCAATTTTAAGAACACCATTTGCATCAATAAGAAGGTTATTCGGTTTAAGATCACGATGAAGAATAAAATAAGAATGAAGATAATGTAAACCACGTAATGTCATAAGTAACCATGATTTTATATCAGAAGAAGAAAAAATAAGTGATTTATCTTTAATAATTAATTCAAGATCAGATGTAAGAAACTCGAGAATTAAATTTAGATTTCTTTTAGATAAAAATACGTCAATAAGCTATTAAATCATAGTAAACATTTAGTTTAAAAAAAATATCATAAAAACCTCTATAATATTTTCATGTTTTATTTCACGAAGAAATTTAACTTCTCGAATTGCAGATATATCAAGACCCTCTTTTAATTGACCAATTTTTATTTTTTTGATAGCTACTTTTCTATTTGTAGATAATTGTCTACCTATTTTCTTAATTAAAAATAATTAAGTAAAAATTACATACCCAAATAAACGATAGCATAAGTTCCCTCTCCAACTTTTCTATCTTTAACATATAATTTGGTTTTATCATCAGTATCCATAATATTTAAATTTTAAAATTTTGAAACAATCGATTAAAAATTAAGGTATAAAAAACTAAACGTTTTATTAAAAAGCTTGTTATTGAATTTTGTAAATAATCAAAAATAAATTGATATTATTATATAACTTTTGATTTATTCTTTAATATATAATATTATTATATTACTGTCGTTTTATTATTAATAATCTTTAGTAGGTTAAATTTAAAATATTTACTTAGAAAAGATTTTGTATCTTATTTTATCAAAAATTTTAATATTAAAGCATTTTCTATTTTTTAAATCTTAAATTTATATAATTTTAATTTTTTATAGAAATATCATTTAAGGAATTATAGATTTAATATTTAAAATAAATATATTACATTTTTATAGTAAATATTAGGGACTAATTTTAGGCTCGTATGGTGTAACGGTAACACTTCACATTGTGGCTGTGATGCTCTAGGTTCGATTCCTAGTACGGGCAGTTAATTTTATTACAATCTTAGAATTTAATAAGCAAGTTTATAAGGTTTAAACAATACAGTTATAATATTATATATTAAATTTGTGTGGTATTAATTAGAATAATATATGAGTATATTTTTATTATTACAATATATAGATGAAATATATTAAGTTGTATTTTTTAACATCGTGTATATAATTTATAATGTAATTCACTTTATATGCTTTCTATATTTAAGTTGAATAATATATTTGTTTTCTATTCCAATACTAATTTATTTAGTACAATATTTTTACCGAAAATATTAGTTACTTTATAATCCTATAAATTTATTTTATAATTAATAAATCTTTGTTAGTATATCTATATTTATCTCTTAAATAATTTTTAAAATAACGAATTACACTATTATTATAATATATCTAATAATTAACTTAATATTAGTATATATCTTAAAGTAAAAATTCACTAATTATAAAATATCTGGGTTATAGAATAAAAAATAGAAAAATATAGAAATAAAATTTGTAATATCGTTATTATTTGAAATTGGCTAATTAATAATTGAATAAATATAAAGTACTAGAAATAATTATTTAATACTGTATTCATAATTAATATTATTTATTTTCTATTATTTTTTCAATTTTGTATCTATAAAAACTTTAAAGGTAATATTCTATCAGATAATAACTAATTGATTACAAATCAAAATTTAAATAAAAATATCAGAATTCAATATTAAAAGAATAACTTGAATTTAAGATTTCTTTAAATTATAAATTAATATTGAAAAATATTATAAAGATTATAATACTCAACTATATAATATGAGAATCCTTTATAAATATTTATAATTATGTGTTTTTTATATCTAAAACTCTTTAAAAATATACATAGATAATTATCATAATAATTCTTACTACTCTTTTTTCTTAAACATTATCTATAGATATTTATAATATATAATATCCTTTATTTATTTATGAAAAAAATAATCCCATAAATATATATTATATTTACATTATTAAGAGCTTTTAAAATTGTTATGTTAAAAATTTATCAATCTTGATTATATTTTGTTTTTCAAATAAAAGTTAATAAAATTCCAAAAAGTATGCTGATTTAAATTGACTAATTAATCATTAATAATTTCCGGTGATTTAGTTGGAAGTTCTGGTAAGTATCGAAGATATGGTTGACAATGCCACCATTGAATCTTTTCATTATTATTATTTTCCGAAATTGCTTTCTTTCAAAATTACCAAAAATTATAACTAATAAAAAATACCTTAACTAAGATGTCAAGCTCTTCAACTATTTTAAAATATTTTTCTAATTCGTTTGATTTTACTTCTCTTAATTCATTTCGCAAATGAACATATTTAGATAATCCTGTACGAAGGATTTTAAATAAATGTGGCTTCACCGCATTTATGCAGCTTTTATCATTTTCTAATCCATAATTTACAATAATGTCCAAATATTCTTTAGCAATATCTGTAATAACTGGAGGTATATCAGAGCGATTAAAAATAGATGGATTATAAAGATTTCCTTCTGCAGACATAACACCATCAGCTTTTGTTTCTTTCAAACATTTATCGATATCATGAGGCCAAAGAATATTTCCATTAGAAAATATAACAATATTTGAAGGTAGGTTTTCCCTTAAATATAAAATTTGACTCCAATCAGATAATCCAGACATACTTCCCTTTTGTTCTCTTGTTCTTCCATGCACCGCTAATATTGAAACTCCTGCCTCTATAATCATCTGAGCATATGCTAATGTTTTTTCTTTATCCGAAAAAATGCGAATTTTAGCAGTTATAGGTATATCAAGAGACTCATTAATACGTCTAACTATATTATTTACTATTTATCATGCTAATTATTTCTTTTGTACTTATTTTTGAAATCAAACCCCAATTTTCTTGCAAATAAGCGCCATAATATCCACGTTTTGCAATATTTTGAGGACACCCAAGATTCAAATCAACTGCATCACAATTTCCTAATACGATTTTTGACGCTTTTAAAAAATCCTCTGGATCATTTGCACAAAACTGAACCTATAAGTATTATATATAATTGCTTGTAGAACATACTTGAACAATTAAAGGTCGATCTTCTCCATTATCCAATGTACTCCAGACATTTTTACGATATTGAGGAGATGACCAAAAATTTTTTGCATGAAACATAGGAGTATAGCATAAATCTGCACCATGTCTCCGTGACAAAATTCTCCAAGCAAGTTCTGATTGATCAACCATAGGTGCAACAATCCGTGAAGGACTTCCAATAGAATTCCAGAACTCTCTACAACGAAGACCCATTATTATATTTTAAAATTATTTTTTTATTTTAATTTTATTCATTAAACAACATTAAAAATTTAATTTTTAATTTTTATAGTAAAATTAATTTTAAACTATATATTTATATAAATTAAAATTTAATAAAAATGATAATAAATCATAATTTAAATGGCTCTTCTATTAATCTTAAAAAATACATTTCTTTTATGAATGATGTGTTACAGCCGAAGCTTTATTCACTTATAAAAGAAAGAGAAAAGTTAGATAAAAGTTTATCAGAATAGTATTATTAAAA